TCCACGGCAGCCCTGTCTCGCCGACGGATGTGCGCCGTCTTTTTCCTTCCTGCCTGCTTGGCTTCCGCCGCACACACTCGAGCCCGCTAGCCTATGGCTTTCCAGCCAGCCAGCCCGGCCCAGCGTCTTAGTGTGTCTCACGCATGAGGCGCTGGGGTGGACAAGGGTGCCGGGGTGCACGATCATTCCTCATGACGTCGCGAAGTACATACACTGACTGGCTCGCAAATAACAAGAGCGGCGCCCTGGGCACGAGGATGACTACCGACGCGTTGAGCAATGTAAAATGGCTTGGCGAGAGACGTCGATGCTCAATCGACTGCATAGCCCGTGCCCGGTGCCAATTGACCGATCGTCGGAAAGCACGGAAATGACGGCCACGAGATGAAGCGAAAGAAAAAAAGATTGCTTGCTCATGGTCGCAATCTGTCTCTCGCTCTTCGCGTTTTGGGCAACTTCTCCTACGGATCTGGCGGCAGAGACGGGCACAGGCTCCAGCGCCTCGCCGTGGAAGCGAATCGGCGAGCCAGGGCGAGCTGGATGGGGCGGCCCTGTTGGACAGCAGACCGAACGACAAAGGCACTGACAGATACAGGCCACCCAGGAAAGCTCGTCATCAGCGAGACTGCTGACTAGTACCGTCCGCGGAGAAGTGAGACAGCCCAGCAACTCGAAATTGGTACTTGTAGCATGGGTAGGTTGGACTGTATGGCGCACAGTGTGGCGCCTCGATTTGGATAGACGATGCGGGTACTCTGGGGACTGCCCTACATGCAAAGCTCACAATGCAAGTCCGTTTATTGGGCAATTTGTGCATGGCGGCGCGATGCGGCGTCGGGTTGGCTAGCTGATGGGCGCAGGGTGTGAGGATTAGTCTGACGGGTATCACAACAGCAGTTGTTGTACAAATTTTGTTCTACGGATGACAATGATAACCTCGAAGCAAGAGGCAGATCATGCCCATCGACGATGACGGCGAGAGGAGACTGATCGTTTTTCTACAGGAAGGAATGCACATCACCAAGACGTGGCGTTTCTGTGGCACGGACGCCCAATTAACAGTGCAAGACAGCACGACTTATAAGTTTCAACTTGCATAGGGGAATTGCACAAGCGGTGCCCTAGACGGACTTGGCAAGACCTGTGTAAGTGGGCAAGTGTCCATCTGATCTATTCTTGCCCACGAAACGTCTTGGCTTTGAGTGCTTTTTTGACAAATGACCAGAAACCAATGAACAAGGGTTGCGGGAGATGGCATTTGTGCGCACCAACGGCCAGCCTTTGGGAGCACGCTTTCCAAGGGTCCAAGCTCGGCCCCTGAGACAAGACTTAGAAGAAGCCTGCGACAAGACAATCTTGCCAAGAACCTTATCATAACGATGGGCAGGGCGGCATGAATTGCTAGGTGTATGATTGACATTGGGGCAGGAAACAAGGTGAAACAGCGGGTGAAGGAGGGAGAGGGATTGGCACTGGCACAGGGCGAGAAGCCAAAGGAGTGAGTACGATCAGCAGCATCGTGGCCGTGGTGTTTCTGGTGTCTTGCCACTTTGGGTCTCGCCCGCGCAACTTAAAATGGAAAACGGGATATGGGGGGCTGGGAAGGTGGGAGTGTATCGGGTGTGTCGCACTTTATTTCATCGTCGTCGAGGGCGCACGGGCAAATCACGGGCAAGATAGTTAAATCGAGGGATTGCGAGACGTTGCATCGGGGACATGGCGCGGGGAGCTTGTATCAAACAACATCGACTATACAAACTACGCCAGTGGCAAGCAAGCTCATGGCAGAAGACGGTGCGAGAGGATTGGCCAAGGGGAGGGGGGCAGCAAAATGGCCATCTAGACCGCGCTGATGAAGCTCGATGAGACTATTCATATTTGAGTAATACGATGAATGACCTCGGGGAAGTATATGCTGTATGCGGGATTGGCTCCGTCCACCGGCATGGGGGTGGTGAGCCGGATAGGACACATCGCGGAGCCGATATTACTACAGAGGTGAGGGAAGGGCGCTGATTAGGTGGCGGACGAGCCCACCCGATTACCGCAGCTGCAGGTTCGGGGAGGCAAGGGTCCGTCTTGTCATCTTGCAGGCTATTTGCAGAAAAGTAAATTACATGGGAGGATTGATTGTCGAGGGAACGATGCTCCGTAGCGAGAGGGCCAGAAAATGCCGCAGGGCCCTTTCCGAGGCCTGCGATAAGGCGTTATGGGTTTGCTCTAGGGGAAAAGGCTTTGACCAATGGCGGGCGAGCCATTTTTAAATTTGTGTGAAGGACACTGTGTCCGCCATGATCAACTTTCATTCATTCTATTTTTTTCTATACCGAGGGCTTCTTTCAGGTCAGGAGACGCCAAGCGCGGTTAGGCTGCTTGCCGCACTGTGCTTCTGGAAGCAAGTAAAGTTCGTTGTACGCCCTGCAAGGTGCACCTCAGATACAGACAACTCGGCGGTGGCGTGGCGAAAAAAAGCTTCGCAGTGCAGGATGCATGCTTAGTGTAACGGATGATCACGGCCTTGTGCATGGACTTTTTGCATACGAAGTAAGTGAAGGGTTGGCGTTGAGTAAGGTGGCGAGCCATACACCGTGTACCTATAAATTATCGAGGAATAATCGGTGACCAAAGCTTGGTTTTTGCCTTGGACGAAAGGCGGCTGAACTGCAGTAGCCCCGGGAAAAAGGTTACAGCGGGCTTAGTGGACCTGCGGGCGCTAGAGCAGACGGAGGCACAGGCGGTCTACAGCGGGTTTAGCCCGGAAGAAGGACTGGCCCTTGATTCGGCGTCGTCAATAAGCTTTTGCGATGGGACGAGGGAAAAGAAAGTTGGCGTTCGGCGTGGCCGAGAAGCCAACATGTTGATTCCATTCGGCGATATTTCCTTATTCTTGGAATTTTCTTTAGAGCAACAAGATTTGCGGCGGCGGCGATGACAGTAACAAGCATAACTAGAAGGCTGAAGCCAAGTCCAGAGCATGGGACAAGCCGGGGCTTGTACTCCATACTGCTGGGCTTGTACCTATTACGAATATTCACGCGACAACCCATGTATAAAAGGACGAGGGAAAAAAAAGGCCGCTGGAGGCGACTTGGCATGCAAAACAGCATGCATCTTTTACTCGCCCAGGCTTGTTTGGCTTGGCTATGTGCAGCCGGATCGCGGGCAGTGGGGAAAGTCGGCTGCTCAATGGAATTCAGCGAAGGGGAAAATACGGACGAGAAGGGACGGGGGTATAATGGATGTGGCCAATTGGCTGCCATGTGTTTGTTGTTATTATCACCATTGTTTATTTACTTGTTTGAATTTACTTCGATTGCTTCTGCAGGCGGTAGGAGCCCAGTGAGGCCATCGCGAGAATTGCCTGGCAGCTGCGTACCTGGCGTCTCATTACAGCGCATGAATTTGCGGAGGACAGCATCACAGGTGGATTTTCAGCGAATTATAATAAACATTGTGACTGCTGCGATGAACAGCGCAACAAACAGGTAAAACAGAGGTATAAAGTTGTCCACTGCAAGGTTATTCGTCTCCACTGATTGAAGCCCCAACTCTGTTCCATCATCAGAAACACCACAAAACCCCCTCATTGCGCTAGAACGAGACAGACAGCGCTAGGTGATGACATGCGGGCTTGTGGGAGGGCGGAACTTGTATTTGTTACAAGTCGGCAACCAGGGTGAGGCAACAAGAATGTGCGAATGAGCGAGGCAAGTCCGGAATGACCTGTAGCATCATGACGAGATACAAAGATATTGGCGGACTCTTGACACCACTCTGGCAGCGCCGGCAGAGAGCCTGGCCCTGTCTTGGAGACTTCTACAGGCTCCCACTGGCGCACTGTTAATCAGCGGCAACGACCCCCAAAAGAGGAATACGGAGGCGCTGGACCCTCTGGAATTTTTAGTAAGTCAGGAAGGGCAGGGCAGGGCAGGGCAGGGCAAGCCAAAACAAAAATCGCTCTCGCCAGCCGGGCGCACCGTGCGAGGCCCGCCAAGTTCGTACAGTTCGGCCCCAGGTACCGATAACAGACAGACTGGGGCGCCACTGGAAATTTGTTTATTCCATGGACGACGGAGATTGGACGGTGAGAATGACAGGCGAGAGAATGCCTATAGAAATGGTATAAAGAAATCTCATAAAATTGTACAATCACAGTGAAACTGTGCAAGGCTTGCTGTGCCGGTAAAGCCCGTACCATGCATTTTCTATTACCAATATGAGATACGGACAGAAGGGAAAATGCTGACTGTCATAACCGTGCGAACTTGGGGGGTGTGCTCAAGCCTGCTCTCCAAAACACCACACACCATCTGACACCCACTTCCCAGCAGAAGCACCCCCTCCCCCACCCCCTGGTTTTCCCATGGGCAGAAACAGAGGGAAAAAAAGGCACGAAAAAAAGTTGCGAATTCAGAGTTCCCACTTGCCTCTGGGCGCCACTAAAACTCATGTCACTTTGGGGCTAAGACTAAGACCGTCCACCCCGGTCTGGTGTAGGCTCTTGAGCCGTCACATCGCCAGAATGTCTACTTACAGAGAGATAGGTACAAGGTACATGGGTACTGGGATGCCACTTGCGCATGGCTCTCCCCAATCCCAAAGTATCTTTGTCGAAGGCAAAAGCTTCGGTCCTGTTTCCCAGAAGGCCCATCCCAGAGAGGTTTAAAAAAACACTAGACCACCACCACCCATGGCCCGCTCATTGAAATACCTCCTCCCACCCTTCCCCAAGACACCTCGCTCTCTTCTTTTTTTCTCTTTTTCTCTTCACCCACGAATGCGTTGCACCTAGACGTCCACCCCATCCCTATTTCGTGCGGTGCTCGACACTACAATCCTGTTTTGTCTTCCCCTTCCCTCATTCCATCTTCAATCAGTCCCCCCCTTCGTGTCTGATTGTCGACTCTTTCGTCATTTCTTAGCTTCTATCCTATCGCTATTCAACAACCTCTTGACCCTACCACAAAACCACCAACCTGCCAACAAGCAACACTCAGCAAATGGCTGATCGCAAGGACGTCGGCGCCCCGGCGCTCGACACCAACATCGAGTCTGGTGGCTTCGACGAGAAGAAGCACCAGCAGGCCGCTGCCCCTCCCCCCAAGGCCGCCCCCGTTGGCGAGGAAGAGGATGAGGATGAGGACATTGACGCCCTGATCGAGGACCTCGAGTCCGAGGATGGCCACGCCGCCTTCGAGGAGGAGGAAGAGGAGGGCAACGCTGCTACCGGCCGCGTCGTCCCCGAGGACATGCTCCAGACCGACTCCCGCGTCGGTCTGACCGAGGCTGAGGTCGTGCAGCGTCGTCGCAAGTACGGTCTCAACCAGATGAAGGAGGAGAAGGAAAACCTGATCCTCAAGTTCTTCTCCTACTTTGTCGGCCCTATCCAGTTCGTCATGGAGGTAAGCATTCTATTTCTTTTCTTTATTTGCGTCTTTTGCATTTTTCGCATTTGCTCGTTGATTGGGCAATGTTTCGCATGTGGGAACGCTGTCTATTCATGACATCAACTTGTTTGGAGAGCAATCGCAGTTTCTGTGCACGCTGGTCCTACACTGTGGAATTGTCGCATTGAATGCGCAAGCGTCCCTTGCCATGATTTTACCCCAATTCCCTCACGCAAGAAAACGACGGCGCATTTCTGCCAGCTCCTTCAGCCACTGTTTACCCAGACAAGATTCATTGTTTTGGGCGAACGGGCCGACTTGGGGAAAGCCGGTTTTGGCCCAGCATTTTTTGTTGCGCGCTTTTTGTCCAGCGCAGATTAACGGTTCCACATGAGCTCTACTGTGCCTCAGTCATTGGCTGTTCGCACATGGCTGGTGCTGATGTGGGGGCGTCGATCCGCGCTTTGCCTGATACCAGCGTCCTTTTTTGCCGTCTTTGCCTGAGCACGCACCTGCCGCGAACCAGCAAACAAAAGACAAGACTGTCCGCCCCACAGCACCGTCGAATTGGCCAACCATCGACCGCATTTCTGCCGCTTCTCCAACAACAACAAACCAAACAAGCCCACCGCCGATCGGATAAACTCGAAGGACCGCCGTCGCCAGCCGGCTCCACACACGTTCTTCCGGCCGCAGCTAGCCCAGGTCCCGGGCTTGGCTTGGCAGTCAGCAGGGACAAGCGCAGAATGGGTCACCGTCAGAGCCACTCGGTTGCGGCGGCCTGCCTCGTGTTTTGCTTTCGACCTTGGGCTGGCCTCATCGGCTAGTGCCGTTTCGTTTCGAGAATGGTGCGCTCTCGGGCGCTCTCGCTTTAGGCCGCATTCTCTGGATCCAGTTTTCATTTGCATTGCGTTTTATTGATTTTTAATTCATCTTTTTTTTTAACCTGCCAATGGCGCTAACTATCCTCGTTACAGGCTGCCGCTGTTCTCGCTGCCGGTCTTGAGGACTGGGTCGATTTCGGTGTCATTTGCGCGCTTCTGCTGCTCAACGCTGCTGTCGGTTTCATCCAGGAATTCCAGGCTGGTTCCATTGTCGAGGAACTCAAGAAGACCCTTGCCCTCAAGGCTGTCGTCCTCCGTGACGGCACCCTCAAGGAGATTGAGGCCCCCGAAGTTGTTCCCGGTGATATCCTCCAGGTTGAGGAAGGTACCATTATTCCCGCCGACGGTCGCATCGTCACCGAAGATGCTTTCCTCCAGGTTGATCAGTCCGCCATCACTGGTGAGTCCCTTGCTGTCGACAAGCACAAGGGTGACAACTGCTACGCTTCCTCCGCCGTCAAGCGTGGTGAGGCTTTCGTCGTCGTCACCTCCACCGGTGACAACACCTTCGTTGGTCGCGCCGCTGCCCTCGTCTCCCAATCCGCTGGTGGCACTGGTCACTTCACTGAGGTTCTCAACGGCATTGGTACGATTCTTCTGATCCTCGTCGTCCTCACTCTCTTGATCGTCTGGGTCTCCTCCTTCTACCGCTCCAACGGCATCGTCACCATCCTTCGCTTCACCCTTGCCATCACCATTGTCGGTGTCCCTGTCGGTCTCCCCGCCGTCGTCACCACCACCATGGCTGTCGGTGCCGCCTACCTCGCCAAGAAGCAGGCCATTGTCCAGAAGCTCTCCGCTATCGAGTCTCTTGCTGGTGTCGAGATTCTCTGCTCTGACAAGACTGGTACCCTGACCAAGAACAAGCTCTCTCTCGCCGAGCCCTTCACCGTCCAGGGCGTTGACCCCGATGACCTCATGCTCACTGCCTGTCTTGCTGCTTCCCGCAAGAAGAAGGGTATTGACGCCATCGACAAGGCTTTCCTCAAGTCCCTCAAGTTCTACCCCCGCGCCAAGTCTGTCCTCTCCAAGTACAAGGTTATCGACTTCCACCCCTTCGACCCCGTCTCGAAGAAGGTCCAGGCCGTTGTTGAGTCTCCCCAGGGTGAGCGCATTGTTTGTGTCAAGGGTGCCCCTCTCTTCGTTCTCAAGACTGTCGAGGAGGACCACCCCATTCCCGAGGATGTCGACAAGGCTTACAAGAACTGCGTCGCTGAGTTTGCTACCCGTGGTTTCCGTTCTCTTGGTGTTGCCCGCAAGCGTGGTGAGGGTGCTTGGGAAATTCTCGGAATCATGCCCTGCTCTGACCCCCCTCGTCACGACACTGCCCGCACTATCAACGAGGCCAAGCGTCTCGGTCTCTCCATCAAGATGCTTACTGGTGACGCCGTCGGTATTGCCCGTGAAACCTCCCGTCAGCTCGGTCTCGGTACGAACGTCTACAACGCTGAGCGTCTTGGTCTCGGTGGCGGCGGTGACATGCCTGGTTCTGAGGTTTACGATTTCGTTGAGGCTGCTGATGGTTTCGCCGAGGTCTTCCCCCAGCACAAGTATTCCGTCGTTGAGATTCTCCAGCAGCGTGGCTACCTCGTTGCCATGACTGGTGACGGTGTCAACGACGCCCCCTCGCTGAAGAAGGCCGATACTGGTATTGCCGTCGAGGGTGCCTCCGATGCTGCCCGTTCCGCCGCCGATATTGTCTTCCTTGCTCCCGGTCTTGGTGCCATCATTGACGCCCTCAAGACTTCTCGCCAGATTTTCCACCGCATGTACGCCTACGTTGTCTACCGTATCGCCCTGTCCCTGCACATGGAAATCTTCCTCGGTCTCTGGATCGCTATTCTCAACCGCTCGCTGAACATTGAGCTTGTCGTCTTCATTGCCATTTTCGCCGATATCGCCACCCTGGCCATTGCCTACGACAACGCCCCCTTCTCCCAGACCCCCGTCAAGTGGAACCTGCCCAAGCTCTGGGGTATGTCCATCTTCCTCGGTGTTGTCCTTGCCATCGGTACCTGGATTGCTCTCACCACTATGCTCGCCCATGACCGCAACGGTGGTATCGTCCAGAACTTCGGTAACGTCGATGAGGTCCTCTTCCTTGAGATCTCCTTGACTGAGAACTGGCTCATCTTCATCACCCGTGCCAACGGTCCCTTCTGGTCGTCCATTCCTTCCTGGCAGCTGTCCGGCGCCATTCTGGTCGTCGATATCATTGCCACCCTCTTCTGTATCTTTGGTTGGTTCGAGGATGGCCAGACCTCCATCGTTGCCGTTGTCCGTATCTGGATTTTCTCTTTCGGTATCTTTGCCATCATGGGTGGTCTCTACTACTTCATGCAGGGCTCTACCGGCTTTGACAACCTGATGCACGGCAAGTCCCCCAAGAAGGACCAGAAGCAGCGTTCTCTGGAAGACTTTGGTATGTATTTTCTCGCCCCTCGCTACAAAGTATCGTGCTAACTAGTATACAGTTGTCTCCCTCCAGCGTGTCTCGACCCAGCACGAGAAGTCGCAGTAAATATGGAATTGTCACATACCCGCACGCCGATCCGGCTGCTCTTTTCGTCTTCTCTCTGTTTAAATTTTGCATTGTATGAGTCGTATCGGAGTATGAGACGCGTTTGAGTGGATGAGTGGCGACGTGCGACTTTTCATACCCTAGACCTCCGTCTTTTAGACAATTAATGATAAAAAGTAAAAATATCGATGCTGTACCTATGAAGTGATTGTGACTGTTGCTGCCTCAGGTGCTGTGAGTAAGTATGGTGATGTTGTTCCGAAGCACGATTTTTCCTTAAATCACGTGACCTTTGCTATATTGACTTTCGACTTCGTTCAAGAAAGTTCACTTTAACACGCACTTAGATACACAAGTACTTCTTCGATTTGCAGCTTTATCTGCTGCTATATCTTCTTATCGCAATGAAAACCTTTCATTCGGCACACCAATTGCTTCTCATTTACGTGTTGTGAAGAGACGGCCAGAAAAGAGGAATCTCCGACGTATATCCACATCCAACATCTCAGTCATCTCGTCCATCCATATATCTGTTTTTCACCATGCCGGCCGAAATACCAGGTTATTATTTTGGTAATTTCCTTCCCTGTCTATTTTTTCTCTCATCCCCGCACCTTCCCCATTCCTTTCGTTCCCCCTCTTTTCCCTTACTGACCACACCTTTCAGACCCTGAGAAGAACAAATACTTCAAGATCGAGCATGCCTCAACCGCACCACGCGCGGCCGCCTGGTCCGCCGACTCTGTCAAGCGGCGTCGCGTCGCCGCTGAATCTTCTGCCGCGGCAGACGACCGGGCGCGGCTGCTCCGCAGACACATACGCCGCTGGCGCCAGCAAGGCCAGCTGACGGGGGACACAATCACGCGCGCGCTGCTGCAGCGGGAGCTCGGTGACAAGAACGCGGACAGCGAGGCAGATGTGAGGGCGGCGGTGTGGGCGAGCGGTGCGGTGGACAAGGGGAGCGTCTCGTTGGCGAGGGGGACGCGCAGCGCCAACATGCCGTGCATGTACGTCAACGGGGACGATACCAAGACCGGCCTGGGCGTGGTCTATGCGAGTGCGTTTCTTCCCTGACACGAACAGTTCTTTTTGATGTACGCACATGAGCTGGGAACTGGGGAAAGCTGACGAAAGTGTCCTCACAGCACTGGGCGAAGAGAGGCTGGTTGGGAGCTACATTCCCACGGACGACAACGATACGTACGTTTGCTTTCTACACGAGGACGATGACGAGTGCGGGGAGTTTGCTGACATGTGAGTTTCGCGCGTTTCTAGGATCACATTCTCGGCGACAGCACCTTTGGACTCTGGCCGCAGTCGGGCGCTCCACACGGAGTTCCTCCGCTTCCCGCAACTGTCGTCCATCACGTACCACGCGCCCTCGCACCGGATCATAGCAACGTCACGCTCTCCAAACAACAGCGTATACCTATTCTCGCCGCACCTGTCCGAAGAGGCGGACGTCCGTCGCCCACGGTGGTTGCTAGGCCGCCTCCGTAAGTTCCTCTGCCCATGCTTAGTTGAAGGAAAGTATGGCTGACAGAAAGGGAATGCATAGCGGAGAACGGCTACCATGGGCTGTGCCCCAACTCTGCGGGCTCCGCGGTGGCGCACACCGCGGCGCCCGCGCCCACGTCGTCGTCGTCGCGCTTGCTGTGCCTGGTGGGCACCAACGTCGGCGTCTTGCGCGTCAACGCTGGAGTGTCGGACCACAGAACGCTGTCCTGGGTCGGGGAGCGCGTGCCGTTGAAGCCGACCCCCGGCGCTGCCGCCGCCGACGGCCACCCTCGCGAGACGCTGGCGCTTGACTTCTTGCACAACCACCCGGAGGTGTTCCTCGCCGGCGGACGGCGCTCCCAGCTGTGGATCACCGACATGCGCGCGCCGCCGTCGTCGACCAGCCACCGCGTCGGCAGCGGTCAGCAGCGCACCGCGGTGGCGCACCTGCGCAGCGTCTCGGAGCACCTGCTGCTGACCGCCGGCCCGCCGAGCAGCATGGCGACGTACGACACGCGCTTCCTGCGAAGCCCGGTGGTGCGCTTCGACGAGTACAGGAACGAGGCGCACGTGCACGCGGGCTGGGACGTGTGCGCAGAGCTCGGGCTAGTGGCGGCGGCGCACGACGACGGCACGGTGAAGCTGTTCTCGCTCGGGTCGGGGCGGCGGTGCCGGCCGGAGGCGGGGGGAGGGTTGGATGGGGTGAGGACGGACGCGCCGATCAGGGCGCTGTCGTTTCGGCGGATGCCAAGGGAGCGCCTTCCGAGCCTGTTCGTGGGTGAGGGCGCGGTGGTGAGGAAGTTTTCGCTGGGAGTGCGCGCGCTGGGCAACGAGGCGTGAAAACTGTGCTGGGAGAGAGTAGGGAACAAATGAACCTGGGGAGTTGTTCAAGTTCAACTGTTGTTTTGGGTAGAGTGAATGAATAATGCTGTAGGCTTAAATACGGGCTTGAGAAAAAGGGCAGACCAAGATGCTCATTTGATGGCATAAAATAAACATATTCATTCGATCTTATCTCATAATATTTTGCATGTCCCAGCACACGTTTTCATAAGACACAGAAATCCCGCCCAAACTCCGGAGTAACCAAACCATCCCATTTCCAATACCCGTCAAAACTTACAAAAAAGAATCAGTCATACAAGAAACACACATTTTTTTCCTTTCTTACACCTCCGGCGACTGTGCCGCCCTCGCAGCCGCGAGCTCCGCCTCTGGCACGTTGCCCGCTTCTGCCAGCGCCGGGAACGCGCGGGCGAACGCGCCGCCCAGCTTCCAGTTGTCCAGGTTACGCAGGTGCCGCTCAAACACGGGGTTGATTAGCAGCTCGTCCGCATCGTCCGCGGCGGCGTTTGGGCTCTGCAGGAGCGCGTCCGTGTCCCTGTACGGCCACGACAGCGACAGCGTCGCCGTGTACGCCTGCGCGAACCTGTCAAACGCGGGGTACCCGTTACCACCGCCGGAGCTGAGGAGGGCGGCGCGCATCCGCGGGAAGGGAAGGTGGTCGACCCAGGGCGGGTGCGGGGGGTCGCGGAGCTGCGCGCGGAGGGGGCGCGCCCAGGGCGGCAGCCGGTCGTAGTTGGCGCGCGTGGGGGCGACCTGCCACCGCATGAGCAGGAACATGACGTAGAGCACGGCGACGCGCTCGGGCAGGCCGGACAGCGCGGGGAAGGCGGCCAGGATGTCGGTGAAGACGCGCGAGAGCGGGTGGGCGCGCCGCGCGGGGTTGAGGAGCGACGAGACGGACGGGTACCGCGGGCCGAGGACCTCGTGCGCGGGCCGGCCCTCGGCGGCGCGCTGCCGGCGCTCGTGCAGAAAGTCGAGAAGAAGCGCGTCGAGGGGGCACGTGGGCGGCGTGGTGCGCAGCGGCGCGGCGTAGCGCGGGATGGTGGCCCCGTTGCCGGCGTCGATGGGCTCGTCGGCGTTGCTGGCGGCGTCGTTGTCGTCGTAGTTGTCGTGCTCCTCGTCGTAGTCGTCGGCGGTGCTCTGCGGGCCGCGGTACGGATACCCAGACGGGAAGGCGTGGCTGCTGTACGACGACTGCGGTGGTGGTGGGGGTCGGTAGGTGGAGGAAACGGTGGACGGCCCCGGGGAGGCGCTGGCGCTGCCGGCGACGGATGGCGTGTGCGGCTGCTGCCCCTGCTGCTGGGTGTAGAGCGCAGGGTAGCGAAAGGTGGTTGGTGACCCGTCCGCGTCGACCGCACCGCCACCGTCGATCCGCGACACTTGGTGCCCGGCGTCGAGCAGGAACCCGAGCCCGAGCCGCTCCGGCCCCATGTCGAGCCCGTGCCGGAGCTGTTCCCGCTGCTGGCCGAGGTCGCTGAGGCGCTGCGCAGCCTGGTGGCCGTTGATGTCTGCCGGCGTGGAGCAGCCGGTCGTCGTCGTCGTCGTCGTCGTCGTCGTCTTCGGCTGCTGGCGCGACCGCGGTGGTGAGTGTGTGCGTCTGTCCAGTTCTGTCGTCTCTCGGGCGTCGTCATTCTCTGCGCGCTGCTGCTCCATGGAGGCCGCGGGTGTATCTTTAGGTAATTGGCCTGGTTCCCGAGGGCGAAGTTAGCTTTTGAGGAGAACAACTGGTGAAATTGCGGCAACGCACCAATCAAGGGCTGCAGCATGCCGACGATGGAGGCGAGCCGCTGACGCATCTCTACATTCTCCCGCTCAACGGCCGACTTGGCCTCCAGCGCGGCCTGAAGCTCCTGGTATGGCTGCAGGCCGGTGAGCTCCTCGATGCGGCGCTCCAGCGTCTGGATCTGGTTCTTGGTGCGCTCACGGATGGCCCTTTGCGCCTCGCGATCTGGGAGATGGTGATTAGAAGAGAGGGATTGTAAAGAAAAATCGAATAAAGGGAGAGGGAAAAAACGTACCATTGGCACGCTTCTTGGCAAGCTGCTCCGGCGTTAGGTTCGCGACGCCGCGCCCGCTGGCACCGCCAAGCTTCCGCTTCTTGGTGCTCGCGGACGCAGCATCCTCGTCCTTGACGGCGGTCGTCGTGCTCGTGCTCGGTGTGGGCGTGGGCGTGGCGGCGTCGCTCTCGTCCAGAAGCCTGCTCTGCTGGCGATTTCCGCCCCCCTCTGCCGCCCGCGCCGCTGATTGCCGCACCATGTGCGGGTGATGATGGGATCCCTTGATCTTTTCTTTTTTTTGGTGGGTGGTGATGTCGTGGTGCGTAAGCCTCGTCGCGAGCCCCCGTGTCGCCAATGGAGGGCTGCCGGCCACCCCCCTCCTTTCGATCGTGCAGAGAGATCTATATTATCCAATGGCGATGCCGTCACACGATTTGTCCCTTGCCCAGGCACAACCCTGCATGGGGGGAGAACCAAGGCCAAGACGGCAAAACCGCCTGATTGCGATTCGTGTGGTGATTGGAGTGGGGCCGTAGAGTGCACTCAATCAATCGGCTTGCGGGCAGAATGACAGTAGGGCTACTTGATTGGATATTTTCATGCAGGAGCAAGAACTGAGGTGCGCTATAAAGAGAATAACCGAAAATTTTGCTTTATTTCTACAATCTATATTTCGTGGTTTCTTTGTTTAATTCATCGTCAAGGTGTTCGCAGAGGTGGTAAACCGAACCAATGCCGCTTACATAATTGGCGATTTTCGCCGTCACCAACTTGAAGAAGAAAATCGATTAATTAGGAGAGCGTACGAGTTGAGGGATGTTCATGAAATATTCGAAAGGGATGGTTCGTAGTCCTGGCTTATTAAGGCTTAACTTCCGTTGTTGGCCTGAATCAAGAAAATAAGGGATAACGGATAGAGATGATAATTAGCAAGGACCAGTATGTAATAATACCAGCCTCGTTTCCTGTGCCTGATAACTGCCTTTACTTGCCCGTGGTTCATTTGCCATGCGGAAGCATAGCTGAAGCATGACATAATGCGACGCGCAGGGAAAGTGCAATTTACGGATATATAAGCCTCAAGTCAAAAATCAACGCGGATCTGACTTGAAAACACATGTCGTCAGCCGAGTCTTGGCCACAGGTCAGCATTATTAAGGTCAGACAAGGATGGTAAGTGGCAGGGGGGGCGCCGAGCTTATTCTGTCGAGGGGTCCCTGTGTGTGATAAGATGGTTGATAATGACTCCCTACCAAGACCTACTAAGAATTGACAGGTGGTTACGAGTGAAGGGGACTCGCGGTTGGTGCCGCGCATGTCCATGAATGATCATCAGCAATGGAGGGTAACCCGCAGCTAGTCGTGTAGTAAGATGCTTGATGCTCTACAGGGACCTGTGCAGGCGACGGACATTGAATCCAAGCAGTTTCGCGGTACGTTTCCGTGCAAAATTGGAAACCGGCCACAACATCCAGCTTAGAGGTCATCTGCCGACTGGTCTAGGTCTGAACATCGGCTTGCTGCGGCCAGCCACATTGCTACCTCGTCCGAGACAATGGAGAACAGGGGAGGAGGGGAAGGAGGGTATCAGTACGGTGCAGGCCGGCAGTAGTGGTGATGTGAGGATAAAAAGACTGGGGAAAAATCAAATGACGGGCGAAATGAAGTCGAGCATTCAGCGGATCGGATCGCCATTGACAGAGGCCAAGACTCGGGGTAAAGGAGGCTCAGATTGTGGTTGAGCGCTGAGCGCTACCAGTCGGTGCCCTATCTCGTCAGGTGGCTTACTGCTAGATAATAAGGTGAGATGAAGGGGATTATGCACCCTTGCAAGCATGTAGGCATGTCTTTATGCGTATGTAGGCTGGCGTGTGTTTGAGCACACGAGGCAGTTGACGAATGCACACCAAGACACCAAGTTACCTGTATTGGTCTATTGCATCGAAGGCTAGCTGCTGCGTGCTGCCAAATGTCATGTACCGAGGCTTTGGTGCAGTGCTTGCGAGGGGTTTGGGTCGAGTCTAGCTGCAAGGTGGCGGGGACGCAGCAGTAATATACTTGGTACGGTAACTAGTGACCTAGAGAGAGAGGTGCAGGTTGGGAGCGGCAGATTTGAGCCATTTTACCTCGTTACAGAGACGCGGTCGGCAAGCAAGGGACGTGACATGGTGGTGATGCGAGCCGCTACTAGGACGATTAGCAGGACAGGTAACATGCAACGACAGGGTCGAGGGCCAACCGTGTCGTGGGGCAGCATGGCAGGGACCTGCCTTGTGGCTTGGGGAAAGGCGATGTTGTGTCAGTTGGAGATGTGTGGTGATGATGGAGGCTTTGTCTTGGGGACGAATGATTTGAAGGAAGAAAACAAGAAACTGTAATCAAAAGCCAAGCGCGTTTGTCGAAGATGCCAGATGCTGTACTTCGAGGTATTGTAGGTACAAAGGTAAGCCGCAACGCCAGCCAGCTGGCAGCCCCGGACGGACGGGTACCTGGATGGAAGCCTAGCCGAAAGTACCTTTTGTCCGGCCGGGCAAATCGAGTCGATATTGGGAAGCAGACTTGGCACGAGCAAAGGATGGCGTTTACATGGGTCCGGGGAGGGTTCAGTTGCGGGTTCATACGGTAGTGTCTTGATTTTATTTCCTTTGTGATTTTCAATATTTCTTTTTCCTGGGCATAACTAGCGTTGCCAGCGTTGCCAGCGTTGCTGAAAGCGTTTCTAGGTAGCAAAGGCTGAGGCTTCGGAGAAATGGAGAGGTTTCGGAGTTGGTTGGAGTAACAAGAATCAGTAAAATGAACGGTGGGAAGGCCGGAAGACTGGAAGGCTGGAAGGCTGGACGAGAGGTACCTCCCCCACCACGGCCCCAGGGTACTGGGTCGCAGTTGCTGGTGGTTTGCCCAGGCCCAATGTAACCCATGTAACCCCAGTGACCCCCCCTCGAGCTCCCACTTGTTTGCAGGAGCGGTTTTTAGGTACAACCTGTTGCCTGGTTGCTGGTTGGCTGGCCTGGCCGGACGGCGGAATGGAGCGGCCAACTGCAGCCCAGGTAATGGACGGTAAGTCTTGTCATAGGTAGACAGTAAGGGATCTAGCCTAGCCAAATTGTGCTACTCCGTATGCTATGTATGTATGTACTACGTGCCTCCCTCCAGCTTGTCGCAGCTTGTCGGAGTAGACAGCTCACTCTCCCACTCACCACCACCACCACTCTCGCCCACCTCTCCCACATTATAAAGATTCACAACCTCCCCCAACCCTCCAACGTCTCTTTCCTGCCCCTTTCTGCTCTTCGACTCTTCTTTTCCATCATACACCCTCCCACTACCACACCACTTTCTTCAATTCCTCTGTCTGCAACCTCCAACAACAATAACTCTACCCGTCTCTCAACCTGCAGACCTGCATACCCCGCGCCGTCGCTGCAAACGCACTTTCACAACACCACACATCACATCACGGGTTGCCGCCATGGCTGCTGAACAACCAAAGGTCCAGGAGGCCATTACTGCCCTCAGTACGTTACTTCCCAGCTTACCAACCTACCTGCTGCGCAGCCTCGATACCTCCCTCTGGTCACCAGCGCAACCATTGAAACCGCAACCTGCTAACCCAAGATTCCAGGCCCTCCTGAAAAGATGCTCGAAAGTACGCTTGCTCCCTCTCCCCCCCCCCTCATCTGCAATCTGATGTAACCAGGACCTCTTTTTTTTTTATTTTCTTACTGACATGGCGACATAGAGCACCCCAGCAAGCCCCACCTTGCCAGTAAGTCGACCCCTCTACCATTTTTTTGCGCCTCGCCCTGTTGTCGCGGCTTGCATGTAGCGCCTGCTCCGAAAAATAGCCATGTTGGGTGCCGAAGCGGGAGACGCGAGATTTCGACTTGGTCAACGCCCCAGCTTCTGCATTGCTTTGCTGCTTGCGCTTCCCGCTCATCACGAGTCTTGCGACAACCCTCAGCACAACCCCTCCCCCGCCAACCACCTTCACCCCACGCTTTGCTTAGCTCCAACCAGCTCTTGCTAGCTTCTACACCACCAGCTTCCGTCCGCCCGGTCAAACGTACTAGTTAGCTCGGCTAACCTCTTGTCCCCTAGACACCGAAGAGTACCAGAAGCTCTACAAGGAGTCCATCACAGAGCCCGAAAAGTTTTGGGGAACAAAGGCCCGCGAGCTGCTCTCCTGGACCCGCGACTTCGAGACCGTCTACAGCGGCTCGCTCCAGGGCGGCGACTCCAAGTGGTTCGTCGAGGGTGAACTTAATGCCTCCTACAACTGTGTCGACCGTCATGCCCTCAAGGACCCCAACCGCGTCGCCATCATCTATGAGGCTGACGAGGCCGAGGATGGCCGCAAGGTCACCTACTCGGAACTTCTCCGCGACGTCTGCAAGCTCGCCTGGACCCTGAAGAAGAGGGGTGTCAAGAAGGGCGACACTGTTGCCATCTACCTCCCCATGATCCCCGAGGCGATTGTCGCCATCCTTGCTTGTGTCCGCCTAGGAGCCGTCCACTCTGTCGTCTTCGCTGGTTTCTCTGCCGATTCTCTCCGCGATCGCGTTATCGACGCCGATTCTCGCGTCGTTATTACCTCGGACGAGGGCAAGCGCGGAGGCAAGCTCATTGGCACCAAGAAGATTGTCGATGATGCTCTGAAGCAGTGCCCCAACGTCCACAGCTGTCTTGTCTTCCGCCGCACTGGAACCGAAGTCCCCATGCAGGCCGGTCGTGATGTCTGGTGGCACGAAGAGGTTGAAAAGTGGCCCAACTACATTGCCCCCGAGCCCATGAACTCGGAGGACCCTCTCTTCCTCCTCTACACCTCTGGCTCCACGGGCAAGCCTAAGGGTGTCATGCACACTACCGCCGGTTACCTCCTTGGCTGTGCTTTGACTGGCAAGCACGTCTTTGACATTCACGACGGCGACCGCTACTTCTGCGGTGGCGATGTCGGCTGGATCACTGGCCACTCCTACGTCGTCTACGCCCCTCTGCTGCTCGGTGTCACCACCGTCGTCTTCGAGGGTACTCCCGCCTACCCCAACTTCTCCCGTTACTGGGACATCATCAACAAGCATCAGATTACCCAGTTCTACGTCGCTCCCACCGCCCTGCGCCTGCTGAAGCGTGCCGGTGACGAGTACGTCACTGGTGAGATGAAGCACCTCCGTGTCCTGGGTTCCGTTGGCGAGCCCATCGCTGCCGAAGTCTGGAAGTGGTACTATGATATTGTCGGAAGGAAGGAGTGCCAGATTGTCGATGTGAGTGAAATGCATGCGACGGCTAGAAATGCGCTGATTTTGTAGACATACTGGCAAACCGAGACCGGCTCCCACGTCATCACCCCTCTTGCCGGTGTCACGGCCACCAAGCCTGGCTCCGCCTCTTTGCCCTTCTTTGGTATCGAGCCCGCCATCATCGACCCTGTCTCTGGCGAGGAGATTCACGGCAACGACGTTGAGGGTGTCCTGGCCTTTAAGCAGGCCTGGCCCAGCATGGCCCGTACAGTCTACGGCGCTCACAAGCGTTACATGGACACCTACTTTAACGTCTACCCCGGCTACTACGTGCGCAACCCCTCCATTTTACCTGCGACGTTGGCTAATCCTACTAGTTTACCGGCGACGGTGCTGCCCGCGACTACGAGGGCTTCTACTGGATCCGTGGCCGTGTCGACGACGTGGTTAACGTCTCTGGCCACCGTCTCTCCACCGCCGAGATTGAGGCCGCCCTTATCGAGCATCACGCGGTCGCCGAGGCCGCCGTGGTTGGCGTCAACGACGAGCTCACCGGCCAGGCTGTCAATGCCTTTGTCGCTGTGAAGGAGGGTAACGAGATCAACGACACCCTGCGCAAGGAGTTCATCATGCAGGTCCGAAAGAGCATTGGCCCCTTTGCCGCGCCCAAGGCCGTCTTTGTCATTACCGACCTGCCCAAGACCCGCTCCGGCAAGATTATGCGCCGTATCCTGAGAAAGATTCTCGCCGGCGAGGAGGACCAGCTCGGCGACACCAGCACTGTACGTCCTCGTGTCCTTTTTCTTTGCTGATGTTTCAATTACTGACTTGTTGGTAGCTGTCCGATCCCAGCGTTGTCGACCAGATCATCGCGACCGTTCACGAGGCTCGCGGGAAGAAATAAATCGAAAAAAGAAAACAAATATCAAGAAAATAAACAAGGGCAAAAAAACAAGAAAAATAGAAAAGAAAGGTTGGTGGCTGAGATTTGAGCTTGAATTGATACCAAGATTCGCAAATCTGATTCATCCTGCGCCAGGAGCACATTGACATTCGGCCACGGTGGTAATGGAGATATTTTGGATTTTCGGGTATTGACGCGTAATGATTTGGAATATGACGTTTCTTTCAAGGCCTTGTCTACATATCGTGATGAAGTACTTGTGCATCTTGCCTCACTTTCCATTTTTGAAAGAACAGTAACACGAGATGATCCTCCTTGCATCGACCTCGCTCGTCCCCGTCCAGGCCCAGCGCCGTAGCCTGCCTCGCAAACTCGGCATGCAGCGTCCGCAGAGCCTCCAGCTCCGCCTGCTCGTCCTCGCCCTCCTCATCCATGTAGCAGAGCGCGTTGTGCACCTCGAACGCCGCCGCCAGCACGTACCCCAACTCGGCCTCCTCCAGCACCCTCTCCCCTCTCCTGGTCGCAAACTACGGATTTTGTGAGTCATTCTACGTAATGCACCAGACAGGGCTGCATAGTGCTGCGCCAATGCAGACTAGTACTTCGGGCCTTCCTAGATGAAGCGACGGATTCGTCAAGGATCGAAATACCAACTGTGAGGAGACAAGTGGCAGCGTCAGCTTGCGTGCCGGCCCCGTGCCCGGCCCCATAACTCCCGGCTCCGCTGGACTCCTCCGGTAACTCCTCCCACCACTGAGGGGCCAGTGTAGAAGAAGTGATTGCACTACGTCATAATAGAAACAGCAATCTAATCTGGTATTCTAGCCAATGTTGAATGGCTAGTAGAATGGCCAAGTCCTGACGTACGCTAGACAAGGTTAAACGCCTTGTGCTTGTACTCACTTTCGTCAAGCTGGCCGTCCATCATGTCCTCCACAAATGCCTGACCCAGGTACTGATACTGGTCATCGTCGATCGGTCGCAGAAGTACCGGTACGGTATCACCCACCAGCGCCGCAATCACGTCCCCGGGTTTCGCCAGGTACGGGCCGAGCCCGGCCCTACCCTCCTCCGTCACAAAGAGTGTACGGTTACGCGTCACCTCCAACATTGTCTCCTGTGCGGCATCGACAGCTGCGTTCACTTGCGCCTGGAGGGGCTCGCCGAGATCCGCTTCGGGGAACGATTGGATCCAAGCGATTGCCACCGCAGACAGCTCCGGTGCCATCACGGGCTCACAACGCAGCAGCCGCTCGCAGCACTGGTTGAACCTATCGACCAGCGGGAGTTGGCGGTGACGGTCCGCGGAAATAGTGCGCCAGAGGCGCGTTTCGGGCGCCTCAGATGTCTCTTCGCTGCCGTCGCCATCGTCGCCGTCGTCGCCGTCGGGGGCGTAGAGGTGGAGAAACTCGAGCATGTCGTCAACGCAGGCCTTACGGTCATCCCCCAGCGCTGCGTACAGGGCGAGAGCGTGTTGCTCATCGTTTTTCTGAGAGTCGAGGACCCGGAAGGCGCGGCGAACGACGCCACAGGCGAATCCGCAACGCTGCAGGATGTACCCGTTGACGATTGTCAGGCGGGATACGACCTGCGGGACGCGAAAGAGCTGAAAAGAAGCGTCCTCGCTGAGCGGCTCCTGGATCCCGAGGCGGCCGATGCGGCGCCAGTCGGGCACCCAGGTTGGCAGGTCGGCAGTGTCCTTGGGGAAAGACGCCAGCTCCAGAAGAAGCTGGCCCGGGCAGGCTGCATATATGGCCACTGTGGCCGCAGTGTACACGTCACGGGTAGTTTTTCTGTAGTCGATAGAGAGGTCGAGGTGCTCCCAGTCAGATGCGGCGCCAAGAAACGCAAAGATAACGTCCCGCGGATCGGTCGCTTGGTAAAATGGGCCTGGGAAGTTGGGTGCATTGTACGTGGACGCCAAGCGGGTGAGATACCAGTGCATCGTCGTTTCCAGGCTCTCATAGAGCATCTCGCCGCCCATGCAGATCAAGCGGCCGTCGATGCCGAGTAGGGCGTTGCTGGACGGGTCAGGGATGAACTCGTAGCCGTCGCCGAGGGGCGGTGCATCGCCACGCCAGGCGCGAACGCGGCTGAGAGCGCGCATGATAGCGTAGAACCGGTGCAAATGCATACGCTTGTTCCCGCAAAGGACAACGCCGCGCTTGGCGTGGACGAGCTCATGGATGATCCAGCATCGCGTCCAGTTGGGCCTGCGCGCCAGAGCCTTGATGGCGTCGCGCAGGCGCTTGCTGTACACGCTCTCCGTGCTAATGAGCTCGTCAATGAAGCTGCGAGCGCCGAGCGTAGAACTCGTCGTATCGGTATCCTTGTGGGCGTTGTTGAAGAAGAATTTGTCGCCGGGATAGACGCCAACGTCGGCAGCTTTGCGACCCCATGGCTGGAGAAAGTCGAACAGCCAGCTACTATCATTGGCCTCGGGCCCGATGCAGAAGTAAACAAATTCGGCCGATGCGAATATGTCGTGCATCTGTGCCACCTGCCAGCTCCTCTCGTTCTGATCCGCTTTGTTGATGCAGAGGGCATCTACCCAGAGCAAGTCGGTGTCTGGCACAGTATCATCATCGAGGACCTGTACGAGGGCAAAATGCAAGTTGACAGGTATATACCAGGTCAGTCGGTTGATAGTAATGGCTACAGGGTTCTCGTCCATGCCACCCCAGCTATACGAGATGGCCCGGTACTGCGGCGGGTACTTGAGAGAGGCAATGATTGTATAGAACTCGAAGGTGTGTATGCGGCGTCGTATGAGCCGGATCTGGTGGTCATTTCGGTCCAGAGCTTGGAAATACATTTTGCAATGAGCGGCTCTCTCGGGCGACTTGCCATGGTCGCCGGTTGCGGTGGCTAGGCATGATGCCCCGATGCCTTTTAAAGGTTTATCAGACGACGGACGGGTCTACTTGGTCGTACGTCATGATGCACTCAAGTGTGCCAACATCTGTAGCCGCCATACGCTGCGCTGTCGGCGAGGCTGTAAGAGGCGATCACAACAAGTCATTAATAAATGCAAGGGGCCGTTCTTGCAGAGTCGGACAAGTACCACAGGGCCGGGCAGGTGACCGAAATCGGGCAGCAGCGGGCAGTTCGTGTGCCTGGCAGATCGGAAGCGAGATCCGTGTGGTGTTTTGTGAGTTTTCTGGCCAAACTGAAACGGCATTACGACGGCTACGGCTTGCTTCGTATGAGTCGTGGCGCTCGGAGGATACCACGCAACTCAAGGCCTGTGGGGGACGGCATTTGATACGAGGGCGCTGGGCGTGGCGGGCGCGTCCTTTGTAGGCTGCAGCTGGTGGGAGGGAGACATTGGGAGCGCCGGACGTGGCCGCCGGAGAAGATTTCATTGACTGGAGGAGTGATTTCCGGGCCGAAAAAAAAATGAGGTGGAAAGGGAGGGCCAGATGCAAGGCATGTGACCCCGTGAGATCCTGTGTTTGTGTACTGTGGATGCTGTTCTGTGTTCTGTGCTCTGTGTTCTGTGTTCTGTGTTGTGTGTTCTGTATTCTGTGTTCCGTGTTCCGTGGTGCTGTGTTGGTAGCACGAGAGTGAGCAGCTACGGGTTCGGGAGGACAGAGAGCCGGAAGAACGCTGCTGGGACACGTTTGAGGACGCATTTCAAACAGGTGGTGTTTGGGTGATGGGCGCGGGAGAGGGACGGGCAAGGACCGGGCGGTATGGGCGGTTGGCGTTGTTTTGATTCATTGTAAGAGAGGTTTTGTCTTGTCTTGTAAAGAAACTTTAACGAATGAATGGCAAGATGAATTGCGAGCTCCTCCCGGGATGGTATTGATATTTAGAGATGCAGATAGAGATTGTCGATAGGTGCATGGAGAAACAAGCAAAGTACTAAGCTTATGCAATGCACTGTCGTAATGAATACTTGTGGCAACTAACTATTGGGTAGGTAATGAGGTAGGGAAGGCGCAGCCACAGCCACAGCCGCACCGGGGGCTGGGGCTGATTGGTTCCAGGCAGTGACCTTCTGTCAGCGGGGCTGCTTGGCTGGCCGCCACGGGGGACGTTTCAGTGGAGACCAGGCCCTGTACACTCCTGTAAAATTCAGCCTTTCTGCAGACCAGGGCGCTAGAGTGTCTTGTTGTCAGCCAAACCAGCCAAGGCCATGCGGACGGGTGGCAGTTCAAGCAGTTCAAAGCAGTCCAAAGGGCCACAGAACAACGGATCCGATTGTTGCGAGAAGAATCTCGGGGAGCATGATGCTGTCCCATGATGCACTCTAGTTATTTTTATCATGCTGCATGCGCAGAGGACAGGTTCGGCAAACGCACCAAAATATATCAAATAGCCAGTGACTTTTGATCAGAGATGATACATATTAATACCTAGGTAAATATAATACCGAACAGGCTTCGGCGTACCTACAGTACAGTATGTCGGTACCTGCACTGCCTGCTCTGGAGTCTTCAGTAGATTACGCCTACAAGGTTAGGTAGGTACTAATAAGTGACTTGCAGGTACCTACAGTGGATTCGGCCTCCCCTCACAGCCTCCAAAGCCCGTCCGTCTTCCCTCCACCTGCCTTGGCCAGTCCTCCCCAGCGTCGAGCCTCTCAAACTTTGACTGCAACATCCATCCAAGGAGGCGCCGCTCAAACCAAAACCCTCGCTTGTTTGTATACCCTCAACGGTTACGCGCACATCTTTCTTTCTTTTTTTTCCTTTTGTTCCTTCACCACCCACGATCCACGATCCACGATCCTCATCTTCTGCTCGCTGGACGTCGCATTCCTGCCCGCTTCACTCATATTCGACGCACCCCCGGACCGCCCGGGCCTCTCACGATCCACCCCAGAAAGACTGACTACTGGTAGAACCCGAATGGAGTCTTGTCGAGTGTAGTCGCATCATTCCGCATCTTCCTAAAGGTAGACCCGGCTGCAAAAGCCAGTTCTGCTCTCTGCCAGCGCCATCATGGTTGCGTTACGGTCTCTCGCAGCCGCCGTCACCAGCGCTGCGCTCTTGTTGCAGACGTCTCTCGGTAAGCCGCTGCACCTTCACCCTCATCCTCGTCCCTGCTGCAGCCGTACCTTGTTCCTTGTCTCCCTCGGCTAACCCATCTGTCCATCGTCAGCCGAGTCCTTCAAGCGAAACCCCGTTGACTATGTCACCCTCATCGACAACGTTCAAATAAACACCCCTTCCCGCAGAGTTACAGCGCATTCCAAGTTCGACCTCACATTTACCCTCCACAACGGCCACCAGAAAATCAGACTCGCCCTCGAGCCCAACAACGACCTCATCCCCAATGATTTATCCGTCACAGTTCTCGGCTCTGACGGCTCCGTCGCTGCCGCCCACCCCGTCATACGATCGGACCACAAGGTCTTCAAGGGCCTTGCCTTCGTCCAGCGCCATGGCCTGCAAGGCTGGTCTGCCGCGGGCTGGGCCAGAATCATGGTTCTGAAAGACGGCGACGAGCCTGTTTTTGACGGTGCTTTCCGAATCGACGGCAACAATCACCACATCGAGACCGCTTCCAAGTATCGCCTGGTCAAGCACGAGGGCGACCCTAGTGTGCAGCTCCCCGACCAGAGCGCTGCCAACAAGACCATGGTCGTGTGGCGCGACTCAGACATTATTCCTCTCGATTACTCTCATTCCGAGTTGAGGCGCCGAAGCATTGCTAGCAGCGCACTCTGCAGTTCCGATTCGCTGACCTTCAACTCCAAATATGATCCCGTGGCGCGAGACTTCAGCCCATTGCAATCCATGCCTACTCACCAGCTCTTTGGTCGCCAATCTATCGATGGCGGCGGCGGCGGCGATCCCGCAGGTAATTTGATTGCCAGCATCGGCTCCGTAGATGGATGTCCAACAACGAAAAAGGTCGCACTTGTCGGGCTCGCTACGGACTGCACCTATTGGAGCGTGTTTGGCTCCAAAAACGATATTCAGACGCACGTCCTGGGTGTCGTCAACAAGGCCTCAGAACTCTACGAGAGCACCTTCAAAATCTCCCTGGCCGTCAGGAACTTGACCGTTATTGAGGCAAACTGCTCCAGCGGAGGCACGTCGGCGACTCCATGGAATGTTGACTGCTCGCCCGATTTTAGCATCACCGACCGACTCAACACATTCTCTGCTTGGCGAGGCAAGTCGCAGGACAAGAATGCCTATTGGACACTCCTAACAAAGTGTCCCACCGACAACGCCGTCGGTTTGGCATGGCGCGGCCAGCTTTGCCGTCAAGGGTCTGCGCCCAACGGTGGCACCAACGACACTATTGCCAGTACCAACGTCGTAGTCAATGGCCCTACCGAATGGCAAATCTTTGCCCATGAGACTGGGCACACGTTTGGTGCCGTTCACGACTGCACCCCCGATCAGTGCCCCGTCAAATCATCTGCCCAATCCTGCTGTCCCCTCAAGTCGAACCAATGTGACGCCGGTGGCCAGTTCATCATGAACCCCTCCACCGCCAACGGCATCACGCAATTCTCCCCTTGCACAATTGGCAACATCTGCTCAGGTCTCAAGGGCAATGTCAAGTCCGACTGTCTGACAGATAATAAAAATGTCGAAACCATTACCGAGAGCGTGTGCGGTAACGGCATCGTGGAGCCCGGCGAAGATTGTGACTGCGGCGGAACCGAGGGCTGCGGCAACAACAAGTGCTGCAACCCCAAGACGTGCAAGTTCTCACAAGGCTCCGTCTGCGACCCGGCCAACGAGGATTGCTGCACCGATAGCTGCAAATTCGCGGGCGCCGACACGGTCTGCCGCGCCAGCACCAGCGAGTGCGACCCCGAGGAAAAGTGCCCCGGCAACTCGGCCAAGTGCCCGCCCGACGAGCACAAGAAGGCGGGTGAGTCATGCGGCAACGGACTCGAGTGCGCGTCGGGCCAGTGCACGTCGCGAGACCGCCAGTGCCAGGTGGCCGCGGGCGGGCTAACGCACAGCAACAACACCAAGGCCTGTCGCAACGACTGTCTGATGCTGTGCGAGTCGCCGTCGTTTATGGGCGGCCAGTGTGCCTTTTACAACCAAAACTTCCTGGATGGCACCAGCTGTAGTGGCGGCGGGCGCTGTCAGGATGGTCAGTGTAAGGGCAGCTCGTGGTGGAAGGAGTTCACGCAGTGGTTCGTCAACAACAAGGCCATATCCATCCCCGTTACCTGCGTGGTCGGCCTGCTGGTCATTGCTGTGCTATTCTCGTGCATAGGCAGCTGCATCCGACGCTCCAGCCGCCGCCGTCCCGTCCGTAAGCCTGTCAGCCCGCCGCCGTTCGACGGGTCTGGTGGCTGGAACCCCTACGCCAACGCTCAGTGGCAGCCCCAGGCCGGGCCGACCATGACGGCAGCCAACGGCTTTGACGGCCCTCCTCCTCCTCCTCCTCCCGGCCCACCGAGAAACGAGTTTTACGGGAACAACAACAACAACAACAGCAACAATGTTGTTGGCGGCAATAGTGTGCATGATTTTGCCGCGCCGCCGCATCCGCCCCCTATTTACAACTATGGCAATCGCGGGAGCGGACCCCGATATGCATAGATGATATCTTGAGGGTAGATGTGAATTAGAATATGCTGTGGATGGTATCATCGCTCTTTTAATGTCGACCTTTATTAGCATGGAAATGGCGTTTTGGGGGTTTTTTTTTTGGTTCTTTTGGCTATAGCAAATTTTGTCGACAGGTGAAAGCTCCTTGGAATAGAAATAGAAATCAAGGCAAATGGTCTTTTTGGGCATAGAGAGAGTTGTATATCAATAGATGGAAATGCATCCACGAGCCGGCAAGCTGCGCAAGATATGACTGAGGCTGCAGGCTGGTCAAGCGCGGTTGGTGAGGTGGAATGGTGAGGGGTATATATAAATTAATAAAGCATCCGATTATCAACCAATGAGCATTCAGCTACGACGGGTGATTCAAACACCCGGAATCTTCCGTAGTATAGTGGTCAGTATGCTTGTCACGCTTGAGACCCGGGTTCAATTCCCGGCGGGAGAGACCGCCAGAGTCCATAGGACTTTTTTTTTTTTTTTTTTGCCTCGGGCACGGATTTCTTTTTTTTTGTTTTCATTCTTAGAAAGAACATCTACAAGTAGTGCAGCGCGACTGACCTAGTTTCGTTCTCGCTCTTAGTATTATTGAGTTTACTTGCCACCACTGTTCTGTGGTCCCCGAGGTGGCACATTTCACGGTCTCGGTCTGCCTGCCCTTGGCCAAGACCAAATACTTCTTCTTCCCGTCTTTCGTAAAGGGTCGCAGTCCCATCATTGCATCGTCTTCCATTCCTGTTCTCCTTTCCTCTGCGTTTTCAGCGTCTCCGCGCCGCGCGCTTGTCCTCCTCCGCCGCGAACCCGCACAGCGTCGTCATGAAGCGGTACCTCTGCCCGGGGATGCTCTAGACCCCGCGGAACATTCGTCAGCCTTTTGTGAAGCCTTGACTTTCAAACAAGAAGGACGGGGGAAAGGAAGGGGGGGGGGGCTCTCACGTCGTTGGTGCTCTGGGCGTACATCATCAGCTGCTCCGGGCTGTCCAGCACGGCCAGCGCAAACTGCCTCGTCTGCCTCTCCTCGTACGTCTCGTTCTTTGGTCTTTTTTGTCTCCCATCAGCATTTCCCATCTCCTCACAGAATTAGGTCGAACGGGGTGGGGAGGCTCACACGTTGCCAATCTGCATCCTCGGTCCGTCGTCCTCTTCCTCTTCCTCCTCCTCCTCCTCTTCCTCCTCCTCCTCTTCCTCTTCATCGAGATCCATCTCTTCCTCCTCGTCTTCCTCTTCTTCTTCTCCGTCGCCGTCGCCGTCTTCATCCTTGGTGTACGGATCCTTGCCGCGGGATTGCCGGTCGCGCATCTCGGCGGTAAACGGGCGCGCCGGCCCGGGCTTCTTCTTCTGCGCGGAGGAAGACGAGGAGAATGTGGCGCCGGCGGCGGCGGGGCCTGGGATGGACGACATCGGACGTCAAGTCTTTCCTGTGGCCTTGTATGTTCTACCCCTTTTTATAAAATGCGTATGTTTGTGCGGGAGGTTATCGGGAAGTTGTTGAGATGGAAAGCCGTTGGGTTTGATGGACAAGAGTTGGGTGCGGGGCCGACGTTGAAGATGCAGAACGCGGCTTCGCGCTTGTGTGGCGGCATGAAGTCTGTGCAGCCTCGTTACTAACAGCACTTACCAAGCGACTTCCGCTATTGAATTTCACCTCTAGCAAGGCAAGCCATACCAACAGCACCGGGGGATTCAAGAAATAGCAGTGACAAAACAACCGGTAATATAATTCATCGTCAGTCGCTACCACCACCATTGCCCGCCCCGCAATCAATTGATCAATTGATGGAATCGAGAAAACCTATTCCACTGTATTTCCTACACTTATGGTATATCTTGTAATGTACACTACTGCCAACTGTACAACGAAAGGAAAACCAAAAAAAAAAACTCATCAAAAAGACGAAACAGCTCCACGCTAGACATAAAAAAGAGAGGAAAACGTCCCTCAGTCATGATAACATCCATAAACCTTGCCCCATCAAAACTCCAATAAAAAAAGAAAACAATGCCACAAAAACGACAGAAGCAAAGAGAAAACAAGGCAAATGACTGCCCATTGGTGGAATGTCCAGAATCACAACTCCTCAAAACGATACAGAAATGACCATATCCCCCCTATGTCACTGACTTCTATGCATAATTACAATAAGAGATTCAATGCAAATGCAGGAAAAAATGCACTTGCAAGAAAAAATTGTAACCAACCGTAGGCAGGGCATCCAGTACCTTGCCGTCCGAGTTACCGTAGCATTGTATATGCTTTTTTGTTTTTGTCGCTTCGTTTCGTCGCACCTCGTTTTCGTGGTGTTTCCTAAACACCTTTTTTGGCCGCATCAACATATACAAGAGAACGTTGGGGGCGTCAGTCGTATCCGGAACACCGAGTACAAAACATGATTCGCCTCTGTGGTTATTAGGACCTCGGCGACCCGGCACATGCGTGGCCGCGGGACTTGGTGTCATAACCAACATAAAATGGCGGTTCACATGTGGTAACGTCATTGCCGAAAGTTTATGACAGCGAGCTGTAACAGTTAGCAGGCGTAACAAAAACAACATGACAGTACGTACTCGGCTATTTGATCCATAGGCCAGCCTGTGGCCCGTCATGTCCCAGCATAGGCAGTGCTCATCCTCCTCGTCAGTCTCTTTAGGACTGAGCCAGCCAGGATGCGGCGGTCGGTTCCAGCACGCTCGGGGCATGGTGGCGCTGCCCACCTTCCAGATGAGAACCTGGCTCGATGTGGCGCCGGCGATAAAGGCTCCATCAGGGGTAAAAGCCAAGCGCACAATGGGCGAGTCCATGGTGAGAAAGGACTTAGGCTTGCTCTCTGGTTTGCGGGCGTTCCATATTAGAATGGCGCAGTCGTCACCGCCTGTAGCTATTAGTCGCTCGTCGTCCGTAACGGGGTGTGAGGCCGGTAGGGGCTGCCACTCCATGGTAGTGATGGCGCCTTGGTGTGCGGATATAGATCTTCGTTGACCAAAATCATCCCAAAGCTGCGAATGTTAGTCCTATGCTCCTCGCCTGCCATCCTTTGCTCTGCCTATTGCTTTGTGCCTGTTGAATGGTTGAGGAATGTTTAGGGGTTTCAGCTTACATCGAGGACTCCCTTATCGCTAGATGTGGCGGCCAGCCTAGACCGCCGGTCGAACAGTATTTGGGAGAAGCTATCGTCGTCCTTGGTTTCAAATTTGCGGACTTGCACAATGGAAGACTCGGTGCAGTGCAGGCAGATGAGCAGGTCGCCGCCGCAGAGCAAAAAGTCCGAGTCGCCAATCCAGGTGGCATCGAGGGGCGCCGAGCCAATGTCTTGGCCGGGTAGACGATGCGATAGTGAGATGCCTGTTTGCGATGAGTAGACAGTGACGACGGCGCCGCCCTTTTCTGGCGATATGGCGAGGAGGCCGGTGTTGGAGGGGTTCCATAGCAGCTTGACGACGGGGGGTTCCGGAACCTCCATAGACTGAACGTGGATGCCCTCGGCGGACCATATGTTGACGGCGGCCTGAGAGCCTAGGTCGGCGGCAACAGCGATGGTTTTCCCGTCTGAGGTCCAGGCGAGGGCGGTGACGGTAGTTGTTCTTGGAGTATCCGGGCTGATGAGGTTGTGCGCATGTGATACGTGATCCTGGGGGTGACCTGGCAGACTGTTGGCAGTACGCGAGATGGTCCAGATACGGGCCAGCGCATCAGTGCCAGTCGCTGCCAATGCGGATGGGTCCGTAGGATTCCACTCGCACTGGAGGAGGATGGGCGCGTTCTCGGTGGTGGTGGTGGAAGGAGAGGCGGCTGCCTCGGGATTAGAAGCGTCGTCGGCGAGGCGGATAAAGGTAGTGTTGGGGGTGAGTTCCTCGACTTTCTCGACCTGGGTGCCCTGCTCGGGGCCGTCGGTCCGGGAAACGGGTTGGGAGGGCTGCTCGCCCTCAAGAGGCGAAGGATAGGCATGGTTGTCGGACTGGTCGATGTCCATGGGCGTGGCAGATCCGGGAGCTGACGGGGTGCCATTCTCGTAGCCGTTGGCGAGACGAGAGCGCTTTGGTGATGAGCCATTGGTGCTTGTGATGGTGGGAAGGGAGCGCTTGCGGGCAGCCTCAACGGCGACGGCGGTGGCCTCTTGGTCGTATTCCTTCTTGGCCCTGAGGGGTGAGTCTAGGGGTCCAAAGATGCCATTCTTGATGGCCTCGGGCTCAGCGGTGAGACCGACGGGTAGCTGCGGCGCGGGTGGATGGGTTAGCGATGAGGGTGAGATGCGATACGATGCGATGCGATGGGGGGGATGGGGGAAGAAGAGGCGAGGATGTGGGCCGAGAGGGGCGAGAGGCAAGGCGCAGGTATGGGATGGACAAGATGGACGTGTCAGATGGACGTGTCAAATGGTGGATGAGAGCAATGATGGATGGATGGATCAAGGTTGACAAAAGCAGATGATTGGTGGTTGGTTGGTTGGTTGGTTGGTTGGTTGGTTGGTTGCTTACGCCTTTGCGTGCCTGCTCGCGCTCGATGGCATTGTAGAGCAAGCCGCGGTTGACGACGGAGACTAATGCGTGACCCTTGACGTGGGGCGCAAACTCGAAGTCGCGGTGCGGTTCGCGAACGTCCCATTCTTTTTGAAACTTGGCGGCCGTCTCGCGATAGTCTAGGAGGGGTTAGGTAAGCAAGGTGAGAACAGACGGAGAGTGTGCGACAATGGCGGCTGATGGGCGACCGAGTCGTGGCGAGAATGAGCGAGGACAGGACCAACGTACTGCCTTCCAAGAGGTACCTGTGAGGAGAGGCTAAAGTTAGTACCAGGGGCGACAGAAGACTTGGTCAAGAAGCCGGCAGGGCTACAGAGAGCGAGCGCGGGGGCAAAAACACAAAAACATGAGCGCAGATGAAAAGTGCGAGTGTGTAGAAAACAATGACGGCAAAAAAACAAGGTGGACCGGGGTGTTGTGGTGTGCGTACTTCCAGATGAGAAAGTTGACTCTGTCCGAGTCGAGAAACTCTTTGGTGACCATGGCGTTTTTTCCGGGCTGGGCTTCAGGAGGGAGACAGAGAGAGAGCGCGCGCCCCGGGACGGCGGCCGAGGGCGGGGTCGACGACTGAGAACAATAGATATACAAGCAGGTGGACGGAATTGACTGACGCCGGCGACGGCGTCTCGGGGCGGGAAACAAGGCGCAGAAGATGGGCGAATTCTCGGGGGCGAAGGGAAGGAGGGAGGAGGTTGAAACGGGGACATTTTGAGTGAGTGAAGATTCATGAGCGAGATGAAAATCCACAATTGGGGAACGCGGGTTGCCAGCGACGCCGCGGGCGCAGGATGGTGGGTGGCTAGGTACCTCTGTGTGTATGTATGTATGTAGGTGCCTAGGCTACGGGAGTACATGGGTCAGCGTGGTATTGAGTGTGGCAAGGCAGGTACCGCAATAGACAGGGTCGGCAGGGCGGCTTCAGCCTAGATCATTCGTACGAGGGTTCCTTTTCAAAGCAATCTTTCCTGTACTTTTTTTTTTTGTTTTTATATATCTATCTACCTTATTTGTTATCTTTTCTACATCTTCCATCTCTTCGAATCTACTCTATCCATGTCCTTGTCAACGCCTGCTTCTCCAATCGCACCCGTTGAAACGGACATCTGAACCCGGTCGGCAAGTCTTTTGGCCCACAGGTACCTTTGACTTGCGCACGCACCGAGTACCACTCTCGGACAAGGGCAAATTGACAACTGACAGACAGACTGACAGACACAGCAGTCAACATTAGACAATGCAACTGACAATCCGGGGACAAGAACGGATATATGCCTACATACTTACCTCCTTGCCTTGCTTCCTCAACCTACTGGTGACTGACCGATACCTATGCCAGGTGGCAACCTCCTGGAAGGTCCCTCCCGAACCCCCCCCTCCTTGCCTCCCAGGATCGCCATAGGTTTTAGGTACCTACTGTACCTACATAGGAATACCAGCAAACAGGGACTTGGCCCAGCCCGCGGCATCTGCGGTTCCACGAGGTACCTCGAAAACACACGCATCCCCCTTGACAGCCAAGGTACCTCACACAACAACGCCCGATTCCTCCAATGCAAGGCCCCAACTGTGGATCCCTATCTGCCAGGTTCGGCGCTAAAAAAGACAAGTTGCCAGTCAGGATCAAAGACTTTTCTTTAAAATAAAAATAATAAAATAAAATAGGAAAGAAAATATAAAGAAAACATTCCGTCCCGTCCGCTCCCCACGCATCCAATGCACCTCACATGTGCAAGTGTGTTGCACCACTCCAGTCGCAGTACAACACGTACATCCATCTCCGTGAATTAAATGGAAAACCAGTATCCGTATCCCCGTGGAATTTCCCTGGTAGCTGTTGGTCTTCGCCTACACCAACATTCGCCCCCAACAGACGTGTTCACCATAAACGGCCCCTGCCGCCGTACCCCAGTCCTACTATATTATTATATTAGCAACCCGTCTCTACATAACGACTGATGCTGTAGCTACGGATTCAACCCTTGAACATTGTTATCAAATCCCACATGATTGCACTTTCATTGCCATTCTACTCGAATCACGAGGTGACGCACACTAGTACTAGACCCCATCTGCCCTCATATCGAGCCAACTTCCAACTTCCAGCGCGACGGACACAACGCCGCACCACCAGGGTACAAAGCGACACGCCCAGCCCGCCTGTTTCCATCCTCACCATGAATACCATCTCACTCACCTCGAGGCCATCATGTATGCATCTCTCGATCTTCGTGACTCGCACCTACATGCCGCTTATTCTCTGTAGCTCCGATCCGATAAGCCCAACCAGCTATTATCGGCCCGATGGAACGGCAAATTGGGGATGCTTCAAGCCCGCTGCAAGAGCAAGCATAGACTATTTGATTGTGAAGCAAGCGATTAACTCTACGTAGGCTTTATATGCATAAATGAACGCCTTGGTTTTGTTTGCATTGCCCACCACAAACCCATGCACACCCAGAAAGTGGTAGCCTAAGGCTCCTGAGAACAGGGGCAGCCCAATAAGGCTTAGCGTTCACCATTATCAAAGCTTCCAGCAAGGCCCGTTCGACAAAGTTGCCAAACCGTCCACGTTGGTTTCAACCGCCCGCACAACCAAGCTCAACCTCCCAACCGCTTCCCTCCCATCCAACGCATGGATTGCTAGCCCGACAGCATCGAGAAGCACAAGAAGCCGCGCCCAGAAGCCGTCCTCCATCTACCAGACCTTTCCCCCGCGCGCCCGGGCTCCCGACCGACCTGCCCACGCCCACCATGCCGCCGCGCATCAACATCCCCCCCGTCACGCGCGCACTGCTCATCAGCCTCGTCGCGCAGTCGGCCCTCGGCGCCGCCATCCGCTACCGCCAATGGACCGAGTCGGCGGGCGGCAACGTCGTCGTCGTGCCCTACCTGACGCTCGTCCCGCAGCTGTCCCTCGTCTACCCGTGGACCTTCCTGACCGCCACCCTCGTCGAGGGCAACCTCTTCACACTCGCCGTCGCCTGCCTCACCCTCTACCACGGCGGCCGCTACCTCGAGCGCGCCTGGTCCTCGGCCGACCTCGCCAAGTTCCTCGTCGTCGTGTCGCTGGTCCCCAACGTGCTGACCTTTGCCACCATGGTGTTTTTCTTCACGCTGACGAGGAATGAGAGTTGGACGTACGTTTCCCCCCAAAGCCCCCCCAACCTCTTTGCTGTGATCCCGATTCGCTTCCGAGTTGCCAAAGCTGACCAAACTGCCCACTTGCACAGCCTCAGTACCATTGCCGGGACGATCCCCCTCCAAATCTCCTTCCTCGTCGCCTTTAGCCAGCTCGTCCCCGCGCACACCATCACGCTCTTCCGTGGCATCGTCTCGCTGCGCGTCATGCGCACCCCGATCCTCTACGCCGGCTTCGTCGCGCTCCTCGGCCTCACCCCGCTCCTGGCCCGCGCCGCCGTCTGGCAGGCCCTCTACGGCTTCCTCGCCAGCTGGACCTACCTGCGCTTCTACAAGCAGGTCTTCCCGGACCTCGACGCCTCCCAGCCGGCGACTCTACGCGGCGACGCCTCCGAGACGTTCGCCTTTGCTGAGTTCTTCCCGCAGCCCGTCAAGCCCGTCGTCGCCGCGCTCGCCGACCGTGTCTTCGACGCCCTCGTGGCCGTGCGCATCTGCACGCCGTTCTCGGCAGCCGACGTGTCGGCAGCTGCCCGCGGTGATGGGCCCCAGCGTCGGGGCGCTGGCGGTGCGGCGGGGGCTCCGGGCGGCGCACGCGCAGAGGCGGAGCGTCGCAGGGCCATTGCGCTCCGGGCGCTGGATCAGCGTCTAAACGCGGCCAGCAATGCAGCGGGCAGGCAGCAGCAGCAGCCGCCGCAGCAGCCAGCGGCGCACACGGCCGGTCCGCCGGTGGCGACGCAGCCGCAGACGACGCAGGCGGCCATGACGACGGAGGGCCAGATGCTGGGCGAGACCAAGTTTGAGCCCGAAAGCGACAGCAGCAAGAACTAAGCGCTACTCTGTCTGGTGGAGTGGCTGCTGAGCGTTGAGCGATGGTGCGCATGCACTGCTTCGTGGGATGTCCACTCTGTAACGACACGGGCTTGTGATGAATACCCCCTCAAGTCACGGCCGAATCCTGTCACTTTGTTTACATTTTGTAATACCTCGATTATCCATTTTTATGCTAGCTAGCGATATGCGGCTTTTTGTACTTGATGGGAAGGAGGGAGGGAGAACTGAGAAAAGGCGAGCGAAGGAAGATGTATCGGAGGGAAAAGAGAGTCCGACGAACACACACATATGTATACATGCTGGGCATTTTTAGCAAGTTTCACAATTTACATTCTCATTCCAAAGTACCCATACTCGCTCCCACTACTATCCAAGTGATTGTAATCCTCCTCAAGCTAAGCAAAACATGCCCTTTACACCTTGGTGATGGTGCCCGTCTTGACGTCGTAGATGTAGCCCGTGACGGGGACGTCCAGCACCAATCCCGACCTCTTGAGCAGCGCCACGTCATCCCTCACGCTCTGCGCCAGGTCGCCAAACGGCAAGAAGGCGATGTGGTCCGCGTCCTCGCCCAGGTCCGCGCGGATCTTGCCTCGGAGCACCTCGTCGCTAAACGTGAGCATGCCGCAGTCGGTCTGTTCCCCAAATTGAAAAAAAAAAAAAAAAAAAAAAAAAAAGACCCTCCCCCCGACGTCGAGCGAAGCGAGGAAAAAGAAAACGTACGTGGTGGATGAGGATGATTTCGCGTGTGCCGAGGAGTTGCTGGGATATGACGACGGAGCGCAGGGCTTCGGCAGCGCGGCCGCCGGCGTTGCGGACGACGTGGGCGTCGCCCTCGCGGAGGCCGAGGGCGCGGGCGGGATCGATGCGTGCGTCCATGCAGGTGACGACGAGGACCTTTCTAAAGATTCCATTTATCTCTCTTCTTTTTTGGGGGGGGATGAACGACACACACGCATATACACAGACACACACGACTCACCACCCACGACGACGACAAGCTGGACTTTCATCACCACCACACGAGAGAGGGCAAGACGTACCGGCCGGGGGGGAGGGGCAGGTCGCCGTGGGTGAACTGGGCGGCGTACTGCTTGTTGGCGGTCTCAAACTCGGCGGCGACGGACATGATTTCTGTTGGTTGTGTTCTTTTTGGTCTTTCCCTTGGTTCTTGTATATCTGAGTAATACCTTGATGGAGTTGATGTGCTCCAACGAGGGCAATAACCTACTTATTTATACATTTCCCTCCCCCCTCCCCCGCATCCCATCTACCGACTGAGGGGATAAGTTCGTCATCTCAAACGCATTGTCGCCATGCTTTTTGCCAGCGCAACACAGGGTAAACTACTGGGTAGCTCTCGGAGCGGCGGTCCTCCGGCCGATGGTGTCATAGCGGCGGGCGCCCAATGGGATGCGTCCCCGACACACCTCCCAGAGCGAAGCTTATCCTCAATCTGTACGGCACAGTACGGTTGCAAGGCCATGTTGTGAGGTATCCCAACCTGATCTTGTCGGCAGCTCGCTAGCTTGGAAGAGCGGCTCCTAAATCGGGAACGGGGCTGAGAGTCTGGGTCTGGGCGCCGCATGGATGGGACGTGTTGTCAAGTTTGTTGATGCGGGGGTGAGAGAACGACCGACCCAGGGCGAGGGGGGGTAAATTTTGTCCAGAAAAAAAATTAATTATCCAGAAGAATCCGCATTTTATCGGCTTCCTTTCACTCACTGGCCGTCTTTTGTCCGTCGCTGACTCTGCTCGCTTCATCATCGCGCGGAAGGAAAGGAGGTGGTGCAGCAGATGCACAGAAGAAGCGCAGCACAGGCGTCATGAGGCCCTGCAAAAGCCCATCGACAACAACACAGAAATACCTCATAAATACGACATGTAGCATCGACTGCACCGCCGGATGGCAAGAGCCCTCACTCTTGATGCCCGCAAAGCCGCCTTTGCTTTCCCCCTCACGGCGTCTTCTTCCACTATCTAGTTGCCACCACCAATCAATCGACTGTCCGTCTGCGCGCGAGACATGCATTGAAAAGCCTCCACTCCCTCCGATGGCCAACGAAAGAAGGGCCTGAGCAAAGGGTTTATTATTAGACGAGATCGATTTCGCAGCCCATCGCCCTCCCCTCCCCTCTTCTTTCTCCTTCCCCCCTCCTCGAATCGCCGCCCGCCCGCGTATTTTCGTCCTCCCCTCCACCTCGTGGGCCGTGGCACGGTTGACGAAAGTTTTGAGCTACGCGTCTCCCACGAGCTCATGCACCTCGCACGGCATCGCCCTGTCGCACGACTTGTTGTAAAAGAAGGAGAAACTGACAGCCAGGCAGAAGCCGCCCCTAGCTCGAGACTTTTACCTTTGCGTTTCATTTCCCTCCAACTAGTCATGTCGTGTCATGTCGCTCTGGATCGCCTCCTCGTGGCGGTCGGGTGAGAGAGACCCCCCTCCCCTCAGTCGCACGGCAGAGGCGTTGGCTAGGCGGCGAGAGCAAACTTATCAACAAGTTTCGGAGTACTGCAGGAAACTTTGTTTTGGGGGTTGCAAAAAGAATCGTAACAAATAATAATAGAGGCCTGCTTTGCTGTGATTCAAGAGGGAAATACGCACGAGTCTTGCTTGCGTTTCAAGGTTGGGAGCAAACATGCAGCTAACAAGTGCCTACCTACATCACTCCGACTATCAGCCTACACAAGGATGCAATCGACTGACCATCTTCTCAGCCTGAAATGATTTCCGTCATTGTCAAATCCCGTCGAAATGCATAATTAAAAGCTCGGCCAGATGATCAGCGGCCGCACCGGTCCAGGCTGGCTTGCTGCTGCGCGCGCCGTGGACGCATTGACTATAGAAACAGGTTGACGCTGTGACAAGACAAAGCCATGTTCCTCGTAATCTGTACATAGAGGCGAAATTCTCCGTCAGAGACCAGATGCAGCACGAACTGGTCACGGGTGGCTTGATATGGGTCACCGAGCTTCTACCAGCCTAATTGCTGTTGGGCGGGATTGGCTGCTAGCACATCGGCACGCGCCCACCACAGATCAGGGCTTCAAACTCATCTCGTTCAGCTGCTTGTCCATGCTAGTCATCCAATTTTCCGACCTTGCTTCTGTATTTCTGAATAGTATGTGCCAGGATACACGCACGCACGTTGCTACCAGTACTCAGTACGCATCGTGCTTGCTCAGCCAAGCTCCGCTGGCGCACATGTCATCATCAAGAACCCATGGCAGCCCTCCCAAAGGAAACACCGCCTGGAGCATCTGGCGCCTCGCTAGCGTCGTCTGGAGTCTGCAGAGAGTTACTAGTAAGAATCTGGGCAAGGGCATGATGAAACCTTGGGCCGGCGCCAGTCAAGGCCCATGACCACGCATGAAACGAAACACGCTGAGCAACTGCATCGCGCCCGTTTTAGCCCGTCGTGGTGCAGGCTCGTTGTGCCACGAGAGAAAATACGGGGTCGATTCGCAAGCCGGTGTGGTGTCCGCACTCGAGAACCGGCCATGAGGGCCTGTTCCGTGACTTTACTGGTGCTTGCAACCTCCCAGATCCTAGAGGTAGCTGAAGAGGAAGCCAATAATGCGTGCCGTGGTAAATGGCAGGGAAGTGGTCGAAGAGTACAATGATCAAGATAACCTAGGGATAGTGAGCCGAATAGGAATTAGAGAGCTCTATGATGAGGACATGATCAGTGTAAAGCTTCCTCGGCCAGTGGCGAGGGCCATCTTCAAGGTCAGCACATCAGCACACCTGAGTGGAGATGATGGTCGGAAAGGCTATGCGCATCAGGGGCCGGGTCGACCTACGATAGCCTCGAAAGGGATCCTTGTGATTTGGTACAGATCCACCGGAGTAGCTAGACGTGGCGCCCGTTGATAATACGGGCCAGGGTACGGATACGGATGCACTGCACACAAGCCCAAGAGATGAGAGACAGGCGACAGTACCGTCGGGCTTCAGGCTGCAAGTCTCGGGATGCCGCCATCGTTGAATGCGGTGTGCCGAGTGACGCAAAATGAAGTCGTCCGTCGGGCTGCATGACATGCTGCGCAATGCTGACCGGCTGGGTCGATGGACTGCATCGCGTATGTGCGTACAGATAAATAGCCAACTACTCCCTGGGTGGTGATGACTGCTGAGGTATGTGGTGTCATGGGGTGGGTTGTGCCCAAGTAATACAGCACATCTGTCCCACGTCCTTGTCGCCGAGGGCTTGTGGAAGCCATTCTTCTTTTTGGAAAATCAGCGGCAATCTATTCCGTACAGTGTGAGATTTCTGGCCAAGGTTGAGGGGAGGCATCATCTCGGCTGGCGGTAATACTGGCAGCAAGGTTTGCGGATGTTTGGCATCTCACATGCTCTGGTGCGACGCAAGGTCCGTTACGTTGGTAGATATGCCGTATGCTGGTTAGTTCCCGGCGCCTGATACCTGTAAAGCCCAAGCAGGGTGCGTTCCGAAGGCAGGTAGGCGGGGGGCATGCAAGAGGATGCAAGCCCTGCATTGCAGTATTGTCGGGGAGACGCCGGGCAACCCTAGGAAGTCATGTTCGCATCTTGGCACGACCGACCTGGGCGCCAGCCGCCGCAATCGTCGTAACCTGGCTACCGACCTACTAAATAAGTAGAAACGAGAGCATCGAGGTGGGCCTGAAAAAGCTTGGGCGGTAGCTGTATTCGTAATGGAGTGTCGATTTGCCAGCAAATGCATCATCTTTCTAGATGCATGTACTCCGTACACCGTACTCGAACTGTTTTTAGATTTCGGCCGCGTGACCTTTTGTTTTTATTGACGCCGAACCGTCGCGCAGCAAAAGTCGACCAACAGTAGCTGCGAAAATGCCAGGTTTACTCCTCAGCATTGCGAGCGACATGAGGATCTGCCGCCGTGGCGTCCCCTCGGCGAGATCAACGGGTTGGCTCAAGATTGTGTGATGGTGGCCACTTTCGCATATCCAAATGAATCGCAACCCATCCAATTTGAGAGACGCGGCCCGCAGGTGTCAATAACGAGCAACCCGTTTCTGTCCAAGATGCGTGTGAAGATCCAGTGCGATGAAAGCAGGCAATACGGAGCGTGGCAAGGCAGTGGAGGTTTGACCCGACCGCTGGCCATGCCTTGTCATGAGTGCCTTCCATCACGAGATCTCCCGCGTCTGAGGAGAAGCTGATGCGCATCGTTCGCGGCCATATTCCGTCGATGGCGGCTGACAGTGGCCTGCTAGTTAGCCCAGTCGGTGGATCTTGACGACAAGGCGGCTCGGAGGTCGTAACTAGACGGCAAACGAATCACATCCAGTCGCCCTCATTGCGATGGAATGTTAGCATCTGAGCCATAGGGCGACATACCAGGCCAAAACCATTGAGCTTGTTCGACACCAGGGAGACACCGTCGCCGAGCTTCCTATCCGATCCGACATGACGAGGTGCCTGAGACCGGTTCACTTTGGTGGCTTGGGGTGGTCTCCGTAACTCGATTGTCAAAGTGCCAAGTGGTGGGAATACTGGTCGGACTTTGTGAGACCATTTTTTAGGGTGTGCTGGGCGAGAAAAAAGGGGGTGGTGGGGAACAGCCTATATTTTTGCTGGCCGCGGTCGTCGCGACCCCACTGTTTTACCTCCTCCGCCCTTTGTCCTCTGATGATGCCCTTTTTGCGAGGCTGTCGTCCGTTTTGTTGTGAGGGGGCCAGACACGGTTGCGGTGCGGCATTGCTGAGGCACGGGACTTAGAAAGGACCTTTTATTCCAAAACTGCCGATAGACCCAGGCAGAGAGTATGCGGACAATCTCTAGCGGGGAAAAATCCCCCCGGTTACGAACCTCCTCTCTCCTTCCTGTGCCCGCTTCTACCCGATCGTCTTGCCAATAGCAACGAGACGAGTTCAAACGACGATGAAACGAAAAGCCTGCAGAGGCGCCGAATATGCTTTTTCTCACGTTGTTGATCGCCTCGTTTCAGCCTCGACCGCTAATCGCCCAAAGCCCAGCCTGTCGTCCATTTGCGGGCGGAAATAGCGCTGCCGTCGGTGGTAGTGATAACGGTGGCTCAGCAAATGTGGCGCGTGTGTGGCTAGTGTTGCGAATGTGAGAGATGGCAAGACCCTTTCCATGATACGAATAAAGCCCGCATATCGCAGTCCCGAGGCTAGGCTCGAAAAAATAAAGCCTGCGGGAAGAAGAATAATAAATAATAAAAATAATGAATTGAGCCAGAGACAGAGGTCCACTCACACTCACAAGTTGGTGGGTGGCACGCCGGAAGCGATGTTCTCGAACCGAACAAGGGGAGCGGGTCCCCCGTCTCTCTGCTCCTTGCTTTGGGCCGATGAGGGCGATGCGGGCTGGCAGCTGGCAGACAGGCGGCCAAGAAGCTACTAAGGTGGTTAGTAGGGCTCCGGCGCGGGTTATTTGCTGTACCTGCTAAAAGTCACGTGCTACACCTTAAATACTGTTGTGCTAGGGCTACCATGATTTATGCGGCGACTTGGTACAAGAAAGTAGAGCCGAATCGTACAAACTATACCGACCTCAAATTTTCAAAAGAAGAGACACGCTACCAACTGATAGCTAGCTTATTATATGTATCCTACCCGCCCAATGTTGTGCATTTAAGCCTAAGTGGCGGAACCCGTCGTTCGAGTGTTTGGAGAGAGTATAGGGTAGGGCGATATCGAAGAATTGAGGGCGAGAATTGCGGTAATGCGACTTTCACTGCTGGTCATGGCCGTGCCGAGGGGCAACACTGTTGTCTCAGTCCAATAAATACCCATGTGGGATTTCTTTATCTCTATTCCCATGCCGCTTGCCCGCATGTTGGTTTGTTTTGACGCACGACAAGCTTGAGCCATCGTGCCAATGCCAGCATACCCCATCTTTTTGGGGGCCATCTGCAACTAGCCTTTGTGCCATGTTCAACAAATATCAAGGGAGAGAACGCAAGACAAAGAAGAGCCTGACGGGACGGTGCGGGAAGCCTACGGATAGATGTGAGCAATATGCCACCCGAAAACATTGCGCTGGGGGCATTGCTGCACTGTACTGCAAAACAGTTGCGTAGGCCTATGTACTAACACATTTAGGTACCTGTAATGTGAAAGGCGACGGCGGGCTGTTTGAGGATGGTCGAGATGGTGATACGCTTCGGTGGCCGCCTGCTTGAGTTGAACCAGAGTAAAACTACCAGCTAACTTAAGCCTCGTAGCCACCGGATAAATACTCCACTGCCGGCCGTCGAAATCGGAGATCAAGTCATACAGCGCCGGCGCGCTCCTGCTACGCGATGCAGGCTGGGTCTCACAGCAGCAAGTTCTGGTTGATTACCTACAGACCAGTATACCCGGTGCTTGGAAGACCACGGTCGTCGTCGCACACAGAAGACAAGAGAAAAGCAAGACTGAAGGCCGCACAAGGCTTGCATCACACATGTAACGGTCCACGCGCTTGCTGCACCCAGCTGCTGTGCCACGGTGCTATGTACATGATGGCCCTGTGTTGGGTTACGCGGGTGCGGCCGTGGCGTGCAGGGTGGTAGTAATGTGCGCGGGCGGGGGGTCGAGATGATAAATAGACGAGATGAGGCTTGAAGATGGACGAGACTACTAAGCCGACTACTTGGCCAATAACAGGGATAGGGATGTTACCAGTAGTTGGAGTAAAAACAGAGAAAGTGTCAGGATCGCAAGGCAAAAGGGTAGTGTGAGGTTAGGCGAAGATTAGCGCTTTCTGGGGGCGACTTCTGAAGGGAGCTACGGTAACTACTAATTTATTAGGGCTTTCTTTGGTAGATTTTGGCTATTCTCCTTTGGCGTATGCCACTTCCCCTTGTTTTATTACGTGCATTTTTCTTGGTAACTATTTTATGAACACGGAAATTCAGGGTAGAGACCCGCCTGGTACTTCCAGATAATGACAGTGGGCGACTTGCGCGGCTGGAGCCAGTATTTGCCTACAGGCATCTTCTGGTGCGTGTATGGGGTACCTCGATGCAGCGGCGAATTGGCTCGTTTCGAATGTACAGTGGACTGCTTGCGTGAGCCAACCATCAGCCGCCTAGCCGTACCTTACCTGCCAGCGGTATGAATAGCAGTGGCAGCGACAGTAACAAGCCACCAGACGCAGCCACCAGAAACACCCACAGCAGCCAGCAGCAGCTAGCAGCCCACTGGCACAAGCCACTGCTGGCAGCAGCCCCAGCCCCAGCCCCGGCCCACTCCGGTACACACCCTCCACATTAATCCACCCATGGGCCGTGGGCCATCAGCGCCCCATCATCACTGCCAGCCATCACACACACACACACACACACAACGCACACACGCTGTGCACCACACCTGCTGAATCGTCTCACGCCCCTCTCTTGACAAGCCGCACCCCTGCTGCATCTCCCCGCTACTTTGCCTTTGGAGCGAAGCTCCGTAGCAATCCAAGTACCCCAAAGCCAACAACCATGCGCCGGCCACTCGCTCCTTGTGGAGCCGCCTGTCCAGGCTCTCCACACCCACCGTCGACCTATCCTGCCCGTTCCCTCCCATTCTCATGGGTAAGGGGAGTTTGGCTCGGCCAGCGGTGCAGGTCCTTCCTCCACCAGACAGCCTCTCCCCAATGACCAGTTTTCTTCTCTCTCCTCCTTCCCCCCCAATTCCTTCAGTTCTGCCTCCCAAACGGCTGCCAGGCCTCTGCAATCATCACCGTCCTGGGTTCTTCTCCCCCTGCGGGCTTCATCACCCCGACCTTCGAATTCCGCCTGTCACCTACCTGGCGCCATTCCTCACGTAGTGCATCGTCGGTTTTTCGCCTTGTTTTTTTTCTGGCACCTTCGCAACCCACGTCCAGGCGCCCCGTTCTGTAAGGCTTCGCTTCCCGCCTCAACACCAACGGCCCCCCTGCCTACTGTGCGCGGTTGCACGCCGACCTTGGCCATCCATCCATCCAGCGTTGCGAAACAGACATTCTCTTGGGCTTGTTGCCTCGGGTATACTTAATTCGGCATTGACCAATTCTGCGCCCTCTGACCTTGTCTTGCCGCCGTCGCGCCAGCTCAGCTCCGCAACACCTCGACTTGGTACACACCTACGTGCGGCTCTTCATCGGCGACAGTCATCAGCAATGGCTGCGAACCATCATCCTTCGCCCACCATGATGCAGATGCAGCATCAGCAGGCGCAGGCGCCAGGCGGCCCCCCTCACGCCGGCCCGTCAGGCCAGTACAGCGCCACTGCCCAGATTCAGCAGCTTAACGAGCAGGTTTGGCTTCAGATCGGTAAGCTTGACCGGGGTCTCCTCGACTTCTCGTCGCATCATCGCTAATGTCCCCTGCAGGCAGCTTCTCAGAGCTCTTGCGCACCCCCGACGAGGCCCTTCAAGCCTACGAGCGCGCTCTCATCGCTAACCCCCAGTCCATCACTGCCCTCAACGCCATCGGTATGCTACTCAAAGGTCGCGAGGCCTTTGACAAGGCCCTCGAGTTCTTCCGAACCATTGTCGACATGGACAGAAACAATGGCGAAGCCTGGGGTAACCTTGGTCAGTACAATACGCTCTTGGCGACCTGTGCCACCCTGCTGATTCCTTTCCTAGGCCACTGCTTCCTCATGACCGAGAACCTCCAAAAGGCCTACGATGCTTACCAGCAAGCGCTGGTCAACTTGCAAAACCCCAAGGATCCCATGCTCTGGTATGGCATTGGTATCCTCTATGACCGTTACGGCAGCTATGACTATGCCGAGGAGGCCTTCTCTCAGGTTATGCAGATCCAGCCCGACTTTGAAAAGGCAAACGAGATTTACTTTCGCCTTGGAATCATCTACAAGCAGCAGCAGAAATACCAACAAAGTCTAGAGGTAAGCTACGCCTAGCCCATGCTCTGTATACATCGCATCTAACCTGTCGCAGTGCTTCAAATACATCGTCACCTCGCCCCCTGGTCCTCTTACGCAGGAAGACATTTGGTTCCAGATCGGTCATGTACACGAGCAGCAAAAAGACGTACGTTCCCACATGATGATTTACGCCGAATCGTTCCGAATTAACAACTGTCCAGTTTGACAGCGCCAAGGCTGCTTACCAGCGTGTCCTGGATCACTCGCCCGCCCATGCCAAGGTCCTCCAACAGCTTGGGTGGCTCCACCACCAGCAGAGCAGCTCCTACGAGTACCAAGACCGCGCCATTCAGTACCTTGAGAAATCTGTGAATGCCGGTACGTCACGTACACTGCCATTCTCGGACGACCCAACCCTAACAACGTCGACAGATAACACCGACGCACAGAGCTGGTATCTGCTTGGTAGATGCTACATGTCGCAGCAAAAGTACCCCAAAGCCTATGAAGCTTACCAGCAGGCCGTGTATCGCGATGGGAAGAACCCCACGTTCTGGTGCTCCATTGGCGTATTGTACTATCAAATTAACCAGTACAGAGACGCACTGGATGCTTATTCCCGCGCTATCCGCCTCAATCCTTACATCTCCGAAGTCTGGTACGATCTCGGTACTCTGGTAAGTGCTCTTCCCCCGTCTCAAGTAGCCATCTATCTCTTACTAACCTACCCAAGTACGAGTCGTGTAACAACCAAATTTCGGACGCCCTTGATGCGTACCAACGCGCCGCTGAGCTCGATCCAGGCAACCCGCACATTAAGAATCGCCTTCAGCTGCTTCGCTCCGGCAACGGTGGTGCTCTTCCTGCGGCGCCTCAGCCAGCTGACGTACATCCTCAGGCCTATCAGGCTACCGGGCCTCAGGGGCCTACTGGGCCTCAGTGGGCAGGCTCTACGGCTCAGCCTCCTGCCGGCGGCCCCCCGCCGGCTCCTCAAGGCGCTGGCGAGAACTGGGCTCGCAATCTCTCCAACGTGAACCCGCCTCCTCAACCGCCTAATCCTTATGAGAGCCGCGGTGAGCCTTTCCGTGGCGGGCCAGCTCCTCCTCTGCAGCGTCCTCCCAGTCCTCAGCACGACATTCGCCAGCCGCCGCCTGACCACCGTCAGGTGCCACCACCCCAACAGCAGAGCCATTACTCTGACCGACCGCTGCCGTCTCGCCGCGCGTCGCCCCCCCCGCCGCACGCGTATGCTCCTACATCCCAGGCCCGTGTCACTAACCCCAACTTTGGTGGCTCTACACCGTCAGCGTCTGCACCGCCAACGGGCGTTGGCAATGGCCCCGCAGTGCCGCCTCTTAACGGTGCCGGCCCCTTCCGGCCTACCCACAGCCCCCGGCCTGATGGCCGTGAGGGCCACGTTCCGTCACCCAAGCCGGCGTACCCCGGCCAGACGGCGCCACCGCCACCTCAGTACCCAAGCCAGGGCGAGGCACTACCGCCGTCGAGTGAGAACGGACAGACGGGACCCGCGCCGACGTCGGCAGCTCCCGACGTTGCAGTTCAGCGTCAAGATGACCGCCCTCCCTCAGTTGGACCTAAGCGTATGCGCGAATGGGAGGATGAGGCAGCCGTCAAGAAGCAAGCCAACGAGGAGAACAGGGCACGTCTAGAGGACGTGAAACACCGGCGGCCGTCCATGTCCCCTAAGGAGGGCTTCCGGCGTCCGTCGCCGCGCAGTGAGGAGCACCGGGGCGAGGAGGCTCGTAGGGCAGAGGAGTCTGGGCCTAAGAGCGACTATCACCCATCGGAGGCTGCTCACCACCACACGCAGCACAGCGTGACGGGGAATCAGCTTCCTCCAATGCAAACATCTGCTCTGAGTGATGCTGCGGCCGAGAAGGCGCAGCCCACAGTCACTCCGAAGGAGGAGCCCACGGAGACAAGCAGTGCTCCGCGGGCTCCAGCAACGTCAGAGCCTGAGCGCGCCGCTAGGAAGATGGATGTCGACGAGGACTATGACGATGCGCCTGAGGATGACAAGAAGGCAGCCGCGACGAATGGCTCCAAGGCTGGTTCTACGACGGATGAAGCTAAGCCCAGTTCACCGACCAGCACGGGAGCTAAAAGCGCGACGGCAGCGACGGTGGCCTCGGCCACCAAATCGGAGTAAGATGTACAAAAGTGCTGCGGTCGGACAGGACAGGACAGGACAGGACATGGCAGGGCAGGGGATTGGAGTACGAGGTTTGAAATTACGTAGCACGTTTTCTGCTTGAATTCCCATGTATACCACACTGGCTATTCTGCTTTCCTTTGTTTACCTTTACCTATTTGTTTCTTGTTTGTTGATTTTGCTTTTTACTTTTTTTTTTCTTGATAGTTTTTGTGTTTGTTTTATGGGCTGGCTGCTTTCTAGGAGAAAACTTATTAGGCTGGGCGCTGTGATGGGAAGAGTTTGGAAAGTTGAACGGGCGACGGTTGCCTAGCTATATAGTGTGTAGTGAGAATGGGAATGGGAGAAGAAATTTTTACTATTTTGGCGTTGTGAATGCAGGCTTGACTTGATACAAGGGGAGAGTTGAAGAATGTGTGATGTACTATCGTATGGGTGGTGTGGAGAAGTGGGATGTCCGGAGAGGCAGAATAGTGTGTGATGATGAAGGAACGACAACGACAAGGCTGTGTGGCGTCGGATGCTGACGTTTCTGGCGCACCTAGGTAGTTAACTCGACCTAGATTATTTAGTGAGTCAGAAGGGTACATTGTGTTTGTCGATGGTGATCTGGAGAGCGAGTACATGGAATGCCGGAGCCGTGCAGCTCCGGTGGTGATTCTAGTCGTTCCCTGATATCCGTCTTGATGATGCCATTCTCCTGCTGAGCATTAACCAGAGTCATCCGGACATTCGGACAAAGGGCCTACCTACTAACTAACCTACCAACCTACCTACCTGCATCAACTAGTTAGGTAACTACCAAACAACGCGCGGGCAACGTTGGGGACAACGGTTGGGCAAGGCAGGCGGGCAGGCGGGCAGGTGGCTGGGCTGACGGCCGATTGGCGGTGGGGCGACGATCGCATTGGAAGGGACGGCCCTTTTTTTGCCTTGGATGGGTTCGAGTGTGTGGGAAGTAAGAAAGATGTGCACGAATGAGGGACAATCATTGTAAAAAGTCACCGAGGGAGGAGGGCAAGAGGGGCCGCGACTCGGCGTATTGACCAAGACCGATGTGACTGTGACGATGGAGATGGGGAGGGGTCAACTCCGTAAGGCTACCTAATTGGCCATTAGTTGCAGTATTTATATATATTTGACTTGACCATGGCTCACTGTCACTGAACTGGTGAATTGGTACTCGATTGACTACTTTCTCTTACCGTCCATCGGCCTGCTTCCATCTCCACCACCAACCATGCAACACCTCACACAGGAGCTCTTCGAGCAGCGATCCCGTGAGTTCGGCGAGCTGCTGATCCTTGACGACGTCATCTCGCTTCACGCGGGAGAGGAGCCCTCGCCCGTCATCTTTGCGTATCCTCGGGACGCCGCCGACCGTCACTCCGGCGCCGAGAATGACTACTTTGAGAGTTATACCGCCGCGCAGATTGACGCCTACGTCGACGCGGCGGTGCAGCACCTCCTCCAATCCGGTCACGAGCCTGTACGTTCATCTGCTCGACTCTTTTGAATCCAAAAAGAAGAGAGGGAAAACCGGAAAAAAATTATCATGAGCCGGCTGACTTGGGCGGTGAATAGAAACTCGGCCGCGTCGTGGGTATACTGGGAAACCCAAACCTCGACTGGGTCGTCCACCTGTTCGCGCTGTCCCGTCTCGGATACTGCGTCGCCATGATGTCGCTACGGCAAAAGCCCGTCGGCCTCGCCAGTCTGCTCTCCTCCGCCGGCGCCGACGCCGTCGTCCACGACGCCACCGAGGGCACCCCGGAACTCGTCTCCGGCATCCTCGCGATACAGCCGGCCTCCTCCTCCATCACGCCCATCCCATTTGTCCCGCGCGCCGTCTACCAAGCCCCCCTCACCACCCCCCGGGCCTCGCGCTTCTTCACCCGCGAGGCGCAGAACAAGACCACCGCGATCGTCTTCTCCACCTCCGGCTCGACCGGCCTGCCCAAGGCCATCCCCTACCGCCACGCGCACCTCGCCCTGTCCATCTTCACCTCCACCGAGCCGCTCCCCACGCTGCTCTCCTGGCCGCTGTACCACGGCTGGGGGCTGGGCGTCATGCTCGGCGCTTTTTACTACGGCCAGCCGTGCCACGTCATGGACACGCTCCCCGCGCTGACCGCCGCGGAGTTCGTGGCGGCGCTCGAGGCGGCTCGCCCGGCGTTCCTGCCGGCCGTCCCGCACAACGTGGCGCTCATCGCGGACGAACCGCGCGGGCTGGCGTGCTTGCGGGCGGCGCGCTACGTGACGACGGGCGGCGCGCGGCTGCCGGACGAGCTGGGGGAGCGGCTGCTGGCGGCCGGGGTGAACATCAGCACGACGATGGGGAGCTCGGAGGCGACGCGCAACTTTGCGACGTCCATGTACAGGCCGGAGGGGGATGAGGCGTGGGATTATTTGGAGTTTGCGGGGGTGCTGCGGCAACACGTGAGGCTGGATCCGGTGGAGGGTAGCGAGCCGCTGCACGAGATTGTGCTGCTGGAGAGCTTCCCGGGGTTGGGGACGGAGTTGCGGACGGAGGACGTGGTGCGGCCGCATGAGAGGAAGAGGGATGCGTGGAAGTTTGTGTGCAGGGAGGGAGACTTTGTGGCGCTCAGCACGGGGCTGAAGTTGCTGGGGGCGCCGTTTGAGGATAGGCTGCAGGCGAGTCCGCTGGTGGACGGTGCGGTGGTGGTGGGTGTCGGGCGTACGGCGCCGGGTCTGTTGGTGCTGCCGGCGGCGGGGACGGAGGAGGACGTGGAGGAGGAGGTGTGGAGGTTGGTGGAGGAGGCGAACGCGGTGGTGCCGGGACATGCGGAGGTGACGAGGGACAAGGTCGGAGTGTTGCCGCGCTCGGCGAGGCTGCCGAGGACGGACAAGGGAAACGTGATGCGGCAGAGGGTGTACGTCGAGTTTGCGCGAGAGATTGAGGCTCTGTATGCGTAGGGGAGGCTTGTCATTCATTAGACAAAAATAGTCATGTCGTTTATGAAAAGTGAAGGAAACTGAATTAGACGGTCAAGTTGCCAAGTGCTATCCTCGTGAGATAGTGTTAAACGTGGTGAGAGATGATGAGCCTCATCAGTACAATGTAAACCTTTGCAATGTTTTTTCTTCGTTGCTTTGACTATGCATATGTTACGATTCATTCCTATTCTGCCTTTCAACTCTCCTGTTCGCAGACTGGTAACTGCCACCCTCGCTCGGCCAACCCTCCCGTCCGTCACTTCTTGGCCTGCCCGTCCAGCTCATGTTACCTCACCTCAGCCGTGGCGCCCGATTCCCCGCGGGAGTCGACTCGGACTTCGCTACCAAGAGGTCCGGGGTGGCGCGCTGTACTTCCCCGCATTATGCTGGGAGTACAACTTCGGACGGCGCGGCCGGAGCCGGTGCCAAAGTTCCAATACTGCGGTGCTACCATGAACCATTTCAGCCATTGCGCAGGATTCAGCTGAACGCCAAAGCCCAAGCAGAATGAGGAAGATTCCCGAGGCACTTTGCGCTCCAGTCGCAATCGGCGCTGAGTAGGAAGGAGCTTAAGCGGCCTGTACACTTGAGCGGACGATTATTCAAGTCTGCGAGTACCTTGAATACCGCCGCGCAGATGTTGTCCACCCTTGTCATCTCCCGCCCATCACTAAATCACTAATACCAAGTGCATCTTCATATTTCACACTCGAGATAGAAATGAAGTCTGTCTACGCGCTCGTTGCCTGCCTCGTCGCCATGGCTGCCGCCTCGCCCATGCCGGCTGAGCTCGACACCCGCCTGCAAAAGTGCGACCGCACCAGCTGCCCGCCAACTCTGCGGTGCTGCTACTGCGACGACGATGATTCCGTCTGCATCAGAGGCACCAAGTGCCCCGCATGTCGATAATCGGAACACAAATGAGACGAATGGAATCGTCGCTGGGGGCGAGAACGATGAAGGTCGGAGAGGTGTGTCTGTCTCTGAACACAACCAAGGTCTTCTGGAAGCAACACTTCGCTGTCCGAACATAGTCTTGAATCTACAGCGTCGTCTGACGTTGGAAAACAAGCCGGATAGTCCGCGAATAGCTATAAATACATCTTCACGTCTGTACTCATCTATTTCTGCCCCTTTCTCGTCTTCAACAGCCGATCTGTTCAAGCCCTTTCACACCTAGCTGATGGAAACGTCCCCTACCATCGGATAAGAGGGCTAAAAGCGGAAATAGCTAAACGATGGATTTCTCAATGTCGTGGTACCACAGATATGATAATACTAATGAGCCATCTCGTGAAAAGCAGTTGCATGTGGGCTGTTGTGAAAAGAAAGCCTCCATCTACTTAGCTGTCAACTCGTTGCATAACTCGCGGAGGGGCATAATTCACTTACAGGAAATGTGCAATAATTGTGCATACCACAGCGCCGCAGTTTTACCGACCTGGTGCAGAATCTGACAGCCCACTGTAAAGCCATGGTCTCTAACTGTTATTGGCCAATAGCGAGGGCGCACGAGCCATCACACACAACAACCTGCCCACAGGGACTTCGCTTAAAATTTCGCCCACAAATTATTTTCAAAGCCCTCCTAGACTTTTCTCTCACAGGCTGGCCGTGATACCACACCTCTCTACTAACCACCAACCACCACAGCCGACAAAATGAGTGTACGTTTTCCGCGAACCCTTCGACGACGAACCGCGACGACCAAAGGAACGACCGACTGACTGATCAATAGCACCGCAAGCACGAGGAGCCTCGCCACGGTTCGCTGGCCTACCTTCCCCGGAAGCGTGCCGCCCGTCACCGCGGCAAGGTCAAGTCGTAAGTTTTTTTTTTCCAGATGGGATCGAGGACATTGGCGCGATGGTCGCGAAAGAATCATGGGCTAACCAATTGGCTTCTCTATAGCTTCCCCAAGGATGACCCCAAGAAGCCTGTCCACCTCACCGCCGCCATGGGCTACAAGGCCGGCATGACCACGATCGTCCGTGACAGCGACCGCCCCGGTGCGAAGTCTAACAAGAAGGAGGTCGTTGAGGCCGTGACCATCGTTGATACCCCACCTGTACGAACAATGCAGCCCGCTTTGCTTTGCGCATATGGCTAACATCTTTACTCTGCATTTAGATGATCGTTGTTGGTCTTGTCGGTTACATCGAGACCCCCCGCGGCCTGCGCTCGCTCACCACCGTCTGGGCCGAGCACTTGTCCGACGAGCTCAAGCGCCGCTTCTACAAGAACTGGTACAAGAGCAAGAAGAAGGCCTTCACCAAGTACGCCAAGAAGCACTCCGAGTCCTCGGGCGCCTCCATCGCCCGCGAGCTCGAGCGCATCAAGAAGTACTGCACCGTCGTCCGCGTCCTCGCCCACACCCAGATCCGCAAGACGCCACTCAAGCAGAAGAAGGCTCACCTGATGGAGATTCAGGTCAACGGCGGCTCCATCGCCGACAAGGTCGACTTCGGCAAGGACCTCTTCGAGAAGCCCGTGTCTGTCGACTCCATCTTCGAGCAGGACGAGATGATCGACGTCATCGCCGTCACCAAGGGTCACGGTTTCACCGGCGTCACCGCCCGTTGGGGCACCAAGAAGCTGCCGCGCAAGACGCACAAGGGTCTCCGCAAGGTCGCCTGTATCGGTGCCTGGCACCCTAACCACGTCCAGTGGACGGTCGCCCGTGCCGGTCAGGACGGTTACCACCACCGTACCTCTGTAAACCACAAGATTTACAGAATCGGCAAGGCTGGCGCCGAGGACTCTGCCTCCACTGAGATGGACATCACCAAGAAGACCATTACTCCGTATGTTTTTTTTTTCCCTTGACAAGATGAGAAACGTTTTCCTTGCTAACCGCATATTTTAGTCTTGGTGGCTTCGTCCGCTACGGTAACGTCAACAACGACTTCGTCATGGTCAAGGGCTCCGTCCCCGGTGTCAAGAAGCGTGTCATGACCCTCCGCAAGTCCATGTTCACCCACACCTCGCGCCGCGCGCTCGAGAAGATCAACCTCAAGTGGATCGACACCTCGTCCGAGTTCGGTCACGGTGCTTTCCAGACCCCTGCCGAGAAGAAGCAGTTCCAGGGCACCCTCAAGAAGGACCTCACCACCTCCAACTAAACGGAGTGAGCGTCTCTTTTCTTTTGTTGTATCTTGCGCACTTTCTTGCATCGGGGTGTCGAGGAAATGGTTGGTTCATGCCACTTTATGCTAGTCTTTTTGGGTTTATGGGATCAACGTAAAAATGCTAGGTAAAGGTCGAATGAAAATAAAAGATTCCCATTGAATAATAGTTTTTCTTCCGATGTGTGACGGCAGTGCAAGTGACTACATGTACGGGTGACAGTATCACGACATTCTTGAATAGGAACTATGAAATGAGTCCTGTAAGATATAACTAGTAAGTTGATAAAGAATTACGTACTTTTGGTTCGAACGAATATCTGTCTACAAATCATTTTCGGGGCGGAAATTTTGGGTTGACGTCACCCCCGCTTTTGGACGTTTGCGTCGGGAACCAAGGATCTGCATACGTAGAAATTCAGCACTTCTTCCCCTCTTTCCCTTGGAACCAAGCTCCCCAGCCAAGAATATCGCAAAAATAAAACCGAACCGTCGTTTTATGGCAAGGGCAGGCATCCAACTCTCATTTAAGCGATACGGGACGATACGAGAATCCATCTTCCGACCATTACGACCGTCGCGGCCAGGACCACCACCGGCGCCGCATCGCCCCACGAAGCAACGTCAGCGTCCTGTCGAGATACGAGGGACGACGCGTAGCAGCAGCAGCATCGGCGAGCGCAACGCGACGGCGACCACCACGACCACGGCGACGAGGCAATCGGGACAAGTAGCGAGCATGGCGTCGGACGAGGACTACATGTCGTTCCTGAACAAGGCGAACCAGGACGCGGACGAGGCGCACGCGAAGGCGTCGGGGACGGCGCGGACGCAGGCGGGCTCGCGGGCGAAGCTGAAGACGCTGGACGCGGGGCAGAAGGCGCCGCAGGGGATCGTCAAGGTATGCAAGGAGGTGGTGTACACGAGCGACGCGGACGAGCCGTTTGAGCCGGTCTCGCTGAAGTACACGGGCGATGGCGGGCTTCCGGACGAAGGTACGTTTTTTGAGAGTTGCATTTTGATTTCACACACATGAAGACAATAAAAAAAAAGCTGCTGTGCTGGGGGGCATGATGGACTCGGGGAACTTGCTTTGAGACGAGGCTCCGAGCCGCGGCTTGCGTGCGGCAAGGGTTCTGCAGGGGCACGGATGAGTCGGGATGTTTTTTTTTTGTTGTCGTTTATTACTCATTCCATCATCTTCCTTTGTCTTGGCAAGGAGATGGATGTGCTAACTTTTGTTTCCGCCGCAGAGGAGTTTGCCAAGCTCATCGAGCACTGGGACGTGGCCGGGGCGGACATCAGCATCATGGACCCCGTGGACTGGGATGCGCAGGGAGAATACGGCGCGGTGATCGAGGCGGTCCGGGACGCGAGCAGGGGCAACGACGTGCGGGTGTACAGGGTGGTGCGGGACAAGACGAGGGTGGAATACTGGGTGGTTACGAGGGAGGGGGGTCGGGTGGTGGGCGTCAAGGCGCTGGCGATTGAGTCGTGATGGAGGGGTGCGTGGGAATAGGAAGTCGAACGGGGTTCAATTGCGATTTTAAAAATAACAAGTGTGCTTGCGTGTGCATGGTGGTAAATGCTGGATGCCATATGTCTTGAAGCAGCTGGGGGTTGGGAGCAGCTGTGCGTGCAAGGTACCTGAAAGGCTGACGATGCACGGGCATGATGAGGCAACGAAGCCGAGGATCATTAGTAGTAAACGACAAGGTATACACGTTATGGAGAGAATTCTGAAGGAAGAGGAGTGTGTGCGCGTGTGCATGACAGTCAATCTGGAGATGGCGAATGACGACGTCGAGTCGTGAGTACTGTCAAGTGATAGGTCCAACTGGTTGGTGCTGGTTCGACGGCGGGGACTTCTAAATTTAGGCGCCCATGCTGTTCTAGATGGCGCCGCCCCCTGGCCTGGCCTTGTCGGCCGGTGCGGGCGGTCGCTGCAACGGAAGATGCCGGTGGAGGTAACTACTAAGGTATGCCAAAAAAAAGTGGCAAAAGAGTTGAACAAATAAAATAAAGTCAAGTAAACAAATAAAGACAATGGGCATTGTGTGGAATGCGGGTGATTTCCATTGTGATGATGACTTCTTGTGTACCGTGGTACAGACTTGCGGAGGCACAAGCAGGAGACAGGAGCAAAAGGTCAGGCGCTGCTATTATTAACAGAACTTGTGCAAAGAAAAAAAAACTCGCCAGCGTATTTTTAGATGGCACTTCGTCCTTGCTAACAATAGAAACTGCACGACACTGGTCCTCCCTGATAAGCTGGGGTGGAGGACAAGGGTCCAGGGGTAATTCAATCAGTGATTGGCTGGGGGATTTGTTGGATGGAGCTATTTTGGTGCGATGGACAGTGGACAGTGGACTGGACTGCTGAACAGTGGACTTGACTGGGCGCTTACAACGGGTACCCCGCGGATTTGCTTGCTACTAGTATTGTTGGAGTGGCAATTAATAAGAGTGAGTCGTAATGGATGGATGGATGGCTGTCTTTTTCTCCTTTTGTGCTTGGAGGAAAAAAAAAGACTAAAAAGAAAATCAAGAAAACGAAAAGGATCCCTGTACAACCACGCATCCGATCACGGGCTCAGCTTGCAGCAGCAGCAGCAACAAGGCACAAAGACACATTATATTGGATTGGGCTCCCTTTTAGCCGCCGAGCCCTCCTTTCCTCCCCCGCTACACTGCAGCCTGCAGCGAACCCCTCCTTCCTTCCTCCTCACCTCACCTCACCTCACCTCACCCGCTTGGGCGGCAAACGACTGCAAAACCACCACAAAGACTTTGTCCCATCCATTCTCTTAAACTTTCTTCTCCTTTCACACCTTGACCGTACTTCTTCTTGCTCCTCCCACCGACTTTCTCTCTCGCGGATACTACATCATCCGACTGGGCACTGTTTCACCCTCGACGTTTTAAAAAAGAGAGTCCCTTTCTCGCCTTGGGCTGTCACACCTTTGACTGTTTGCCCATCACCCATCGTTTCAGGAACACTGTCCGTCTTGTTTTCTCTCCACGCCGGCCCCCCCTTGTTGCTGCTCGCATCGCTACTATATACCGTTGCTTCTTCGACTGTTCGGTTTCTCTTACACCATACTAGCCTCGCATAAAGGAACTCTATTCCTCTCCCGCTCCGTGTTTTATGCTCTTAAGATCTGCCTCGCTGCGAGCCTCGTTTCTACATCAACAGCACACAACATAACGGAACATTAAAACGAACTATTTCTCCCCTGGCAAAAACCATAACGAGCATCAAGAACACCTCGCACCTCCAACAAGACAACAACACAGCCATGTCGGTCATGGCCTCGCGTCCGCCTAACATGCCCGCCGGCGCCGGCGGAGGCCCTTCCAAGCGGCCTCGCCTCTCTCTCCAGATTAAGGCTTCCTTCTCGCAGCCCAACGGCGGTCGTCCGACCACATCACGCGCCTTCTCTCTCAACCCCTCAGACCCGACCGCCTTTAACACGCTCTCCAACGCCTACGTGACAGCCATCGAGCGCTCCTCCACCCCCATCGCCTCTCCCATCGCCGGCGCCGGCGAGCCGCTCACAGCCATCAGCACCTTCCAGTCCATCTCCCTGTGCTCGCCCGTCCGCGCCCGTCCCGTCAGCGCCTACCCCGCGACACCCCTCTCCGCCCACCCCGCCCACCCCGCAACGACCTCGCCGGCCGTGACGCTGCCACTGCCGAGCGCCACCATGTCACCTACGCCGCCGGTTTCGGCCGCCGGATGCTTGGAAGGCACCGGCAGCAGGGTGTTTAGCTTCTCCCCGAGAGACGCCGCCGCTGGGCGTCGTTCCCTCGAGCAGGCTCTCAACGCCGCCGCGGCTGCGGCGACAAATACACCCGTGTCCCCCATGGCTACGCCGCCAAAGCAGCAGCAGCAGCAGCAGCAATTCCAACAATCTGCCGCCCCCGCCCGTGCCACCCTGTCTACCTCACCACCACCTTACACCCACGCCAAAGCCCTCCGCAGCATCCTGCGCAACTCGCCTCTCCCATCCCGCCGCACGTGCTCGTCATCGTCATCACCGCGGCGACTCACCCCGCCGCCCATGGTGCGCATCCAGGCGCCCGAGCGACGACCTGCCAAGCGCGTTTGCTACCACAGCCCTATCGAGCAGGAAATCACCACCAACCTATACACAAAGTCCCACATCGACCTGCTCGTCGAGGAGGCGACCTCGCCGTGCTCCCCGCAGCGGCTGCCCGTCGACCTCTCGCGCGTCTTCTCCGCTAACGAGATTCGCGATGGCGGCCAGACGCCTGGCGGCAGCGGCAGCAGCGGCAACGAGGACAACGCGAGGACGAGGACGGGTGGCGTGAAGAGGACCGCCTCGAGGAGCGAGAAGAAGAGGCGCTGGGTGTGGACGATTGGTAGGGAAGAGGACGCGGAGGAGGGCGAGGAGCACCTGGGCGGTGCAGTCGTGGCCGCGGCGAGAGCAGCGGCAGCGGCGGCAGCGGCGACGGGAGCGGTGGAAGCGCCGCCGGTGCTGCTGGGTGTGCCGAAGCCAAAGGTGAAGCTGGACATGAGCGCGCAAGACGTGGTGATGTCATGACGATTTGCGTGAAACCATGTCAAGGTACATGGGAAGAGGGGGATATATATATAATAAGGTTCTATTGCATATTCTTTTTCTTGGGAACAGCGGGACTTGGGCATATGGGAAGCTTGGATTGGGAATCCAGGCAAAGGGGCATTTTGTATAGCATTTTTGGTTCGTTTACGATGTATGACTTCATCATTGGAGAGGAGGGGGATTGTAGCATATTGCTTTGATAGCAATGCCCATATACACGCACAACTATGGCTTCATCAAGTTCTATGCAAATATAATTATTGGGCACGCTTGACCGATCTGCTTGGTACGTGTAAATCATGATTCTATTCAACTCGTCTATGTCGTCCCGTTTAGCTCCGCGTGGTACATTTCCTCCGCCGAGGTGATGCAGTGCATGCTCGCGCCGAGCTTGTTGATCGTCTCCATCCACTCGTCGTACTCGACCGAGTCGAGTACGATGCCGCCGCCAGCCTGCAGGTAGGCGACCCCCTGCTTGTACATCATGGTGCGCAGGGCGATGCACGTGTCCATGGCGCCCTCGACGGGCCGGCCCTGGGCGTCGACGCCGCCGTAGCCAAAGTACCCGACCGCGCCCGCGTAGACGCCGCGCTTCTCGCGCTCCAGCTCGGCGATGAGCTCCATGGCGCGGACCTTGGGCGCGCCGGAGACGGTGCCGGCGGGGAAGATGGACCGGAAGGCGTCGAAGCGGGTCTGGTCCGGGCGCAGCACGCCGGAGACCTGGGAGACGAGGTGCTGGACGTGGGAGAACTTTTCGACGCCGAGGAGGCGGTCGACGCGGACGGTGCGCGGGTCGCCGACGCGGTTGACGTCGTTGCGGGCGAGATCGACGAGCATGACGTGCTCGGCGCGGTCCTTGAGGGAGGCGCGGAGCTCGTCGGCGAGGGCGGCGTCCTCGTCGGCGGTGCGGCCGCGCTTGACGGTGCCGGCGATGGGGTGGGTGATGATACGGCCGGCCTCGCTCTTGACGAGCAGCTCGGGGGAGGCGCCGATGATCTGGAAGTCGCGGCAGTCAACGTAGAAGAGGTAGGGCGAGGGGTTGACGGTGCGCAGGTGGCGGTAGATGTTGAAGGGGTGGAGGTCGGTCGGGCGGGCGAAGCGCTGCGAGGGCACGGCCTGGAAGATGTCGCCCTTGTAGATGTGCTCCTTGAGCTTGGTGACGTGCGCCTCGTAGCCGGCCTGGCCGATGTTGGAGGTGGCTTCGCGGCCGAGTCGCACGGGGCCTTGGGGCGGCATGGGCACCTCGGGCGCGTTGAGCACGTCGACGAGCTCGTCAATGGCGACGGTGGCGTCCTTGTAGGCGGCTTCGAGGGCGGCGTCGTCGTCGGAGGCTTCGGGCACCTTGACGTAGCTGATGACCTTGATGACGCCGTAGAAGCGGTCAAAGGCGACAATGGTGTCGAACAGCATGAACAGCGACTCGGGGATCTGCAGCACGTCCTCCATGGGCCGCGCCGTCTTGGGCTCGAAGTAGCGCACGCAGTCGTAGCCAATGTAGCCAATGGCGCCGCCGGTCAGCGGTGGTAGCTGCAGGCCGGGCACGTGGGCGACAACATGGCGCGCGAGCTCGGCCTCGAGGCGCGGGAGGGGATCGACGGCGGGCCCGTGGCCGGGGCCGGTGGTGAGGACGGAGCGAGGGTTGGCGCCGACGAAGCTGTACCGGCCGACTTGTTCGGTGGCGGCGGATTCGAAGAGGAACGAGTAGGAGGGGGAGGACGAGAAGTGGGCGGAGACTTTGAGGTAGGCGGCGGACGGGGTGATGAGGTCGGAGGAGATTTGGCGGTAGATGGGCACGAGGGTCGGCTTGGGGCTGTCGGGAGAGGGAGCGGGCGTGCGGAGGACGTCTCGAACGACGTCGAGCGTGGGCACTGTCGCTCTCTGTTGGAAAAGTCGAGATGGCGGGGCATCGGTCAGTTTGAGCACCGATTGCGGTGACGGACTTGGGGAGAGGAGAGGAGAGGAGGGGAGATGGATAGATAGACTTACAGCGCCAGCCATGGTGACGGGGTGTTTTTGGAGCGCAATTGACCAAGGGCGTAAGAGGGAGAAAAAGATGGTGAGATGCAAAAAGTGGTGTAGTAGATCTACCTTGAGATGGGGGAGCCGCCGGTTGGTTCTAATGAGTCAAAGAAATCGGTTGGCGGCAGGGACCACCGCTAGCGTCTGGTTGAGGCGGCAGCCCAGCGGTCATCGGAGCGACCGGACGGACTTGATAGCGAGATACGCATCGGCGCAATGAAATTGGCCGGTTTTCTGCAATTCTGTGAAAATTCATCATCATAAGACCGTTGATAATGGCGAAGTCAGAAGGGGTCTTTTAGCATTATTTTGCCTAGTTCAGCTCTTAATTATCTTTCCATTTCTGAATGACGGCAGCCGACCTGCAGAGGTATTCACTGATTGGGTACCCCAGAGCACAGAATGCCGCAAGACCGGGGTTCTTCCCTTATTTTTGCAAGGAAAATCAGGAAAAAAAGAGAATGTAATTCACATAAAAATATTACGTCGAATCCATATCATGTTATAATTCATCGTTTGTTTTGATGTTCATGATTGACCTTACTTCGTTGGGGGCTGCTGTCATTGGCCCGCCGTTTACGGGCGCGTCGCTTGTCACCAATGTGCGCCACAACCGTGAACTTTGGCCACCTATGTATGTATGTACATAGTCAAACGTTTTAAACCTTCTAAACGCCAACGCTACGATATAAATACAGCCCGTTGTATCAGCTCCATGGCTATACCATTCGAAAAACACCCGTTCAGCAGCTCTCATTAGACATCAAGCTGCAATGCACACCTGGGCTGTCAACGCCTGTTTTGCTGTGTGAATAGAGGCTGCGTGCACGCTTCGCTGATTGGCGATGCTGCCCAGCTGCCAGCACAAATCAGTATCCCGCTACGAGGCTGTTACAAATGGAGACGCCGGCAAAGAGGCCTCCTAAGCGAAGAGAGGACCGCATCATCTTGCAGTTTGTACGCAATTTCCCGCACCCCGCAAACACACTCACGACTTGTCTAGCTAACCTCGAGATAAAAGGACTACGACTGCTTCTACGCGCAAGTCTTTGAAAACAAGCACCCTCATCTCAAGGGCAAACCCCTCGGCGTCCGCCAGAAGAACATCCTCGCAACGTGCAACTACCATGCCCGCGCCAAGGGCGTCAAGAAGCTCATGCTCGTCACCGAGGCCCGACGCGTCTGCCCCGCGCTCGTCCTCGTCGACGGCGAGGACCTCTCGCCCTTTCGTGACGTGAGCAAGACGCTCTACCGATTCCTCAGGTCGCACTCGTGGAGCGGAAAGGTCGAGCGGCTCGGCTTCGACGAGGTCTTCATGGACGTCACCGACGTGGTCGACTACAACCTGTCGTGCCTCGCGCGGGGCTCGCTGGCGCGGTCCTTCTTCCAGCTGTCCCGGAGCGACCCCGAGGCCGGCTTCGCGTGCGACCTGGGTGCCGTGGCGGGGCCGGTACTCGGAGGAGGGGGGCAGCAGCGGTGCGTGGACCCGGAGGATGTAAGCATGGTGCGCCTGGCGCTGGGCTCGCACCTGGCCATGCACCTGCGGGGCCGCATCGAGCGCGAGTTCGGCTACACGTCGACCTGCGGCGTCGCGACGAACAAGCTGCTGAGCAAGCTGTGCGGCGGCAAGAACAAGCCCAGAAACCAGACGACACTGCTCGCCCGGACCGACGACGACGTCTTGGCCTTTATGGACGGCCATCTGCTCCGCGACGTGCCCGGCGTGGGCTTCAAGACGGCGCACCTCATCGAGACTGCCGTGACCGGCGTAGACAAGGACGACGCCGCGGACTCGCACACGTTCCGGTCGACGGTGACGGTCGGGGAGGCGCGTCTGCATCCTGCGGTCTCGCCGGCGGCGCTGGAGAAGCTCCTAGCCGGCCCCGGCGCCGAGCGTGGCGTCGGCGCGCGCATCTGGGCCTTGCTTCACGGCGTAGACGCCACGGAGGTCAAGGCGGGAACGGACGTCCCCTCCCAGCTGAGCATCGAGGACACGTACAGGGGGCTGGAGACGGTGGCGCGGATCACGGAGGAGCTGTTCAAGCTGTCGTGCTCTCTCGTGCGACGGATGCGCGTCGACCTCACAACGACGAGTGGGGGTAGCCGCGGGGCGCAGAGGTGGCTTGCGCGGCCGCGGACGCTGCGGCTGTCGATCCGGTCATGGCCGGGGCGGGCGCAAGAGGGGGGCGGGCGCGGCGGCGGCGGCGGCTTCCCCAGCCGGGTGTCGAGATCCGCGGCGGTGCCGCGCTTCCTGCTGGACCTGGACGCGGACGTGGAGGCGGTCGCGGAGCGGCTGGTGGCGGAGGCGCTGCTGCCCCTGCTGCGGCGGCTGGGAGAGGCGGAGGCGGGAGGGGGGTCGTTGTGGAATTTGCAGCTGATCAACGTTTGCGTGGCGAACATGGCTGCAGGAGCGGAGGGCGAGGATGGGGAGGGAGGCGGCGGCCGGTACGGGGCGGGCCGGGACATTGCAGACATGTGGAAGAGGCAGGACGAGGTTCTGCGGCCGTGGAAGGTGGTGGAAGACGAAGAAGAAGGAGATGAGGAAGGGCAGATGGGGAGGAAACGTGGTAGGGAGGTGGAAGAGGACCAGGTGGATGTGTTTGACGATGGGTTGGATGTAGATGGCTCATGGCGTGGGGTCATGGGCGACGAGTGTCGAATCTGCGGACTGGCAATCCCGGCGTTTGCCGCGACAGCACATTTACGATATCACGAGATGCACAAGTAACATGGCGAAATGTAAAAAGGGACGTTTCTTATAATATTTTGCGCTGTTAAATTTTGAATCTTGGAAATTCTGCGGTGTTGCCACGTGTAAAAGCAGGCGTTTCTTTGATAGTAGATAGGCTGTATAGGTGAGGTGGGTGGTGGGCGGGGCTTTCTGCGCGTCCATGATGAGGAATTCCGTAAACGAGAACTGAGCAAAAGACCATGGTTTTCGCCCCTCCTCTTTGCGATTCCGGAGGGGGGGGGGGGGGGATGAGTGAGCTGGGCCATGAATCCAGCGCCACGTCTTTGTCCCTTGACCACCTTGGAAAGACGCGCCGCAACCGGTGAATAAGGGATGCAGGCATATGAGGTTGCACAAGCGACAAAAAACCCGTCGGGCCTCTGCGCACCCCCCCCTTAGCCCTGGGCTGATTTTCTTGGTCGCTTGGGTTTCCCTTTGGCGTCGCCGCTGCAGATGATCAATCATGACGGGGACTGGGGAGGGTGGAAAGAAAGATGATGGGGGCGGATTTTATACATGCTGTCTAAGCCATGGGCATCATCTGCAGCGGCACTGAAATCTGGGGTAAGCAAAGGCAGACAACTATCCGATATGCTGGATGTTCGCCCCCTTTCTTGGCTTGGGGTGATGAACGGGTCAACACCAAGGAAGGCATTTGTCTGAGCTTGAGGAAGGGGATTCCGATTTTCGTCGGGAGGAAGACTGGGCCATAGTTACCATATGAACAAGGTCAGAACCACATTCATGGCCAACACGAGGGAGCACAAACTCTGTGGACGGGACCGTGCAACGTGTATATATTGGTAGGTAACTCGAACGACTGTCTGCGGGTGCGCGAAGGGACATGTTGTCCTTGGTGAGAAGGGCTGTATTTCTGATGCATCAAGCCTGAAAAGCACACAAAGATGTACCTGCCTATGGGAAGAAGAAGAAGGCGGTTGTTGTTGTTGCTGTTGTTGATGTTGTGGTGGTGGTGGTGGTGTTGCAGAGTGCAAACGTATACTTGGTGGCCGAGCAAACCGGCAGGCAGCATAAGGCAGGAAGCCGACGATACCAAGCACATAGGTACGCGTCGATGCTGTTTGTCAATGCTTTCATGATTGTCTTTGAGCCCCATGTACCTACATACATAACATAGGCCAGCCAGCCAGCCAGCCAGCCAGCCAGCCAGCCAGCCAGCCAGCCAGTCAACCAGCCAGCCAGCCAAGCCAGCCCAATCTGACGGCCGTCCGGGGGGTTGCAAACAAACGCAACGACATAAAAACGCCAGTGACGTTGTCGTGCAGGATCCCTCCCGCCCATCGGCCAGCTGCAATTTCCGTTGTGCAGCTGCGGCGTCGGCGTTTGCAGAGGTATTTTTCAGTTGTTATACATTTTCCCATTTTTTTTTTCATTTTCTTGTCTTCATTCATTCTATTCCATCGCTTCCCTCTCGTTTATTTCCCTGCACAATATCTCAACCCAAGCGAAATTATGCCCTTTTTTTCTTTCTTGTTCAACATGGCACATACCCGCCCATACAGCCACCCCGCCGGGATCCTTTGTTTTGTTTTGTTTTGTTTCCCTCATTTGCCTATTTCCATCTGTCCCCTTTATCTCGGCCGCGTGAGACAAATGACACGGGCGGTGATGTGCATAGGCCCAGGCCACTCTCTGTCACTCCCTCCATCCCCCTCCCATCGCACTGCCAACCAGACTCTACAGCTAACCGCGTCCTTCCACATCGGGCTCTCGGCAGCACGCAGTCTTACTTGATACTATATAGAATTGTAATGGCCCATCGTTCTAGAAAAAAGAACATGGCCGCTCCCGCTCTCTTCAGCATACCTTGCCGCCTTCACCTCGCCCTCTCCCCCCCCCCTCCTCCCCTCCGTGCCTGCTTGTCCCTCGTCCGCCCTCGAACCAAAACGTGCACTTCCGTCCGCCCGTCTGTCCGTTCCGATGATATTATTCCCGTCGTCTTTCTCTGCTGAATGGTGCTGTCTCTGTCTCTGCTGCCCTTGTTGGGCACCCACCTAAGGAAGAACGAAAAAAAAGCACCTGGTTGCTGCCGCTCGTGTTGCCCGCTGCCGTGACACTTGGCAATCACCTTCTTGTGGCAGGTGGCAGGCAGTTTTGGCCCAACGCCTCGACACCTGCACCGACACCTGCGTCGAGCAGACAGAGAGACAGACAGAGAGACAGACAGCAGGCAGAAAGACAGACAGGCGCAGACAGACACCTGCTACATCGTTCACCCTTCGCCGCAAACTCGTCTCTTTCATCTTCCTCACTGGGTCTTGTCTACCTGCTGCCATCCATCCATCCATCCATCCATTCCTCTTCTTCTCTCTCGCCTCAATACACCTTCAAAATTCATGCCGTGTTACCCTCATCTCTCTTCTCTACTCTATGCACCCGTTCTTCACTGCAGCCTCCCCCCCAAACAGCCAATAAATTGTACGCCCGTGTATCATCCATCCTCACTCGGTTGCACAAACGGTGCACCACTCGCACAGTTTCATCAGGTGGCGAGATCGCCCTTCCAACTCGACAACCCCCCCTTGCCGCCAGATACAATCCGTTATCCTATTTAGTTGCACCTTTTCTGCTTCCCTCCGGCCATCACAAGCCTGCACTTACAATATCTGCACACAAATTTTGTCGGCAACACCTACAGCGCTGCTGACCGCATACCTTGCAAACGCTCATCACCAACCACTTCTTCTATCTTGCCGTTTGCACTCACGCGGCGCGCACATCCTCGTCCGGCACCTCATCATCGGTGCCACCCCTTCATATGCCATCCAGTTGGCTTTGATTCTCGTCAAATCACACAAAATGGCACGTGGAGGGAGAGGAGGGAGCGCCCCTCCCCGGCGTACAGTTGATCTCACCGGCATCATCACCAGCACCGAAAAGTCGGACCTCGTTCTACTCGTCACCGCCATCACCGAAAAGATGTTTCGAGACATCAACGGTCTCTTTGATTCTCCTCAGATTCCCCTAATGGATGGCGAAGGCCCAGAACGCAACTGGTTGGCTCTGGCTCTCCGCCAGCAGGAAATCAACGACAAGGAAAACGCGGTACCTTCGAGATCTTTTGCCAACAGACCCGTCACATCCACGGCAAGGAAGTCATCCCCGAACCACCTAGATCAGGACGTTGAGAGCACACCGCAGTTGCAAGAGCTGAGAAATGAAGCTGTTGCATTCTTTCGCAAGTGGCAGCTCTCCGTCGTCCAACGTCTCCGCGACCTGGCCGTCACCACCGTGGAAGACGATTTTTCCCGTCGTGGGCGTGGAAGAGGCGCTCGAGGCGTGCCTCGCGGGCGTGCCGGACGTGGTGCTGGCCGTGGAGGAAGGCAAAACGGTCGTGGAGGCGCCTCCATCGCCACTACGGCCGTTGTGCCCAATGGTAATGGCTCCGCGTGGTAGATGAACTTTATTATTATAGCCTTGACTAACCTGTCTAATTGTAGCATTTCCTCAAACGCCCACTAGTCACGTCGACCCTACTCTGGTCCGCCTATATCCCGCTGTGCCCAATAATCTGTGGCCATTGCCCTATGAAAGGCGAAAGTTGCTGCTGCACATCATGCTTCTCGTGGTGCTATCGCTTCACGACTACAATGCCAACGCACGGCTGCTGCTCGTCAATCTGACTTCGTCCTTGAACCTGCCCCTCAAATTGCACAACCAGGACGAAATGCGAATCGCCAAGGGCCTTGCAGCCGCCGCCATGGAAGTCAGTCCGGAAAAAGCAGCTGCCCAGAAGGAAGAAAACAAACTCTCCAAGAGATGGAAGTTTAGTCTTGGGACCACTGGTATGGGCACCACCGGCCTTGCAGGAGCTCTTGTCGGGGTTGGCGTTGGCTGCGAGGGTAGTGGCCTCACAGCATCGGCCGCCGCCGCTCTCTTGGGCATCATGTCCGAAAATGGCTTGCTAATGGGCTCGCTGTTTGGTATGAACCCAGCTAAGCCGGTCGAGAAGATGGTGGAAACGTTCCTGCGCGAGATTCAGGATTTTTCCTTCTTGTCCCTCACGGATGCCGGCGACACGGAGTACATGGATCCCAGACAGCCGCTGCCAGCGGAGCGGCGGCTGCGCATTGTCATTGCCCTCGGGGGATTCATGCTCAAGGGCGACGCCGTTACAACCCCGTGGAGTTCTTTGAGCCGGCAAGCAGAGGTGTACGTGGTGCAGTGGGATCTCACGGCCGTTGCAAGCCTTGGTAACGCCCTTGAGACTGTTATTGGCAGTAGCGCGTGGCTCGCTGCCAGGGAACAGATTCGAAAGGACTCAAGTAGGTTTGTACCTTTTCAAAACGTGGCATATCCTTACGGTACTACAGTCTTCCACTGCCTACTGAACTCGAAGTGGCCCGAGCCGTTGCTCAAAATTAGCAAGATTATTGACAATCCCTGGAGTCTCGGCATGGTCCGTGCCGAAAAACTGGGAGCGATTCTTGCTGATGCCATTGTGCGCCACAAGTTCCACGGAGAGCGCTCTGTATCTCTTGTCGGCTATAGCCTTGCCGCAAGAGCCATATACATGTGCCTCATGGTTCTTGCTGAGCGTCGTCAGTTTGGCCTGGTTGACTCCGTCGTCATGATGGGTACCCCTGCCCCGTCAGATAGCAAGGTATGGATGGCCATGAAGAGCGTCGTCTCCGGTCGTTTAATCAACGCATACACGGAACAAGACTACCTTCTTGGCTTTTTGTATCGAACTTCGAACACGCACTCGGGCATTGCGGGGCTGCAGGAGATTGTGGGCGCTGGTGGTGTCGAGAACCACCATGTCAAACACCTACCGAATGGCCATTTGTCCTATCAACACTTGGCCGCTCAGATTTTAGAGGACGTCGGCTGGGAACATGACTCCTTTCTGACGGTATGACAGGCAGGCAGCCTGCATTTTGAGGTGTAGACGACGCACGACGACGACGACGACGAGGGAAGGCCGGGCAGGACCGGCGGAAAGGAAGAAGGGAGGCGGAGGGAGAATACACCATTATACCCGCTCGAAGCAAAATTTGCTGCATTCTTCTTGTTATTACTCGAGATTGATTTGCTTCCAGCATTTTGTTATTTTTTCATGTGGCACGCCACTTGTTGATGCATTCGATACGCTGTTTGCTACCCTGATGGCAGGTCCACTTACACCAGCTTTGCTATTTAGCCTTGACGAATCAATCATGACCTGGTTTTCTTATTTTTTCGGCGACTGTGCTAATTTGATGTGGATTTCGGATCTGTATCCATGGTGTTCGACCTACATTACGATGACTTGACGCAGGACAGAAACACTCGCTGAAAATAATCCCGACTTGATATTCTTATTTTTTGTATCCGATGGGTGCTAATGTCACCCACATGTCCAAATTTACCTTGCTCTTGTCCCTCGACTCTAACAAAAATCTTCTTCTTCTACCTTGAGGTAGTACGCATCCATGTTTGACCGAACTATAAAACTCTTGTCGAGCGACCGTAAATAATGAATAAAAGCAACAAAATACAACAGATGAAAGGATAAGGAGGAAATAACACAAGGCAAGAATCGAAGAGAGAAAAGAAAGAGCAAACTTTTGAATCCCCCGTTTTAGTGCAAATAATATACAGTAGCTTGCTGTAGCAGCGCCAATGGCACTCGGATAAAGGGGCCCGGTAGTATCGTCCCAAGAATAATTTTTGGTTCTTGTTCATGTATAAAACCAAAGAAAAGGACGAAGAAACAGCCAGGCTGTGGTGTTTAAGGCGGCGGCGTGGTGCCGAGCATGCTTGCGACCTGCTTTCGGACAAGGCCGCGCGAACCGCGCTGCTCTGCGCGCGGCACGCCCTGAATCGCCCGCGGCTCTCGCATCAGGGTGCGATCCAGCCGTGCAGGCACTCGCGTAACAACCGAGCGGTACTCCCCCATAAAGTTGCCCTTGGGCACGGGCACCGCCGCGGTCCGCCAAATGTGGTCTGACGTGTCGTTGAGGTAGTTCGGTGGCTTGTTGGCGCCGCCGCGGGGCGGGGCGAGGCCAAATGCGTTGGCGGACGCGCCGTGGGACACCCGGATCGAAGAGATGCGCGAGAGCGTCGAGAGGCCAGACGAAAGACCGGGACGTCCACGCGCCTTCTTGGCCATGATGACTTCGTCGAACAGTCGGATCGAAGGCTCCGTCGGTGCCGTCAGCTCTCGCTCGTGAATAAACTCGTTGAAAAGCTGCGTGTCGCGCATCATGACGGCGTAGTCTTGCTGTTCATGTGGGAGACTCTTAATAAACCCATCCATGTCGAATGCGTAGATCTGTCCATTTGAACGTTGCTGTTTCGACGGGCGGCCCAGATGCTTGCGATAAGTGTAGAGCAGGCTGGCCTGACAGCGAACAAAGGCAGCGCGAACACGGTCAGCGTGGAATGCTTGAGGGCAGACCAGCGAAGCGACACCCAAGCAGCGTCCGTGCGACACGGTCTGACACGCGGAGCAATGGTACATGCCCTCGGTGTCCGCCTTTTCGGCACAAATAGTGCACGTCGAACTGGAATCTTTGCGGTCCAGGTTGAAGCAGTGCCCCTCTACCCATACAGTCGTCTCAGTATTGCGGACGGGCTGGATTTGCATGCTGGGCATGATGGTGGAGGCTGCCAAAGTAGACTGCGCATACGTTGACGGCGCATAGCCGCCACCGCCGCCTCCGTACCCGGTCGCCTGCGAGTCGATGGAAATTCCAGAGATGCTGAAGTTTTGCTGATGGCCATTTAGGAAGGGATGACTGGGTCGATGCATTGGCTGGAACTTATCCATACCAAACGAAGAGCTTCGTCGCATTTTTTCTTCGCCAAAATGGCCAGAGCGCTTTTCCCGCAGAGTTGCCGTCAGCGCAAACCCAGAATCGCTTCTCGAGATTGGCGTCGTCGGTGTTGTGGGCAGAGGAGGGAAGTGAGTCGATTCGGGCGACACTGAAGACTGGGGGCTCGTCCGGCTCGACTTGCTGGTGCCGGGGCGATCTGACTTGCCGGTATCGGTGATGGCCTCCGTGAATGCGTTGAACACAGGAGGTTGCAGGGCTGAGGAAGACAGAGGCTCGCCAAAGCTCGACGAGTTTTGCGACACCCACTTTCCTAGAGTGCTCTCGCTGGCTCTAGAGTTGAAGATGGATCCGTTCTCGGTTGAGAAGGCATCGTAAGGGAACGATTCAACGGCGTAGGGTGGCGGTCCCTCAACAACGCCATAGCGGATTCGGTGAGGGGCAGCAACCTGAAGAAGCGACATGAGCTTGCGTCTTTGCTGTCGAGGTAGGCGGTGGGGTTGTGATGTGGCGTCAATGGTGTCCTTGTCGAGGTCAACCAGAACGTAGTCATCGTCCGGCAGATCAATGCGGTCGTATCGTCGTTCGACACCCACGATATATGGGCAAGGGGCCTCGAGAGCCGAAATGAGTCTGGCGGGAAGGATGGGGATGAAGATGCTGGCCCACTTGAGAGGGTACAGGAGGTTGGCCAAGGCGTGGCAAGCTAGATGCAGCATGCTGGTGTGCGAGGAAAGGAAAATGATACGAGATTCGGCCATGGCGTATTCGTAAAGAGCAACAATATTTTCTAACGACAGGCAGCGGAACAGCGCGTACAAGTCAATGGTCCGGGAGCCAGGGATCTCATTGGCAGCCTCTTTGCGAGCATAGAGCTTCAGCTCCCGGATGCCTAATTCGACCTGCGTTTTGGACCCTAGAGGACTGAACGCCTCGGTGCACATATTGACAATATAGCGTTCGAGAGGCTGCCAGCGGCCGACTCTGGGCGAGCTTGGTGGTACCCGGAGGACAGCTCCGTCGGTCATGGGCACGACAATAGCCTTAAGCCATTCCTTCCAGAAAGACATGTTGGCAGCGTCTTTACCCAATACGCCGTAGGCTCGAGGAATCCACAACCCGCTCTCACCGGCTGTTAGTCCTTCAATCTTGGAGGCGGCTCCATGGCGAAGTGGGCGCAGCATATCTGTCATGAGAGCAATCTTTTCTTCGACTGTGCTGATTTCGTCCTCAAGCCTTTCGCGGGCGACCGATCCTGAGGGTATTGTTGGCAACTTTGCAAGAAGCTGTGAAAGATGTGTGCGCTCTCCAGCTAACCTGATGCCCAGGCTCGCAGCGAGCTCGCGTTCTTCGTTAGACATGTGGCTCTGGCGCCACTGCTCGCACTTCATCTCGACATCATCAGCCACGTCGGCAGATAGGGCTGTCCAGATAATGATGGAGATGCCGTAGAGTTTGCTACTATCCTCGGCGGTCATGGTAAAGCCGTGCCACGTGGAGCGTGGGCGTTCGTCCGAGGAGACAATTTGGATGTCATTGGGGAAGGCGAACATGGGTACATAGTCAGGGAACCGGCCCCGTCGTGGAACCTCCTCGGTGGCACTCTTGGGTGGATATCGGTCCAAGAGGACGGGTTCGAATCGACGCTTGAGCGGGTGCATATCGGGATCGGTGTTGAGAGGCTCGGGCGGGGGGATTACTGAATTATAGTTACTGAGGCGCTTGGCGGTACGAATAGAAGCTATTGACGCGTTAGTGATGTATTCTCAGGCCCGGTGATCGAGGAAAACAAACCAGATCCATTGATGTTGCTGCTTCTGTGAATGGTCCCCTGACGTTTTGTGCTGCTCATTTCCCTGAAGCTGATTTTTCGGCGAATGCTGCCTTTGAGGCTGCGTAGCGGACTCATTCGGCCGCTGGGAACCTCGTCGGCCTTGATGCGCTCAGCACGGGGATTGACCATGGGAGCTCTGGCCTGGACTCTGGCACCAGCGGTAAATGATAGGTCCTCTAGAAAGTTTTCGCGCTCGGCAGCAAATTTGAGGAGAGCCCTGTCAAAGTCGACGTCGCCCATGCGAGGAGCGGGTAATGATTCGTCCTCGGGCGATGCCGCGACATCGGAGGAAGTCGTTGCGGGAGGGGGCAATTTACTGCTTGGACGAATGGTTGCACTGCTGCGATTGCTCCAAGTGCTGTCGAGGTCATCGAGAGTGCTGGATGTGGAATGCGCGTCGATGGAGATTTTGGAGAGGCGGTTGGCTGAGTTTTGGCGCGAGTGACGGGCGGTGTTTGGGCGATGCTGGCCGTTGACAATTACGCCGTTATCAGGCTCCCCATCTTCGGCGATGGTGTCGTCAACAGGCAAGGTAGGCTGAGGAGCATCATCGTAGGATATTGACTCTACACCAGCAATCCAGAAGTAGTGAGCCAAAGGAGCCGATGAGGAGTCCATTGCATGTCAATGTGCGGGCTGGAGGCGGCAGAAAGGGAAAATTTTGGCCGTTAGGCCGGTTGGCGCGGGTGGAGGCTCTCCAACGGGGGGCAAACGGTTGAGAAGCTATCTGGGTATCAAGTATCGTGGATTAGGGTCGTCGACAGGTCGAAGAATGAGCCGATCAGAGACGAGGAGAATGGTCGCGAAAGCAAGTCGGGAGGGTGGTGGTGACGCGGATAAGCTGATGAAAAGCTGAAGAGCTGAAGACGAAGATGATGGGGAGATTGCGGGTGGCGAAAGGCAGGTCAAGATGGTCTGGAGGCCGGATGTGATTGTGGTTGAAAAGTGAAGGAAGCGAGATTGGTTGGTGATGAGAAGAGCATCCAGGGCCAAGGCCGGGCCATCAGATGCAAGTCAAAGGCTGAGCGAAAGGCGGGACAGGGGGGGAGGAGTAGAGGGCCCGAGGGGGAGGGGCGGATGAAAGGTTTCCAAGGTTTCGTTTGAGTGAGTGGGTGGAGGCGTCGAGCTTAAAGTTGACGGCGCGCGTCGTGGCTCCAACTAGATGATTATTTGATTATTTAGCAGGCTGTTGAGGAGAAGGAAAAGGGCAATCACACACAGAGATTTGGGAGGCGGGTGGTGCCTGAGATGTGACGGATGCAGATGTAGAGGTAGTTACTAGTTACTAAGAGGCGTTTGCGTATTGGTGAATGGTGGCAGCCATGGGGTGGCCTCTGGCCGGTGAGGCGCTAGAAACCTGCATTGAGGGGGCCGCTAGGTATACACATGTGAGGTACATACTGTAGGTAGATCGAGCACAGGATGTGGAACATCAAGCATAGATGATTTACCTATATCTATTAGGCTCTTGAATCAATGTAATTGTGATTGTCGCATCATCGCTATTATTGCTATTATTAACATCATCGCTAATCACCACCATCATCACTGTTAATAGCGCGTTTACAAGGGGTACTAGAGCCCCCCAATGGAGGCATAGTTGTGCCTGATTCTCTATCCCGTGCTCGATCCAGCAGTAGGTAAAAGTGGTGGTGGTTGTGCTGGTGATGATGGTTTGGTTACTGGAGGGGTAGTTGGGTTGTGGGTTTGGTGATGATGGAGCTGGAGCTGGCGATCCGAAACCCGTGGGCAGTCGGAGGCTCTGGAGCCCTTGAAGCTAGAGGCGGTGATGCTGTAAATTGGGTATCCTGGCCTACATCAACGAACGACAAGGGGAGGAGCCGCCAGCGGGGCCTTATCAGCCAGTACCGGCACCACTTCCCGCAGCGCATGGTTTACAGGCAGCCACAGGTGGCAATGGTGCTATTTCTGGTTGTTCGTAGGCAGCAGAGCCCTGTGGGTGTTTCTGTTTATCTGTGGTACGAAGGATTCACAAATACTCATGACAAGTCAAACACACAAAAGAATTACGCAAAAATGATATCACCTTACTTCATCATTATTCCAACTCCGTAAGGGTGCTTACTTCGCACAAGTATTACGTATAACGGCATGGCCCATGTAAATACGCAGCACCCAGGTACGGGCAGTGGGCCTCTGCAGGAACAAGGTACACGCTCCCGCTTGACAAGGACGTCGGAGCAAATCAAATCAACCTCGTTGTGCTGCTTGCAATGATCTATCAAGCCACCACCTGTACTCCGTAGCTGCATTGCATCTGCAAGCAAGGGATTCGACCTGTAGTACATACCTGGTACGGTAGGTAAAGTGCAAGTCGGTGCCTGATGCTGTGCTCCACTGACAACTTGTTGGTGCCGAAACCCGCAACGCCCCGCGCAATGAGATTCCCACACTCAAACACTCCTAGTTCAGTTTGCCAGTCCACATCACCATCCCAACTTTGCCGCATTCCATCTCACCCTTTCATCCAACTGGGTCTTGGCTCTCTGGAGCTTGGAGAATACCCGAACTAGCCCAGCCAACTTGACATCTCAGTAGGCTGCGCCGACGTCATTGTCAAATCCACTTACCGGTAGGCCGAGTCTTGATCCGTTTGTGTCGAGCTTTGATGGGCTGACAGTCTAACAGACAACCTGTATCCGTAGACCACATGGCTTAGGGCATCAGGCATCGACTACCACCACACAACGCGGCCGCCGCGGGACGTGTCAATCACCACAGGGCACAGGCGCGGTGCTCCGGCTTCATGCCGGATCATGGAGCACGCTGCATTGCCCAACCCACCACCCACCAAAGCCAACGCGGCAACGCCATAGATCCATCTAAGACGGACTGCATTCTCCGGCCTACGACTCACTCCGTACGTTGCCCCGACTGAGCGTCAAAATAGATATTCAGAGTATCAAAATAGAGGACGAGCCAGGAGACCCTATATGATTGTGCTAGCATCACAACGGTCAACAACACCCTTCAGCGGCAAAACACCGCACAAACATGGACAGCGAGAGCCCACACCACAAGTTCGTCTCGTCCGTCCCTCCAAGCATCCGGCTTTTCCTGGCTCCAGTGAACTACTTACCCATGCATGCACCGGTCAGGGGTTTGCAGAGCTATCCAGCCATGTCCCTGGCCGCTGCCACCGCTGCCGAGCTCCAACACGCGCCCTGGCTTGCTGGTAGTTTGGGAAGTTCAAAGCCAATTCTCCTATTACAGCTGGCCTGTTCCTGCGTCAGACAAGCCAGGCGGGCCGGCTCCTTGTTTCACGTAAACTGCCCGATGCAACCCTGCAACCCTGCAACCCTGCAACCCTGGAGCGCCACGCCACGCCCACACCACGGCCCTGACACGATCGATTTTTTGCTTCTTTTTTCTCTTCTGCCTGGCCTGGCAGGGCGTTTCTCATAGTTGCATGTTATCCTGACTGGCCTATTCTCCAGCAGCAAGCAATGGCATTTCCATTCCGCTCACGCAGCGACACTCGACTAGAAGGCTTATCTACGGACTCCCACCAATTACGGATATGGGCTTCGGAAACTGGCTAAGCCACTAGATACCCGCAACTCGCAAGCCGAGCACGGCAACCACTGCCAAACGGATAGACTCTGTACTGGTATTCACGGCGCGTCCGTATCGCTGGAGAAATACGGTCTAACTACCTATGGGCACAAACTCCATTCTCCAAGTCGGGCTCTTCGAGAGCCTTCCCGTGGTTGGATAGGTAGGAACCCTAAGTGAGCGCTCCCACCCAACCACTGCGGCCATGCAAGCCACGATGGAGTTGAATACGACGCGGGCACTCCACTGGTGCCAACTACGGATACGGTCAATGGGCACGAGAGGCACAACTAGTTAACTAGACTCGCACTTGTTGGTGAATAGGGCCAGTTATTAACCTTTGCCCGCTGTGGACTTTTCAGCCAACGCCGGACTTGCCCTTCTGCTGGGACCGCGCGTCTCGCAGGATGACCTGATCGACTTCGCAGCAGGGCAGCAACGTGCTGAAGGCTACGAGGGGGCGAAAGAAGCAAACTAGGACAGCCGAGTCAGTGAAACATGAGAGACGGCGTTGTGTTGCTGCCGAGGTACAAAACTAGCTACACGTCGATCATTCTACTAATGGGGGTGGCCGAGATTCGCCAACGATCCTTCGCCAGCAGACCAACTAACTTAGTACATAGTTTGGGCCTTGGCACTAGGATGATGGGCGAGTCGCAACGAGGACATCAATGCTCTTTCAGCCCCCCCGTCTTCTACTTGAAACCTCACAATGGTTCAGCCTATCTACAATGCAAGGGGTGTAGTACAACGCGACCAACCCATGTTTGACAAATGGGAAATTCGTCCACGGCTCAAAGATGGACAATTCGCTCCGCAGTCATCAGATGTGCATGACGGCTCACCGCCAAAACACGGACACTTGAGTTACGAAGGGCAGATGCCTATGACTCGATATTCCCCGGATTAAGCTCTGTCTGTGCTGGCATCAGCTGTCCGGCGCCGCCACAGCTGTCAACGCAGCGACGCCACTGCTTTGCCATCTTGACCGAGCTGTAGGCCCCTGCGTCCTCTATCCCGTGGATTGTACTGGTAGAGCTGAAGCACAGGTCTAACCAGACAAGCGTAGGGAAGTATATGAAGTATGAGGCCACAACAACTACGACATGGAGGGCTTGCACTTGCGCAAGCCGTCCGATAGTTTCCCGACCACCACCTTCCTCGCATGGTGCGGTACCTATCCACAGGCGCGGATTTCCTACTGCTGTAGGACCTCAGGCCCTTCTTCACCAACCAGCCCTCCTCTGCATTGTGTGATACGAAACCATCGGTTTTTGAATGGAAAAGATGCCAATGGGCTGTGAGACATTGTAGACTGTTCCACAGTGTCCGGCTTTGGGCGACGCTCAACAGGGGGGGTTGATCTGGTGGGATGCGCATATTTGCCCCAGAGCTGTCGCGACGACCTTGCCGAACGAGAGAGATAAATTGGGGTGCATATATGCATGAGCAAAGCCACTATACCTGCGGCGCGCGGAGTTATACTATAGTAATTGCTATATCTGGCGGGATAAGGAAACGCCTTGCTATAGTCGCTAAGGCGCGCTGCTAACCGAGAGCAGGCTTATCCGCGTCCTCGATCTGGGTGCGGCGAGCGCATCAAGAAAAACATTGAGAAGGAGGGGGGTACACGAAGTCCGGGAGCTCGGTGGCAGCCGACCGACGGCTCATTGCTAGCTCTATCACGCATTTTACGTCAGGACGGCCCAGTTGCCATCTAATTTCAGAGGCTTGCATGAATGAGCTTCCTTTTGCTTGCATCGAACGTTTCTATTAGAGTAACATGGTAAGGCTATCGACTGATGAGGCGGCTCTTGCATGAAGCTGAGCCATCTTGGCCCTGTATGCTCCTCTCATCACCGACCAATCACGGAGCCGATAGCCAAAGACGCATATGTAGCAGCACATTGATCTAAAAGCGAAGGAAATCCACGGCCCAGCGCGCCGATTATCAGAATAGAGCGACCGGATTCAAGGCAAGCTAAAACGAAAAGCAGCTCGTCCCTGCATGAGGGTACACTGGGAGGCGCGTCCTCCGGTTATCGGCTGCGATGTGGTCCACCCTCCGGTCAAGTTTCTCGGTTCTTGTTCCGGTAACTAGTTTTTCCTGCCTATCCGGCATCGAAATTTCCTAATTATACAGCGTCGTCTTGCTCTCAGCGACCCGAGTTGAGGGCGGGACGCGCAGGGTTCCGGGGGGCGGGCAAGACGGCTAGGATGACTTTCCACGGAACCCCCGGAGCAAAAGATGGGGGTCCTTGCATCCCGGAAAGCAAGTTTAAGGGCGTTATTCTTTTGTGGCCTCGAAGGCAAGGAAATGGCGAGAGAGGAGAGCTTGACGCGGCAGGCCTATCATAGAAAGCCGTCTCCTGATGCATTGGGTCGTCGTCATCGTTTTGGACCAACAACGACCGAGGAGGGAGCAGAGGGCCAGATGACAGGCAAGCATAGCTCAGCTACTCGGCCGTTCCGGGAGTCCCGTCCGCTAATAAGATGCTTTTCACTCACCCTGCCTTGCCAACGTTGCATGTTCCCTTCCTTGCGCGAAAGCCCTCTTCACCGCGCCGCCGCGATGCGCGTGCCCAGCTTGCCCGTCGACAAGTACCCGCGGCTTCCCATCGCGCCGCGCCAACCAATACCCAACACGCCCAAGACCATGCGCGCATCCGACCCGACCACTCCACCACCATCATCGCCACCACCGTCGCCGTCCGCGTCCTCCACCACGAAGCACAGCTGCTCGACCTCGCCGGGCCTCAGCACCGGCCTGTCCTCGCGCGCCGTCCAGTTGCAGTCGCGGTACGCCAGGCCCGGCTCGGGCTCGACGACGACGCGCTCGAGCTGCATCGCGTCGTCGCTGCAGTTTTCGAGCTGCGCCTCGAGAACCCAGCGCCTGTGCCGTGACGGTGCCGGCGTCGGCGTGGGCAAGGCGCCGACCTTGGTGCGGACGATGAGGGAGGGCTTGCAGATGAACTGGTACAGCTTGCGAAAGGTGCGCGCGCGGCCGCTCGTCTCGGTCGCCTCGTAGTAGCTCACCGTCACGGCGAGCACGTGGTTCCCTTCCTCCTTGAGGTCGAACGAGACGACGCGCTGCAGCGTGCCACCGGGCGGCAGGTCCACGCCGCCAGCCTGCTCGCCGCCGCCGCCGCCGCCTTCTGTTGGTGCCGGGCCTAGTTCGAGACGTTGCGCCTTGCCCGGTCCGGGCGTCTTCATCTCGGCCTCGACGCGCACGTCGCGGATCTTCTTGTCGGTCGGCTGCGCCGTCGCGGCGTCATCGGAGGAGGAGAGGAGGTCGTTGTTGGCGCAGAGGGTGCAGCGGAAGGTCTCGCCGACGTAGGCGGAGCCAAACGACACGGGAAGGTTGAGGACGGGGCTGAGCACGAACGGGGATGGGTTGGTGGTGGCAGCCGGGGCTTCGGAGGAGGTGGTGGTGCTGTGGGCGAGGGATGCGGGGAGGGGAGACGGCGGCGCGGGGAGCGGCGAGGTTTGGTCCGGGAACGGCGGCTCAACGGGGTATTGCGACACGAGAGATGGACATGATAAGCTGTACGAGGAGAAGAGAAAAGGTATGCCGTTTAGTGGGAGCTGTTTGCTTCGGCTTGAGGAGGGCGGAGCTTGGGCGAGGGAACGTACCGAAGGACCTTGACGGATACGGAATGGGGCTCTTTGATGGGATCGTGGGAGAGATATCTTTGGTGACTCATGGCTGGCCGTGTGATTTGCGTCCTGCGCGGTCGTTGCTAGCCTCTTGGTGTGTGCTTTGGGAATGTTGTATGTTGCGGGCGTGGCTTCGAAGACGGGGTCGGTCGGTCGCGGTTAATAAAGCTTCAGAGTCCTAGTGGGGACCTACAACATACATAACTGGGGTGACGCAACAGGGACGGACCCTGGTTAGGACAGGAGAATCTGCAAGCCGTTTCATATCGATCTGCAAAATTTCATTTTCATTCTTCTATTATAATATTATAAGTTGAGATGTGTCATATTTCCCAGAATCGCTGTCATATGTTTTACCTGTGCTCTTAATTCTCGTGCTGAAACGCGTGGTGGCCTGATTAGACAAGAGAGTGACAACTCACACATAAAGCTCGAGCTGAGCCAGCTGCATCGTATTCGAGCTATCGGCAAACACGGCACAGCTACATCGCTTACAAAATGGTACGGCTGTGAGAGTCAGAAAGAAACTAGATTTACAGAGCTGATTAGTTCGACGTCACATTTTTTCACCGGAGCAGCCCAGCCATCGGCGGGCTTCATTAGCATTGCGAATCTGCCAACATTAGCAAGAAAACACGGGGCAAGAGGGTTCGACCGATTGATTGCTCGGGTTTTCTTTCTGTTTCTTTGTGAAGCCTGTTAAAATTCAGCATGGCAATACTTTTTTTTCTTTTTTTTTTATCTGCAGCGCGCTCTGCGTAATTGGTATTAGTGTAGTTGCCTTCAACATCGCCATACTTAGAGATCATGAGCTCGTGGCTCACGAATAAATCTCTTTTTTTTTGTTCAAGTTCCCTTGCCTGAAGTTGTACCGCAACTGGAATGTTGGGGGGCTTCTGACCCTAAAAGTCAATGGCACGCAATACCGCCGAAGTCAGTGAGCACAAGAAACACAGAAGGTATCGAAAAAAAAATCAGTTTACATAACCAAGCGCAGCCTTTTCCGATGCTGCCCGTCTCCTTTACAAACCGGGAGGGGGAGGGACCTGTCATCCAGTCAGTCCAAGTCTTCAGAGCAAGAGCTTACTGTAAAAGTGTCTACTAACAGCACTGTAGCCACCAGGAGCGCCTGGGGGCGATGCCGAGGGCGGGGGTGGAGGCGGGGCGGCGCTGGTCGGAGGGGGAGGCGGAGGAGGTGCCGAGTCGCTCGGAGGTGGAGGAGCTGGTGCTGCTGGCGCGGCGCCGGAAACCTGTGTTGGTGACTGCGCGGCGCCGGTCTGCCCTTGTGCATACTGGGTGTAGTACTGCTGGTACAAGGCAACGTAGCTGGATTCTTGTTAGCAACGCTCGAGCATCTCCAGAGTCAAGGTGTCAGGCTTACTTGGCGTAGCCGCCATATGCGGCGTATGGATCTTCACCGTTAGCAGCCGCCTGTGCATAGTATTGAGCATACTGCGCGTTATAGTCTGCATTGGCCGGGCTGTCCGTGCCGGTAGCGGCGCCTCTAGAGCCGCTGTCCGAGTTTTGCCTCCCATATCCTGGGTACGAGTCGCCGCCGCCGCCGCGACCGCTATAGTGGTCACCGCCGCGATCATTGTAGCCGCCACGTCTGTCCCCGCCGTAGCCACGGTCACCGCCGTAGCGGTCACCACCATAGCCGCGGTCGCTGTAGCCGCCACGATCGCCGTGATGGCGTGGCGGGCGGCTCTTGAAATCTTCGTACTGCTCACGGACATTTTCGATCAAGTCTTTGCAGAGATCGCGACCCTTTTCTACCATGGCCTGATCAGGGCCACTGTTGGAGAATTTGGTTAGATAACAGGCAGGGCATGGTAAAAGAAACACGGGGAAAGACGACGTACGCAACGTGAAGAAACATTTCTTCCTCGCTTTCTTGGTTAGTGTCTCGCTCGATGTACCCCGAGCCGCGGCCCTTGATTTGGACACGGCATCCCGTTTCTGTTTGAATGTGCTTGACATAGGAGCCGCCGGCACCGACAATCTGAGCACGAAGATTGAAGCCGGGAATGGGCTCGAGACCGACGGGAATACTCTCTTCTGGCCATTTGTTGCGCTACAATATATTAGCACGCGTTGTGATGAGGGTGGGTTCAGCTCTTACCCGGCTATTCTCTTCGCCTTCCGGCTGTTCTCTCTCGCGGCGCTTGAAACGGCGCTCGTCGACCAGCTGGGGAAGCTCCTGCTCGATCAACTCGTTGACCTTGGCCACGGCTGCTTCGAGGACTTCTTTCGTTCTGGCGGTGATGTGCAGATATAGAGGCGGTTCCTTTACAGTTAGCTTTGGTAGGTGTGCAGCCACGCTGGTTACTTACCGCTGCAGTGGCCATGCTCTTGTTAGGATAGTATTTGCCACGCACAGTGAGATCTGGAGGGGTTAGCGGGCCGAAAAGTATAAACAGATTGTACACATCCATTACCAGCTCCAGTTTCTTTTTGGATCTGCAAGGCATGTTAGCGGACTAATTTATGTTCGTGCGATGTGGCGGCTACCTACCGATTGTTGCGTTTGAGCCTTCATCAGCATGTAGCGGTTTCGCAGATCGTTGACCTCGATGTCCTGGATGTAGTCGCCATCCGACACATACATCTCGCCCGGCGCGCCAGGTGCGCCCTTGCCTCCCTCGGGGGCGGTCGAGTCTGCGCTCGCATCGGGGGCGCCGTTGCTGGTGGCGCCGAGGATGGGGGGAACGTCGACGTGCTGGATGCCCTTGCGAGCCTGGAGCTGCGCGTTGATCTTGGCGGCGGCGGCAGCTGTCGAAGCGCGAGTTAGCATCTGTCAGTGCATGATCCGCGGCATTGCCGGCCCATGGACTGGTGGAGGTGGACAGGAACATACCAGCGGCGGCGGCCGGGTCGACAGCGCTGTCAGTCTTGCTGACAGGACTGCGCTCTCTCGTCTCGGATACTCGGTTTGACGGGGAGCGCGAGCGGCGGTCGAATCGCGAGGTCCTCTTGGGCTCGGGCTCCTTTTGATCAAAGCGCGAGCGCTTACGCGGCTCAGTGTCGGCCATGGTCGTTGTGATTGGTGCTAAGCGTGTCGCGTGGGAGGTAGAACAGGTAAACAAGCGGAAAATGTATTGGTATGGGCGTCTTGATGGATACAGAATTAGATGAAGCAGAAAATGTAAAGAACAAATAGGCCAGCTGTGGCGGTGAGAGAAGAGTAACACCTTTTAAACAGACCTTTTGGAATTTGTTACACAGCAGAGTGTTCGTGATGCTGTTCCACGACGGAGCCGGATTAAGTTCTGGTTCCGGTGCTAGTAGTTTGTGTGGGGTACAAAAGTACGAGGCTGGCTTGATTTATTGCCCCAGACCAACTTGTACCCTGGTGGTCCTGCGGTGTCGGAGCGGTAAATGAAATTACTTGCAGGTGCGTCTTTGTTGAAAATCTGCAAAATTGAATCCAAAGGAAAATTTCGTCAAGCCAATGGCATCAACAAACACAAGTAAAAATTATGATTGCCATCTAGAAAATTCCTGTAAATCTAAACTTGTATCTTGTCATCTGTTCAGCGTGGGGTCAAGTGTTGCAGTTGGCTGTGGCAGAGCTCCCCGGCCCGATAAACTGCTCCGCCAAACCCTCCGATAGCTCTCCGCCATTCTTTTTCTCCCTTTGACTCAGGATTTCGTCCCTACTTCCTCGTTCCCATCACCAATTGCTGAGCCAACACCACCCTTTTGCGCTCGCATCGCCAACCTTTTGCTCCTTTTCCACTTCTACTCACCACCTCCACCAGTCAAGCAGAGAAAAGAAAAAAGACGGACAAGGTTCCCTCCCCAATGGCCGCCCTGCGATCCTTTGGAGGAGCGCCGCTCCGATGGGCCGCCTCGGCGCGCACCGCCGCCCTCCCCTCCGCCGTCCGCTTCAACTCGTCGAGCAGCTCGTCGACCTCGGCCATCGCCTACAAGGCGCTCCGCCGCCGCTCCGCCCCGCTGCCGCTGACCGAGGCGCCACCCTCGTGGTCCGCGCAGGCGGCCGTGTCCAACATACTGTACGAGACGCCGACGCCGAGCATGGCGCCGCCCAAGCGGCACATCCTCAACTGCCTGGTGCAGAACGAGCCCGGCGTGCTGTCGCGGCTGTCGGGCATCCTGGCCGCGCGCGGCTTCAACATTGACTCGCTGGTCGTCTGCAACACCGAGGTCGAGGACCTGTCGCGCATGACCATTGTGCTGACGGGCCAGGACGGCGTCGTGGAGCAGGCGCGGCGCCAGCTCGAGGACCTGGTGCCCGTCTGGGCCGTCCTGGACTACTCGAGCGCGGCGCTCGTGCAGCGCGAGCTGCTGCTCGCCAAGATCAACATCCTCGGCCCGGAGTACTTTGAGGAGCTGCTGGCGCACCACCGCGAGATCACCACGGGCGACACCGCGGCAGAGCCGGAGCTCGCGCACGAGAACAGCCAGTCGCTCGAGGAGAGCGCCGCCCGCGACTTCCACCCCAGCAAGCTGGCCGCCTCGGAGGCCCTCCGCCACAAGCACGAGCACCTCAAGACCATCACCTACTTCACGCACCAGTTTGGCGGCAAGGTGCTCGACATTAGCACTGTCAGCTGCATCGTGGAAGTGTAAGTCTGATTTCCACAGCCTCCCCGCCGTTGCCACGGGTTTTTTCGCCGTGATTCCCTTAACTAACGATTGCTCGTCATGTAGCTCGGCCAAGCCCTCCAGAATCGACTCCTTCCTCAAGCTCGTCGCTCCGTTCGGCATCCTCGAGTCGGCCCGCACCGGTCTCATGGCCCTGCCCCGATCCCCTCTCAAGGGCCCCCACGAGGAGCAGCTGACCCTCGAGGCCGACGAGATTGTCGACGCCAGCCAGCTCCCCCCCGGTTAAGCGTGACGGTAGGGGAGATGCATAAGAGCGGCGTGCACAGCCTAGTGTACAATGGCGTATTTGGTTGGATTTGATAGCTTTTTTGTTACCAATACTGGTCTCCATCTAGATCTTTGTTTAAAATGCAAATTTTGACATGTTGATTACTTTTTTTCCCCCTAAACTCGCTAGTCCCAAAAGTCTATTGATTATAGTAGTTATAGCAACTTGCCCTTGTTGACAACGAAGCCCTCGAGCGCGGCTACAATGCTTGTTAATAATTGAAGGGTCGGCAACGACGGGATGATGGAAACTTACCGATGGCAGCCCAGAGTCGGTTCTCAGCTTCGGGGAAGACCAGAGACCTCGGGCCGTAAAACACCTCGTCAGCCACCTCTTCCTGGTGTCGCGGCAGGCAGTGCATGAACTTCCAGCCGTCCTTGGCGCCGCCGCGCTTGGCCAGGTCGTTTGTGATTTGGTAGCCGGCGAAGGCGTCGAGGCGGGCCTTGGTCTCGGCCTCCTGGCCCATGGAGATCCAGGTGTCCGTCACCAGCACGTCGGCGTCCCGGATGGCCTCCTCCGGCACCGTCGTCTCCGTCAGCTTGCCCGGCGAGGCGACGCCCTGCGCGGCGGCGGCGATGACGGCCTTCATGGCGGCCGGGATGCCGTAGCCCTGGGGCGCGGCGACGGCGATGTCGACGCCCATCTTGGTGCAGCCGATGGCGAGGTCGAAGAGCACGTTGTTGCTGTCGCCGACCCAGGCGACCTTGAGGCCCTCGAGGCCGAGGCTGCCGCTGCCGCCCGAGGATGAGGAGGGGAAGGCCTCGTGGATGGTGAGGAAGTCAGCGATTGTCTGCAGCGGGTGGAAGTCCTCGGACAGGGCGTTGATGACGGGCACGCTGGAGCCGGCGGCCAGGCCGGTGACGTCGGAGTGCGGCCCGACGCGGGCGACCATGCACGAAGTCATGGAGGAGATAACTTTTGCCGTGTCATACAGCGACTCGTTGACCTAAGGGGGAGCGTGGATGTTAGCGACGACGGTCTTAAATTTCAGGGTAGGGGGGAGGGATAGGTCGATGGCGGGCAGACATACACCTAGCTGAATGTCATCCTTGCCGAGAAACATGGGGTGGCCGCCGAGCAATGTGACGGCGGCCTCGGTGGACACGCGCGTACGGGTGCTGCGCTTGCTGAACATCATGGCGACGGTCTGGCCGGCCATGCCATCACGCAGCGTGGCCGGCGCGGCGCCCGTCTTGACCTGGGCCTTGCGGGAGGCGCCCTGGCGGACGAGGCTGGCAAACTCGGCAGGCGTGAGGTCGGCGATGGACATGAGATGCCTGGGCGCGGTCGCTGACGATACGGAGCGCTTCTGCAGCTGCAGCAGGCGGGTTGGTGCGCCGCCACCACGGGCGATGCAGCGGATAGGAGCAGAGGCGGCGTTCATGGCTGAGGAAGAGGAAGAAGATTCGAGACGAAGGAGGCGGCGATTGGCGGTTGACGCGTAGGCTCAATTGGGGGAGAATGGGCTATGTGGTCGGAATGAAGGGTGGGTGAGATGAGAGAGGGGGGTTTTGAGCTGTCCTTGCGATGCAAGGAGCTGCAGTGAATCGACGGTCACAGACGAGACATGCAAGCATGCTTATGAGCTGAGACTGTGACTGTTGAGCCGCCGGCGATCGGACAAGGCGGTGGAGCATCAGCGGTGGGCACTAGTTAACTTGGCAGTTCTCACTCACAGCCAGAAGTAGTTGAGCGGGAGTGCAGTACGAAAAGTAGAAAAATTGAAAATACGATGGTTATTTTCTGTTGATAAAATAAAAGAAGAGGTGTCACCTATCATAACAAATCCAGCTGGAAAAGCCGCTGGGAAAATGTGAGCATACTTCAGGCCAAATCAACCCACGCAGTTATGCTGTTTCAGTATAGGCAATAAAAATAGAAAGCAAATTTCGCAATAAATTTTTTAACAATCAACCTTAATGATAGCCCGCAAAAAAGATAAAAAGGAAATGAAATAGAATAAATAGTGTAGTCGTTCGCAACCATCTGGCTTCCGGACACATCCAGAAAGGCACCTGCATTCCCCCAGCAACTTACAAGCCCGTCCACTTCTTGCTGCCCCCAAACACCACAAGATTGCCATTACCACCCGCAGCTTGAGCTCCTTCAAGAGTTGTTGGGTTAGTCTCGACAGATAAACTCGCTTCCGAAAGTGACAACTTACCAGCGCAGCTCTGGTTTGGTCGCGTGCAGTGGTCCACAACCCAGAGAAGACCAGAAGCAACATCACGGCTAAATGTTCTGTCAGTATATCTCACCAGAGTTGTCCGAGAGAGTATGTCCTTCATACCAGTATGAGGAAGCGCCGTTGCTCTTGAGCGAGGTGCCTGTGATGGAGGCGTCACCAGAGTGGCAGAACTCGATGCTCTTGTAGTTGCCTGGAGTCGTGCACCTCTGGGTGCCGAGGTTCTTCAGGTAGTGGTAGCAGGCGATGATGCCGTTGACGTTGGTGTACGCGGCGTCGGCGGGACCGCACTTGCCGACAAAGTTGGCAGAGAAGGCCTCAAGGTCGGCTTGGAAACAGCCGCATTAGCAATAGGCAAGGGTGATGGACAGCAGACGTACCGGGTTCGGGTGGCCCCATGCTGTACAGTTGCTCTGTTGTGAGGCCCAGCTCCTGGAGACTGGGAAGACCAGGACCAGGGACGACCTCGGGGTACTGGATGGTGCCGGCCAGTGCCATGGGCGCAAGGGCCAGAAAATGGACGAGGAGACGGGCGGACATTTTGATCGATGATGTCTTGTAAATTTTGTGTATAGACCTCCGAAAAAGAACTACTCATGTCGACATGATCGGGGTATTTATACCTCTGCGGCTGAAGATTTAACCGGCGATGACGCTTCATGCTGACCGCAGCATCCTTCAACTGGCAAGCCGGACGATGCTACTCTGGACCAGTCTGGGCAATATGAAGCCCATGTGCATTTCTCTTGGCCGTCCGTAGAGGCTGACTTCGGATACTTTCAACGTCCCTCCCATGCGCGGGGATCCTGCATCGTCCCGCCATCTTACTTCCTATTACGGAACGAGGCGGGTACCATTCGGCGTCTTTTGTTCAATTCTTTCGATTAGTCTAGTTATGTTATGTCGGGATCATCAGATTTCATATTCGGAGGTTGCCATTTCGAGTTGAAATTGTCGGGTTGCTGTTTTCAACGTAGCAGCCCGGAGACTTGCGCAGCCTTGTTCGTATGTGCTACATAGGATGGCGTTGAATGCAACGTAGATCGGCATCAGCCAAGGCAGTCATCATTCAAAAAGAGTGGGATTCTCTTGGCAAATGTTGAAAAAGAAAAAGATAAGCTAGCTGGCGAGGCTGGTAATTTGATGGTGTTGAATGTCTCCGGATCTGCAAGACTTGGGCTGCGTGGTCCGACCCCCGAACACCATTCAACAAACTATAAATTGATGAAGGGAAGCCCAGCACTATTCAGAGAGAGAAAACCATAGCTTCCTCAACTCACCTCATAAACCAGTCCAACTTTTCCAGTCCAACATGGCAGCACATATCATCCTCGGCCTTCTCTCCCTCACCACCGCCGCCGCTCCGGCCGGCGCCACGACGGAGCAGCAGCCCGAAGTCATCCCCGGCCCCGGCATGCCCAGCCTCCAAGAGCTTGGCGTTACATCTGCCGAGCTGTACCAGCAAGGTCTTCCCAAACGTACGTCCGCCTCCCTGCATGTTTCTTCCTACCCAACATCTGCGCTAACCTTTGCCCAAAACAGCCGCCGAGCTCAGCGTCCTCTCGGCCAACTTCAACCCCATCTGCGGGCCCAACGAAAGCCGCTACACAAACGTCAACGGCCTCGTCGCGTGCTTCCACTACCTGCAGAAGCTCGGCACCCAGCAGTGCAAGGTGCCGAGCGAGCACTCGGTCTTTTGCCGCGCGGGCGACGCCGTGGTGCTCGGGCAGGCGGCGAACCTGCACGGCGCGTCGTCTTACTGGTAAGGTGTTGTTTGCTGTGTTCTGTTTGGATGATTGCTGACGGAGATTTGCGAAAGCCGTGATGTTGCGACTGGTCTTTTGTACACGATCGACCACTGCACCCGCCCGGACAAGAGCTGCGCTGGTATGTTGTTCTCTCTTCCCCTGTTGAGATTGCGGTTGAGATGACGGAGAGTTGTGCTGACGGGACGGAAATAGGCGCCCAGGCGGCAGGAGGAAATGGAAATTTGATTGTTGTTTCCGGTGACAAGAGAGTCTATGGCTAATTCCGCTTTGACGATTCGTCCACCGAGCTTCAACGTCTGTCTATTAGGATGTGCACCTTCTTGGGAGAGCTGGACCATGCTAGTCTTCCAAACTTATAGTCACAGTCTTGAGCTCACCACGAGACTAGATTGCGATGAAATAGAAGCAGCTTTTACCGTGAATCCTTCCATGGCTTTTCCGCCATGGCTTTTCCGCCATGGCTTTTACGGTGGTGGACATTTAGCAATGTGCGTTGGTTGGTCTCCCTTGTCGTGGCGCTCCCGGAAGCACCGGAGCTTCGCTGGCGGTCCAACTTGGGGCCGGCCAGAAACAGGACTTGTCTCGTCTGTTTGTCCATTTTTGTGTTGAACAGGTAGGGAGGCTGTGAAATTGACGGCAGAATTCATGCTTATCTTAATTTTCTTTCAAAATTACATTGCCGACGAACCATTTGCCAGACTGGATTGCTTGCCCGTACCATACATGATGCGCGTTGTGCCACGCCAAATGAGCTGCGGACAGCAAGGACGCTGTATTTCATATCAAGCCCGAGTGTAGTGAAATAAGTATTCGAAGCTTTCTTACGTTGTCAATGCCCGCTGCCTCGTAGCCGGTGCCCGTGGCTGGCCGCTCAGTGCTGGGCTTGCCTCAAGCAACAGTCGACCACTTCCCCGGTGTAATCGGTGAGATGGAGCACCAGGGGGTAGACATACCGAGAACGGGCACATCTCACCGCAGGATCAACTCCATCCCTCAACCTGTCCGAGCCACGTCAGCAGCGTCGCGGAGATTCCCCCAATGGCTCGGGCCGCCGGAGATTCGCCACTAACGAAGGGGCAGCGGCGGCAAGATCGGAAGCTTCGGATCGGCGACGGCGCCCACTAGGGAGAACCACCAAGTCTTGGCGCCGTAGGGCTGACTGACGACTTGCTCAAAAGATTGAGCTAGAGCGTGCAAAGATCTGGTATGATTGGCCTGATGCTTTTTTTACAGTCTTTGCTCGGCAGTTGAGCTCTACCTGTGTCTGTGCTACGAGTACCACTCCTCATAACGGTTCAACTTATATGCAATGGCTGGCAGAAAATGAATATAAATCCAATCGCTCGAATGCTTCAAGATGGCTAATATGCAAAATATGATTTATGTACCCTTGTGCCCCGCCCTCCCAGTATCGTACAACTACACGCGGCTCTCCGCAACAACCGGTCGGTATCCCCTCCGTCTGCGCGCGGCGCATCGCCTCCGAAACAGCTTCACGCCGAGATACACGCCGACCACGACGCCGACCACGCCGCTGACGATCGACACGACCCAGTGCTTGCGCCCGAGCACGAAAATGTCGACCGGCCAGTCGGCTGCGCGCCCGCCGCGGTGGCTGCTGAAGATGGACCACTCGGGGGCACCGCGCCAGCGGGGCATGGACAGCCGCGTGAGCCAGTCGGCGGCGCGAGGGCCCGTGCGGAACAGCGACTGCTGGCAGTTGTCCCAGTGCCAGCGGTCCCAGGCGGCGGTGAGGAACCAGCGGCCGGTGCCGTAGAGCACGGCGAGGGACGGGAAGACGTACCAGTGCGAGTGCCGCGGGATGGTCTCGGTAACGCTCACCCAGAACGGGTGCTGGGGCGCGCCGCCGAGGACCTTGTCGCTGAGGGTGCCGCGGCGGTGATCGGCGATGAAGGCCGAGTATGGTCGGAGGCTCTCGAAGCTGTTGACGCAGCCCTGTGCTGTGTTAGCTGAGCTGTGCAGAAAAGAACAGACAGAGAAGGACGAGGATCGGCGGGCTGTCTTACAAAATCGAGGTCAATGTAGATGCCGCCGTAATGTCGTAATATAAAATATCGGATCGAATGCTCCCTTTGAATGGGATATCTAAAGTCGTCGTAGGTCTTTATAAACCATGGATATTCGGTTTGGAGAAACTGGCGTGATATGTCTTCTGTCCACAGCTACCAATCACCAATGTTAGCGAGAGCCGGCCTGGACCGCTGCTGCATCCTATGTCTAGCGCACCTTGTACTCCCAGTCGGGGTTCTGGTCCCGACATGACTGCCGCTGCGTCTCCCACTCTGGCAGCAGGGCCGAGTCGTTGCCCACGGGCCGCCAGTTGTGCAGAACCTGGTGGATGAGGCGCGGGACATTCTTGGGCTGGTTCTTCTGAACGCGGAATCGCGCCAGGGCCTGGTCCTGGTTCAGCGGGTAGCCGGCATGCGGAACGAAGAGGCGGAGGAAGCTGCCGACGGCCTGGTAGGAGTTGTAGAGGACGACGATGGCGATGGTGACGAGGAAGAGGACCGAGAGGAATCGACGTCGGCGGCTCATTGTCGGGGGCTCGCAGCAGCCAGTGAATGTCGAGTGCGACCTGGTGTCGCTATGGTGGAGCGAGAGCGCTGTATCGTGAGGGGATTGCGACGGATAGACGACCGAGGAGCGAAGAATGACGAGATGACAAGGAGTGTGGGTGTAAAAAGGATTGACTGGATGTTGGACGGAGGAGCAGAAAAGCCACCGAAGCACGCATAAGGTGCAAAAAGTTTCCCGACGTAAATGGGGGCAGAGAGGAGAGAGGGCCAGGGGGGGGATCATTACCCGTCTCGTGGAACATGACCACACCGGTCAGGGCGTTTGATCTCAGCCTCATCGTGGTAACATGCTGGCAGGCAAGCAGGGCTTCGCACGAGTCGGGCACTCTGACCCAAATTGGGACGAGGCGCGGGGGGGGGTGGCCACGCAATGTGGTGGATCGTCGACAGAAAGGAACAGGGAAAAGCGAGACGCCAATCCGAGCAGCGAAAACAGGCTGCGAGTAATATAATATCAAACTACTGGGCCTATGACCTCTGACCAGCAGATCTTTCCAGCCAATTTTTCGTAACTAGAAGGATACCAGTACAACGCATGCAGGGCCCCCAGTCCGCCCGAGCGCCCCTCGAAAAATGAGGGCTGTGTAACGAACGATGTGAGGCGTTTTCATTGACTTTGCTGTTCTTCGTTCTTTGCCGATCGTCAACGAGGTAGCTAGCGTAGCACTCTCTTGCCGTACAGGGCTGGCAAGGACAGACGACGCCACAAGGTATTACTGGGCTGACATATTTAGTTGTCTTGTGGTTCGCTGAATCGCCAAGTCGGCTTCCTTGAGCGGTCTAGCATCGTTTGAAAGGTGTGTATGCAAGTGGGCGAGGTGGGCGCGGTGGGCGACAAACGGCCAAGTAAAAGGCAGCATGTTCCTTACGAAAAATAGGGGACCATGACGAATGGGGGGATGGCCCCAGTAATAGCCCTATCTTCAGGCACGCTAGACATGGCGCGTGAGGGTCTGGCGTAACTATCTAGAGCCTGGAACGTGGGTAAACTTTGGGGCGTCTGTACAAGTAAATTTGCCGACAATAATTCGTCACTGGTTTGCCTAATCTGAACTAGTTAGTTCTCCTACTAGTTCTGCTACTAGTTCTCCGACTCCTGCGGTACAGCCTGGCTTCGTTTATTATATAATTAATGCTACAGGAAAGACCTGCCTTATGTTGGGAAGTTGAGGTGGTCGGCCGATTCTTCGTGCTGGCACTCCAAATTGTCCTCTCTCAAGCCGGTGGACAGCGCCCTCCAAAGACATGGACAAGAATCCCGATAGGCTTGCATGTGCATTGGATCAGCAGCTGGTCATACAGTAAACTCGAGTCAGTCATGCTGGGAGCGTGCGACTCGGCTCAGCACGGCAGTGGCAATGCAACTAACTATAATATATCGTTAAGAAAATAACCCAAGAAGAGCAGCCAGTCATCGTACAAATAACTGATAGAAAAGTCTGATACACCTCAGCGTCACTTTTACGGGTAGGCAACCGGCGGCCAGTTCTGAGCCGACCCCGCTAAAATCAAAGCGGGTGTTCCAGAAGACAGTGTCTAGGTCACCTGTAACTCTTTTCCCAATGCAACTGCACTCTCCAATTTAGCGTTGACGATAAACTCAGTGCATTCGAGGCACAGTCGCAAGTTGACAGGCCGCCAAGGAAGATCATATCCAAGCGTCGCCTGGCAGGTTTCAATCATATCGTTATTCTAGCCCAACAGACATGCACAGGCAGACGGACACGTAACCCATAATAGTCCATCCAGCCTTGGCATTCGAGTTCGACTGGTAGAGGGCCACGAGTGCCGCCAGCCACCACTCGGAGGGCCCGATTACCCGATTACCCGTCTCACCATTATCAGCACAGAAGCGCATTCCTTCACCTGACAGATGTAAATCTTCTTCATTTCGGGCCCAGCTTCAAATTAAACGGGCATGACCGCGCGAAACAATGGCTGCTCATTTCCTCCACTTCACTGCGCCTCGCCCAGCAAGGCTTGCCGCTTTCCCCCCTTGCCTCTGCGCTTGGTAGTGCTCTGATCGACGCCAGCTCGCCCAACCAGGAGCACAGAGCTCTGACAATCAGGGAGGATGAAGACGCAACCGCCCGGTAGCCGGACCGAGGAAAGCGACAGCAATGGCCCAAGTCTGTTTCGCGCCAGAAAACTCATCTGGCTCCCCCAAAGCCAATAAACAAGCGCCGTCGTAGTCGCGGCCGCAACGTTGCCGATTGCAATCCCCTCCAAGGCCGCGAGCTCGCAGCCATCAATTGTGCACGCGTAGCTGTTCATCGACATGATTGGGACCTGTAATCGGGCAGTTCTTACAGCCCTGAGCAAGCCGTGGTCGGCGCACCGTCTTGGGACTGTTGAACACAACACCCTTCTAGATTCAGTAGGACATGAGCTAGATATTTGAGATGAAGGATATAAACATGCTCAGAGGAGGAATTTGGATGGGGCAAATTGGTAGTTAGACTGCAAGGTCAGAAGATCCGCCAGGAAAGACACCATTTTCTACCCATCACGCAACATCACCGAACCTTGTAAGCACCAGCGCCCTTTCTACTATTTTTGTGTTTGCTCCCTGAGAGGAAAGAAATCGCAGTCGAAACAGAAAGAGTGCGGTGGGTTGGATCCCATTCTTTTCTTTGTGCCTATGATAACGTCTCTCTAGACTCCCGATCAGATCCTTCATCATTTTGACAATTATCAGCTTCGCTACAGACTCTCCCAATGTTATCATCTTCTGCCAAGTTGGCGTGTTCATCATCACTGCGTCACAGGTGTGAGCGCGGGTACCTGGAGACGTAATAGGTAAAACATGGGCCCGGACCGGCCAGCCGGATCAAGGAATACAACAGTCAAGTCGCAGTAGTGTCAGGTTTTTCCTAGCAAAATATTAAGCAAAACAATTCAGCAAGCCTTGACATACTATAGAATTGGAAAACATTCATTCAATTCATACTGCGCTTGTAATGACGGCCACGCCAGTACCAAGCGAGGTACGTACCGGAATCGTCGTCACAAGGGCGCCCCACTCCACTCCCTCTTGATCATCGCATGTGCCGGTTTCATTGCGGCCTCGGACTAGGCTTATCTTGTCATCATCATTTCGTGCCCATCTAGCTGACGACCTTCATCTCCAAACTGCGGCCAACTCACCTCTCCAACCGCGTACACGCACACACCCATCATCCTAGCCATCATGGCTCCCAAAAAGCGCCAAGAGGAGCGGGCCGCCGAGTCCGAGCCTCTCCTCTCTGGCGACCGCGACACCACTACCACCTACGGCTCGCAAACGGCCGCGGCAACGAGCGAGGCCGCCAGCGACGTTCCATCATCGCCATCATCATCCTCGGCGCCCCCTCTCAAGCCGCAACAGAAGAGCAAGCGGCGATGGCCATCCCTCGTCGCCATGGTGCTCCTCGGCAGCGTCTTCATCACTGTCATCGTCCTCGGCTTCCTCGTCCCGCCCGCCGTGCAGACGTACATTGAAAAGGCCGTCGTGCTCGAGCCGACGGGTCTCTCGCTCGACTCCATCAGCTTCACCGGCATCCGCGCCCGCGTCCAGGGCAACTTCCGTATGGAACCCGCCCGCGTCGAGGACCCCACCGCGCGCCGCATCGGCCGCATCGCGATGCGGGTCATGCGCAGCGTCGCCGCCGAGCAGACGCACATCAAGCTCTACGTCCCCGGCTACGGCGACGCCATGGTTGGATCCGCCGTCGTGCCCCCGATCGACCTCAACCTCATCGACGGCCAAAACACCTTCATCGACGTCGTCACCGACATGAAGCTCGGCGACAACGCGAGCATCAAGAAGATTGTCAACGACTGGCTCACCGGCAAGATTAGCGAGCTCGAGGTCAAGACGGCCACCGCCCTGCAGCTCAAGTCGGGTTTCATACCCCTCGGAACTCATGATGTTGTGGAATCCATGGTTTTAGAAGGTCAATCTCTCTACGACACATTTTCTTCCCTGTACTTTGGCGAAAAGTCCATTAGCTAGATACCTACCCTTTATTGCTTTATTTTTACATTTATCCCAGTTGTTTTTAATTACGCTACTCATTTCATAACTCGCCTTCTTTGCTCAGTTTGCTGACTGTTTTGCAGCCAAAGATGCTCCTTCAATGCCCGAATACAGCATTCAGCACCTCAACTTTCACCAAGTCCCTCTGGGCCATGGCGATGGTCAGGGCATCGGCGCAAATGTCTCAGTCACCGTGCAGAATGAATACCCCCTCTCGTTGACCGTGCCCCGCGTCGGCTTCGAGGTCCTCATCTCCGGATGCACGCCCGACGATCCTAAGATTACCGTCGGCACCGCTACGTCCAGCATCATCCAAGTGAAGCCAAACACTGACATCATCGCCGAGGCGTCCGGCTTGATCAGCAAGCTGCCGCAGAAGCTCACGCAGGCTTGTCCCGTTTCCGAGCTGTCACCACTTGATGAATTCATCAAGCACTACCTCGGGGGCGGGAATGGTCAGATCTTTGTGCGTGGCAAGCAGCCCAGCGATTCCGAGCTTCCCGACTGGCTGGGCGATATTTTGGCTAGCGTCACCGTCCCCATTGACTTTCCTGGAAGTTCCTTCGATAACTTGCTTCGCAACTTTTCTCTGACTGATGTCGACTTTTCACTTCCCAGCCCGTTCGAGCCGCAGGGCAAGCCTCGTGTATCTGGCACCGTTGTCGCCGTCGCAGCTCTGCCAGAGGGTGTTGATGTGGAGCTGGGAGTACAGAGCCTCAAGTCGCAGGGCAATCTGTTCTACAAGGATAAAAAGTTTGGCGAGCTTAACCTGCGCAAGTGGCAAAAGGCCTCGTCTCGCAAGCTCGATTCCGACGCGAAAGAAGTGCTACTCGAGATCAAGTCGCGCGTCGATAACGCACCGATCGACATTACCGACAACGACGTCTTTTCATCCCTCGCAAGCGAATACCTCTTTGGCTCCGACAATGTTATTGTCCATGCCCGTGCAAAGCTGGACGTCAAGGTTGACACCGTCCTCGGTCCTCTGGTCATCAAGGACGTCCCCGCCGAGGGGCAAGTTCCCGTCAACGGTCCGTCATCCAACTGGTAACCCGCCTTTGCCGTTTCCTTGTCCACACTCTCGTAGCAAATGCGTCGTGACGATCCGGTCGTGACGCCCCACCGGGCTGCGAAACGGACACTGACGACAATGCAGGGCTTCCGGGGGACCTTTTTAGCCAATTCAAACCGCGTGTCGGGGACATTTGGGTCCGCAACACAACTTCGACTGCTGTGAGACTGGAGTGCGTTGTCGACTTTACAAACCCCACGCCTTACAAAGCAACGGTTCCCTACCTTAATCTGCATGTTGTCGCGGGCGACGACATCCTGGCCGACGTCACCGTGCAGGATCTGTTGGTAGGCAAAGGCAACGTCACCAATGTCACTGTTAGCGCTTCCTGGAACCCAACGGGCCTCGGTGGCGAAAGGAGCCGTGACGCTGGACGCAAGCTCATCTCCGATTACCTCTCTGGCAAGAATACCAACATCACGATACGCTCCCATCGCGGTAGTCTGCCCAACCTACCAGACCTAGGCGAAGCCCTCTCACGGCTGAATCTGACCCTTCCGACACCCCGCCTCGAGCTCCCCGGCGGCGACGGGAGTCGGCATGACAACACCTCCTCCATGCCCGGCTTCGTCCGCGAAGCCTTCTTCCACCTGCTAACCTCGTCGGCGACCTTTGTCCTCGCCTCGCCGCTGCCCCGGAACACGATCCACATTGAGCGCATCGACGCCACAGCCCTCTACAATCACACCGAACCCGTGGCGCGCATTGAGCACTCCCAGGTCTTTGACGTGCCCCCTGGCCTTTCCGAAACACCCCGGCTGCCGGTGAGCTGGTTACGCGGCGGCGGAAAACTTGGTTACGATCGCCTACGCGAGGCCCTTGGCGGGTCGCTGCGTCTCGACGCACAAGCGCATGTTACGGTGCGGCTGGGCAACTGGGTCGAGACGCTGCGGTACGAGGGTCGTGGAATCGGCGCCAAGGTGCGGCTCTGATGACTCGATATCTATCATGATGTCTTTTCTTTCCTTGCTGTTGATTTTCCTTGTTTTTTTTTCTCCCTTTGGCAAGCGAGTTCTGTTTACACGGCTGAGATGATGGGCGTTTTCTTTTGCGGACTCTTTGGTCAAGAACAGAACACTTCGCGGCAATTTCCTGTTTCGCGTTATCACTAGACTCTTGTTAATTTAGACCCCTCTATCTCAATAGGGCAGAAACGCACATTTCTTGAATATATGACGATAGATACTTTCCACTCTCGTCTCGTCCGTCAGCCCACGCGACGACTATGATCGGCAAGTTGCGTTAGGCGTTAATACGGGTGTGCTTGGTTCCCGCATGGTGTGATGCATGCGTCGCAGAATATGGTCCAGTGTAGGCTAGAGCTCGACGTGTTTCGTCTTGTCTACCCCAAATGCCGGGCATAACGCAGTGAAGCACATGAAACCCGCTGGAGTCAAGCTTCATGGGAGACAAGGAATTTAGGCGGCATGTAAAACGTCGAGGCGTTAAGGCAACCTGATATAGCCTAAGCGCATAAAGTGAACTCGGTCAATATCTACCTGATAGCCGACCTTGCATTTTCAACCTGTTTTAGATGGCAGTCTCTAGGTTCATGCAAAGCATGTCTATGCTGATAATACATGTATTGTGATGCTTTTATTTAGCTGGCTTGATCCCCGTGGACGGCCAAGGAATTTTGCCATCTCTCTCTTGGTACCTGCTACGCTTCTCGACGCGCCTATACCTTTAGTTACACATTCAGCCATTCAGTATGAGGTTTACTCCTGCTGCTACGACTGCCTTTGCGGCCTTGACTTCTCTCTGCGCTGCCTTGCCTACTTCAGGTCAGTCTCCAAGAACTCCCCGACGCGATTCACTTTTAGTCTACACAAAAGTTTACCTCCGAGGAGGAAGAAATAGTGCTGACGCTTACAAGCTGGCGGTAGTGGACTGGTTACCGCCGCGGTCGACCTGGGTCCCCGTGCGGGCAACGACATCGCCGACAGCGCGGCTGGGCTCGCCAACAGCATCCAGGGCGGCAACGGTGGCGACATCGCGGACAGTGCGTTGGGACTTGCTTCTAGCATCGTTGGAAGTATCTTCAATAAGAAGGAAAATTAAATACACGGTCGCATCTTTTATCTCTTTGTTCAACGTATCTCCTGTTCTAACTGCGCTGTGGTGTCATCTCTTGCCTAATCGAATCAATCAACAGGGGTATAGTTCAACAACAAAATTGTCCCACTACAGACCTATCGTGCTTTGTAAAACAGTATGCTTCGGACGAGAAGAGCTATGCGACGCCTGGAACTGAGTTTGCTTTGCAGCTCGTCTTTTGTAAGCTTGCGCGTCTACGATATTACCCTACACCTAGGCGCGACAGGATATTGCTGTTGCACGAATGCTTGGTAGTATTGGGAGTTGATCATGGATGTGTTTCAGCTGGAGGTATTGCAGACCCAATGTGGAGGGGCTTGCACAATGAGTATTTGGCCCTGTGTTGCCATGATGTTCATTTCCATGAGGTGGGTGAGGACAAGGCGGTGACTTTGGCCTGGGTGCTTGGCGATCAGCTGGGCGGCGCTACTGCAGGCTTTGGTGGCCAGCAGCCGGGTTAAATACGAAGAGCAGGGAGAGGTTCATGAGGTCGAGCTGGGATGTCTTGGGTCGTCGTCATGGCGGGCCAATAAATGGGATGTGGTGTCGCACGGCAGAGGGACGAGGCGCGGTGTGATGAGGGCGGGAGGATTAGGCCTGGACGGCTGGAGGGGAAGGGGGGTTCATTGTACAGACGACCAGCTGGCGGCGGCAAGGATGATGGTAGTACTTGTACTTGATGGTGTATGGTTTCCATTGTTTGGATAGTTGTTGTTGTTGATGACCATCGACTTTGGCAGCCGCCAAGAGTACGGCTTCCTCTTGGGTGATAAATGACCCCCGATTTGCAAGATTAGTTACTACAAACTGGTATCGTCAACGTGGTGGGGATGCCGAGTTGGCCGAAAGCGGAAGACCCTGGTCCTGAGGCTGCAGCCTGGCAGGGTGAATGTCCATTATAAGTTTGGGCCGTGCACCGTAAGTAAACACCTGTACAGTCAACACAGTATTCCGTACTCCGTAGTTACTGGCCGATCAAATCAACAAGGATTCCCGACCAAAATAAAATGGGCACGATAAATTGCTAAAACAAAACAGAATAGATGAAATAGATGCAATGGATAGAAAAAGACGAAAAAAAAAAAACAAAGGCCAGAAGGGATAGAAATATTTTGATGCGGAGTGGCTAGAGTGAATGGTGTTGGCGTTGCTGTGCGTGCGCAAGCCGCGCATGGGATGCGATGCGGCAGAGGCAGCAGCCGCCCATAGGACGACCGATGTGAGTGTTTTCCCGATCATTTTTGGTCCTCGCTTCGCTCGATGTCGGGGGCGGTTGAACGAGTAGCAGAGTAGAAGGGGTTGGATAAGGGCGATGCGTGTTTTTTTAAGAAAAACCTTGGTTTATCGGCCAACAAGAAAAACGACAAAGACACCGTTGGAAGACACCAGGGAAATAATATAGACGGGCTGTCAGTAGCGGCGGACCGGGAGGGTGGCCAGTTGAGAATAACGTATGTATGTATGTATGTCACCTGCGAACTACCTACAGAACATAGAGGACATATGCTTTTGAACTTGCCTTTCGGCCAACACAGCCCGTTGACAAGGTCATTATGCGTAATGCCGACAGCTGCTCATGAGAGATGTTGGCGATAAAGAGCGTCTTCATCTTAATCCATAGAAAAAGAAACTAAATACCAGGCAAAGTCTTGGCAGATGGCTCGACTTTTGGTGGATTTGGAGCCTAATAAAGCCCGGCCCGCTGGAGACGCCCAAAAGGCTGGCAGCTAATTACCTGTGGATTACGGTGGTGCTGATGAACCTTGTCCGCATTCTGAGTTTCTGACAGTGGTCGCTCCTCCCCACTGGCGGCGGGCCTCAACGGCAACACTCTTTTCTTTTCTTCCCGTTGTCTCACGTCCGCTTGCGCTGCGCAAAGATCACGCGCTGTCTACTTTCTGTGCGACGCACTCGTTGTGCAATTCATCTTGCCGCATTTATATTCAATCAGCTACTATTTTCCCGCGCCAACTCACTTTCCCAATCCATCCCCATTCACCACGTTCGCTACCCAGCCCTTCGGGTCCTGCCTCAACCGCCATTGCGCTGATCGACAAACGCTGTCGCACCCGACCCTGCCGACGCCAATCTCTGCAGATTTTCTTTTAATTCTTTTTGTTCCTTTATCTTCCGATTATTAACATCGCTACCGAATACGCCCTGCCGATAGAGGCCCCGAGGGGCGCCGCCGCTCTAGTTCCCGTGGCGTCTTCAACCCGGTGTGCCATACGCCATATCCACATACCGCGCCCTCCTTCGAGATATAAGCAAGGTCGACGAGATAAACAAGAAAGACAAAACAAACGAGGCGGAAGAGGCGGAAAAAGTACACGAGACAGATTCGACAGTCAAGCATGGTTGACGACGCTCAATAATGCACTTTGCGACCAAGGCTTGCCCCCATATTCTGCTGCCCATCGCCCGCCGCCATGAGGGTCGCCATTCGTGAGCAGCTGGCCATCCTCGTCATCTTCGTTGTCCTCGCATGCTTGATTGCCGTCTCCGTTCCCACCTGGAGCTTTGTTTACAACTTTGTCGTCGGTGTCGAGACCTCCAGCCTCGCCCTCACGGCCTCGCTCAAGGCCACCCGCATCAGCTCCGAGATCAACCTGCTCCTCATCATCTGCCAGTCCGTTGCCAGCCGCCTCCTCCTCCAGGAGGCCTTTGTCGACTTTTACAATGGAAACGCCACCACCAATCCCTTCGACTCGGCCCGCAAAGACATTACCAGTGCCATGACTAATAGCCAGGTCTCTGGCCTGCTCCAAGCGCGCATTTATTCTCGAAACATCACTGGTGCTGCTGATAAAGGCCTCCTCAACGTCACCGCCGCCGGCATAGGCAATCAGGAACGGAACATTGCTCTCCCCTATCTTACACCAGACGGCCAACGCGCAAACCTCAGCGATACCCAATGGGGGTACCCTCCCGATCTCTATCCCAACATCACCTACCTGGCTACAGGTAATCCCGTCAACGGCCTTCCGGACACACAAGCCTGGATAGCGGATGCTTTCCCAAACGTTAGAATCAGCGACAAAGGAGGCCTGCTCCTGGGTCCTCTCATAGTAAATGAGACTTACGCCCTTATGTCCCTGACCATCCCCGTTCGATCTAATTATAATTCGCGATACTTTCTTGGCTACATGACACTTGTTGTGTCCGCAACCTCTCTTCTCGAGGTCCAGACCTCTCGCGAAGGCTTGGATAAATCGGGCATGGTCCTGATTGTTGGTCCCGCCCACGCCTCCAACAAGTTCTCTGGGACCACGACGCCCAACAATGGCTCCCAATCCCCTGAAAAGTTCGCTCTAGGCGCGGTCAAGGCACATTTCGTGCTGCCACCCATAACCCCTCAGGGGCAAGCTGACAGGCATGGAAATCGAGACTACGAGAGCGGTAAATACACAAACACCGCCTTCAGCCTTTCGCAGTACGAATCCGTACTCGATGTATACTACAATAATGCCACCCAGCTCAACAATGCAACCGCCGACTTGTCCACCACAAACGAGCAGGGCATCCCTGTAGCCGTCGGTATTGCCCGTCCCCAGTCTGACCTCGTCAACTGGGCCGTGGTCGTGGAAAAGGCGAGGTCCGAAGCATATCAGCCAATATCCAAACTTCGGCTGATTCTTCTCGCCTGCTCCTTTGGAACCGCAGGCCTTATTCTTATCCTCGTCATCCCCTGTGCCCATTTGGGTGTCAGGCCCATCCGTCGTCTCAAAGAGGCTACCGAGAAGTCTATTCGGCCTCCAGGTTACGAGGATGAATTTGAAGTGAGCGATGGTGACGGACCAAGCTCCGGCGCGACTCGAACCACAACGTCCAGCAAAGGCCGATTTTTTGCTCCTTTACGGCGCAGATTTAGGAAAAAGAAGAAGCCATTGACTGCAGCCGAGATTGAGGCCCACCGACGAGTCTTCAGGATTCCTGGACGAGTAGAGCAAGGAAAGCACTTTGTGACCGACGAACTCACTGAGCTCACCCAGACATACAACAGTATGACTGATGAACTTTTAAAGCAGTACACGATCCTGGAAGACAAGGTGGCTGAACGCACGCATCAGCTTGAGATTAGTAAAAAAGCTGCCGAGGCTGCCAACGAGAGCAAGACGCTCTTCATCGCCAACATCTCTCATGAGCTCAAGACGCCCCTCAACGGAATCATGGGTATATGTGCCGTCTGTATGGAGGATGACGATCTTAACCGCATCAGATCATCGTTACGGACTGTGTATAAGTCGGGAGACCTGCTGCTACATCTCCTTGAAGATTTGCTGAGCTTCTCCAAGAATCAAATCAGCCACCAAGTCAGCCTCGAGCGAAGAGAATTCCGCCTCGGGGATATTAAGACACAGATTGCGTCGATCTTTGACAAACAAGCGAGGGAAAACAAGATCCAGCTCTCTGTTGATTATCTCTCATTTGATAGTTTGCAAGGGCCAGCAGAAGCGCTGCATCGCAGCCCAGACGAACGGTTACCAGCTTTGGGGCCACCTGGCATGGGCCGGCTGAAGGATGCGTACCTCATGGGTGATCACCACCGCATTCTGCAAGTTATCATCAACTTGGTGGGCAACAGTGTCAAGTTCACCCCAGTGGGCGGCAAAGTGGCGCTGCGCATACGCTGCCTGGGCGAGGTCGAACAGACCAGTAGTGATGAGCTTAGCAGAAACTCGTCTCTCTCTCGGTCTCCGTCTGTTGCGCAGGCCTTGCGCACTCGAACGCGCGGCAACTCCAGCTCCGTTCACTCCAGCCATTCAGCAACAGCAACAGCAACGGCTGTGAAGGACGGAACCGCCCTTGAGATTAACCCCATGGAGCCCAAGGTGACTCCGCGTGTCTCTGTGCGCGAGCGGTCCGTATCACCACCGCCGATCAAGTACAAATCTTTCATCTTCGAGTTCGAGGTGCAAGATTCTGGGCACGGCATTCCGGAACACATGCAGACCAAAATCTTCGAGCCGTTTGTTCAAGGCGATTCTGGCCTGAATAAGAAGTTTGGCGGCACAGGCTTAGGGCTGAGCATCTGCGCTCAGCTTGTTAAGCTCATGGGTGGTACCATCGGCGTCAAGAGCGCACCCGAGCAAGGCTCTATCTTTACCATGCGGATACCGCTTGAGTATGTCAAGGACCGTACTCCGAGCACGGCCTCGTCGAGCATCCGATCTCGCTCTGCCAGCGTGGATGAGACACAGCGTAAGTCACTCACGAGTATGACGGTCAGCAACGGCACTTCAAGCGCCAGCCATAGCGACCAAAAGCACAGCAGCAGTGGTGGTAGCGCCGGTAACACCGCCAACCACCTTCTCGAAAATAAGCCGCGCCTCGTCGGCCTAAGCGTGCCGTTCTTCACCACGAATGAGTCACCTCACACCGATGCTAGCAAGAACTTTGGCACACGCGGCGCGCGTAGCACGGGTAGTAGCAAGCTCAAGGTTCTAGTAGCCGATGATAACGCGACAAACATTGAGGTCGTCAGCCGCATGCTCAAGCTCGAAGACGTCTACGACGTGACGGTGGCCAAGGACGGGCAAGAGGCGTACGAGCTGGTCAAGGAGAGCATGTCGGGGTCGCCGCAGGCTCAGCAGAAGCAGTTTGACGTCATCTTCATGGACGTGCAGATGCCTAATGTCAATGGCCTCGAGTCGACGCGCCTCATCCGCAAGATGGGCTATGTCGCGCCGATTGTCGCCTTGACGGCCTTTTCCGAGGAGAGCAACGTTCAGGAATGCATGGCGTCGGGCATGAACGAGTTCCTGAGCAAGCCCATACGGCGGCCAGCGCTGAAAAAGGTCCTCACAAAGATCTCGACCATTGAGGAAGAGGACCTGACGTTGCAGCCACCGCCGACGCCGCCACAGGGACTGCAGGTTTCGCCCCCGCCGACGCCCCCGACGACAGGTGGTGACGAGGTCAACGGCCTCGTGGACGAGGAGAAGACGAAGGCGGCCTGAGAGTTTTGGCCTGGATTCGTCCGCTCCCTGAAGAAATAACTCTCGCAGTCCCAGGAAGGGCAAGGAACTGTATAACTTGACCGCACATGTAAGCTGTTGAAGTAATTAAAAAGCTGTACATTGATTGTTAGACTAAGCAAAAAGCGATGGCGTTTTCTTTCTGTCTTTTCGTTACTTTTATTTTATATCAGCTTCAAAACTTTTTTTTTTTTAGAAGGTAGGTTGGTCTTTTCAATGGCAGGCCTTTTTCAATGGCAGGCCTTTTGGATATTCAGTTGTTCTTCCTTTCCTTCTTACACATGTACATGTATATATACAGACACATTCAGCAACAGGGCTCATAGAGCAAAAACGTCACACAGCGGCCACTCATGAGATGACTACTATAGTACAATGCAGCTCATATTGACTTTCTGGGCGACCACTTACCATAACTCCTGGAAGATTCGGTGAGCTTCTCCAAGAACCAATCAGCCGCTCAGGCTAGAGCGACGAGTACTCTGCATAGAGGTAACTAGATTTCTTTGTCTTATCTGTTTTAATCCCTTTTAAAGAGCCATAATGCAAACCGGCCGTACGCTAAGAATGCATGCCCAAGGGAGAGAGAGGTTCGTGGCGTGTTTAGAGTTCCACTGAAGCACAATCGCCAGGCCCCACCATCGACGTCGAGCAAGTATAATTGCATCGCCAGAACCGCACGACTTTCAACAAAGCATCGCCCAGTATACTCCCAAAAACAAGTCATAATTGGCTCATAGCATCTCAATTGAGGGACGAGAGTCTTCCAAACCGCTTCTAGAATTCAGCGCTGCGGCCAGTCGCCGTGGACACTGCCGCGATGAGCCCTCACCAGCGAGAGTCGCACTCATCCGCGCCGTTTTCCCGGCACGGCAACCACAAACTGTCGTTGCATCACGCCCGAGGACCCGTCTCTTTCCTCCATCCAACGCGAGGACTGCTGCGGACCGCGCCGGAAACGCCGCCCTCCCCTGAAGACGCTGCCGACGCTGCCGACGCTGCCGGGACGCGCGTCGGCAAACACGACCAAGCGGCGGCCTCGGCGCTGCCGATCAAGCAACCGCCTGAAGTCGCCGGGGTTCACTTCCTGTGGCGGTCGAGAGACAACCGCAAGGGACGCCATCCGCTGCGCGTTCAGAGGCAGCCTCAAGGAGGTGGCGTGGCCCTGCCGCGGCGGTCGTCGCACCCCAAGGAGGTGTTGAGGGGCGTCGTTGGCACGTTTACGCAATATCCCGTGTGGGACATATCCTGGCTGGTGGCTTTCATCTTCACTTGGGGTAGTGTAGTCTGGGTTGTCAATGCAAGTCTTTTCTTGTACTGGGCGAGAACGAGGACCAATGGCTCTTTGCTGACACAGATTGGTTGCAGGGCTTCTTTTCTTGGCTGCCACTCGTGCGGCCGTCCACGGGGTTTCCAAGCGAGAGCGACTACGGCGGCGGCATCACCGCCTTCATCGGGGCCATCCTGTTCTTCGAGGTCGGCTCGGTGCTTCTCGTCCTCGAGGCCATCAACGCCAACGACGCGGACTGCTTCGGCTGGGCTGTCGAGACGCTGGTCGACCAGCACCACACGCGGGCCGTGACCTTTGTCGCCGACGCGGAGCTCTGTCGCCACCACCACCAAAACAAACACAACCTCGTCGGGAAACCGCGGCGCCATCTGCTAGCCAGCAGCGCGGATGTCGAATCCACAACCACCACCAAGGCGAGGAGGCGCTGGCAGTGGTGCCCGTCCTGGCAGGACATCCGCCACCGCCACATCTATGAGCTGGGCTTCCTCGCCGCCGTCGCGCAGTTCTCCGGCGCCACCATCTTCGGCATCGCAGGCTTCACCGCGCTGCCGGGCATCGCGGAGCACATACAGGCGCCGCAGTGGCACCTCAACGTCGCGTACTGGATCCCCCAGGTGGTCGGCGGCTGCGGCTTCATCGCCAGCGGCCTGCTCTACATGCTCGAGACGCAGGAGCGCTGGTGGCAGCCGGCGCCGCGGCTGCTTGGGTGGCATATCGCTTTCTGGAATCTGATCGGCGCTTTTGGATTTACGCTCTGCGGCGCGCTGGGCATGGCGTACGGCAACACGGGGGCGCAGTACCAGGCGGCGCTGGCGACCTTTTGGTGAGTCCTCCCCGAAGCGGTGAGACGCTTTACAATCTTGAAGTGCGCAGAGAGAGAGAGAGAGAGGCTAATGACTTTATCATTTGGAAATTCAGGGGCTCCTGGGCATTTCTAATCGGCAGCTACCTGCAGCTGTACGAGAGCCTGAACAAGCACCCCGTCGAGGAGGTCAAGGCAACCGCCGATAAGGAGGCGTCGCCTTGAACAACGGCAGGGGTGGGCGTGAGACAATGCCCGTCAGAATACGAGTGTAGAATAAGCCTTGCAACAATCCAAGTGGTCGTAATGGTGTCCTATTCGACCAGTGGACCGTCGCCTTCCGCATGAAGCCGCGTTGTGCCACCGCACGCTTCACTGCAGTGCGACAAAGAATCACCCACAAAGAGGCAACACCCGCAGACCGAAAGTTGGTCCAGTACGCGGCCGCTCCTCAACGCGCGCCTTTTGACCAATTTATATAAGGCAGCAATTTTCCAGTTGCAGTTGAGAGTGAATTCCTTCTCCCTGCAGTATTTCTTATATGCACAGGGTACTCTTTTACCAACGCGACAGTTCTCACGCAAAAGCAAATCGCAAGAACAGTCACGAGCGTATAGTTCTCGAGACACAGATCTTCTAGACGAAAACAAGGTTCCTTCGCTAAGAAGAAAAGAGAAACAGGAAACGCGGGTATATCCTCTTCCAACTGTGGGAGAAAAGGAAACGAAAAACCCCCTTGCCGCAAAACGCACGACAGGCATGATGCAACAACTCCGCGGGGAGCGAATCGTTACAACAGCCGGACCCGCCACGCCGGACAGTCCCCGGCCGCGGCCGGACAAGGTCTCACTGTCCTCGTCCCGGCCGTGGAGTCGGTACCCACCCCGTACCGCCGAGACTCGTCACGCTCGTCACGGATACCGAACCCCCTTGCATCGTCGCCCGCGCAAGCCGGCGCTCGTCCGCAAGCAGGTGTCCTTCCACGGCGTGCCCAGTACTAGCAGCGTGAGTGGCGGCCTGCACGTCACGGGGCCGGCGCGCGAGCGCCGCCGGCAGCAGCGTCTGCGTGCCGCGCACTTCAAGGGCTGGGCAGGTGCGTTGCGAGCGCGCGTGAGTGCAGCGTGGGGCGGCTCAAAGTCTCCCTTGCCGGTCATGGTTGACGCCGGTGGTGGTGGTTGTGGTGGCGCGTCAAGCCGCATCGCACCGCGGGGCTCGATACACATGCATGTGCAGGGTGCGGAGGGTGCGGTCAGCGCGGTGCACCTCGGCGTTGAGAGGTCGCCGGCGGCGGATTCGAGTCCTAGAAGAAAGGAGGCAGCAGCTACTTTGGGGCCCGACGCGGATACCGGCACCGACATCCCCGACCGCGCGCACGCACACCGACGCTCGGCACAGCCACGCGTACCGGGATCGAGACCAGAAGAGCTCCCCCCCCCCCGCCGGTGCCTCGCCCACTGCGCGGCGGCGGCTGAAACGACCCGCCATGCCCTCCCCCGCGGCGCAAGTACACGCCGCGGTGGCAGCCGCGCGCTTGGACGCTGGCAGCAGCAGCAGCAGCAGCAGCAGCAGCAGCAGCAGCAGCAGCAGCAGCAGCAGCCGCTGCCGTCCAGACCAAGCGACGGCCCTCGGCGGCGTTCGGAGCGTCCGGCAGCCTCGTGCGAGATGGAGCCGCTGATTGACCACGTGGGCGAGGAGACTGAGGGGCGGGGGGCGAAGCGCCGGTACTGGGTTTGAGCTGCACCAGCGTCATGGGGTTGTGTTGTGGGCGTATGTGCACGTGTATGTGTGTCTCTTTTCACATGATACCTGGGTATGGCTAAACACAAAATGGGGGTTTCCTCATGTTGGTGTATACATGCAGGATCGGGGACTGACAAAAGGGGCGTGGGTAATGATGGATTGAGACGGAGTCTTCTGTTTGGCGGGTATTATCTAAAGCCGATGACGCAACGTCACTGTATGATAGTTTTTTTAGAGTACATATAACCCTAGGGAATCGGGGGTCTCGATGAAAATTTCACATCTCACCCTCCACCTAGAAGCTTGGATTTTTTTTCTCTTTGCTGCATTCCTTTGCCACCGTCTCACCCCAAACGGACACCCGCCTCCTTGCGCTTCTTAAGCTGCTGCGCCGTGGCCCTGCTCATGCCCGCGCTCTGGCTGGCGTCGAACATGCTCTGGGCCTCCCGCCGCCGGTCCTCCTCCATCTTCTTGAGCAGCTTCTGCTGCTTCATGTTGCCGCTGGACTTGCCGTGGAAGTGGTGGCTGAGGTGCTTGAAGGCGTCCTTGGTGTCGAGGTCGCGGCCGAGCTCGTCGCGGTACTTGAGCGCCACGGTGGGTTGGTAGCTGGCGGCGAAGAGCTCCGCGACGCGCCGCGACTGCTGCTGGTCGCGCCACTGGTTCTGCTGCCGCGCGTACTCCTCGCGCTCGCGCACGGACATGCGGTCCAGCTTGCCGCTGGCGCGGTCGCGCTCGCGCTGCCGCCGCGTCTCCGCGTCGAGCTCCTCCTCGAGACGCCGCTTCTGCGCGAGGAAGTCTTGTCGCCCGCGGAAGGCGGCGTGCTCCTCGTCGCCCTTGGAGGCCTCGACGAGGCCGCGCTCGCGGAGCAGGGAGAGGGCGGCGCCCATGCCGCTGCCGACCATCTTCTCCTCTTCCTCGGCCTGGTCTTGCTGTTCCTGGGGTTCTGGGTATTCTGTCTCATGAACCTGCGCGTCGTCCAGGTCCTCCATGACATGGTCTTCGCCATGCTCCTCGGGCTTCGCTTTTCGCTTTGGTGAGGGGCTTCGCTTTGGTTTGCGGACGACTTCTTCGGGAGCGGCCAGACCAGAGACAAACTCAGACACAGCTCCAATAACGAGACCACCATCTTGTTGAGCTTCGAGACCATCCTCCTGGTCCCCTTGCTCCTTCAGCATCTTTGCTAGGTCTTCTGGGCGGATCTTCTTCCGCTTCTTGAGCGCGTTTCTTCTTTGTGTCGCTAGTGACGCTTGCAGGTCGTCGTCGTCGACGAAGGTGTCCGATACTGACTTTGGCTTCTTGCGGATGCCGTCTTTGCTGTCCACGTCCATCTCGTTATCTGCTTCAGGGACAGGCTCTGACGGGAAGATGTCGTCCTCGTCTTGTTGTTTTTGTCTGGTTTGCTTGGACTTCTTCTTCTTGGGTTTCTTGATTTTTATTTGCGAGGCGTCGAGGTAGTCGGATGAGGGCTGTGTTCCGTCACCTGCGCAACAGTTAGAAACATTGCTGTATAAATTCAGACTGGCCATACGTACCAACGATATCGTCCAGGGAGACGTTCTGCTGCGTCTTCTTTGCGGCTGGCGCACTGAGAATGTCTGCTAGCTCGGCGTTCATGCCCGTTTCATCGAGCGTGAAGCGCTTCCTCTTCTTGCCAGAGATTTCTTCGTCGTATTGCGCAAGGATGCCGCTGGATTCCTCGCCATCCATGGGATTGTAGCCAGGACGCTGCTTCAGCACATCCAGCTTATCGTTTAGACTCTCCTGCTCGCGGACGGCCACGTTCTCCAGCTCATCCTCTTCGTCATTGGCATCAATCGCCGCGTCCTTCAACGTCAGGATCTGCTCGTCGCCGTCGAGGAACGCCGACATGTCGTGGCCGACCTTGATGCCGGCCAGGTCCTTGGACGTGTACTGCACGGCCGCCGCCGCCGCCGCCTCCGCTACCGCCAGCTCCGCCTCAAGCTTGCGCGCCTTGTCAATCTTCTTCTGGCGCTTCTTCTGGCCGGTCAGCCACGCGCGCGCGTCGGCGGCGTCGGCGGCGTCGGCCTCGCCCAGACCCTTGCCGTCGAGGACGATGTTGCGCTGGGCCAGCTCGCGCGCCCTCCTGGTGGCGGCGGCCCTTTGCTCGCGCCGCCGCTTGTTGGCCTCGTCGTCGAGGTACTTCTTGTAGTTGTCGCCGCCCTCGGCCTCGCGGGTCTCGAGCGTGCTGCCGCGCTCTTCGTCCGGTTCGGAGTCCGAGTCGCTGGCCACTTCCGCACCCGGGACGGGCAGAGGCTTCATGCCCAGCGACACACGTATGCGATTCGTCTCTTCTATCGTCGCGGCGTCCATCTTGGCGAGGTCTGATGATGCCAGCTCAAAATTTGGAGGGATGTATTTGGGGGCTGTTGCCTTGTAAGTCATAGCGCTGCGACTAACCTACAGCGCCATCTTGTTAGTGGACTTCCAGAAAAAGTTTAGCCGCAACTCTTCCGCCATGGCACGTGACGGACCCTCAATTTTTCGATACGTCCATAAAGGCCCGCCAAAATTTCTGCTTCTTCTTCTTTCTTTCTTTTCCTTCTTCACGGATCTGTGCCCTTCGTCCTCTGCTTCGTGCGGAGTTGATGTCGTGCAGCTCGATAACTCATGGAGCCATCAACTTGTTATGATGTCAATTTTCCTATCGACAGGTCCCAGAATGATCGGGGGTAATGGTTGCACTGCTCGTCGTCCTCCGTGGCGGCTGATGCGGTGATGACGGCCATGCTCCCAGAGCGTTATATTCTAAACCATTGTCCTAGGTCGTCGACCGATGCGGATGAGGCAAACCATACGTCTTACATATCTTAGCGAGCGACGAGATTGCGATTCGAGGTGGGATACCTGATTGAGGGGGGTGTTGTCAAGGAGAAGTCCCCCTCGACTTTTGTTTGGGATGTGGATGCTTTGCGCATTGGATAAGCGATGCACATGTGCTAGCGAGCGGAATCGTAGACTTTGTTTGATGCCCCTATGTGTAGACCTGAACCACCCAGTTGCGCCTTTTGCTGCCGAAATGTTGATACCGCCCAATCTCCAAGGCAACCTGGTCTCTTTTTCGGCGATATATCGTCCACCAATGCACCTTTGGCCGGTTCCCTGAATCGCGCGTTCAGCCAGTTTGTATGCAAGTCCTGATTGTCTAGCTGCAAACTTGCTTGTTCTGCTTTCTCAACAACCGCTTGCGCTGTCGTGTCTACTGCACCTCGCTACACCTGTGACAACTTTCTCAAGGCAAGTGTCGGCTTGGTTTGGGTGGAGAAATAGCCATCACTGTCGGCATGAGAGAAGCCCCGAACAAACCCCCTTGAGCCGCCTCAGCTGGCCTGTGATGCCATCCCATCCATATTGGCCGTCATGCCGAGCTGAATTACGCTCATTGGTGGACCTGAATTAGTGTCGTCGACGCGCACCACTTAGACTGCAACCCACAGATATGTCGGTCCGGGATGAGGGGAGCTGTGCAGGAGCTACGCCGCGATCTGCATGCGCTGTCAACGCGGACATGGCTTTTGCATTCCCCAGACTAATAACTTTAAGCCGAGCTCACGCCGTTGAACTGGAGTGATTTGTGACTTGTGATTGGCGAGCTTGTTTGTGTTGTCGTTTTCGAAGCGAGAGGATGGGCTGTTTTAGCAGTAAGACAGCGGCTGCCGCCCCCCCGCTCCCCATAGAACAATCCACCTCTTGTTGACCTTCCATGAATGGACTTGTGCCCCGTTCTGTCATCCCCTTCATCGCGTGACAAACGGCATATTGTATGCCGTTGCGGCCCCTCGATTACGACGCTGCGCAGGGCCCAAGTCGGGCCGTTCGTCTCTTAGCTGGTGCCGGTCCCCACGGGGAAATCGTACCCACCTCGATCTCCGACTACAACACCCAATTGCGCGACGAACTGTTTTGTTATATAAACGGTGCTGGCTCGCCCTATTCACGATGGATGCGGTATCGTCATTCTGGAATAATTCTTCCATCTCATGCACTCAGCCCATCATGCACGTTTTTGGCAGTGTCTTCTTGCTTGGCACCCTCGCGGCCCAAAAAGTCCTCGGTCTGCCCGGCATTACTAGCGCCCAGCATCTCCAGAGACGGGATGTCGACAGCTACATTGCTTCGGAAGGGCCCATTGCGCTGCAGAAGCTGCTATGCAACATTGGCTCTGATGGCTGCGAAGCGCAGTCCGCAGCCGCCGGTGTCGTGGCCGCGTCGCCCAGCACCTACAACCCAGACTGTATGAAGCAAACCTCACCGATTGCAAAGCGGGATGGGCTAACGCAACATGAACAGACTGGTACACTTGGACGAGAGACAGCGCCTTGGTGTTCAAGTGCCTCGTCGACCGCTTCACCAACTCGTACGACGCCAACCTGCAGAAGCTCATCCAGGAGTACGTCGGCGCGCAGGCCAAGCTCCAGGGCGTCTCGAACCCGTCCGGGTCGCTGTCCGACGGGACCGGCCTGGGCGAGCCCAAGTTCAACGTAGATCTGACCGCCTTCACCGGGAACTGGGGCCGTCCGCAGCGTGACGGGCCCGCGCTGCGAGCCATCGCCATGATCTCCTACTCCAACTGGCTGGTCGACAACGGATACGCGGACACAGCCAAGTCCGTCGTCTGGCCCGTCGTGCGCAACGACCTCGACTACGTCGCCCAGTACTGGAACGGCACCGGCTTCGACCTGTGGGAGGAGGTCAACGGCAGCTCCTTCTTCACCGTCGCGAGCCAGCATCGAGCGCTCGTCGAGGGCGGCCGCCTGGCCGCCAAGCTGGGCGAGGAGGCCGCGGTGGCGGCGCAGGCCCGGGTCGCGCCGCAGATCCTCTGCTTCCTGCAGTCGTTCTGGGTCTCCTCGGGCGGACATGTCAATTCAAACAGTGAGTTCTACTGCGCTGGTACGAAGTACAAAGTTAATGGTTATACTAACGGTGACGGCGCGTGCAGTCAACCAAAACAACGGCCGCACGGGCAAGGACGTCAACTCGATCCTGTTGTCGATCCACAACTTTGACGCGGCTCTCGGGTGCGACGCCGCCACCTTTCAACCGTGCAGTGACAAGGCGCTCTCCAACCACAAGGCCGTCGTCGACTCGTTTCGGTTCTACGGTATCAACAATGGCATTGCTAAAGGTAAGGGCATTGCCATCGGCAGATACTCCGAGGATGTGTACTACAACGGCAACCCGTGGTATCTAGCGACGGCGGCCGCGGCAGAGCAGTTGTACGATGCGCTGCACGTCTGGAAGCAGCAGGGCTCCCTGCAGGTGACGAGCACCTCGCAGGCATTCTTCAGCGACTTTGTGCCAAACATCGCTGCTGGCACGTACAGCAGCGACTCGGACACGTTCAAGAACGTCGTGCAGGCCGTCGCAGCCTACGCGGACGAGTTTGTGGCCGTCGTGGCCCAGTACACGCCATCCGGTGGTGCCCTGGCCGAGCAGTTTGACAAGAACGACGGCTCCCCGCTGTCCGCTCACGACCTCACCTGGTCCTACGCGTCGCTGCTGACGGCCATTGACCGACGCGGCGGCATCGTCCCGCCATCGTGGGCCAGCAGCGGCACCGACAACAAAGTCCCCGACTCCTGCTCGGCGGCGACGGCGGCGGGCAGCTACACCTCGGCGACGGCGACCTCGTTCCCCGCAAACCAGACGCCCAAGACGGGCGCGCCGACCTCGACGGCGCCGGCGCAGCCGACGTGCACGCCGGCGACGTCCGTGGCGGTGACGTTTTGGGAGACGGTGACGACGCAGTTTGGGCAGACGATCAAGCTGGTCGGAAACGCGACGGAGCTGGGCGCGTGGAACACGAGCGCGGCGCTGCCGCTGGACGCGAGCCTGTACACGGCGCAGAACCCGGTCTGGAAGGTGACGGTGACGCTGCCGGCGGGCGCGGCGCTCGAGTACAAGTTCCTGAACGTGCAGACGGACGGGTCGGTGGTGTGGGAGGCGGACCCGAACCACAAGTACACGGTGCCGGCGACGTGCGCGACGACGGCATCGAGGGCGGACTCTTGGCAGTAGGGGGCCGAGCCCATTGGATGGGTTTGTTGAAGACGGATAGCAGACGACACCAAGTGCAATGGAATGGGTTTTGTGCTTGGTAGACTGTAGGTGGTGTGGGAATGGCGGACCATCAGTTTCTGGCCCAAGTTTCGGTCATTTCCCCCCTTTTTTATCGGCCATCTTATAGCTCAAAAAGTATGATTTACTTTCACGATCATGACATGTCCAACTCTTGCTTATTTTTGTCCATCTCGCGTGGACCGAGCGGGCACGGAAAGCTCCATCCCGCCGCAATATCGGACAGATTACAAACATGGAACATGGACGCTAAATCGCGGATCAAGCCCCTGTGGAACAGGCCGATGCGTGATTCCCGAAATTTCGAGTCTGGGGAGCGGCCGATTTGGAATGGCCAGAGCAAGTCGATGCGGCACGTGGGCGCGGTCTTGTCTGGGAGAGGTGCGTTTTTGGGTAGCGGGGGAGGGGAAGCTTTGTTTGCATTTGGACGTCGGTGTGTCTATGAAGGGGCGCGCGCGGTAATGGGTCGATTGAGGGTTCGTGTCGGTAGATGTGGAAATACGTAGCCGAGGGAAGGAGATGAGGCTATCGTGGGTGGAAGGAAGCCAAGCCAAAGCCAAGAAGTGACGATGAAATCAGCAAATTGTCGCATAATTTTCGTTACGTGCGCTACGGATACGCACAGTGGTAATTGGACAGTCGCAGTGGTTCATCAGTGAAAGAGCCTCTCTACTTACAGTGGGCGGTGGGTGACGCCATCCACGTGCGCTACTGCAGTGCCTGCACAGCAGATGCCCTTCTGGGTTTCGCGGGCATGGGCATGGTCGCGCGAGCACTGGATCTTGTACCAGGGACCTGGATGCTTCGCACTGTCTCAGTTTATCTGGGGGGACATCACGGGTAGTGAGTACTTGCTCCCCTCGAAAACTGCCGCACCCACCAATTCGCCCAATTAAGCCTCCCCTGTCCTGTCCCTTGTCTCACACCATCTTTCGCTTTTTTCGCCGCCGCCTTGCCAGTTTGCTTCTTTGCGCAAGGCAAGGTTCATCCGGGCATGAATGTCAATCGAGATTAGATTCCCTTTACTTTTCCTCTTTCCTTTTTCCTTGTCGACCTTCTTCTCACCTTGTCTGCCCTCCCTACTGTCTGCGCCTTCCTTCGTCCGCGCCAGCCTGGGCTAATCCCCCTGCCAAACTTTTACCACTTTTTACCGCGCCAAGGGTTCGCCGCAGACAGGTTCATCCATCCACCAGCCCAAGACAAAGACACAATCCCACCTGCCTCTCGTCGAGGCACAATTCAGCTTTCAACTTGTGCTACAACAACCACCGTCCCTGTCGCAACGCACCCACCGCTTGCAAACAAAAACTACCTTTCCAATAGATTCAGCATTTTCTTGCTTTCGCCTCTGCTGCCACTCGTTACTTGCTTGACTGCCATTCGCAAGCAAGGCCTCATACCTGCGCCCCTGCTCCGATCCCGACATTGTCGCGCTTCCTCTGCATTTACGACATTGCCGCGGCTAACCATCCGTACTGCAAAGAGCGACGATATCGCCGATAGCGCTGTCGTTCGGGTTCCAATTTGCCACAGATCGACGAGGCAACAGCGACCGGCCCGCTCGCTGCCCTATCCCATGGTTGATCGCCAAAGCCGTCTGCCGCAATAACGCATCGCCCCTGCGAAATCTCTCCATCGCATCCCCTCGCCGCCGGCTCATCCCATGGTCTGCGTGACGATGCGCCGAAAGCCATGCTGAGGCCTTCTCCCGTTCTGACCCCTCCCTCCGCAAACGGCTCGCCGACAGCCTTTCGCTATGCCCCGGCACACTCGCCGCCTCCCCCTTCGCCCCGATCGACCGCGCCCCCAGCGGCGCCAATAGGAACACCAACACGCTCCGCGGCCACCGCCTCCCTGGCCTCGAGCCCGCGTTTGATAGCCTCCCCGCGATCACGGAACCGAGCGCGATCCCTCGCCACCATGGCTGTGTCCGACACCATCGTTGGCCCGTCTTCTGCCGCCACGCCTTCCACGCCTTCCACGCCCGCCTCAGATGCCAAGATTGCCACCACCCGCATGCATGGCCAGCAGTCGGGTCCCGTGGCTGCAGATGACGGTTCGGCTACCGCCGGCGCCAAGCAGCACACCGCCGCACCACCGACTTCGCAGCGATCCTTGTCCGATGCCACATCCAACGGTAGCGCCCTCACGCATGCCTCCCCCTCCAAGCGCCGCGGCGAAGAAATCGAAAGCCATGCCGCCATGTCCCAGCCCGCAGCCTCTCAAGGCGACTCCACACAGCCCGCAAAGCGTGCCCGTCCAGATGAGCAGCCTCCCAAGGTCCTGCCGGCCCGGTACGAGCTGTGTCCGGTCGACGACATGGTCGAGCTCATCTCCCACATGCTTAACGAGCTCATCGCCACCAACGATGCCATTCGCACCACTAGCGGTGGTCTGACCCGGTTTCACTCTAGGTAAGCGTGCCCGTAGGTCACTACAACGTTGGGATATCAAGCTAATCCGATTTTTTCTTATACCTGCAGGGCCGCTCCGGGAATATCAGTTCGTGACTATTTACATAGATTAGCAAAGCACGCCACGCTTATACCGCCGCTTTTGCTCTCCATGGTTTACTATATTGACCGCCTCTGCGCTCTCTATCCAGAGTTTACCATCAACACTTTAACTGTGCATCGTTTCCTCATAACCGCCGCCACCGTCGCCGCCAAGGGCCTCTCCGACGCCTTCTGGAACAACACAACTTACGCCCGCGTTGGCGGTGTACGCCTTGCGGAGCTGAAGATGCTCGAGCTCGAGTTTCTCTACCGTGTCGACTGGAGGATCGTGCCCAATCCAGAAGTGCTGGTTGCCTACTACCGCGGCCTGGTCGAGCGTACCCCGGGTTATGTCCTTGAGGGGGAAGGCTCCGATGACATGGACAATGGCGTCCCGAAGAGTGATGGCAACGGTGAATAGAGAACATCGTTGGAGTGGATTGGGAGATATCGCTCGAGCTATAATGATGTACCACTGATTTCAAGGATGATACATGAGAGCGACATTCTTCACAGCAACATTTACAGAGATTGTGAGCGCGACTATGAGCGCGACGCGGAAGTCTACATTAAGCAAGAGTGTGAAGATTGGTGATACTTTGTGTGTTTGGTGTACTTGGGCATATGGTGTTGTGTTTTTCTTGGCCTGATTTTGGTTTGCATTAACTGGTGCTGGTAGCACGGCGGCGTTTGATAGATGGGGAAAACGGTTACATCTCGAGGGGGGTTCGATTTGGATTTTAAACCAGCGTTGGTAGCGTTTGTATTATGCTAGCCGCTGTATTTTTTTTGCAATACTGTACAATTCTTTTACATTTGTTGTGACTGTGGCAAGTATAGGGGTCTGGAGATGTAACTGTCATTATGTTGCTCGCTGAGTGTAATGTGCATTGTGATGGCAATCTGAACGCAGACTGATAGTGAAAGAGCGAAAGCGAAAGAAAGCAAGAAAGAGACAGAGGCAGAGGCAGAGTGAGCGAAGAGAGCCGCCCATTCCATCAACCCATCATGAACACACAGCTTGGCATCAACGCTGCCCTACTTTCTCTCCTTCAAGCCCGCTGCATACTCCTGAACCGCCTCGAGGAACGTCCCCGCCGGCTCGAACCCGGCCGCCAGCGCGCGGCTCACGTCAAACTCCTGCGGCCAGCTCTCGAAGAGGCGCGCCTCCGCCTCGCTCGGGCGCTCCCTCCTGACCCGCGCCAGCGCCTCCTCGCCGCCGACCTCGCGCAGCGCCGCCAGCATCTCGCCCACGCTCACCGCCACGCCCGGCAGCAGCACCTGCCTCGCGTGCGCCGGCAGGCAGTCCCGCGGCAGCGTCAGGCAGCGCGCCAGGTTGCTGACTAGGGTGCGCGGCGAGCACACCCAGCAGCGGAACGCGTCGTCCGTCACGGGCAGCGTGGCGGGTTGGCCGGACAGCGGCTCGCGGATGACGGCGGACATCCAGGAGCTGGCGGCGGCGGTGGGCGCGCCGGCGCGCACGACGATGCTGGGCAGGCGCACGCAGAAGCCGACGACGTGGCCGCGGCGGGTGAGGTCGTTGACGGCCAGCTCGACCATGAGCTTTTGGGCGCCGTAGGAGCCCTCGGGGGTGGGCACGGTGGACTCGGAGGGGAGGGCGGGGAGGGCGCCGCCGTAGACGGCGCAGGAGGAGGCGTAGATGAGGCGGATGCCGCGGCGGCAGCGGGCGCGCACGGCATCGAGGAGGGAGAGGGTGGAGTGGAGGTTGACGCGGTAGCCGAGGTCGAGGTCGGCTTCGGCGCCGGAGGACATGATCCCGTGCAGGACGTAGATGGCGTCGAGGTCGGGAGGGAGCAGTGCGTCGGGGAGTGGGGAGGCGGTCAGGTCGGCGGCGATTGAGATGGCGGAGGAGGAGGAGGAGGGGGAGGGGGGGATGGGGGGCGCGTGGAGGTCGGTGAGGATGAGGCTGTGCTGGGAGGAGAGGAGAGAGGAGGCGAGTGTCTGTCCGACGAAGCCACCGGCGCCGGTGATGAGGACCTTCATGGTGTTGGTGCGGGGTGTGGACTTTTTTTTTTGCAAGCTGGTGGTGGTGGTTAGGATGAGCCGGTCGAAGGATTTCTTGTCGCTTGAGAAATGAAAAGAAGGAATTGGTAAGTATGAATTTATAACGGTAGAGGATATAGTTAGGGAGCGGCCTTTACGCCGTTGTGAATTGAGGGGTTGAAACCGGGACCTGGATGGGGTTGTAGACGGACTTGTCTCCGCAACCGGCGCCGGCACTGGGCCGGTCGCGGGGCTCCATCTGCTCTGATGGATAGCCCCGTGGAAATCAGTACAAGAACGCCGACGAAGGACCGAACTAGAAACTGGTGCTGCTTATCTTTTAACTGAAAATCTGCGGACCGTGCAACCAGCTCCAAAGCTACTTAAGACTTGTGTAGGTGAGGGGAAGGTAATGGGCCCAAGGCGACTGGCCAAGAGCCCAGCTAGAATCCAATATTGTCTATACTATGACCGTTAAAGCTAATATGATAGAAAACTTACGAAATGAAACCAATTCCAATCACGAGCTAGATGGACTTTTATACGATAGTAACTCACCCAATCAGGCTGAGGGCATGCAACTACGACCGGCGCAAACATGCTGTTGACTCTTGCTTTCCTTTATGACACGGGCACGTCACGGCAACTCTCGATTACCTGACCGTCTTTGGTCTCTTACTTTGCTTCCCCTTCTGTGCTGAACGTGTGGTGGATTCAGTACCAGCGCCATCGGCGGCACCGGCTTGCGCATCATCGTCACCACGATCCGGGCTCTGTCGTCTTCCACGGAGCGTTCGTTTTGGAGCTGCGGCCGCTGACGTCGCCGTCGTTGGCTCTGAAGTGGCCTCTGCTGCAGGTGCTTTCGTCGATGGTGCGGAACTCCTGCTACTGTGGGCGCGTGAGACCCTAGCCGGCGGCACTGCTGCCACCTCCGTATCTTGCGCGCTGTCCTTCCCAGAGCCTGCAGCCCCCTCGTTTCTTTTGCGCTTGTTAAGCTGCTGCTTGCTATTCCCACGCGCTCCCTTGACCTTGCCGCTGTTGGTTGCAATTGTACTTGCGTGTGTGCTTTCTTGATGCTCGTCTTCGGCGTTAGCCGGGCAAGGTCCTTCACGATCCTGCTCCTCTTTGATAGAGGCTGCGGCGCCCTTTTCAAGAGAAGCAGGCTCCTCTTTACTCGAGACGGCGGCACCCTTGTCAATCGAGTCAAGCCCTTCTTTTGTGGAAGAGGTTGCTCGGCCCTTCTTAATCGAAGTGACTTTCTCTTTTTCGGAGGAGGCGACGCCTTTCTCAATCGAAACAAGTTCATCTTTTTCGGAGGGGCCGACGCCCTTCTCGATCGAAGCAAGCTCTTCCAGCACCCACTCTGACCTCCGCTGATCGCGGCGCAGATTCGCTTCGTGCACGAGGTACGCTCTCGCGCCCTCTCGAAATGACTTGATCTTATCGTACAGCGCCCGCCAGGCGTCCTCCGCCTCTTGGAGCTGCGTTGGCAGTGCCTTGGCCGCGTCCCTTTCGAACCACGCCACAGCATACCCAGTGTAGTCGAGCAGGCTATCCATGGCTCGCCGATACTTCGGTTCCGCGGCCTTCATACGGGCCGTGTCTCGTTCGGCCTCCCAGTAGTTGAAGTTGAGGTACTCGATAGCCGTCGTCCACGTATCTTGTTCGCGCGGGTCCTCCAAGAGGCGATAAGGGCGTGTGAAGTTGTGGGATTTGAGTCGATTCTCCATCGCCTCGGCGTACGACGCCAAGGTCTCCGTGTTCGTATGCGATGCCGTGTACCGTGGCTGGTCGCGCTGCCAACGTTCTCGATGCACTTTGTTATACCAGGCCGCACTCTCCGCATCAAGATCGTCACCCCGGAAGCCGGAATTCTCCCTCATCATTGATGCGAGGAAAAGGGACAGCCCTTTTTCACGACCGGCTTCTCCGCGGTTACCCCACTGCCAGTACTGCTGAAAGGCCTTCCAGTGCTCTAGCTGTGTCGAGAATACTGGCAACACCTCGTTGTAGGCCAGATGGCCCTTTTTGGGCATCTCTAGCCACATTGCTGCCCTGCGGCGATGCTCCCGGGTCATGTCCCCTGGAAAGCCGATGTCGTTAATTTGCAGGGCCGGCATGCCGCCAGCCTGGAGGAGGCTCGCGCGGGCCTCGGCCTCTAGCTCCATGGCAACCACTTCTGGATGCGAGCTCCCTGATCCGGGAGATTCAGTGGGTTCCAGAACATGTTGCTGTTCCTTTTCATACTGTTGTTCCAGTTTCCCCAGCAGAGAATTGAGATCGTCGGCTTTAAGAGGATGCACCTTTGGAGTGGCAGCGCTGTACACAGTGATTAACGGTGAAATGCGTTGTTGGAAAGGGCCTTCATTTACTTGATTTTATCCGCAATCATGTTTTTCTTTTCTACAGATAGTTCCTTCAAACCGACAATGCTGGAGATGTCAAAGTGCCGGCCTTGGACGTGGCATTTGGCCAGGAAGTCGACGACCTCGTGCTCGCTTGCGGCCAACAGTGCCTCCGGTGAAATTGCATTGTCGAGTTTCAAAATTGAATCATCGACTTCCGACACTGGGCTACCAGCTTCCAGTGAGTTTTCAGCTGCCGAAGGTGAATTGTCGGTTTTAGAACCTGAATGGACGGTCTCCAGGGGCGTGGCGTTGGGTAGCTGCGTATGTCTGGCATTGTTTGCTTCCATTGGGCGAGATCGGACGAGATGCGACGAGGAAAGTTGGGTGATTAAGAAGGGTGGCAGCTTCCAGTGATGAAGAAAGCGAGAGATGGAGGTTAGGCATGCGTCAATTCCCGTTTCCGATAATTTAATGTTGGCAATTATGAGGGGCGAATATAAATTCAACCACTCCCTGTCAGTTGTGAGAGGTTCCCTACGTAGGTTCGCACTTTTGGGCAACCAAGCAAAAGTTACAGCAGGCTCGAAGGGGTCTGAGTAGCTGCAGCCTTGTTGCCTTGGGCAACAAGGCAGTTATCCGCCCCAACATTTCCTCATAACAAGGCTCATGTCTATTGTGAGTGTAAAACCAGCGATAAAATTCAAATAAATAAATAAAATTCTAAAAAAGAAAATCAACAAAGAAAAAAAAGACGAGAAGAGATATATGAAAACTCTGGCGCGGTTAAGCGTACATGCGTATAGCAACAAGCAGTTAGTTACTTGACTAAAGGAGTCCTCGGTGATGCGTACATAACTTACAGCAATCAACAATCTGGTTATCATTTCTTCTACACATAACGGTAAACCTAGTCTCGAATGGAGCTCTCATAAGGGCCGACGAGCTACCAGTTGGTTCCAACCTCGAGAACGTAACAACTTCATTACCCTAAAAGGCCCAACGTGTACTGTGAAGATTCTGTTTCCCCTCGATGCGCCCCCCAGCCGATACTTAGGGCAGAATGTGCTCATGCTTAGCCTTCTTGGGAGTCCTCGATACATGGGCACCTGTCTGACTAACGTTGCCTGTGTTGCTTGTGTTGTCTGCGTTGCTAGCACTATGCATCATCGGGCCCTTGCCCTTTGTCTCCATGTCATCGTCATCTCGAAATTGCCTTTTGCTCCGAGAAGTAGACGATGTACATGTGTCGCGAGTGAATGAAGTAGATGCATTGCCAGCGTTCAAGTTCATCAAGTCTGACCAGCTAACGTCGCTCTTTGTTTGCTGAGACTGCCGAGCATAACCACCGTGCAATTCATACTGCAAGTTGTTCTGTTCCATGAGCTCCTCGAGCACCAGCGGATGGCACGGGCCGACCGTCTGCACTTCAAACGAAACTCACACCGAAAATAACCCTACCAAATATTTTTCAATGACACTTGGTGATTCAATAGCATCATTCTAGTCCAGAGAATAAGACATTTGGCCTTGTTCTACTCACATTGTCCTACATTTGTCTGGGCCAAAAAGCTGGATGGTATAGTTACCAGACTTACTCTGTCCGCTTCAGTGAGATCAACGGATCTCGCGTTTATTCTGCCGGCCAGTACACCCAGATTTATTCTCCCGCGCAGCAACAGGTTATGAGTGGCTCTGTCAGCATACATGACAAATGCAAGGCCATATTTTAAGGTAAATACTGGAGATTTTTAGAACCTCGAATACGCTATGCCTTATATACCAGTCATCATGCATCTCGATAGACCCCATGAACTCCAGGCTTCTTAAATAACTTTCCACCTTTCCAGACATGAGTTATATTATCCGCATTCGCAAGCACCTTGATGTCTGCCAGCGGATTGCGCGAAACTGCAATCAAGTCCGCGTCGTAGCCCGCCCTCAGCTGCCCGCTCTTCGGCGCCAGCCCGCCCAGCGTCTCCGGCGGAACCGCCGTCGCGCTCTCAATCGCCTGCAGCGGCGTCATGCCCAGCTCGACCGCGTACCCCAGCTCGTGGCCGTTTTGCCCGTGCGCCAGCTTTGACCCCCGATCGCTGCTCAGCATGTCCGTCCCCAGCGCGATCTTGACCCCGCGCCGGATCGCCAGCGCGTACGCCTTGTTAGCCTCCCTGCCGACCTTGATCACCTTGTCCCGCGACGGCGCCGGCAGCGTGTCCAGGTACGGCGGGCTGGACAGCGTGCGGACGATGTGCTGCGTGGCGACCAGGATGGCGTCCTGCGCGCGCATCCGCTCCGCGACCTCGTCGTCCAGGTACATGCCGTGCTCGATGGACTTGACGCCCGCACGCAGCGCCGCCATGATGCCGGCCTTGCCGATGGCGTGCGCCGCGACGGCGCGCCGGCTGCGCGCCGCCTCCGCCACCATGGCCGCGAGCTCCGCGTCGGAGAACTGCCGGTCCTCCGGGTCGTCGTTGAGGCTGAGCACGCCGCCGCTGGAGCACACCTTGATGACACGCGCGCCACGGCGCACCATCTGCCGGACGGTGGCCACGCAGGCGTCGGCGCCGTCGCACACGGCGAGCGGCGCGGGGCCGCAGCACATGGCGGCGCGCACGGCCGAGGACGGCAGCGTCGAAACGTCGGCGTGGCCGCCGGTGATGGAGATGGCGGCGATGGAGGAGTAGATGTTGGGGCCGGGGATGGTGCCGGCGCGCACGGCGGGCCACACGTCGCCGCCGTAGCCGCCGAGCTCGCGCACCGTCGTGTACCCGGCGAGAAGCGTCGCCTCCAGGTCGTGCGCGGTGAGGGCGCCGGCCAGCGCGGCCTGGCCCGTGGGGATGCCAAACGCCGCCTCGAGGTCGTTGGTGTCGGCGACACCGAAGAAGTGCACGTGGCAATCCCAGAGGCCCGGCATGAGGACGGGGACCCGGGTGTGGGACAAGTTGCGGTACGGCGGGGGGAGGGAGCTGGCGGGACCAACCCATTCGATGATGCCGGACTTGACGGTGACGGCGCCGTCGGTGATTGGCTCCCCGCGACCAGGTATCAGAAGTGCGGCGGTGATGACAAACGCCTCCTTCTCGCCAGTTGCAGCGGACTGTGGAGGGGAGCTGGCAACGTCATTGCGCGGCGCAATGGAATCTCGGCTGGGCAATCGCATGATGCCTTTCGGTGTGAACTCTGAGTCGACTATATTTCTGAGTGTATATACGGACAATTGCGATGTCAGTTGTATTATAGAGTGAGTGGTGGTGGGATATGTGATGTGGATGAGAGATCAAGTTGAAGTACTAGTTAGAAGGCGGGGAACGACTGCCGTGCCGAGATACGCGGCGAGACGGACCCTGTACCCGTCTTGGTATCCAAACAGGGCATTTTTGGCGGATTGAAGGTCAAAGGCTGTGCTATCGATTCTTTCATTTCGAAGCTCAAAAAGCAGTATTTTCGATCAACAACGCCCCTCTGCAAATGGCGGGATCAGAACGTGGCTGCGTCGCTTAGAGAAACGTGCGGTGACAACGAGACGTCCCACCGGCGTTGCGTTGTCGTTCACAGCAAAATCAACCCGTCGTCTACACTGTGGTATGGCACGGTTTGGGCAAATGGATTAAAAATTCGTCACAAAAAGAAAAAGAAATCAGCCCCGGCGCGGGTGACCAATCACGCCACCAACGGACAGGTTGGCCACCAGTTGTTGAAGAAACAGTTGTTGTGGTCTCCTATCCTTTATTCCCATCTCGGCTAGTATCCAATCAGCCGAAGCCCGGTGCGAGTCTGGAATAGCCGCCGAGTCGCGTGGGAAGTCTTTTGGTGTTTGGTCGTAGACAAAGTGTCCTGGGCTGCGCGTAGTCTGAACTCTCAGCCATCCTGCCACGGCCAAGTGACCGACCACTGATTGGTTACTTGATGAGTTGCAATCTGTGGTAGAAAAGAAATACCTTTTTTTTGCGGATGGAAGAAGTGATGACCGCTACGAGCACATCAATATAGTGAATCGCCATGAGCATCACTTACTCCCCCCGAAGTGCCTGTTGCCAATGGTGGTGTACCACGAGGTCCATAGCCCTAATCGTGGCCTGGTGCCAACTTAATTCATGTTGCAATTCAGCCTTGCAACTACCAAGTTTCCATTGTTATTGGCTAGTGGCCAGCGTCTAGTTTCTATTGAGGTTGGCGTTGTTGGTGCCGGGGCTGGTTGTTGGTCCACTGCATCTGATGGGCACCAACAACGCGTGTCAAGCCACCTTGTGCGCTTCCATAGCCCGATTCATGACCAAGTCAAATAACAATGGTGACGCGACACCTCTCGTCTCAAGGCCACGGTAAGTCTATTGATGCGCGTTAGAATCACGCAAAACGGTAAGGCTATTGTCCTGGACAGCAAATAGTCAACGGTCAGGATAGATTGCGTGGCAAAGATTGGGAATCTCGACGCACCAGTGATGGTTGGTGGTCCACGTGGTGGTAGCAAGCGTGAAGTTTCCGTATTTGTGTTGGTTCCCTGAGATGTTATGAATATAGTGCGGTACCCTCGTGATTTCACCAACATCAATGACCAGCCCTCCAGCTACTTAAGGAAGCGTTCCCCCCTGAGCCCTCGTGGATACAGTTTCCCTTTTGTCAACCAAACCCAAGACTTTCCTCACCCCATCATCCTTCTCCAGCCATGGTCTCCATAAAGAGCCTCTTCCTTTCCGCGCTCCTCCTCGCCGCAGGCAGCGAAGCCCGCCGGCCCTACTTCCGCAACCGTGGCACCCTGAAGGGCTGGGACGGCAAGATCATGGACCACCAGGGCAAGATCGAGGAGGTCACCGACGTGCACTACCTATCCGGCCGCTCGCTCAAGACGTCGCAGACCTACGACGAGGCCCACAAGGAGCTCTACCGCTCCGTGCTCATCCGCAAGGACGGCTACGAGGCCGGGCACCACCGCTTCTACAACTTCATGTTCCGCCTCGCCCCGGACTGGGAGCCGGTCGACCAGAACGCCACCGTGTCCCAGTTCGTCTCGCACCGCGACACCGGCGCCAACTGCGGCGTCGAGAGGCTCGTGGGGACCTCGTTCTACGTCTTCCGCAACCACCTGTACGCCCGCGTCATCGGCGGCCAGTACTCGGGCAACAATTGCGAGTTCAAGGAGCACGTCTTTGAGCAGATCGCAAAGGTGACGCCCGGCGAGTGGCACAAGGTCAGCTTCGAGGGCCAGTGGGAGTTCAAGAAGCGCAAGGGCGCCTTCAGGGTCTGGGTCGACGGCAAGAAGGTCGTTGACCAGAAGAAGATTGCCACCACCGTTGCTGGCAGATGGCCATTCAAGTGGCACGGTACGTTGTTGTTCCTTTCTGTTCCCCCCCGCCCTCTCACATCTTGGATGGGACGGTCCAGGAAAAAGAGTGAGTGTCTTGCTAACAAAACAATTAAGTCGGCCTTGACATGAGCGCCTGGCACCACCAGGGCCGCGTGGTGGGCAGCCAGGAAAAGCGCGAGGCGTGGTTCGACGAGATCGCCGTCGGCAGGTCACTTTTGGAGGTCGACCCTGACATGATGAAAAAGTACGATTTGATTCTATCACACAAGCCCACGGCCTAGTCCCCGCCATCTTGCGATGCTCGCGGAACCAACTCCCCTCCCCAGCACTGGCTGGCGGCCAGCGACGATGCAGGCGCGGAGCAGCGGGCTGAGGTGGCATCTAAACCCTTCCCTCCCCCCCCCCTAATATCTCCTGCAGTGAGAAAATCTGTTAGCTTCACTTGGTGGTTTTAGCGTAGAGCTTTAAGAGTTAGAGGATAATGACCAAAGATTGTTTTGTTTTGAAACCTTGTGGCACATGACCTGTCTGTACTTGTTGACCAACAGACTTCGTGATATAGCGCGCATGGCATGTCCCGCACCCTAGAGTCAGAATAATGCCTAAATAAAAAGGAGAAGTTATAGTAGGGTATAGAAACTATACCAGAATTCTGAACTCTAAGATTGTGCGCTTTTCGAAATCTCTATGTATTCCACTATCGCTTCCACTATCGCTTCTCGTTCTTCCCACTTCCCATCACTTATCCGTAGTCCTTCACCAACAATAACCTTGCCCGCCGAGACCTTCCCAAGTAATATCTCTTTTGATAATGTCTCTCTCAGGTCCTTCAGAAATATCCCTCCCTTTATGCTCCCAACCCATGGCGGCCGAGCAGGGCGTATCCCACACCACCAATACCGAGACGCCACCCCGACCGAAACAGGCTGGGTCTCACTTCCTCAACCTACCAATGGAGCTCATCATCCAAATGGCAGCCGACTTCCTCCCGCGCAGAGATCAGTACCGGCTGCTACAAACGTGCACAGCTCTGCGCCTCATTCTCCGGTCCCGCTTCCGCAGCTTCCTCCTCGGCCCAGTCGACCCGCGGCAGCAACTCGAATACCTCCAGCTGCGCGCGAGCACGGCGCCGTACCACTGGGTCTGCGAAGAGTGCTTGGACCTGCACATGGTCAGCGTGAAGGACAGCGAGGCGGACAGTCCCGTCAATTCCCATCCCCGCTGCCCGCTCCGCGAGCTCCACTCCACCGCAGTATCGTCCCGGCCGAAGCGGCCTATCTTTCATTCGCTGTCGTACGACTTCTACGGCTTCCAGCTGCATCACCGCTTCGTCCAACTGGCACTCAAGTGGGAGCGCATGGGTGGCGCCAAGGGCGGCCGCTTCGGCGCGCACCTCCGCAGACTGCTCTCTGGCCACGGGCCCGTCAAGCTACAGGACGAGGACCTTGGGGTTCATATCGAGCGGTTGGGCGCCGAGCCATGGGAGGAGATCACGTTCCGCTGCCGGGTGCGGGTCGTCGGCGGCCGGTTCATGCTCGAGACGCGATACGACTTCCTGTCCCGCCCCGTGTGGCCCGATATCCAGGCGGCACTCTTCTTGTGTCCCCACCAGAGCTGGCTGGCACCGAGAACGTTCGAATTCCAGATGCTCCATTCCATCGGGAACACCGAGTGGATACGCGAGGCCCTGAACGCCCGGTGCAGCGCCCTCGCCGAGTCCATGAAGGCGGTGGAGGAGAATAGGGCGGCTTCCGTGGCGCTCTCGTGCCCGTACTGCCCGACGGACATTCGGGTGACCTTTGTCGAGATGAGCAACCGCATGCTGCTCCGGGCCCACGCTTACCACGACTTTTGCGGAGACTCCTTGCCGACGGACTTGGACTGGCACAAATGGGACCTTTCGACCGACAGTGACGGTAAGCCCTTGATGGAATCGTCGCACAAGCCAGGAGGCGTCAAGCAGCTCTGGGATATGGGCGATTCAGTGAATTGATGGGGTGCTGGCCGCACTCGTGGTCGCCCACGGATTGATGGAGTATGATATGCAGGATTGTGGACGTGTCTCCTTTCTCGGCTGTTCTTTGCGGGTATCATCATAGCGATTGTTCTGCCGCGCTCGTTTTGTTTAGCTTTAGATTTTCAAGAATGGAGTATTAATTTGTTAGAAAGCAAACTTTTCTCAACATGAAAGAACTTTCGGCTCCCAATACCATCGTTCTTATCGTGTATACGTCCCACGGATTGTGTAATCTTTTTGCGGCCCATTCACCGTGTATGCGCACACCCAGCTCTCTAGGTTGACCGAGTCAAATACAAAGTTGTAGTTCACGTTGTAGTAATCGTCAATGCACAAGTGTCCCGACTTGGCCGGCCAGCCGTGCATGTGGCCCCCTACGGGCGGATCTTCAAACTCGATCTCGTGAAAAAAGTAGTCGACGCGCTTATTGTCGTCAGGCTTGGCAAACCACACCGTAATCGCACCGGATGCCTCGTCGTACCGGTACACGTAACGACGCGTGGCGCGAAAGCCGAAGCCCTGGTCCGTTTTGAACTCGCCGTCTTCGATATAGAGGTATTCGTAGCTCTCGCCGTCTTGGCACCGGGGCATGACGCCCTCTTTCGTCGTGCATTGAACGCCCTCCTTGGTGATGGCCCGCAGGAGAAACTGGGCGGTTCCACTGAAATGGCCGCTGGGATGTGTAGGAAGCTTGCTCGTGAGATCGCGCTCCAACTCCCACGTTCCCAGGAGGCTGCGGAACACGGCTCTAGAGACGAATCTGGGAGTAGTCAGGGCATCCTTCAGAACTGTCGCCGCATCTTGCATGAGTTTCTGTGCGTTCACATTGTCTTGGCCGTCTTCGTTCGGAATTGAGAAGCGGAATGGGGCGAAAACTTCTAGAGGGAGCTTGTTGGTGGTGAGGTTGGGGGCATCGACAACCAGCGGCGAGTTAATGTCCAGTGACAGCGCCTCGGCAAAGTCTTGCATCAAAAATTGATAATCGCCCATGGGGAACTGTGATTGGCGCGGGTCATCCCTAAGACTAAGCGTCCTCGCAATGCTTCGATCGCTGGCCAGTTTCGCGCGGAGTGTGTCCGACGGACCCTTGCTAGACCATAGCGCCGTGATGAACCTGGCCTGCATCTGTATTACTCCCCAAAACGCTCCTCTGTAGAATCCGACAAAGCCCAAGTTGGGCACATCGGGATGCTGCGTCGCGTGAAACGAGAGAGCTAGCAGGTTGGATGGATGTGCAGGCGAGTACTTGAGTGTGGTCAGCACATCTTCTGGTAGAAAGCCGATGCAAGGCTCCGGGTCAAAGCCCGTCGCGAGAATGACGGCAGCAACGTCTTGGATGGAAGAATCGGCGAGCTTGGCTGTTGACCCGGCGAGGGATTCCAGTCTGCCATTTTGCACAGTAATGAAGCCTGAGCGCACGAAATCGCAGTACCAGTCACTGCATGACAGATATGGGGGTAACGAGTCATCCGCGATTTCGGGGTTGGCCGTCTCAGAACCAATCCGTTGTCTCGGTCCTAGCGAAGCCCGCAGTCGCCCATGTACCATCTTGGCCCTCTCTTCCGGGATATGGCCTTGCGAGTCAGTGAATGGTACTGGCCTATTGTTCTTGTTGAAAGACGAGAAGTCGTGTGGTAGGAATGGTGGAGCTTTCCATTTCGGCTGCTGCAGTCAGCCCAGAGCCCATGTCGACGTCAAAGTATGCTACTTACCTCGGGTGTTGTATGAAGGGGAATGACCCAGGGGTGGCGTGGGCTAACGTGATGAATACTATACTTTTCAATATTATGTATGGAGCTTTCGTCTGGAGAATTGATCTCGTTTGAGAGATGGGTGCCGATGGTGGCCGCGATCTCGACGCCAGACATTTGGCCACCGGCGACCAAGATCTTGCCGCCTTTGGCAGAGGTTCCGAGAAGCGACTGTAGGTCTCTGTACTGGCTACTGTGAATGACTGGGATGGCGGTGTTTTCTTTCCACGCCTTTGGGATGACCGGGTCGCCAAAGTAGCCCGACGCCACAATGAGGCGATCGAAATGAGTGGTCTTGTCGACCCCGTCAGACTGGACAGTCACATTCCAGCCATCGCCGTCCTTGTCGGTACGCATGACACGCGTCTTGAGATTGAGCTGGAAGTCCGGATTGCCGGTAAGATACTTGGCCGCATAGCGCTGGAGGTACTGGCCAATCATCCATGCTCGGGGCAGCTGGGGGGTCAGGTCGTCCCAGGCCTGGTCGCTAAAGTGCATTGTGTGGCGGCTCTGGTTGGCTAGCATGAGCGGATGAATCTGGCGGCCTGTATCGGCCTCGGACGTCGGCCAAAGCCCGCCGACGTCTGGCTGGGCGTCAAAGACGGTGACCTTGAAGTCGCCCCTAGGTGCATTGTGCAGCAGGGTTTTAGCGACGGCAAGGCCCGCGGGGCCGGCGCCTGGACGCAATCAGTACGCGCATCCCTCAATGCAGCATTTCCGTAACGTATAATTACCGACGATGCAAACCGACTTGGCCATGGCAGTCCAAGTGGCGTGCTTGCGCAGTCTCATGAAGCGGTGTTTGATGGAGGTTTGGACAGACCTTGGGCGGGCGGGGGCTGCCTGTGGTCGGAAAGCGGCCTTCTTCCTACGCGCGCGGGGGCCGTTTCCTGACGGGTCCTGATACGATTTTTGTCCTTACATAATGTTAATTTCAATATAGCTATTAAAGGAAAGCGATATGTATTCTTTCTAATGAAAATATAAAAAACTTGATCTGTATTAATACAGTTGGTATTTACTTAAACAGGTAGTTCATAACGTCAGCCAGCTAGCTATGTATGTACATACATAGGTACAAAAGTACATTAGTAGCTTTCTCACTGGCTGGCTGCCTGGCTGGCCATTTACTATAGATGTGAAGGAAAAAGAGGAGGGGCAAGAGGAGGAGGGGGGCAAGAGGTAGAATGGAAAAAAATCATAATAGAAGCCTTGAATTATCTTGGATATTAAACCCCGATTAGAATCTCCAAGACGTGTCAAAAATCCAGTCTTCCCCGCGCAAGTTCCCCGCGACCGACGGCTCTCTGTAACTTGCCAAGTACCCTAACTACCTGTTACTTTCCTCAACGCAACACAACCACCTTTTCTGCAACCTACTCTCATGCCCGGATCTATAGCCATTTACCCATCAAATCCCCCGAGCGGCAATTGGACTGACTTTGAGGTTCCATTTTCTATGCCTAGGTTGGTTTGCCTACAACGATTCCGATCTTGAACTGGAACGACAGAAAAGCGGACATCAACGCCGCAGTTTGCGGTGCATGCAGGCCTGCCTAGACCAAAAGCTAACTATCGCTCAATACAAAATTCGATGCAACAGCTGAGACTCAAGGGCTAGGATTTGTTGCGCATCACACATCTGTTGTTCAGTATGAGGCGGGATGCACGACCATTATAAGTCGCGAGATTTCAAGCCGAGCGGAAGTCAAGGTATTTAGAACGAGAAAATAGAGATGAGCTGAGTACTTAAAGAGCTTCAATCGAATGTTGGGATTGGCACCGCGCTCTATTTATCTTGCAGCTCCGTCCCGTCTCGACAGTGACGCAGACGATGTGACCGAATCACAGTCCATTCTTGTCATCGTACTGGCGATGCGCCAAATGCTTCTGTTCCACGACTGCGCCTGAAGCTCTAAAGCGGCGACTCACAGCGCGAAAGATTTTTGTGAAATGGTCATGGTCACTCCTTGTGCTGCTTATATGGGCCGTGGAGTGATCTAGAAGACGGGAGGGTGTGAAAAACATGGTTGGCCCTACGGAAGTAGACATGAAGCCACGCCACAGGCTTACCTTTCTGTGATACCTACAGATGGATTGATTCACGGTGCTACGGACGCCCACCACGCCCACTGGAGTCACAACAGTATCACGTGAAACTTTTTGGCCGTTTCATAGATGATTGCTGGCCCTGACCCCTCCCGCTTCCAGACTTGTTCACTAGATCAGTGAAGGGGCCGACTTGCTCAACCTCGACAAGCCAAAGTCGCCATGGATTTTAGTCTGCCTGACAGAGATGCCATTACCGTCCCGGTTCCCATAGTTGATGTGGCAACTGAGGGGCGATTAAAAGACACGAACCTGTCGGATGTTACACACTTTGTTGTTTAGTGGGTGTAGCCCGATGAGAGTCAACATTTGACAACACAAATACTTACGGCCAGTTCAGGATGTCCGACAAGAGATCTGAGGCGCTTTTGAAGATGATCGCAAACCTCTCCTACGACTGGGACAGACCGTTTCCCTTCTGGTACTTCACCGGAAAGATGGTCTCCAAGGCACGGTTTGACGACCAAGATCAGCTCAAGCTCTTCAACGCTACTCGAGTGATGACTGAATATATTGCGTTTGAAAACACAGCCATTTCGGATCAAGACAAATCCAAACATACCGGGAGAGCCGTGCAGGTCGTTGAAATCTACTTCTCAAAGCCACAGCCGGGGAAAAACTTCAAGTTAACCTGGAAACCGGCTAGAAGCGTCATCTCTAGGAGCGTTCAAAGGCGTAAGTGACGCATCCCTCGTCCCAAAGACTCGATTTGCCATTTCTAACAAGGTTTAACATATCGAATATAGTTGTAGACGAGTATGCTCGGGAGAAAAGTGTATCCCAGAAAGAGGCGCAATGATTCCGGAGGGAGAAGTGGTTCTCGCGGTTCAGTCGGTTGCTAGGTGCCGGCGGGATGCACTGGATCGCCAGGTATGCTTTGTCTTTTTTATCTAGCTTGTTTATCTTATTTTGCTTATTCAAGTTATCCTGATTATTCTTGTGATTAGTTCTATTTTCTTCTTTGGGTTTGAAATCCTATACACCCGTTTTGCGTTACCTATCTTGAGGTCCAGCCCAACTGATGGCGGCAGATACCAGGGCAAAAACAAGAATGCCAAGGTCAAATGGCCTGTAATACTGCTACACTTTCTGCTACAAGAGTCACGTATGTATATCCCTCCTAGAGCATCCACATCCAGCCACAGCATCCCGTCTCCAAGCGACGAGAGAAGCGTCAAGCAACCACCAAGCAATCGCCTACAGTCACCATGTCAAAGCAGACTCTCGCAACGCACTCTCTGCTTCTGCGGAAACTCGGCAAGGTAGTTATCCAGTTGATTACCCGTGAAGACTAATTCGGATTCGATTTTACATTAAAGTTAATGTTGGCGGTACCTCTATACATCACAGCGTCGCGGCTGACAGCCTTGATGGAGGGCGTCCCCTGGGCGAGCCCGTCGTCTCTTTTCGAAGCACTTGACGTCGATCCGTGCCAAATTCCCCACGAGACTCACCAACAAGTCTTGGCTCTCGCAGCCGCCTGGGTACTGCTTCACTTCCTGGTTGTCTACGCGTCCACCGAGCGATGTACCAACACGTTGCTCCCAAGCACCCGGGCGGCGCTTCTACTAAGCGTCCCACCGTTGCTCATACCGCACGAGTACTACGCCCTTGGCAATAATTGGGGGATTGCCGGTCTCATCTTGTGCATGGTTTACGGGCGGCTGTGTCAATGGGCGGTGACCTTGGGCGCGCAAGCCGAGTTCTCCAACGAGTACGTATCATCCGCGAGTACCCGTCCCCTAGCTAACATCGACGTCTAGGAAGCGAAAGGGATACGACATTGTGACACTAAGTGGTTATCTCAGCTGGATCATATCGAACTTGAGCAGGTTGGGGGGGGGGGCCAAACAAGTCAGGGACGATAGGCTCGGCACGATTTTTTGGGTGATGCTGCAATGCGGAGTTCATCGCTTTTTCGCACTAGATTATGCATAGAATCATGCGAGTGCGGGGACGGGAAAAGGAATTGAAAAATAAACACCAAGAATAGAACACTTATAGAAGTCTCGGCTTTAACTGTCCTTTGCGTGAATAACTTGAAAACAAAAAGGACATGGAAAGGGAAAAGAAAAACAAAGGAAAGGAAAGACAAGAGAAAGAACAGTTCCTGACTACTACCGTCAAGCACATGGGGAAATATGCCGATGGGACTGTATATAGTCATCTACTGCTAAGCTTCAGCTGAGGGCAGGGACAGGGGCGCTTTACCGGCCGTTGACTAGGGCAGGCGACAATTAATATTGAAAGATCTTGAAATACCTGAGTAATCTGTAGCAAACCCTCAACTTCAATAGCCGACCAAGGCTCGGACCGCACAGACGATCTCAACGTGTGAGCGAGCCACTTCGATGATAGATAGGGCTGGCTAATATACCAGCTATAAGGCTGGCCCCCTGGGCTGGGTTCAAACTAACTAGTAACGTTAGGGGCGAATGATTCTAGTCAAATACGACAAGAAATAGTAACTATCTGTACACGTCAGCGCGCCGCGTGTCAATGCCAGGCGCAGCTAACCCGCACAGTCTGCCCCCCTCCCCCTCCCCCCATGGCCTTATCCAATACCAAGGTTTCGAGCTAATCTCGGCTCAGCCTACTGTCTTCCACAAGACCCCTGTGCCCTTGTCCATTGTTCATGGGACAAAAAGAGGCAAGGCGGCATCTCTAAGATGATCAATTCTAGACCCAGCCCACGTGCGTTCGGTGCTTGGCTCTTGCAGGTGCTGCGGCAGTTTTGGACAGATGAGGATAATCGTGGCTTAACATGTCGCCAAATAACCTTTTCGACAGGGGGCGGCTTCGTCACTCGTATAAAATAGTTAATAGTCGCTGCTGCTCTGTGGATGAGTTTGAAAAAAAAAAAGAGGGAAATTTCCACGAATTAATGTGATGGCTGTCCGCAGCATTGACGCGGCAGCCATGCGCAATCGCTTCCATAAATCTCGCAGAACGTTATTTATCGTCATTTTTCTCATTTTCATTTCCATAGCGCTATATAATGACTATTCGAAAAAACGCCCCTGGCTGCATCTCCCAAGGTACGTTGACGAAACCACCAACACACGCAGACACTACCAACAATCCCCCAACACTTGCTCATCTCCACGACTCCAGATTACAGGGGTATTACAATGGAATAAACACCATTCCTCGCCCCAACCGATCTCGACCGCCCATGCCGAGGCCCTACAGCCCCTACAACGGCTCGGAACCCACGAGGACATGCTACCTCGACAGGGAAAACACCGTCGCCGCGCCGGACATCTACGCCTACGACGGGGTGCCGCGGCACATGCCAGCGCCGCTGTTGGGCTCGTACGAGCTCCTGCGGATCCGCGACGACGTATGCTTCGACCGGTTCGGGCGATACGGGCCGTACGGCCTCGGCTACGGCCCCGCGCTGGGCGGCGTGGGGTTCGAGAACGAGACGGAGCACGCGCACTCGGAGCACGTCTGGACGGGGACGGGCCAGATCGACTACCGCCGCGTCGACTGGGCCGACGCGCAGCAGCGATGCCGCGACGCCAACAACGAGGCGATGAGGGGGAGCGAGTCGAGGACGGCCGTCGTCGTCCGCGCCTACGAGGGCTACACGTGGACGCCCATGGCCGTCCTCAACCTGCGCGCCATGGTCACCGAGCTGGCCCTCAAGACCGGCGGCGCCTACTCGGTGCACGTGCTCCTGCAGGTCAAGGACGCCCGGTTCCCCGTCGAGGCCGCCGCCGACCCGACCGTCCGGTACGCGTACCTCGCCCGCCACGGAGTGCCCGCCGAGTTCCGCGGTCTGGTCACGCTCTGGAGCGAGCCCCAGATGCGCCGCGCCTACCCGGGCGACTTCCCCCCGTCCTTCCGCAACCCGACCGGCAAGGGCGTCCACGACGTCTACCGCAGCCCGCACCTGGCGCTGCAGGAGTTTGCGGAGGCGCACCCTGAGTACGCGCACTTTTGGAACTGGGAGCTCGACGCGCGCGTGCTGGGAAGTTACTTTGAGATGCTGGATGGCATCGGGCGCTGGGCGGACGCGAGGCCGCGGGAGCTGCTGTGGGAGCACGCGGAGCGGTATTATATCCCGCGGCACCACGGGTCGTGGGAGGACTTCACGCGCGCGGTACGGAAGCAGCAGCGGGAGAGTGGACGGCTGGAGCTGCCGCCGGAGCCGCTGCGGGCCGACTGGCGGACAAGGCTCGAGGACGGTGGCGACGTGCTGCCGGCCGACTGCGCCTGGCAGCCCGCTACGTGCGGCGTCGGCGAGCCTGCGGACCTCGTCACGCTCAGCCCCATCTTCGACGTCCTCGGGTCGTCCTGGTTCTTCGCCGACGACGCGACCGGGTATCCGGCCTCGCTGCGAGCCACGCTCCCGCGGCGCGCGGCCATCGTGACCGCGGGGCGGTACAGCCGGCGGCTGCTGGCGGCGATGCGCGAGGAGGTGCGCGGCCACGGACGGACCATGTTCGCCGAGATGTTCCCCGCGAGCGCGGCGCTGCACCACGGGCTGAAGGCGGTGTACGCGCCGCACCCGGTGCACGCGGGGCGGCGGTGGGAGCGCGCGGCGGCGGTGGACCAGCACTTCAACAGCGGCGCGCGCGGGTCGACGTCTGGAAGGGGCGGTCCGTTCAGTCTCTCGACGGAGAGGGTGCATGATGTGGCGAGCTGGTACTACAGGAGCAGCTTCGCGCAGAGCCTGTGGCGGCGCTGGCTGGGGTACGGGGAGGACGGAGGTGAGGAGGAGGGCGGACGGATGTGTCTGCGGAGTATGTTGCTTCATCCCATCAAGCATGAGCATCCATCGGAGTGAGACGAGAGGGTGGGTGGTGGTTAGTCTGTCTATTGCGTACCATACATATAAATACCCCTAAGCAATCTACATTGAAGAAACAATCCTAAATAAACAAGGCCTAGGTCCATTCTCCAAGGCGTATCTTTCGAAGACGCACCATTAGATCTCCAAGTAGTTCCGGTGGCAAGTCGGCAGGCATTTCATCGGCGAGCTTGGCAAGGTCTCGCTTGTATTCGAGGTCGCCGTAGAGCCCGGACTGGGCTGGAGGACGTATTAGCGACGACTAAAAAATAACACCAATCGGATCCGAGTCTTGAATCTTGTCAATATGGGCTCTCACCTGGACTTTCTGGGTCAGAGGACGAGTCGACGCCTCGGTGAGGCGGCGGTTGGATGTCCTCTCTCTTCTCAAGCACCCAGAATATGACGCATCCTTCGGAAATGGCCTTGAGATACTGATTGCAGCGACCCATAATCGAATCTTGTCTAGAGCTAGACAGGTGATTGAAAAATAGAATCAAATTAAAGTGAGTTCGGGAGACAGTGTGAGTGTGGCATGGCGCGTAGAGTCAGTCGAAGAAGGCGCACTTATTATGTGGCAGCCTAATTCTGTCGAACTACCACATTACGTGGCCACGTTCGCGGTTTTTCTTCTTCTTTTGGGCAGAATTTCTTTTTTATTTGGAAAAAGGTACACGTTTATATATCTATACAGGTGAATTGATTATTCGCAGCCGGCGACGCTGCTCTTCTTACATCCATCCTTCATTGCCTCTTTAGGAATCATATTGTCAACATTCAAATCCAGCGCTTTGTTAATCTACAGTACGTGATCCAGAGCCGGAAACCCTGAGCCAAAATCTGGGCCATCATTCGTCAACGCGGCCATTGGTGAGCGTGCTCCCTGTCCCATTCTAGCCACAGCTACTTGTCAGTCATGCTCCAATACCCAGTGGCGCTTCTCAGGACAGACGACACCTACCGATGATAGCCTGGCGCTGCATAAGACGTGCTCTGTTTTCCATCACCTTTTCATCGTGGCTATCTTCAAACTCTTCAAAGTTGCGTCGCTGTTGGGCACGGTCGGTGGTGGGCATGGCTAGATAGATGATCAAGCGAGTCAGCCCTAGTTGATGAAGCCAAGTGTCTTTCGGTCCGATGACGGGGGAGACATTGAGGACGTTTCTGCTTTGTAGAAAATGTTGACTTGCGCTTACCTGTAGGCGGAGGGGCACTGGTGAAGCGCTCTTGGAAATCCAGATGGTAGGGGATGACCTGAGATCGCCGTCTGTCGGACTTGTAGCTGCAGGGAGCCATTCCGGGGGATACAGGTACGGGGGTTAGGGCTCTATGCGGCGACCAAGAGGAATGGAGTCGATCTTGGAAGTTCATGGTCGGGCATAAACGCTAAATATATAAACGGCCTTGCTGTTGTACAAGAGTCTAGTCATCTGTACGCATGCGGCAGGGCAAAGTAATCGTCAGCCGCGGCTTGCCGTGTGGCACGAACAACGTGGTATGACGAAGCAGTTTCTTTGTCCTTGTCATTTTAAACTCTACCAAGGGTATGGATGGCTTTTCTATTGAGAGATGCCGGCAAAGATGAGTTGGTTCCGTGTTTGTCAAGCATCAATCACTGACTACCTACAGCCAAGGTGGGCCTGGGCTCGGCAAGATCGCCGCCAGGCCGGCGCCACAAAGCCCGATCCGGCGGAGGAGACGGGATGTTGGCGTGGATGGTGTCTGGTGAATTGTTCAAATATTGAATTATTGAATTATTTTACCAAGTTTTTCACTTTTAATTAATAATAGAATCAGACCCGTGCGGATAGGTCAAGATTGGGCACAGAATTTGGACAGCCAGCGACTTGTTGGGCTGAAGAAGAGGGATTGGCCTGTGCAGCCGGGAATAATCAATCGGCCTTTATTTCCACAGCTTTCCATGTATGTACAGAGGTACAATAAATGCAGCAATTGCGGGATCAATACGCTGGGGTGCGAATGCCATTGAAATAAAAAATAGAAAAATAAATAGCAGGCCTCTCTGCCAGGATCATGTTTATCTCCGATGCAGCACTCATTAACCCCGATCGCACACCATCTTTGTATTGTACCATCGATCAAGCTCACCAGCAATGGCGTCATGTTAGCTACCCCCCCCCCCAAATCTCACAAGCCGGAGCTCCCGTCCGCCAACACCATCCCAGCGACGCAAGGAGGGGAAGCTTAATAATAATAAATCTACATCTACATCATCCTTCTCCCTCTTCTAGACTTATTCTTCTTCTTCCTCTAAATCCCTTTTGAAAAATACTGCCCTAATTCCAACCAAAACCATGCCCGCCCATCACGTCCTCATCCTCGGCGGCCACGGCGCCATCGCGCAGAAGCTCACCCCGCTGCTCCTCCGCCGCGCCTGGACCGTCACCAGCGTCATCCGCACCGCCGAGCAGGTCCCCGCCGTCCAGCGCCTCGCCGCCGACCTCCCCGGCACCCTGCACGTGCTCGTCCGCAGCATCGACGCCGTCGCCAGCCAGCAGGCAGCCCAGGAGATCCTCGACGAGGTCAAGCCCGACTACATTGCCTGGAGCGCCGGTATTCCCTCCCCTCCCCCCCCTTCCGATCTTGCTTTTGCTAATGGACAGTAGGCGCCGGCGGAAAGGGCGGCGCAGAGGCCACGTTCAAGATCGACCGCGACGCAGCGGTGCACTTCATCCGCGCCGCCGCCGCAACGCCCTCGGTGCGTCGCCTGCTGCTCGTCTCGTACTCGGGTAGTCGTCGCAAGGCCGCGCCCTGGTGGCAAGCGGCCGAGTGGGCCGAGTACGACGAAAAGGTGAACCGCGGCGTGCTGGCGACGTACCACCAGGCCAAGATCGTCGCCGACGAAGCGCTCTACGCGGCGACCAGGAGGGGCAGCGGCAGCACGCTGACGGGCATCTGCCTGAGGCCGGGCACGCTGTCGGATGGCCCGGCGGGAGGGGTGGAGCTTGGGAAGACGAAGCACGTCAAGGGAAGCGTGCCGAGAGAGACGGTCGCAAAGGTGGCGGACGCGCTGCTGGCGGCGGACGGCGTCCAGAGCGGCTGGCTCGACTTGTTGGAGGGCGAGGAGCCGGTGGACGACGCGGTTGCCAAGGCCGTCAAGGAGGGCGTCGACGCGGCCGAGGGCGAGGCCATTCATCAGCAGTGACTCTGGAACATTGGCGGGCACCAAAGTAACATCTAGTCTCTTTCCATTGCTAACGAAAATCGATTGTTGAATTTCTTGCATATTATTTTCCAGTTGAAGCTAACTGCAACCCATCTATCCCTCCTCATCTCACACACCTTGCAGCCGTGCGGAATCTGGTAATCGTGGCTCCATCTCCAGCTCTTCCAGTCTCATGCCCTGTCTGCGACGGTCCTGGCTAATGTTGGAAGTCCTTCCGTGCAGTGCCGCCCCAAACCCACGACTCCTCGACCGCCGCCGCCGCCCGCCGCCGCTATACCTCGCCGCAGCGCTGCTCCTCCGACGAAAGATGGTGTCCGCGATGCCCCTGCGGATCTGCCTCACCGTGTCCCAGCTCGTCGTGAAGTATATCAGCGCATTCATCACGCCCTGCAGCGGCAGCACGGTGCCGCTGACGGCGCTCAGCTGGAAATTGATGTGGCCGTGGTTGGCGATGCTGTACAGCCGGTTGACCGAGCTGGGGATCCAGGTGACCAGCACAGTGAAGCCAAAGATGAAGCTCGTCCGGAGGTACGCCATCTTGACGGGGTCGAGCCGGCGCAGGCGCGTCGTTGCCATCTGCCTCAGCCGGCTGAGCTGGTGTGAGAGACTCGTCTTGTTGGCCCGGGCGGCGGCGGAGGGGGAGACGGAGACGGAGGTGCGTGTAGCCGACTCCATCCTGTGCAGCGTCTGCGTCGTCTCTACCATGTTGTTCGCTGATGTCGAGATGGTCGCCACATGCGTCGGAGGTTGCAGGATGAGCTGGCCGCGGTCGTCGCAGGGCGAGGCGTCAGACTCGACTTGTACCTCTGTCACGGCGATTCCATAGCAGTCGATTCGTTCCGAGAACATCATCTCCTGGCAGTTAGCGCGTGACAAGCAAAGAAATTACATGACTCTCAATAGCTTACTTCTTCAGCAGAGTCCTCGACATCCGTCGTCTGCACCGATTGCAGGCAGCCGCTCTTGTCCAAGCTCTGCAGCCCAGCGCTTCGTAGCCGGTTTCGCTGCTGGAAGACGTGGTACCCAACGGCAATGTAAATGACGATGGACAAGAATATGCAAATCCAAATTGGTATGTAGTACGCGTAGAGTCGCACCAGACTCCAATTTGGGCCGATCCAGCACCAAAGCTGCGCCTCCCTTGTCAGCATCTGCGGCTCTGCTTTTGTTGTTGTTGCTAATGCTCGCCGACTTACGGTTGCATCACCAAACACGGGACCGCGCGATCTATCCTTCATCGAGATCAGGGTAACAGCCGGTATCAAGGGCCCCCCGAAGCAGACGATGCAGTATGCCCAGATGTAGCGTGGAAACGCGGTCGGGTCGACGTTGCAGAAGAAGACGAGGAAGACGTTGCACGCCATGGCGCAGGACCACCAGGGGTCGGCTTGCATGAACCTGCGAAGATTAGCCCCTGCCAAGGGACGCAAAGCACTCAGGTACTCTCTGGGTATTCCTCTTCTTACCATTCGAATATAAAGGCCTGGCCCTGGCAAAGCGACGAGTCATCCCCCTGCATCATCCCGTCGTGTCCAATCATGGATGCGATGCTAGCGCCAGCGTTGGCGATGGAGGCGAAGAGGAGGAAGGTGTTGGGCGTCGTCCGCAGCTTTGGGTAGACGAGGTACGACGTCGCGATCAGGGCTATGGCAATCATGGACAGGCTGGCCCCGGTGCGCTCAATTGCCACGAGCGTTGCAATCTTGTCGGCCGACAGGTCGGAGCCGTCGCGGACACTGGCATCCATGGTTGGTGAATGTCGAGCAATCTTGGCATCGACTCGGTCTGGATGTTTACAGATTCAGATAGGAATTCTGTAGAACAAGAAGGAACTCTAACTTTGACTCTACAGGCTTCGTTGCACAGTCGCAGGCTCGTAACAGCGTGTACCAGGTGGCGACACAAAGACAGGCAAGCACGGACGAGGCAGGAGCTGCGAATGAACCGGACACGGATGCACGGCTCTCTGTTTCCGCGACGTGCAAATTCAAGACTCGATTGGCTCTCCCTATTGGATCTTTTAGTTCTTGTTTGTGTTCAACTAATGATTCGACGAATTGTTGTAGCGCAGAGTCTATTACGCTGGCTGCTGGTACTAGGCAAACCACCCGGCCTCAAGCGAGAGAGCAATCACGCACAGAGACAATAACAGAGTAACACGGGGAGATGGGCAACCCGTATCATTTCGATGCAGTGCGATGGATTTCAACAGCCTGTAATGTAATTTTTCGCAACCGCGCTTCCAAAGCAGCAGACGATGACGAGCACGTACCACAGCCCCTTCCCTTCTAGTCCCTCGGTGCTGCCAGCTCCATAGGTAGGTAGCAGTCAGTACCTGCCGTTTTACAGCTCAACCGACTCAAACTCCTCCTCTTCCTCCTCGACAAGGAAATAGTCCTTGACCAGTGCCCCAGCATACACCTTGGCCCACTGCTCCTCCGTGCACGTACCCAGATCCAGCACGTAGCATCGCGGCGCCGGCCCCGGGAGCAGCTCCGTCTTGTGCCCCCATGTATGGCTCGGTCCCTCCGTCACCAGGTCCTCCGTCACTTCCTTGCGCCCCGTCGCGATGTCCTTGCCGAACATGGCCCGCATGAAGATCTCGTACGCGTGCACCGGCTGGTACGACGGGATCATGTGGCCCGCCTGGAACACGCGTGTGAAGGAAAAGTTGCCCACCTGCCGCGTCAGCCCGCCCACGCCGTCCGTCGTGACCATCTCCGCGTAGCCCGCCTTCGCGAACCTGTCGCTGCCCTTGAAGTCGACCGCCAGCGAGGACATCTCGCCGCCGATCCAGTTGCACGCAAAGTCGCGGTCGCCGTACACCAGGTGCACCTTGACGCCCGCGGCGTCCAGCAGGTAGCCGAGCGCGTCGACGAAGCCGCCGCGCAGGTGGTCCGCGGAGATGCCAAAGTTGCGCGAGACGGCGCGCGAGGTCGAGGTGAAGTTGACGGGCGAGCCGAGCGCGGAGAGCACGTCGGCGCGCGAGAGCCACCCGTGGATGTGCGGCGGAGGGAACGGGTCCTGCTTGCGGTGGGTGATGTCGAAGCGGCCGCGGTCGACGGCGGAGAAGGCCTCCTCGCTGGGCGACTCGCATGAGGGCTCGATGCCGCAGATGGCGTCCCACCCGCTGCCGTCGTCGAGCTCGTCCTGGACCGTCACGCGGTCGCGGTCGGCGAGAACCTTCTCGCAGTGCCGAATCTGGTCGCGGCAGCCGCCGGGCTTGGTGAAGTTGTGCATGAGCTCGTCGTAGTGCTCCTGCGTGTAGGCTTTGATGCCGTAGGTCTGCAACTAGTTAGCGGTAAAAAAAGTCTTCTATAAAAAAACAGGGACGCACATTGTTGAACGGAAAGATGATGCCCGCCTCCTCGCGGTGCGCCGTGTCGATGACGCCGTTGATGATGCCCAGCGTGTCCAGGTGCATGTAGTGCGCCGTCTTGTCGTCCAGCGTGCCGTTGAGGATGCGCTCGTTCTGCTCCTGGAAGAAGCGCGTGAAGCCAGGCCCGTAGTGGCCGCCGTAGCTCTCAGCCCACACGCTGATGCGATCGTCGTTGGGCTTGTAGTGTGGGAACTCCCAGAAGAAGGCCTGGGCAAAGTGCCAGAGCGCGTGCGCCGCCTGCGCCGTGGTGTTGACCGTGTGGCGGCCGTCGCCGCTGGACACGGTGCCGACGCGCGTGGTCGCGTTGACCTCGGGCACGGCGACGCGGGAGAAGTCGGTCGCCGTTCGGACGTCGTCGCCGTCGGCGCCGAAGTGGATGGTGATGTTGGTGGGCGTGTCGTAGGAGAAGCCGACCTGGTTGGGCTCGTCAATGTACAGCATGTTGACGTGGTTGTTCCAGCTCCACGGGTTGTTCCGGACGGTGGCCGAGTCGGCGTTGATGAAGCAGGGGCCGTTCTCCTGCAGCAGGCCCATCATCGAGGACGAGCCGGGGCCGCCATTGAGCCAGATGGCGAGGGGCGCATTCTGGGGGTCGTGACGAGCCTCGAAGAACCAGAAGAAGCTGCATCGGCTGGTTAGATGGGGAACAGCCGTGGTTGGAGGTTGTAGGGTGTACTTGGGCTTACGTGTTGGTGTCGTAATCATGCTCGATTCCGTGGATGTCCTGCAAGAGACTGGCCGGGAGGCGGACGTGGCCAGCGTAGGACTTGACGCCGGGAGTAGTCTCACAGAGGCCAGGCTATCATTAAGATGTGTTAGCATAGCAGCGCCCATTCCGGAGAGAAAAAAGGCCAAGCCATACCTCCTTGTACGAAATGGTCACGTTTTCATGAAATTTAGACTTGAGAGTCTTGACGCCTGTGAGGGGCGGGGGGAATTGGGCGACGGCCAAGCTGGCGATGCTACCCAACAGCAGCGCCTTGGAAACCATGGTGAGTCTTTCGTCGACGCTCTCTATGCGTCCGACTCCGTGGTTGAAGAGTCTTGGAATTGTTGAGAAGAGAGGGTTTGAATTAATCCTGGTGTGATGAGCTGCAGGCTACAGCGTCCTGTGTCAAACAACCTGGATGGCCAGCCTGTTAGTGCGGAGCGGGCGTTATCGTGACTAAAAAGAGGCGGGCAGCGTACCCGGCACCGGGTTGGTACTCCGGAGGCAGGGTGTCTTACAGGCCAATCGAGTGAGAGGTGAGAGGCTCTATCAGGCTGTATTTTATCGTATTTTTCATTGAAATTCTTCGGCATCAACAGACCGAAAGCGGAGGGTACGCCCACCGGACATAAACCGGTGTGGAACGTTCCCCGGGTTTGAATCTGATCTGGGGGTGGAGACGCTGGGAAGCTTGCTCGGGATCAAGCCACCCCCTGGGAGCTGGGTGCAACAGCCAGAGGGCACGGGGGCTGATGGATCTGCGGTCTCTTGTTATATCTGCAATAATTATGGTCAGAGGAACAATACCTGGGCTTCCAGGGAACAAGGGAAGAGCTAAGGCTCAGGTCAAAGCAGCGGCTTCAGTGTTGCGACTGGGATAACTAAGAGAGAATAGGACCCAAGTTGACATGTTCGAGAACAGTCAAGCAAGTCTTCTCTTAACAAATTTAACAAGTTGCTGGTAGAAGCCCACTTCATCATCTTCCATCAGTACCTCAGCCATACGACTGCGAGCCTCGCCCGGGCTCCAGCTAGCCAACCTCCTACTTGCTGAATCACTCATCTTCTTCTCAACGAACGCGTCCATGGCCAGTCTGTCTTTACGACTGAGCATGTCTACGCGAGATTTCCAGTACGGTTCACTGGCAGAAATTTGCTGCCGCTCCCCGAGGAACCTCGCATCTATGTAGATGTTTCCAATAGATGGCGTCAAACGCCCAACTCTTTCCTGCCGCGTAGTTGAGCCAAAAACGCCCCATTCTCCAGCTATCGTGCATGTGTTCGTGGAGCTTGAACGTCAATGCAGTTGACGTTGTCGATGCTTCTGCTTTTTCCATACATGAGAGCCATGCCCCCAATCGCTGTTCGTAATGCTTCGCCCAATCTTCTATCCCAGCAGGCCACATCTCCGGGCATTTCCTGTAGCAGCCACCACGGTGGATCGAGAATGAACTGCGTCGGTGCTGCATATGTAAACTCCCAGTCAATAGCAGCGACCATGTCCTTGTCTTCGTTGATTAGAAAGTTGGTCGGCCGTAGGTCATCATACCAACGCCGAAAACGACCCATCATATCCGGTGCTAGCAAGAAGCATCCATCTTGGCTGCCTGCGCAGACCAGTCATCCTCCACAACCCAAAACTTGAGAGCCTCCCCTCCTGGGCCAACTTGCGGAACAAATATCTGGAGATGTATTTTCCCGCAATCATCTTCTGACGTAACTAAATCGTTGTGCTGAAATACCAACTGAGCAAGGTGCATATTTGCCAAGGCAATATACCACTCAGTTGCCGATTTGTATGTGGTGGTTGGTGGATGGTAAAACCTCTCGAGGTATGTTTGCCAGCTGTATCATGTTGCTCATGTTCTGTGTGATTGGCCGGCCTAGTACCAAAATGTGACCATTGCTTTCTTTCAGAGAACCGATTTGACCAAATTCTGGTTGACATAGCTGTAAAAGGCAGCCAGCTAGCTTCGAGTACATACTTTGCGGTATGACTTCGTCCAGATCCTCATCCAGCACTGGTACTTCACTAGTATCCTGCTGGGGCTTTGACAAGACATCCGAAATATCTCCTTCGTTTGTACCGTACGGCAACATCAAAAATGGGCCGGTTGTTGATCCAATCTCGTATCGAAATAGCTCAGGGACGGGCAATCGAGTTTTTTGTCGTAGCAGCAGCCCAGTCGCCGCTTCTTGAAGCGTCTTTTCTTCGGGAAACTGGCAGAGGCTGGGACAGGGTAAACGGACTAGGATATCGCTCGGTAATCCATCAACGTGTACCCTATAACTGAAGCACATTGTAACCTCCCATTCGCAAGGGAGGCACCAGAGTCGCTGGTTTGCCGAACTGCTCTGAAACCGCTGACACAATGTCGGCGCAAAATGAGCGGCGTGTGAGCTGCGTTTTCGCCTTCTCTATCGCATCATCGTTCAAGTCCCAAGCAAGATTGTCATAGTCTTGACGTTCTTGGTTCATTTTGCTGCACTCACGAAAAGTAGCAAATAGCAGAAGGGATGCGTGTGTATAATAGTTGCCAATGGCCAGGGTTTATAATTATTTTCCCGGCCTACTCTTTTTCTTCGCTCGAGCCATTTTCCTATTTATTCTTCCCCCTACCCTTAGCCCTTCCCCTTTCACTGGAGCCTTGCTGTGCACATTGCCGCCTCGCCCCAGCGTCGAATTTGGGCAGAGCTGAGTCCAGATAACTTCGCTCCTCCAAATACATATCCTTCACGAACATACCTGATCAACTGCCAGTCAAGTCAGATCGGCGCGGCTCAGACCCGACCGATGTCGTGATGATTCGCCGACGTCGGCGGCCACTGGCGACCGGCAATGACGGCAGCGACCAAGCCACGCGTGCTGGCCAAGCTCGCAAAATCAGGCCTCGCAATTAGTTACCTGTTATTTTTGATACCGCCACGCAATAAGCTTCAAGCCAAAGACAGAAATCATGACGAAAGAGGCCAACAGCGCTAAGCTTCAAGTAGCCCCTCATGCGCCACTGTGTGCCTTGATTTCTCGCGGGACAGCCTGCAGTCAGCGCAGCGAGGCCCGCCACATGGCCGCCACGCGTGCATCACGGTCACGCTACAGGGCTCATTGGCCGCTAAAAATATAGTGCCCGCCAGTTCATCCACTAAAATCAGCGCTGAAACGCCGCCAGAGGCCGCTAAACCCCACTGCCGCCAGCGACTTCCAACGGTGCGCTCATGGCAAATGGTTGTTGCAGTGGGCTGCAATTTATTAGTATGATCGACATTCTCAAGCTGCTGCCTCTGTTGCACAACATCGTCACGCCTTTGTCGTCATTCCCTGTTTTTGGCCCCCGTCAATGTCCTTTTTTTCTTGCTGGTTTCCTTAGGGCCAAAATTCGCCAATTTCCTCCATCTCAGGATCGACATCACACCTCGAATTCCTATCCTAACATCAAAGATCACCTACCAAACCTACTAAGATTTAGCTCTTGCCAAGCTTTCCCAGCCGTTGTGGCTTGGCAACCTCCTCCACCAGAGCTTCACAACAGCCATCTTCCTCGTTAGCCGCCACCATCATGACGGAACAAACACAGACACAAACACCACCGCTCGCGACCCTTGCCATCAATGGCACCATCAATGGCAAAACCAGCAACGGCCTCGCGGCTAACGGATCCGCCCACATGAACGGATCCTCCTCCAAGCAGCAGCAGCAGCAGCAGCATGACGACCAGCAGCAGCCCAGCGGCACCTCCGCCGAGGATCGCAAGCCCGCCAAGTCGAAGCGGCGGCCGCGCGGCGGCTTCGACCCGACCGAGCTGCCAGACGCGCCGCCCGGCTACACCGTGCGCTTCACCTTCCACTCCGCCACCAACCTTGCTCCCGGGGATCTACACACGGCCTCGTCAGACCCCTTCCTGCACGCCACCCTCAAGGTCAACGGCCTAAAGCGCCACAAGGAGGATCCGGACCTCACCCACCGCACGCGCACGCTGTGCCGCACCCTCGAGCCCGTCTGGGACGAGGCATGGACCGTCGCTAACGTCCCGCCGACCGGCTTCACGCTCAAGTGCCGCCTCTACGACGAGGACTCACCCGACAAAAATGACCGCCTCGGCAACGTCACCGTCCGCGTGCCCCGCCTCTTCCGCAGCTGGGAGGGCTTCCCACCGCCCGGTCGCACGTTTGAGGGCAAGAAGCGCGTCATGAGCAAGCGCGCGTACCTACTCAAGGCCGTCACAGATAGGTTTCATCGCAATCACAGCGCAAAGCACATGTCGCCGCTGGTCACTATTAGTATAGAGCTGCTGGGGGAGTCGGAGCCGCCGCACGGCCAAATGTACACGGTCGGCCCAGCCAGGTGGGTTCAGCACTTTAGTCCCATGATTGGGCGGCTGGCGGGCACAAAAGTCGAGGGCGACAAGGGCGGCGCCGGCGCCGGCGCCGGCGGCGAGTCGGCGGAGAAGAAGAAGCAGCAGCAGCAAGATACCAACGGCGAGGCCAATGGCGGAGAGGCCTCAAGCTCGGGGAAGCAGACAAACAAGAATCAACGTTACGAGTGAGTCCCCTGGCAACTGACTGCTATACAGGCAACGTATGCAAGTCATACTGACCAGCCACGCAGGTTTCGAGCCAACGAGATGCAGCTCGTCGGCCCCGTCCCGCCCAACATGTACCACCGCTTCGTCGCCTTCCGTCCCATCATCGGCTCCATGTTCATGTCCACCGGCATCCGCGGCAAGATCCTCAACAAGGCCTTACACAAGCAGCACAACCGCATCTACAGCTTCGACTCCAGCACCGCCTGCGAAGACTTCTCGCCGTGCACCCCCGCCGCCACGGAGCAGTTCCTCCAGATGGCACACTTCGACGAGGGCGGCCGCGTCTTCACCTACGTCCTCACCCTCGACGCGCTGCTGCGCTTCACCGAGACGGGCAAGGAGTTCGGCATCGACCTCCTCAGCAAGCACACCATGCATTCCGACGTCGAGACCTACATCGCATACTCGGGCGAGTTCTTCATCCGCCGCCTCGAGCGGCCCACTGCCTCCGACGACCCGGACCCCAAGGGCCGCACGCACCCCGATGACGAGCTGCCAGGCGGCCCGCCCAACGAGCCGCCCCCGCAGGACCCGGCGCACTACCAGCTCGTCATCGACAACGACTCGGGCACCTACCGCCCAGACCGCTCCGCGCTGCCCGCGCTCAAGGAGTTCCTGGAGCGCAACCTGCCAGGGCTCGGCGTCGTCGCGATGCACTGGGAGGATGAGGAGCTCAAGGAGATGAAGGAGGCGCAGCACCGCGCCAAGCACCGCGAGCGCGGCGGTAGGGTGCTCCGTGGCGTGCTCAACCGCAGCGCCAGCAGCATCAGCTCCGCGGAGAGCGAGCTGGAGGACCGCCAGGCGGCCGCCGGTGACGGTGGCGATGGCTGGGACGGGAAGAAGAGCAAGCGCGAGAAGGCGTGGGAGGCGCTCGAGCGGCCGGCTGCAATCAAGGAAACGGCCAAACAGGCCCTGCCCTAATTTTTCCGTGGTCCATGTTTTTCCGTGGGCCTTTCTTTCCAATTGTTGCAGCATCATTCTTGTCTAGTTTCTACCATGATACCTATTATGAGCAATGAATTCACCTTGCATTGTTATCTGCATCTATGCAACGATAATCCATAATTTCTTATGTTTCCAACTCCAGCAACATTTGTCCTCGTTGGCCAGCCAAGGTTGATAACAAAGTCAATCCTGCATCACATGTACGGTGACAACAGACAGGCTCGGAATCAAAATACCCAGCTCATCACGCAGCTATTCATGCTTAGTCCGTAGTGTATTCTGAAAAACAGAATCACAATATCCCTTTTAGGTCCTGTAGACAGCTCTTCTAGCTCTTTTGTACGAGTCCCTGCGGTGATTTCTTGCGGCTTGCCCAGGTAACTTCCGCTCATCGCTATAGGGAATACCATCAAGCAGTCATGTGTCGCATACGTATTCTCAACAAAAATTTCCAGCCGACCTTCGTCGCGGCAAAAATGGCGATACCGGTTTGCGGCGTCTTATCTTCTTCGCGGGTGGTGTGGATGTCTGTTGACTTCTCGCAGGCGACGGCGCTCCAAGCTCATCTTCGTCCGAAGCTGGAGTGGTGGGAGAGCAACTCTTTTTGATATCCTCGTTCGCCTCCCTCTCCGGACTTTCGCTTGCCTTTCTCTTTGTCCGTGTCGAATGTATTTTGGTGGATGCGAGTTCCAACACGTCGGCTTCGGGGTCGAGGCTGTCCGCAGCGTCCTACAGTTGCTCGTCTCGCCGCACGGTCAACAGGTTCTGGATTTCTTCCTCAGCCATCCCCATCAAATTTCCCTTGAACTTTCCAATCGGACTCAGACATCGGACCGGTACAAGCATGTTTCTGGCTGACTCCGACAGCTCGAATTTGTTGCGTGAGAGCTGTCTGGCCGGCCCCTGCGGCTTGATCGATTCCACAGCCTGGATGTCCTTTTCTGAGAGATACCAGTGGACGTGCAAGCCACGAATGACCTTTTGCTTAAGCTCTTGAAACTTTTCCAGCAGATGCTGCGCATATGCAGCCAGCATGTTGTCAACATCGTGGGGGTCCTTGCGTGGGAAACGGCGTAGGAATCGGCCTCTGGCTCGGACAAAGGCAAGAACAAGATCCCTGACGATGCTTCGTGGCAGTGAGCCATTGCTTGCCCGTCCAACACGGGCCCATAACGATTTTGGTCCCTTTGCTACGAGGATGTCCCACGAGCAATTGCTTTCGAGCATGAGCCGGGTCAGCCTTTGCCGAGCTGCTTCTGGCCCGCTTGGGGCTTTGTTTTCTGCGTGCAGGCTATTGATGACGTCGTCATCTCGCTTATCGCGGCCAGTCATTGGCCTCGTATCGTGAAACCAAAATCCGTGGATGTTCATAAGACGCCTCTTGATGGAGTTCCGCAGTTCTATCGTCTCGGTGGCTGCGGCATTCATCTTTGGTGTTGCGGCGTCCGATTAAGAAAGCAAGGATAAAGCTTGTGATATAACAGATTTCAGGTTGGGGTAGGGGATTTCTTAAGTAATCGATACAATGCATTGGCAGCCGTTGGTTTCTGGGGTCCTAGAGGTGTTGGGGTTGTGATTGATGGCTGGCTGGCGCACTTCGTTTGTTGATTGAGAATATGAGATGCAAGGCGGCTGGCAAGAGCGGGCAACTGGCAACGTTTAGCTACCAAAATGAGTTGTCATGGGCACCCAGGCAACAGCTTTTCCTGATGAATTGTGACGTTGAACGCTTGTCAAATATTTGTTGATTCAACTGTTATCCGCCTCTAGGCCATCTAGTTGCCTGTTCTCGTGTTCTTCCGCTTGACTGCACTTTTAACCTTTTCTCTCCTCCCTAGCGCTCTCTCTATCATAACTTGGGCTGGTACTCTCTTGGTATTGTCATCCTCTTCTTCTTCCTCGTCTCGTGGTGTGTTGCGGTTTGCTAAGGTGCAGATTTGAACAAGAATACTGACCTTTTTTCTCAAACACTGCCCATCACCTATTCTACACCCCGCGATTCTCAACGAGATTTCGGTGTATGTACGTACCAACAGCAGAAACTCGCTACAACAGTATTACGCTCGGAAATTAATTGCCTCAAGCTGTAGCTGCCTCATGCTGTAGCCTGGCAGCCTGGCTGGCACGTCGCCAGCCGGTGCGGTGCAGGGTAGGCGCAGCGGCTGCTCCTTGTTGCTTTGCTATCCTTGGCCCAACGCGCGCAGAAACAGACCGACACAAGCAGACCGACACAAGCAGACCGACACAAGCAATTTGTCACCCAACCCTTCCGGCCAGCATCCCATCGCATTTGGTTTCAATTGTCCGAGCCACCGTCTTTTCGCTGCGGTCGTGACACGGCATGGATACAACGGAGGTACATGCGAGGTACCTGGTTACATCCGCAGAAGAGGTACATTGGTACCTTAACCTCTTGGCTGCTGCACGAAATGGGGCTGCAGCCAGCCGCCCTGCAGAGCATCCACGGGTCGCGTCCAGGCTGTTGCCCACTGCACTGCAGTTACAAGGCCAGGCCAGGTCAAGGCATCGCGCCATTGTATTTTTGGTAGCAGGAACCACAAATGATCAGGGAGCACAATCCAAGATCCAATCACGCCGCACTCTATTTGCCCTTCCACACGCTCACGCCCCTGCCCTGCCTCTTCGCTTCTGCTTCGCACGAATGGATGCAGCTGCTGAGCTGCGAGATTTCCTGCTGCCGTACACAATTTGTAGCATCTTGTACCACCTCCTGCTCCCCGCCGGGCGCCCGCTCGTCATAGCCTCATAGGCTTAATGACGACAGGGGCTCCACCCTTCTCGGCGGTACATTGGGCACGTACCAGGTACGTACCCTTCCCAGCGCGTCTTGGTTGATTCTCAGGTACTCTGGTACCCCCCTCATTGCCCCGCTATCCTGTCCCGCCATCTGAGAAGCCGCCTTTGGCTCTCACTTTTAAACCCTGCCATCGCCGCTGTTGTCTTGCGCCGCGCTCTTCTCTTCTCTTCCCGATAATCTCTCATACCTCGTCGATCCAAATTCTATAACAATGGGTGTTTCCAAGACTACCATCAAGGACGGCTCGGGTGTCCAGCCCAAGCCTGGCCAGACCGTCGTCATCGAGTATACTGGCTGGTTGAAGGATGCTACCAGGCCTGACAGCAAGGGCAACAAGTACGAGCTTCACAAAACCCCGCAGTTGACCTTTTTTTAACCGTTTTTTGCTTCTCAGGTTTGACTCCTCTGTCGGTCGCGGCGACTTTGAGGTCAAGATTGGTGTTGGCCAGGTTATTCGAGGTGAATACGAAGCTGTTGACCAGCTGCGCGCCAAACGCTAACACAGCTCCAGGCTGGGACGAGGGTGTTCCTCAAATGAAGGTTGGCGAGAAGGCCACTCTTGACATCAGCAGGTATGTTGCTCCCGATGTATAGTACAACACACTTATACTGACACGATACCCAGTGACTTTGGCTACGGCGCTCGGTAAGCCTTAGGCTCGGTCCTGACAACAGCTGTCGTCCGTTTCTCTGCGATACTAACCTACCTGTCTACTTAGCGGCTTCCCTGGTCACATCCCCGCCAACGCCGACCTGATTTTGTGAGTTCCAATGCAGTTCTCTGATGGTTGCGGCATTGGCTAACTATTCACTACAGCGATGTTGAGCTCAAGAACGTCAAATAGACAGCTTGAGATTCGCCGTTTGCATTGTCCCGCCGGAAATGGAGCAGCGCGTAAAGTGCGCCATGAGCCTTCTGATAAACACGTATTTCATATCTAGCTTAAAAGATACAAATGGAAAAACAGTAAAATCTGGATACTTAATATCGCCATGAAAAGCCTCTTGCATCTCCCATAACCTGTTATGATCCGCTACCTATCTTTGTAAGCTCTGGCTTTCCATGTCCTTCTACATACCTGCGTTGCCGCCCCACCGGTTGCCTGGCACTGCCCCTCATCGGCCACCCGTCATAACGTTAGCTAAGCAAGCGTCAAGGTCCAAGTCACTGACTACATGGCTCCTGCAAACACCAACTGCAACGTCTGGACTGGCCACATCTCTCTTCCTCTTTTGACAAAACTCAACCTTCCGCCCATCATCTCGATAGAAGCTCACAGTGTTCCCTGAACGCCACCTTGTTCACCACCAGACATCGCTTCGGCACCAGCAATCTCCCTTTCGTGTAGCATCCTCTGGCGGGGTAGAGCTCGACCTGGGTGCTAGCTCACCATCCTTCAAGATTTCTTCCCAGCTGCCCGGCTCAGGCGCACTGGGCAAACGCAAGCTCTCCAGCGGAGAAGCTCAACCAGATATAAAAAGAACCATGTCGGTACGTGGCATTTGTCTCTCTGACCGGCGATTGGAGCAATCCTTCCACCGCCTTTGCTACCGTCAGAGGCGACGACTGCTGACAATCTATTTAGGGCATCACCGACTCTACCTCCAAAATGCAAGTCGACGGCGTGGCTGCCGGCCAGTCCGAAATCGACGAGTCCCTCTACAGTCGTCAGCTATATGTGCTTGGCCATGAGGCCATGAAGCGAATGGGCGCTTCCAATATCCTGGTTGTCGGGCTCAAGGGTCTTGGTGTTGAGATTGCAAAGAACGTTGCTCTTGCTGGCGTCAAGAGCCTGACTGTCTATGATCCTGCTCCTGTTGCCCTACCCGACCTCTCCTCCCAGTTTTTTCTCACTCCCGCCGATGTTGGCAAGCCCAGAGACCAAGTCACAGCCCCCAGGGTAGCTGAACTTAATGCCTACACCCCAGTCAGCGTCCACCAGTCGCCTAGGTAAGCCCCATCGTCTGCTCACCCAAAGCAGGTTCTAATTTGGATAGTCTCGACGACAATCTCTCCCAGTTCGACAACTATCAAGTCGTTGTTCTCACCAGCGTCCCGATTCTGTCACAAAAGCTCATCTCCGACTACTGTCACTCTAAGAACATCTATGTCGTCATCGCCGACACATTCGGTCTGTTCGGGTCACTTTTCTGTGACTTCGGAAAGAACTTCACCGTGGTCGACCCGACTGGCGAGACCCCTACCCATGGCATTATCGAAGGTATCGACGAAGAGGGCCTAGTCTCCGCTTTTGACGAGACTCGACACGGTCTTGAGGACGGAGACTATGTCACTTTCTCTGAGGTCGAGGGCTTGGAGGCCCTCAACGGCTGTGACCCCAAAAAGGTGACCGTTACTGGACCTTTTACCTTTTCCATTGGCGACGTCTCAAGCCTGGGCCAATACAAGCGTGGTGGTATTTACCAGCAGGTCAAAATGCCCAAGCTTCTTGACTTCAAGAGCTATACGGAATCTGTCAAGGAGCCCGAGTTCCTCATCTCCGACTACGCCAAGTTTGACCGGCCTCAGCAGCTCCATCTTGGGTTCCAGGCTCTACATGCCTTCCAGGTCGCCAAAGGCAGGCTCCCTAACTCCATGGACGATGACGACGCGGCTGTTGTAATCGGTGCTGCCAAGAAGTTCGCCGAGGAGGAAAAGCTCGAGATAGAAGTGGACGAGAAGCTTCTCAAGGAACTAAGTTATCAGGCTCTCGGTGATCTCTGCCCCATGGCCGCCTTCTTTGGTGGTGTTGCAGCCCAGGAAATTCTCAAGGCTGTCTCAGGAAAGTTCCACCCGATCAAGCAGTGGATGTACTTTGATTCTCTTGAGTCTCTTCCCACCTCTGTCAAGCGTACGGTCGAGTCGTGCAAGCCCATTGGCAGTCGATATGATGGCCAGATTGCGGTCTTTGGAAAGGAGTACCAGGATAAGATTGCAAACTTGAGGCAGTTTCTCGTTGGCGCTGGCGCTATCGGTTGTGAAATGCTCAAGAATTGGGCCATGATGGGATTGGGATCGGGCCCCAACGGCAAGATCTTTGTTACCGATAACGACTCGATTGAGAAGAGCAACTTGAACCGTCAGTTCCTCTTCAGAGCCGCCGATGTTGGTCACATGAAGAGCGACTGTGCCGCTAAAGCCGTGCAGCGCATGAACCCTGACCTCGCAGGCCACATTACGACTTTCCGTGACCGTGTTGGTGCCGAAACCGAGGACGTTTTCAATGCCGACTTCTGGAACGGCCTTGATGGCGTCACCAACGCCCTGGACAATGTCGAAGCCAGAACCTACGTGGATAGACGCTGCATCTTTTACCGCAAGCCTCTGCTCGAGAGTGGCACTCTGGGAACCAAGGGCAACACTCAGGTCATCCTGCCCAACATGACGGAATCTTATTCTTCTTCCCAGGACCCCCCTGAGAAGGAGTTCCCCATGTGCACAATCCGCAGTTTCCCGAACCGTATTGAACACACGATTGCCTGGGCTAAGGAGCACATGTTTGAGCGATGCTTTGTCAACGCCCCTCAGACTGTCAACCTATACTTGACGCAGCCCGACTATTTAAGCACCACATTGCAGCAGGGTGGAAACCAAAAGGAAACCCTGGAGACTATCCGCGACTACCTGACGGCGGATCGGCCCAGAAGTTTTGAGGACTGTATTGCCTGGGCCAGAAACCTGTTCGAGGTTGAGTTTGCCAACAAGATTCAACAACTCCTGTACAACTTCCCGAAAGACTCTCTCACATCTTCCGGAATGCCTTTCTGGTCTGGGGCCAAGCGTGCGCCTGATGCTCTGAAGTTTGACGCTAACAACCCTACTCACTTTGGATTTATTGTTGCCGCCGCCAATCTTCACGCTTTTAACTACAACATTAAATCTCCGGGCAACGATAAGGCACTCTACCTACGCGAGCTCGAAAACGTCATTGTCCCTGACTTCAGTCCCGACGCTAGTGTCAAGATTCAAGCCGACGACAAGGAGCCTGATCCAAACAAGGACGTTTTCACTGATGAGGATGAGCTGCAAAGCATAACAGCGTCGCTGCCGTCTCCCAGCAGTCTAGCAGGCTTTAAACTGCAGCCTGTTGATTTTGAAAAGGATGACGACTCAAACCACCACATCGACTTTATCACAGCATGCAGCAACCTACGTGCCGAAAACTACAAGATCGAGGCCGCTGACCGACACAAGACCAAGTTCATCGCTGGCAAGATCATCCCTGCCATTGCCACCACGACGGCCCTTGTTACCGGCCTCGTTGTCCTAGAACTGTACAAGGTTATTGATGGCAAGGACGACATTGAGCAGTTCAAGAATGGCTTCATCAACCTGGCGCTGCCCTTCTTTGGATTCTCCGAGCCGATCGCGAGCCCCAAGGTGGAGTACACCGGTCCCGACGGCAAGGTGGTACTAGACAAGATTTGGGATCGCTATGAGGTCAATGATATTACGATCCAGGAGCTCGTCGACTTTTTCAAGGCCAAGGGTCTAACAGTGCTCTCGCTCAGCCACAGTGTCAGCTTCCTGTTTGGCGCATGGATGCCTACGGCCAAGGCGCGCCTCCCGCTCAAGATTAGCGAGGCCATTCAGCAGGTGACGAAGAAACCTGTACCGGCGCATATGAAGGAGTTGATTGTAGAGGCGTTGGTGGAGGACGAGAATGAGGAGGATGTTGACGTCCCATATGTCAAGGTGACGTTGGGATAGACTGGTGGTTATGTATAAGGTGTGGTCTAGAATTATCATCCGTAAATGAAATGCTATGTTTTTTATGAGTATGAGGTGTTTGCTGTGGCTTGTGGTAGATGTTTGCAAGCAATTACTTAGCACAGATCGATTTCGATGCGTGGATGTCTGCTTGGCCCGCTTTCTCTTTTTGTCGAGCGGTCACTACCAACTATCAAGGTATGTAATCCATTACTGAGCAGGCCGAATTGTACTTGGGTTTTGTCAGCGATCAGAACCAATGGCTGTTAGTGGTCTAGCGGCTTTCCATCGATCACCGTTCTGATTAGGTCAGGATATCGTCAGCTCAAGCTAATAAATAACTAGGCTGCAGGGGATGAGGGGCTACGAAGCTCTAGATAGCTACTTATATATATCGTGTCGAGCGTCGCTGCTAACCCTCCTCAAATCAGTTATAAAGTGAAAGCTGCCAATGCACATTGTGCAGCTCATCCGCCCAAGGCTCGCAAAGCAAAGCATCCCAGTATACCCGTTTCTCCCCGCATCCGTTTCTCCCGGAGCGACTACTACAACACCCAGCTCTCCTCAGCTCCGTCATCACCACAGCGCGGGGTCATCATTCCGTCTCCAAGCTACCCCTCCGTTGCAAGTTCCGTTTCCCCCCTACACGAAGCGTTTTTCTACGCAACCCATAAAAATGGTAAGTTTTTCCTCGTCGCTTCTTGTTCTCTTCTCTTCTTTCTTTCTTTCTTTCTTTCTTCCTACTTCAGAGAATATCACTGACCAGAAACCCATCAGTCCACGCCCGCCAAAATCACCGACTGGGTCGACCGCAGCGACAAGTCGGGCGAGTTCAAGCGCCAGGTCAGCTCGTTCCGCGACCACATCTCGCGCGCGCCCGGCGCCCAGTATCCTCCCGAGAAGGATCGCTACCATCTCTTTGTCTCCTACGCCTGCCCTTGGGTACGTTCTCTTCCCCCACCCTTTCATCTTTAGGACTTGATCCCCGCCGCTCACACACACCAAACGCAGGCCCACCGTACACTCATTGCCCGCAAGCTCAAGGGCCTGGACAAGTTCATCACATTTTCCGTCGTGCACTGGCACCTCGGCGAGGGCGGGTGGCGGTTCGTGACCAAGGACGAGAAGGAGCCCGGCGAGAACGTGGTGCCGGACCCGATCCCTGGTCACGAGGAGTTCACGCACCTGCGCCAGGTGTACTACGAGTCGGACCCCGGGTACGCGGGCCGGTTCACGGTGCCAGTGCTGTACGACAAGAAGACGAAGCGCATCGTCAACAACGAGAGCAGCGAGATTTTGCGAATTTTCGGATCGGAGGTGGGTTTTCTCCTCCGGAGAAGCACAGTGACGAAGCAGGAAAGAAGAGGCTGACTCGAATAGTTTGACGACTTGCTGGATGAAGAGCACAAGGGCATCGACCTATACCCCGAGGCGCTCCGCGGAGAGATTGAGGAGGCGCACAAGTGGCAGTACGACCTCATCAACAACGGCGTGTACAAGTCGGGCTTCGCGACGACGGCCGAGGCCTACGAGGGCAACGTCGTGGCCCTCTTCGAGGCGCTGGACCGCGTCGAGAAGCACCTCGGCGGCCAAAAGGACGGCCTGTACTACTTTGGCAAGACGTTGACCGAAGTCGATATTCGTCTGTACGTTCCCCCCTCACACGCTCCCATATGAACGAACGCCACCGCCCGTGCTAACGCTTCTTCTGGTAGCTACGTCACGCTCGTCCGGTTCGACCCCGTGTACGTGCAGCACTTCAAGTGCAACATCCGCGACGTGCGCTCCGGCTACCCGGCGATCCACGCGTGGATGCGCAACCTGTACTGGAAGCTGCCGGCGTTCGGGGAGACGACGCAGTTCGAGCACATCAAGTGGCACTATACGCGCAGCCATACGCAGATCAACCCGCTGTCGATCACGCCGGTCGGGCCGCTGCCGGACATCTTGCCGCTGACGGAGGAGGTGCCGGCCGTTGCTGCGGCTCGCAAATGAATGCCTTCAACTCGACTTGAACCTGACAATGATTGTTTTATTGACAGTGTTTTGGAGGCCCCATTCCATTTGAAAGTGTATTCAAGTTCCTTTCTATTGGGAAATGTGTCCAAGTTCCTTTCTATCTAACAATGTACTCAAGGTCCTTTTCTTTTAACGTACCGAAAATGCAGAAACTCCAGAAGAAATGACCCTCAGTGTATTCTATACAGTTTCATGACCCATGACCCAAAAAAAGAGAAACAAATTACTCCTGCGCCGTTTTTTTTTTACAAACCACTCTATGGATTCCCCATGTAAAATCCCCGGTAGCCCTGGGCGTGCATCGCCTCGCGCCGCGCCCAGGAGCGCTTCATGGCCGGGCGCTCCGTCTCCTCGACCTCATTCTGGTGGGCCGCCTCCTCCGCGATCCAACGGTCCAGCACCTCGCGGCGGGCGGCGACCTGGGGAGGGTACGGCGGGCCGACCGGCTCGTCCCACAGGTGGCGAGCGTGCCGGCGCTCAACCGCCGCGGTAGCAGCGTCGATGTTTGCGTTTGCGGCGGCGGCAGCGGGCAGCGGCGGCGAGCTCGCTGGCCAGCATGTACGCGGTCCGGGGTGGTAGCACGCTCGTCGACGAGTACCGGTGGGTGAGGAGCATCCCTCGCAGCCGGCGGAAGTGCCGGAGGCGGGCGTCCGGGGAGGCGGAGCGTGGCAGGGCAGTGTTGGCGACGGAGAGTTTGTAGATGTAGTCGAGTCCGAGGGAGAGCTGTGAGGAGAATATTAGAATTGTACATTTTTCAGGCAGAACAGAATTCCGTACATAGGCCTGGACGTGCTCGTTGGCGCTGCCGGTGGACAGGTAGTCGACGTGGTGGGCGCCCCAGGTGACATCATACATGGCAACCTGCTTGAAGGCTAAATCGTAGTCAGCTTTCCATTGCATCCCCGTCTTTGGCCAATTGGATCCGGCACCAACTCACCTTGTAGCACAATGTCCTCCAGAAAGTCGTGGATGCAGGCTAGTTGGCTGTGCGCCCTGGCGACGTTATCCCGGTACAGAGAGGCGCTGAGCTGGGCGTTGACCTCTGCGCGCCACGCCGCCGCCTCCGCCGCCGCCGCCGCCGCCGCCGTGTCGTCTCCCGGCTGCTCCGTCGCGGCGCAGTCGCCGGCGTCGCGGAACAGCAGCCCGCAGTAGATCTCGTAGCCGTAGAGCAGCCTGTGTATGCGCGTGATCTCCGCCTCCGTCGCCCTCGCCGGCCCCTCACGACCGAGCAGCTCCGCGCATGCCGGCAGCGCGCCGTCCACCAACCTCTTCGTCAGCGCCTCGACCACGCCGTGCGCGCGGCTCATGGCGACGACGTCGGCGAGCGACAATCCCCACGGCCAGACCCCCAAGGGCCCGCCCTCGCTGCCGGCGTGCGCGGAGATGTCGTCGGCGTCCAGGGGGACGAGCCAGTCGTCGGCGAGCCGTCGCAGAGCATCGCGGTCGCGGGGGATGCCGCGGCGGGCGACGTGGGCGGCGTAGGCGAGGCGGGCGGTGGCCGGGCTCATCTGGGCGTCGAGGATGTCGCGGGTGATGCGGGCCGGGTCCTCGGCGAAGGCGGCGTGCAGGGCCGGTGGGCGAGGACGGCGGCGCCGAGGGAGTGCAGGGTGTCGAGGTGGCGGAGGACAAGGCCGAGGACGTGGAGGGGGGTTTGGGGGAGGGTTGCGAGGGACATGATGGCGGTGGTGGTGGTGGTGGTGGGAACAAGAGGTCAATTGAGAGGAGGAACCATGTAGAAGGAGAAGTGAGGGAGAAGAGAAGAAGAAAGAGGAGGAGGAGGAGGAGGAGGAGGAGGAGGACAGGATGGCAATGGCAACTCGCCAGCAAAAGACGACGGAACGAATCAGACTCAATTGGCAAAGCTTATTCTCGGCCCTTTCTTGTTGAAGGTGGCTTGAACGCCAACGCAGGATTATTCAAGAGAGTGTGGGGAAGGCGTTGCTGCCCAAGTACGACAAGATTGGGCAAATTGTCGAATCTGGGGATAGTTGTGGATAGAAGGAAGGGCAGTTGGGGAAAGGTTCAAAAGTTCAATTGACGCATTCAGACAATGATGGGTTGGTTGGTTGGTTGGTTGGGCGAAACCTGGCTGACACGCGGGGGGGGGTCAAGTCGTGTAGACGTCATCCCGACGTTGCCGCTTTGCCCACCAAGTTAAGTAAGTTATTAGGACGCGCGCGCGCTGGCCGGTGTCAAAAAAAGGACAAGCATGGAAGGGAAGAAGAGGGAAAGACAAAAAAGGCTCAATCAATCAGCAGGGCAAGACAGGCAGGCCGAGGCTGAATTGTTTCAGCTCGGTTCTGTGCTCATTCTGTGGTCGCCCCGGATATGCTGGTAACAATAGTGCCTTGGCTGGTACTGCTACGTAACATGGTTGCTGTGTGCTTACAGAAGATAGAGGCCCAGCCAGCCATTTGCCGCTTGCACTTTACTAATGCATCAATCATCCTTTCTGCAATTCAATTGTTTACCATAAATACCGCACTGCATTTCTTTTTTTTTTTTACCCTCGCCTCGTCCAACCACCCACCCACCCACCACCACCCTCGGCTGACGCCTGCGCCTTGTGAATGTATGTATGTATTGCATGTATATGTGTGTGTCTGACTCGGGGCTCAAGTACATAGATCAAGTTACTGGCGTCGCACAAGAGTCTCGCATCCCGCATCCCTCCCCTCCCCCCTCCAGATTGCTTTGCTTTGCTTTGCTTTGCTTTGCTTTTGCTTGTCCCTCGGTTCCCCGGAATCTCTCTCGACAAACCCATGTCCATGTCGGCAGCCCCGGCCCAAACAAACACCCCCCACACTTTCTAGAAACGCAAAAGCAGCCTGCGCCACACCAAGAAAATCGGCCCGGATTGTGCTTTCGTTGGATAATGAAAAGAAAAAGATGACGTTGCCGCCAACACATTGTAATGCCCCGTCGTCACGAGCCGCGTCCACGCAGACCAAAAGGTAAGACATGATAGAAAATTCCCGAGAATTTGTTCGCTCACCCATCATGCAATGAGGCCAATCTTATGCTCAGCTGATCTCCCTTCCCCAACTCTGAGATTAACCCCCCTCGGTCCGTCCCGATCTGCGATCATGTTGCATCGACCATCGACCATCGACCATCGACCACCCTCATCTTCTCTCTCTTCATCCCAAGGCCACACTGCCATCACTACGCACGGGTGTTTGGGTTTGTTGTGTGCATTCTTCTCAAAATCACACTTGCCAGTCATCACTTTCTCGTCTTGGCTTCTCCCTTCCCCCCACCAAGATGCGCCAGTTTTCAAAATAAAAGACATCACGTCTTTGTGTAAATTTTGACAGATTCGTCAGGTATAACAGTAATAAAACAACGAGTGTATAGTAGTACAAAGGCATTCCCTTTCACATGACAACATTAAATATATTCCCATCGCTGGTGGTTATCCGATACCCACCACCTCGTCGCAAACGCCGCCTCCTCTGCCCACTTGGCAGCATCGGCACCGTACTTCTTCTCAACCGCCCGCAGCATGCCCACAAAGTCAAATGATGCCACTTGACCTTCCTCGTGAGGGTCCGTCTCCAAGTCCGAAAAGTACCACTCCGTGTCCTGGATCAGCGGCACCAGCAGCCGCCATCGCGGGCTGTCCATGCTGCGCGTCGAGATGGCCTGCCCACCGGGGCTGACGCTCGTAAAGTACCACCGCCGGTTCTCCGCCTGCAGCGGCCGGATCAGCGACGGCGCCTCGTACGTGTGTAGTAGGTCGCGCGCTGCCTTTTGCTGGCCCATGCTGAGCGCCCCAGTCTCCAGCAGCAGGTCCAGCACCGTCGGCACGATTGACAGTGAGCTGACGAGCTCGTTAATGTCAATCACGGGGAGATGTGGGTGCGACAAGACCAGCGGCACGTGGAAGCTGCCGATGCTGGGCACGCCCCACGGCGAAGCGCCGCCCATTTCAATCACAGGTACGCCATGGTCGCCCACCAGCACAATCAGCGTGTCGTTGGTCGCACCCTCCTCTTCGACAATGTCGAGCAGGTGGCCCACCCAGCGATCCACGTAGCCAACCGCGTTGAGGTGCTTGGAAATATCCTGCAAGTGGTTGTTGGCATCGTCCTGCACCATCGGCACGTACACCTCATCCCCAGGAAGGCCGTAAGGGAAATGGGTCGAGCTCGTCAGGTGTGTCAGAAACAGGCGTGTGTCGTTTTCGCGCGACGTGCGCAAGGCATCGCGGAAGTAATCTTCAACAGCCGGTTCGGGCATGCCATCGTAGCGAACGTCTTCAATGGTGACGTTGCCGAAGACGGCCTTGTCGCTGTGGAGATACTCCGAATCCACCATTTCGTCCTCGAGGTAGCCGATGGCCTGCATCAGCTCATACTGGTGGTCATACTGACCCGTGACCGACATCATGAAAGAGTTATTAAACGGGCGGTTTACGAAGCCATCCGTGTTGCTCGCGTCGTTGAGGCCATTGAGGACCTTGAAGATGTGGGGAAGGCAGGGCTGGTAGATGTGATGTCTGTATTCCCTGTTCATGTCGGCAACAAGCGGGTTGACACCGCAAAGACCGCCCGTCAAGCTCTTGAGGGTATACGTGGCCGAGGGCGTGTTCTTGTTGACGTTGATACCACCGCGACGGGGAGTTTCCTTGTGGTCAAATCCGTCGCTGTAGTCGCCAGTAAGGAAGCGAGCGTTTTGTGTCAGGGTGGCGGCTCTCTCTTCAGCCTTTTCGGGAAGCTTCTTGTTGTCCCAAGTCTCGCGCATCTTGTTGTAAATGTATTCACCCTTCTTGAAGGGGAAAACGTCCTTGCGTGTAGATTCTAGGAAGATGAACATGACATTGCGGATGGAGACGTCCGAGAGCTTCCCCTTGAGCGAGTCGAGCAGCTCCTTATCGTAGTTTGGCTGGCTAATGGGGTCCATGTTGTGATCATAATGCTTCTTCTCAGAGTCATACCAGTCACCAAAGCCAGCAGGAGCGCTACCCTGCTTGGGCAACCAATCCCAGTGAGTGGGCTCAGCGAGTGAAAAGGGGATATTCCACTTTTGATCCATGCTCTTGTCGTATACGGGGAAAATGCTGGTGAGGGGCGAGTCGGAGCCACGAAGATAGTCGACAATGGGCATGGCAATGGCGGTCCAGGAGAGGAAGATGAAGGCCTGCTCGGCAGGTTGGAGAATGCAAGTCAGAAGCTGGACAAAGAGGAAGATGGTAGTTCCAATATACAAAAGACGCAGCTTGGGATTGCGACGAGGGGCTGCGGCATGGGCAGCAGGGTGCGAGGGGTATGACTCGAGATCGTCGTACAGTTCCTCCTTGCCGACAGGGACATATTCAACCTCGCGGCGAGCGCGACTGCAGAGACCGATTTTGGTGAGAATCAAGGTAAAGGTCGCCTTGACGACATCGAGAGCAATTCCGGCGAAGAAGAACGTGGGGCTCTTGAGGAGCATGCTGCCAAAGAAGAGACCGACATTGGCGGAGATGAAGGCCCAGAGACCGGTAAGCATGATGGCCCAGGTATTCGAGTCGGCGACAAGGCCGGCATTGCGCCAGCGCGGTTCGCCGCCAATCATGAGGAAGAAGGAGATGTTGGAGACGGCGAGGAAGTGCTGAAGCAAGGCGACCACTGTAGAAAACGCCATGGCGAGGAAGCGGAACCAGCCGCCGCCAAAGCGTCCCAATGCCTTGGCGTCAAGCAAGAAGCGAAGAAGCAGGATGATGACGGTGTCCTGCATGAAGAGGCTAGGAAGCCATTGTATTAACTCGCCCAAAGATAGCACCTGAGAGTGAATGTATATGTGAAGACACTTGCTGGCCAAAATTGACGTGGTGGCAAGCGAGAAAACGAATGTGCGGTCGGTGATGCGGAAGAAGGAGCCGAGGGCACCGACAAAGCGGCGGCCGGCGGCGAGGCAGCGTCGACCGGCCATGGCGGAGGCTCTGCTGTGATGATGGTTGTTTTCGTCTTGCTGGAGGAGCAGTCCCATGTTGAATTGGGGACGGGACGGAGGCGAACGGCCAGGACAAGGAGGAGGATGCAGACCAGGAACAAGGATGAAGTAGACAAACGCGAACAAGACCAAGGGTAGACAAGAAGAACAAGAGCGAGAGGAAGAATTAAGAGGATCAAGTAGCGAAAGAATGAGAAGAAGTAGCGACAGGAGGAGGAGGGAGAGGTGTAAGGGAATGAAAAAATGGAAAAGAGGGGAGAAATGCTAGATTAATTAGCAGTTTGAATGGATGGGATGGTCGGTTTTGCTGGTATGGAATGGAATGTCGACGGGGGAAGGGGATCTACTCGAGGTGGTACAGATACTTGGCAGGAGGATGACGGGTGACAGGCAGGACAGGCAGGACAGGCAAGGACAGGGCCGAGAGCGCGGCTGGCGCAAAATTCCAATGTGGTACCTACCCAGATAGGTCGGTACAACAGTACCGAGGGGGATCTACGAGCAGACGGACTTTTTTTTAGTAAAAATTGACTGGGAAAAAATTGAAACTAGCTTGGCATCTTCATCTGTCCAGACAAGGCTACTGAGGATTGGCATTGACGAAATTAAATTTAGGGTGTGGCTCTCGGATGTATCCAGCCAAGGAGAAGAAAGCTCCAACCTTGGTACGAGATCGAGGTACCGGTACAAGCAGCAGTCGCGTGTTCACTTTCCACAACAAGCCAAGCTGGACGTGGGGGCTTTTCTGGGGCTGACAGGGGGGTTTGCAGTGCAAGGAGTGTGCTGACGCGCGCTGAAGAACCTTATTGAGGCAGGACATTTAGCGGCGTGTCATGCAGCCTAAAGGAAGGAATAACAGGATATACATACATATGTACATAGTAATAACACCGCTAATAAAACTGATAATATCCGTGGATTGCCTGCAATAATAACGAACAGCAGTTTGCAGGAGAATTATCGATCGCTTTCCGCGCCACCGCATTTGTCCATGCATCCCTCCAACGTCGCAAGAGATTCGAACGTCCCAAGTAGAAGGACCGAAGACATGTATCGGTACCTGCCTCCCGCTGGCAACAAGCTCTCTCCTAGGGCTGCCCAGCTCTCCACCATCACGAAACCAACCGCCGGCTCTTGTTGTTCTGTTTTGCTGTTTTAACCATCCTGGGACGCCACACATTGCATCCTTCGCCCAGCTCTCCTTTTTTTTTCCTTGTTTCTAGTTAGCCGCCCTGAGATAATTCGGGCTCTTGTTCCCTCTTGACCCAACGCGTCTTCAGCCACAATTTCGTCCCATCCTCCCGTCAGAAATGCATCCATCTTCCCGCACTCAGCCCCGTGGCAGCCCTACCACCAGCACCACCAACCTCCCCCCCTCCCCTACTTATCACAATTTTTCAAACCACATCATGATCAGCATCTCTTCCAAACTCCTTCTCTAGCGTATGTGGGCCGACCTCGACCCAATTCTATAGCCACCATCCACACACCTTGGCGGCTCGCCATCCTGCCAGCGAGCCTCCTCCCCCTTCTATAGCCCGCCCTGACTAATAACTTAACTTATGTTGGATAGTAGTGCGCGTTCCACGGAGGGCACGCGACAGCACAAAACAACCCCTCCACCCCGTTCTGGCCTGACCTGATCCCACAATGTTCTTGCTATTAACTCCTTTTCGTCCCGGGGCATCTGCCTGACTGAGGGCAGATAATGGGTCGTCGAACGAGCAGACACACCCCCTTCGTCCCCTCCCCCCCGGCTAGCCTCGACGCATCATTCATGCAGGAATTGTCAAACCTTAGCCATTCTCAGTCAAGCTTCACCGGGTCTTGCCCAGGGCACCCCGTCGTCGTGGCTTGCCGAATGGGACTTTGTGGACTTGGACCTTCTGAAAGCTGGGGACGGCTATGCACGATGCCTTCTTTCTAATATCCGCCAGCTCGGGTCTAGAACGATGCCAAGTTCTCTGTCCATCATTTGATCGAATGGTCAAGTTAGCGCATGTTTCTGTCCTCCTTTCGACAGAGTGTTACTGGCACTTGTAACGGTGTCATCTCTGCGGAGCGCGAAAAAAAAGTGTCGGAGTGAAACAGTGGCTCTATTGCCAACAGCAACCCTTCTTCGTACATGACTAGTTACGACCATGACAAAGTGCTAATAACGAATTGACTCCCTTTGAGCTCCTGTCCGGGGGGTAATTTCGCCTCTCGACGGCTGACCCTCAGCTGACCGGCTGACCGGCCACAATCTCCCCTGATTGGCTTTGGGATCCCAAACTATTAGAAAGGGGGGCTCCTTGTGGCGCTCAAAATCACGGGCGCTCGTAAAGTCAATCTGGTTGTAATTCTCAATCCAGCAATTGCACACGCGAGCGCCTCACACCTTGCACCGCAAACGTTCCCGCTCACAAGTCAGGCCCCCTTTGACACTTGCGGATGCTGCCGCGCCCAAACCAACGCCATTCCACAGCGCGCGATCGGCAAGCCTTGTCTTGACCATCAGGAATTCCCTCGAAACAAGTCTCCGTCTCGAACCACTGGTGTTACAATGCCGTCTATGCATTCGCGAACGAAGTAGCCCGCGCATCAACATGCTACTGTTACCTACGTAGGTATCCTGCACGCCAGAATCATCACCAATGTCAACTTTTAACGAGAAAACAGTGCCGCTTGATTATGCTTCTATGCCAAACTAGAAATGAAACCCATGATGCAGTCTCCCCCTGATTATGCTGATATGCAACGAGTTGTTCGTCAAGATACGGGTGCAGTCAGTCCCTCCGCTGATGCCCTGTTTTACCTTTTGCATCCTCCATTATCCCCTTCTGCCTTTTGCCTTTCCATTGGTCCCTTTCGCCCTTTGCCATCGTCTATTGCTTCTATAGCCTCTATCGCTACTTTACCGCTCAGATGAACCACCATGCCACGAGCATCTACAGCGCAACCTTGAGCTTAAACTTGGTCAGCACCAGCCGCGCAAGCAAGACGCTCGTCGTGCCCGCCAGCAGGAACACGCCCGCGTACACCTTGATGCCGACCAGGCCACCCGGCCGCGCGAGGATGGCGCCGGCGATGGGTGTCGCCAGAAGGCCACCGACCGACTGCGCCAGGCAGGCGATGCCGTTGCGGTAGCCGATCTCGCGGATCGGCGACACCTGGGCGATGAGGGCGACCAGCAGCGCAATGTACGCGCCGGAGAAGAGTCCGAAAAGCGCGGCGAAGGCGATTGTGACGGCGTTCTCGGTGCCCGGGATCCACATGGCGAGCACCAGCGCGCCGGCGATGTAACACGACGCGATGAAGGCGTTGAAGCGGCCGAAGCGGTCCGCGAGGATGCCGGAGCTCAGGCGGCCGACCAGGCTCGCGCCGTTGTACACGGCGACCAGGTACTGCGCCAGCTCCTGCGACATGCCCCCGGCAGCGGCGGCGGTCGGCAGGTAGTTGATGGGCGTGTACAGGCCGAACGGGATGAGGAAGAGGCCGCCAAGGATGAGCATGAACGGCAGCTCCGAAAAGGGCGCGCGCATCTGGGCGGCCGTGAAGCTCGTCTTGGCCGGTATGCTGGTCCGGCGGCGCACCGTGCAGATGGTGACGACGAGCAAGGCGCCGATGAGGAAGGCGCCGGTGCGCATGGCCCAGCCGTAGCTGACACCATCGATAAGGCGCGTGACCATGATAGGAAGGACGACGCCGCCGAGGGAGGAGCCGGTGGCGAGCAGGCCGAAGGCGAGGCCACGGCGGCGGTCGAACCAGCCGCTGACGCAGGCGATGGCGGAGAGGAAGACGGCGGCGACGCCGATGGCGCTGCAGACGCCCTGGGAGAGCAGGAACTGGTAGTATTTGGTGGAGATGGAGGCCATCATTAGGCCGAAGACGTGCAGGAAGGAGCCGACGATGAGCAGCCTCTCGGGTCCGTAGCGGTCGAAGAGCACGCCGATGGCCGGACCCATGAAGGACATGAAGAAGATCTGCAGACCGGGGATCCAGGAGATTTGCGTATCGGAGTAGTCCTTGAGGGGCCCTTGGGCATAGTACTGCTGGAAGATGCCGACGCCTGGGGGGTTGGGTGGTTAGACATGGTCAAAACGCGAGTTGAAACGGGAGGAGATAGAAGAAGAAAGAGGAAGAGGAGAATGGAGTAACAAATTTGTAAAAAAGAAGAAAAAAAACGAGAGAAAAAAACGCACTGTTGATCCAGCCATAGCTGCAAAAGGAGGCGCACCACGCGCCCAGGACGACCAGCCAGGCCTGCAGTCCGCCGTCCGGCGCGGCGCTGACCGGTTGGTGGTCGTCGTCTACGGCCGTCGCATCGCTGCTGTCGTCGACCTGCTGCTGCTGCCGCTCCTCGTCGTCGACGATCTGGTTGCGCTTCTCCTGCTCTGTCGGTGGGACGGACACAGCGCCGTCAACGTTGACGAAGCTGTTGCTGATGGTCCTTTCCACGCTGGCGCCGACGCCGTGGACTTTTTCGGGTGTTGTGACTGCGGACATTGCCCAGGGAATACTAACTAGGTAACTAGTTAATGAAACCTGGTGGTGGTTTGCCGGGCAGGGCAAGGCAGCTTTCTATACCAACCCTCTATCCGCGAACACGACTCGAATAAAAAAACGAGACAAGGGTTCTATAATGATCTGATGCGGGAATCAAAAGATAAGTTACATACAATTGGCCGAAGAAACAAAAAAAGAAAAGAAAATTACTGCGGCGTGGAGAGCAGAATGGGTAACTAGTCGGTAATAAAGATGCGCCCCCCACCTCGGTCGCCGCCGAAAACGTGGGCGGCAGGCAGAAATGTTGGTGAGTGATCAAAGGCCACGGCCAAAGCGAGGAGAAAAGGCCGAAAGAGCGAGCTGGAGAAATACCCGAACTGCCTTGACTAGTTACTATGTAGGTAGGTTATTGGTTAAATCCGCCCAGGGGCCGCCCCCGCAGTCGTCCGCCCACGAGTCCGCCCACGAGTCAAAACCCAATCCAAATCTTGTGCTGGCCCCCCCCCCCCCTCCGGCTCCGGGCGGCGTTATAGACGGCCGAGCGCCGGGTTATTAATTGCGGCCCTCGTTCCGCCAATTTGACGATTCGGTACCGAGTCTTGGCGTCACAGTTGCCATTCGGATATTTTCATTTTTCTTTTTTCTTTTTTTTTTTCTTCCTTTACAGGAGCAAGCGTACATGTTGTTCTGGGTGGATCACCACAAAGTAAAAGTATGGCGTTATTCAGCCCAGCACGACATTTTTAGCACGTCTGTTGACAAGTACGGATACATATGAGTCTATTCAGCGTCATCCCGCAATTAGTAAGCCGACCAACAAGACTTGTCAAAGAAGCCGATTCAACTAATCTTTTCTTATCATGCCTTTCGTTCTTCTGTTTCTATCAAGTTAAGACTAATAGCCTGGGGGTAAGTCATACATACATCGGTTTCGGCCCAAGTTATGCCCGGGCCAAGCCGGCCCAGCAAGGCCCCGGCATTGGACGTCTGGCGAGTTCGGAGACCTGAAGCTTATCCCTCCCTACAAAGCATGGTGTGCCTCCCTCGTAATCGCATCGACGACGCGTGTCCGTGTCTAACAAGAAAGACGCCCGGGGCTGTTGGCAGGGGAAAAAGGGAGAGCTGACGGGCGCCGAGCGCACCAGACAAACAAACAACCCCGGGGTCCATTGCCGGGCCTTCCGTGTAAGTACCACCTGAGGCTATGACAACCAGCAACATGGTTGCGAGAACCAGAATCGCTGGATAATATTTTCCCATTTCGGAGTTGCAGGAGATAAGACGTCCTCCTCACGGCCGCCAACCACAGAGCGAACTTGCCCATATCGCTTACCCTATAGACAAGGCTACACGGGCAACGTCCTTTCCGTTTCACGGACATCCGAGCTTTTCGGTTGCCCGGTCTCGTCAAGAATTATCTAGGGCGTGTTTTCTACATGATGGGTTCGGTCGATGCGATTGAGATGGGGCTTTTCGCGAGTTGTTAGCGTCCACAACTCCGTATCAAATTGCTACAGCCGTCAGTTGTGCCAGACAGTACCAGTTTTTTTTTCAAATGAAATCATCGCTTCTCGGCTTTGGCTGCAGAGTTGAGTTAGATTCGTCAAACCCTGCGAATTACTTCCACCATCGAAGCTATACAGCAATGATGGTGGGCAATTTCAGAGGACAGCTTGATGTCAGCCTTAGTGACCGTGGGCGGGGAAGGGAGCTTGCCGATGACACATTCGCCGACGCCCCTTTCAGTCTACTGTCGATGGTGCTCTAACTTATAAGCAGACACAACACCCATGTGTAAATAGACGGTGCCTTCCCAAATCGTCCAAAGGTTCTGCATAATACAAAGTTATCCAGCCCAGCTGTGTCTGCAACCACAATGGCCGCCAAGCTCAATATCACGATTGCGCCGCTCAACTACGCCGACATTGATGCCTGCGCCACCATCTCGCGCGATTCATTTGCTATAGACCCACATACTATTGTCAAGCAGCTTGGCCGCGATGGATACGACATGTACGGCATGGCTCGCCGGGGCTACCTCGCCAACCTCGAGCGCAGGAACATGGTTTTTGTCAAGGCCGTCGACGTCGACACAGGCGCTGTTGTCGGCTACGGAGGCTGGGTCTTCCCGCACGTCAAGAAGGAGCTAGTTCCCTGGATCGGCCCGTCAGACGAAAAGTCAAAGGAGGAAGTAGAAGAGCAAAAGCAGACCGACGACAAGGCAGCGCACAGATCAGAGGAACCCAAGCGGGAGCCGGACGCCATCGACAGGTTGCACGCCATGGAGGACGAGGACATGCAGTACTTCCAGCACAAGCTCATCCCGGCCGGCGAGCCGTGCATGATCGTCATGGGCCTCGTCGTCGCACCGGCTCACCAGTCGCGCGGCGTCGGCAGCGCCCTCCTGCGGCACGGAAATGCCATCGCGGACCGGCTTGGGGTGCCCGTCTGGGTTCATTCTTCCCATCAGGCGGTGGAGGCCTACGGCAAGGGAGGTTTCGAGCCCGTACGCACGCTGGATGTCGACCTGGACGAGTACGCGCCGCGACCGCCCAGGGATGACGAGCCCGTCATGGGCGACAAGGGCAGCGGCAAATGGGGACACTACGTAATCCAGTACATGAAGCGAGAGTCTAGAAAGAGGCCAGTAGGAGAGAAAGCGGTACCCGAAAGGGGAGCCTAGAGAGCTCGATAAAGAACCATTACTGTGTGTGTTACTTTCTTTTTTAGTATTTGTCCTGTTTGTGATTCGATCCGTGGGCGACAAACAGCAAGGAGGCAACGGGACTGGGCAGAGTTTGCGCCGCGCGGCATACGCAAAGATTCTGTGCTGCCTGCTGCAGGAAGCGAATCATGATTCGTTAGGCGCCTGGACGTACAAACACGGTTTCACAGAGGCATCGGGTGATGGTCTGATTTCTGTCACGCCCATTCCGTGTGCGAGGAGAAGTCGGAGTCACAGAAATCACCTGGACGGACGGAGGACAAAAGCCAGGGCCCGAGAGTCACCTGACCTGCACCCAAAGAAATACGCGAGCCCATCCGGGCACCTGCAGCGTTCGGCGGTCTTCAGTGGCCTTTGCTGATTGCCACAGCGAGCGACCGCCCACAAATTCCCGCTAGCACCGTTTTGCTCAGGCAGCACCACCCATCAATGGCGCACAAGGCAGAACCATCACCACCTAACCGTCGCTAGGCCGCTCTCTTCTCTCCCAACAACGTCCTTCACACACAGTCACCACTCGCACTGAACCGTCGCATGCATCATCAACCACACCTGTCCGCTCTGCTATCAGCAACATCACTCAACTCTCTCTCTACATCTCCCATCCTCCTTGTCTCATCCTCATCGCAGTCTCGAAATCTCGACACCCTTCTCGCCACACCCCACTCCAATATCGAATAGCCTCCCTCCTCCCAGCCTCTGCAGCCGATATCAGACCCGACATCGCACTCCGATCCTTGGCCCATCCGCAACCACCACCTTGTATCCAAAACCATTGCCTCCCATCGACAGAGCTACTCCCCATCAATTGTGTGTCCTCTCGTGCCTGAATTGACCAAGGCGTGCCTCTCCGGTAACCGCCAACAACCAAACGCTACGTCACATACCACGCGCTACCTCGACCGGGCGGTAAAAATCAACGCAACCGCCTTCTGCCAGATGGGCATCGCGCAGCCCACGCCTGGATATGGTACTTCGATATTCAGCAGAGTTTCTGCTGCATCTGCGCAACTCTCCGCTATGTGTTAAGCCCGATGGCCTTCCACCTGCTGAGGAATGGATGGGGTGAGTTTTTACATGCTGCGCTGTTTGCCCGCCTGCATCGTCATTGACAAGCTGTCCTTTCTTCTCGCCCTTTAGCGCACCTGCAGATCAGCAGACCCGAACTCAAAGTAAGACCCTCAATGACAGACCACGCAACGGCGATGCCTTCTCGATCGACCAACCCAACCGTCGGTCGGGAGCCGAGCGCCACATGTCCCGTAACAGCGCGAGTTGGTTACCCCTGCTATCGGGAAACGTATTCTCAGATGTGACTAACGTGCGTCCTCGCCCAGATCCAGACGAGATCGTCTTTGCGCCGCCACGAATCAACTTTTCTTCATCTCGAGTCAAGCTCCTTGACGGAGACAAGGCTGCCAAGGAACTAGAACAGGGACGATTCGGCATCCGCAGCTCCGACAATGACCGTGCACGCGACGGCCGAGGCAACGCGCTTCGTCGGCGCGGCGACAGCGACTTTGACGGCGAAGGTTGGAGCACAGTTAAGCCGCGCAAGAGCTTTGGCGCCGAAGGTGCGGAGCGCTTCGCTGGAAAAATGGGCGGCAACTATCGCGACGAGGTCAAGTCGACCGACCGCGACGCCAACAGGGAACGTCAAAGCAAGACGACCGATACTTTTGGCCGCGACAAGGATAGGGATGCCGATGGCCGTACCCGCAACGGCCTAGGCAGGAAGATGGAACCGTGGGCCAAGTCGGAGAGCAATGTTGACGGTGCCGCACCCGAGCGACGCGATCGTGATCGAACGAAGAGCTGGAGAGATCGCGATGCAGAGCCCGTTACAGACAACCGAGCCGGTGACAAACGCTGGGGCAGAGACCGGGATCAGCGAGCAGAGCGTGATCCTGAATGGTTCGACGAACCTGCCAAGGAGCAGCGTGATGTTCACACCCAGCAGGACTTCCAAAAGTGGATGGAACAAATGAAGAAAGCTAAGAACGCCCAGGAGAACCAAGCCGCTGAGACGCCGGAGCCTGAAAAGCCCGAGAAGCCCGCCAAGTCCACGCCCGTCATAGAACAAGGCCCAGACAAGTTCTTCATGGCCTTTGGTGGCGGAACCACCATTGACAGCCAACCCCAGGTGGAACCAACAGAAGGGGCCAGCAAGCCCAAACCAGCTGGCAAGTCATCACGTTTCACGTCATTCTTCGGCGGTGGCCAAGAAGAGCCTCGGCAGCACACAGAATCGTCCACACCAGCGACAGCAGCGCCGTCGGTGCCTCCAGGCTTTGCCCACCTCTTTGGTGGAATGACTCCCGCGAGTGCTCGTGGCGGGTCCACGGGCCCTGACGATGAGAAGCAAGCCTTTGCACAGTTGCTTGCCAAGTTGCAAAAGCAGACCGTCAGTGCCACGCCGCCTGGCCTTTCGTTATTCTCTCCCCCGCAACAGAATGCCAATGACAGTGGCAAGAAGAGCGCCGTAGCGTCACCAGAGCCCTTTCAACAATATGGAAATGACCGCAGAGAAGGGCCTACTGCCAGGCCCCCTCCTCACTCACAGCAGGAAATCCACGCCCCTCGCCCGCAGCAGCAGAACCCTCATCCGGATCAGCTGCTCCAGGACCTCGTTGGTCATCATCATCGTGCTTCTAGTCAAAGCTCGACGCAGCGTGATCCCTTGACGGCCACCAAGAACAACAGCAACGCTGAGTTTCTGATGAATCTCATGCGCGCCCCCAACCACAACGCCCAGCGCGCGGAACAGCTGCAGAACATGATGGCGCACGGCGGGCACTTGCAGCAGAAGCCGTCTTCGATGTCTCCGATGAATGAGCGTGACGTCCATGCTCACCAGCAGCAGGGCCGTCCGGGTCCACCTCCGGGTTTCCCTGCCCTTGATGACTCGTTCCGCTCGCCAGACTCCGAACCGCGACCCAACCCGACGCAGATCTTGCAGCGACCACCGCCTCCCCCAGGCCTCGACCACATGCCTCCAAACTGGATGAATGGTCCTTTCCCGCCGGGCCCGCCCCCCGGCCAACGCGGCGGCGGCGGCGGCGGCGGCCCCATGATCCCGCCCCCTGGGCTCCCCGGAGGTCTGCCGAACCGCAACATGCCCATGCCGCACATGTTTCCGCCCAACTTCCCGCCGGGTGCCATGCCGCCACCACCGCCCCACGAGATGCGCGGCAGCATGCACATGCCACCGCCGGGTTTCTTCAACGGGCCACCTCCTCCCCACGCCTTTGGCCCGCCACCTGGCATGCCAAACTTCAACGGCCCGCCGCCGCCGGATCCCCGTGCCTATGGAAGCCCACCCTTTGACGCACGCGGCATGGTTCCGCCGCCGAACGCCGGTGATGCTGGTCGCAACGGTGGCGGCTACGGTCGTCAGTAAAGGGGTGCTGGCCTTTCTCGATCCTTTCCTCCTTTCTTCTTCCTCCCATTGCAGCAGTGATCTCGGCCCGTCTTTTGTGGCCAAGGTGTCTAACATGACCAGGGGCGACACTTTTTTCTTAGGAGGGAAATGCCGTGAAAGCCAATGATGTATTTTATTTTGTCTTCTTTTTTTCTTGCATGCTCCCTAATTTCTCAGCCCGGGAAGGGAAAGATAGGAAAACGAATGGACGGGAAAGGTCCTTTTATTTTTGAGAGGTCGAGGTGGGGATGACGAGGTTTCTTTCTTCTATTACGCTTCCGGAAACTCGCCGAGCCTACTTTTCCGAACATGCCCAACCTTGTCGTCAACTGTCTGTCCGTCTTCTGAAGGAAAGGGGGCCCGGTTTCCTTGCAAGAAGAGCGGATGGATGGATGAATGGCATGGGCGGCGGTGGAGGGATGTTGTTTGGCATAGCACACTTTGGTGGTGCCAGGATGGAATGCGACAAAGGGTATGATGAGATGTATATCCCGCCACATATTCAACAAAGGAAAAGATTATAAAAAAGTACAGAGGAAATGAAATGCAATGTGAAGAACCGTGGTTACTTGTACACCATGCCTGTACACGGTGTTTGGGAGATGTTGTCCGCCTAAGTAACTGTTGACAAGGGCGTGTTACAGTAGACAAGAACTTCGTTGCCAAGCCTGGAGAGGTAGAGGAAATTTCAGTGTATTTATTACAATTCCTTTCCTAAACATGCCTCCCTAGTCCGCTGCGGTGTGTGTTTGCTTTGATCTATTCCAACTATTTACCCCCAGCCCCTTCTGATTCAACTTCGGCCACGCTTTCTTTTTCGAAGCGACGACGACCACGTGAACGACCTCTTCTCGCGCACCGCGACGCCCAGCTTGAACGTCTCAGCCGACGACGAGCGCTTGGTCGCCTCGGTTGACGAGCGGCGCTTGAGGCGGCGTACCGCGATCGCCGCCGCTGTCGCCGCCGCTGCCGCCTCGTCTTCCGACACGGTGGGCGGCGGCGATGACACGGAAATATCTCTCAGCCGGAGAGAGCTCTACTTCTTCATGCCCAGAAAGTTTCTCCGCTTCTTCTCTTTGTGTAGCTTGCCGTCCGCCGGCGCTGGCGCCGGTACTGAAGGTGGCACCGGAAGCGGGCCGCCACCGTTGCTCGGCAGTACGGGTGGGTTGTTCAGGCTCATGTTGCCCATGGCCTGGGTGGGTGGCGCCGGTGCCTTGGGGACGCCGCTTTGTCCGGGTCGGGTCGGCAGACCACCTTGAGGAGGAGGCGCGCGACCGCCACCGCGACCTTGTTGCAGTGGTACTTGCCCCGGTGGCGGTTGCACGCCACGGGGAGGCGCAGGGCGCTCAAACAGATGTGCTGGTGCGCGAGGCTTTGGTCTGTCGAGTGGCAGATCGAGTTGCCGCTTGTCGCGGCTCAGATCACCGACCTGTCGAATAAAGAATTGCGGCGTCAGCATGTGTGAGGTTGTGAGGATAATGTCGCGGCTATTTTGCCTGCCAACGTCGTAGCAGACGCGGCTTTCACTATACGTCGCACCACCAGCCATGAAGACAATTATGCGTTGTTTGTTCTCGGGCTGGCGACGTCCCGCCGCGGCCCAGTTCGGTCTTCCTGCTCGGAGAGAGGTTCCCTGCGCTGCGAGCAATTCTTCGTTGGGGTCCAGAGGCGGCTTGACATACGGGAATATTCCTTGATCTAATGTGCCCTTGACGAGATGCTCGAGAAGAGGTTTCAGTGCAGGGTCAAAGCGTGATAGGAACGATTCCTCGTCAGACTGGGTCGCCTTTGGATCTTTGGGGAACAAGGCGACATATGGCCGCCGCTGATCTTTGAGCTGGTGCTTGACTGAGCCGCCCAGCAGCTCAAGATTGCTTATGACTTCGCCGTCCTGAACAGGTAGGCCGGCATGGTTCAGGAGTTTTTGAACATCCTCCATAATGATACCTCCACGGAAGAGAATGTACATGATAATCAGGCGTAGTCTGTCCAGTGGTCGAACAGCCTCGTCATCGAGTAGTCTGACAATGGATTCCAATACATTTTTCGGCTTTCGGAAGTCTTCGTCAATACCAGTGGCAAGAGTCTGCTCTGCCGAGGCAATATCGGGCAGCTTGTTGCGTTCGAAAATGTTCATACACTCTTGCGCCATGGTAAGGTGCAACGAGTAAGCTCCCTTCATTTCCTGGAACTGTGGTAGACCAGCCAGCATGTCTCTAATTGCACTTAGGTTGGTGGGATCCGCGTTTTCGTCGGTAAAGTGTGGGTTCTCAGCGAGGAACTTTCGAAAGTCGCCCATAAGCTTATCAATCGTGTCCTTCATGTGACGATGGCGGTTGTCGACCCAGACCTTGTCCCTTTCGGAGAGCTCCATGTCTTTTTCTTCAGCCTCTGGCGTGTTTGCGTTGATGACTGTATGGTAAGTGACCTTGTCGTTTTCTTTGATGGGCAAAAGGTCGTGCGCCATGGCTTGGTATGAGAACTCGTGTAGCAGGGGAGCCATCAAGTCCATCGAGCGATCAGTGATGAGCAACACGCCTTGGGGTCGGTTCGTTTGGGGCGGGAAGTTCTTGTTGTATTGAGCATAGCCGTCGAGCTCCTCCTGCACAAAGCGCGCCAAGTGGCTGCACAGAACGTGGGCCTCGTGGATGGCGTTGCGAGGCTGGTAGAAGCGGACTTTGGGGTACTCTCCCAACGTGATGCAGACTCCGGCAATCTGGACGTTGATTAGCAAGCAGATCAGGTGGCGTAGATGATTGCTGTATTAAATCAGGTACCTTTTGGGCTAAATTTTGCATGTGCTTGGGGACGAGGTTGTTGCAGGCTGGGTGGTAGAGCATAGGAAAGCTCCAAGGGTCGCGGAAGATGACGAGATGCGACTCGCGGGGGTAAAAGTCGCTAAAGAGCGTTTTGGAGCTGGCGCGAAGATCACGAATTCCGCGAAAGTCGTCAATGCGCCGTCGCAGGCCGGGTTCGAGCAGGTTGGTCCAGACGAGGTAGGCCCTGCGGTAGCGGCGGACCTCGAAGTCGGCGAGGAGGCAGTCGACAATGTGGGCGTCGGGGGTCAGGATGTAGATGGCGTCCATCTCGGGGTTCGGCTCGCGACGGTCCTCGATGCGCTCGATGGCTGTGTGTGGCAAGCAGGGGCGGTTAGCTGGCTGGCTGGTTGGAAGCGCGGGGTCGGGGGGAAACTAGATCTGAGGCGGGAGTGACGAACTGGCAATATTGTTGTTGAGAATATCATCTTCCTTGATGCAGTTGTTCAAGATCTTGTGCGAGTTTTCGTCGACGATGAGACATTTCCACTGCGCATTCGTGATTAGCTAGAGTTGATGGCGGAAGGTGGCCGGGACCAGTCGTACGTCGCCTTGGGTGATGCTCCGGATCTCGTTGAGGATGACTAGGAGAGCAAGTCAGTCTGCGGCGCTTGTAATACGGCGTTTCGGGGAGAATTGGTAGTGGCAGTACCATCGTGCTGTTCTTGAATGACCGAGAGCCCCATGTTGTCGGCGGCGGCGGACGAGGGAGCTCCTCGCGCGCGTCGTTCTGGGTTGCTGGGTGGATGAGTGGTAGAAGTGGTTGCTGGCGGCGGAGGAGGAGGAGGAGAAGGAGGCGGTGATGTCACGGGGCCGACCCTCGAGACGCAAGGCCCAGCGCGAGATCAGCAACAAGTGAGAGTTGGCAGCAGCACGGATAAGCGATTCGTGGTGATGGCTGCAGGGGACGGGTTGGCGAAAAGATTATACGAGAAAGATGGGCATCGCTGGAACCGGCCGAGGTGATTTGCGGATATGCAAGATTCAAAAACAGGAGCTTCCTTGGTGTGCTTGGGTACCTACTAGAGTACCAATGTGGGAAGGAGGTTTGGCGGGGTTGTACATTTAGAGTAGAGGTGGTACTTGCACAGCGTCATGCCGGGGCGGCTGCTTGCGGCAACCGATGTGGCTTGCTTGTCAGGGCACAAGGCCACGAGTCTGCGCGGACAGCTATAAATGGAGATGCTGAATAGTTCAACTCAATGGACGGATTCCATGGAATTAATTTGTTTCATTATTATTGTTTATTCCTGTAAAATGATTCAGGGCACTTCTGCAGGTGCTGTTCTAAGTACAGGTGCTTCCTGCAGGTCCGCAGTGGATCTCGTCAGCCCAGCCAGCGCCTGCGATGCGCCCGGGAAGCCTCCCAGCGCTAGCATAACCAAACACCTGGCCTAGGTGGTGTTAGTTGCTCAATTTAATTAATTGGCAAAGATCCTCGATATCTCTGGTTATACTCGCATTTTAGTAACAAGATGCTGTTAAAGAAAAAAAAAAACAATAAAAAATCATCTACGCTCCTTCATCACTCTGGCACCCGTCCGTCATGCCCATCTTCCATCTGAAACGCCTGTATCAACCCTGGGTACTCATTCATCATTCATGCTCCTCGTCCTGTTACGTCAACCTCCGTCTCCGATTAGCATAGCCGAATATCATGCCCTCTTATACCCGACGCACCAACCAACACGCTCACTCCCATTCCTTGCCGTCCCCCTTCAAGTACTTGTCCAGGTCCTGCCGCCCGTAAATCTCCGCCTGCAACCGCGCCGCCCGCCGCTGCTCCTCCGCCCCGCGCGCCTTGCGCTCCTTGGTCGTGAGCTGGCGGCGCGCCTCCTCCTCGGCCCTCTGCTGCGCCGTCTTCTTCGCCGGCTCCGGCGCTGTGGCTCCCACGCCCAGCACGTCGTCCTTGGCCGCCACCTTGATCGGGTACCGCGTGCCCTCGCCGCCCGCGCGCCCCAGCCCGACCCGCGCGTCCGGGTCCCAGCCCTGCGCGGCCAGCGCCCGCAGGCCCATGCGCGTCCGGTCCAGCGCCGACGGCGGGTGCGAGTGCTCGACGCTGACCTGGTGCGCGAGCGACGCCTCGTGCGCCTCGACCGTCGTCGTGATGGGCAAGGAGCAGACGGGGCACGTCACTGCCTCGTCTGCGACGGGCGTCTTGTCGGGGGCAGCTCCGGGCCCCGAACTGTCGCTGCCCGTCTTGTCCGAGTTCTTCGCCGACGCGGAGGCGTTTCCCATGACGATGTTGGCGTACAGGTCGCCGACGATGGAGCTGGTTGGCCGGGTTGACGGCAAGGTAGAAATGTAGTCGTCTGAGTCTTGCGCCCGCACGAATTCGACCTTTTTGCGCTTCAGCCCGGCGCCGAAGGGGCGCTTGTGGTGTAAAGGAATGCCATCTTGCTCATGCTGGTCGCTTTCCTCGCTGTATCGCGATCGCCGCATCGCCAACGGCCATTTGTCTGTCGCGACAGTGATGTTTGTTGAGGCTGGATTTTGCAGTGGGAGGATGCTATTGAAGATGGTGGGGCCGTGCACAACGGAGCAACAGCAATTCCACCGTTGGACACGTAGAGATGCAATAGGAGTGAAATAGAAAGAAGATGATAGTAAACGGTAATATTAATGGGTAATAAGAATAATTCTTCTTTAAATATACATAAAAATGGAATCAATTCAAGCGTGGGTGCATCAGCCACATGACGTAGTCTTTGACATGCAATTTAGGCAGCCCTCAGCCGCCATAACAAAGCAGAGCTGCCTGATTCCGCTCGACATCAACCGCCTAATGCGATAGTCAGGGTTTGTCTTTACTTCTTCATTATATTCTTCATTCAGCATGAGTCATGTAGCTGGCTTCTTCGAGCCCGCCGCTCGTAACCTCTCTCGCACGCTCTGCACCCTCCTGGCGTCCATCGCCGCGCGCCACGTGCACGTATCCGCAAACTCGCATGTCCTGCACTTGAAGGCCTCGTCCAAGCTGACGCCCGCCGCGCGCCGCTCACCGCGCCACCAGGCCATGTACGCGCCCACGTACCCGTCCAGCGCGGAGCGTGAGGCCGCAAAGTCGTGGTGCCCGATCACGAACCCGTCGCCGCGGTGGACGTATTCGACGCGCAGCATGGGGCCGACCGACACGAGGCCCGCGGGGAACGTGAGGCCGACCTCACGCTCGACAAGCGGCAGCAGCTCCCGCAGACTCCGGTACGGTAGATCCCCGCCCTCGCTGCTCTGCCAGGAGCTGGACGGGCTGGTATCGAGCATCTCGTCATGGGAGCCGGCCATTTGCGCGAGAAAGGTGTCGGAGAACGGCGCATCAGGATCGAGACCGTACCGACGGAATACTTTGTAAAAGTCGAGGTGACCGGCTGCGAGGTCTGCGAGGAAGCGGTGGTACAGTAGCAGCTGTATCTTGGCTGGCCGTAGCACAGAGTCGGGTACCTTTCTCAGCGAGCCTCTTGTCTTGACGTCAGCAATGTAGACCTTGGGACCCTCTGGCTTGTTCTCCTTGTCGGGCGTCGTCGACGCAAAATAGTCTGTGACCTTGGCCTGCTTCGCCTCCTCTTGCGCCTCCTCCTGACTGAGCTCCAACTCGAACTCTGGGTTTGGGTTCTCGTAACTCAGGTAGTCGATCACGCCGTTGACGAGGTTCCCGTCCACCACGCCCCAAATCTCCAGCTCCCGCGTCAGGCCGGTCCCGCGCAGCGTGCGCAGGCCCTGGATCAGGTTCCACAGCCGGACGCCGAAGCCGTCCTCGCGACTGAGCACCTCGACCTCGACCGTCGTGTGCACCTCGTCCTCGAGCTTCTGGTGCAGCGCGGACCCCTGCTGCATCGCCGCCGTGCGCGTCCGCCGCCCACCGGGGAGCCGCGACAGCGTGTACCAGTACTGCAGCTCACACCAGGCGCCCGATGTCAGGTCCGAGACGGTCAGCGGGCGCCGCGGAAACGAGCGGAACCTTTTCAGCGGGGAGCGGTGGTCGTCGAACTCGTCCTCAAAGTCCTCACGGACTGGCGCAGACTGCACTTCCGTCGCGGTATCTTCAGGGCACTCCGAAGCACGTTTTACTGGGCGCTTCAGAGTCAGTCAGCTTTCCACGCTGATAAGAACGGAGGGGGCGAGAAGTGAGGCACATACAAGTCGGAGAGCTAATCTGGCTGCTTGTGGAGCGAAGCAACGCCGCTGTGGATGTGTTGGCTGATTCAGCCGCAGCGTCCTCTTCAGCAGCGGTCGGAGCGCGGCCATCGTCTATCGGCGCATCTGGTGCGAAATCCGACCGTGCAGGCAGCGCGTCGATGGCGGCGGCGACTGAATCCTTCTTGGTCTCTACGTCTGTGACCAGGCGTATCAGGAGCCGCTCCTCATCGGGCGATAAATCGAATGGGAAATCGCCGTCATCCGCTGCCATCATCTGAGAGCAGAAGGCATGATGCACGGGTGTAGATGTTTGGTGGCAACAAATCCTGAACGGTGAGGTAGCGCGTTAAGTGGCGTGCGACGGCGTCTTGCAGGCCCCCCACGGAATGCGCGCGACATCACGTGTATCTCCAGGCGGCGACAGGACACACTCGGCCCTATTTATGAGGCATAGATTCCTCACTTATGAGGCTACAAAAAATCCTTCCTTGTAGAGCGCATTGTGCCAGGACAGACTAATTACTGTTCTTATGGCCCTAACGTACTGGTGCGGGCGTCGAGAGCCAGCATGACTAAATAAAGACAGGCTCACGAATGACAGGGACGTAATTCTTTAAATCATCGGTTGACAGCCAAAGTTGCTGATTTCTCTAGTGAGTTTCGAAAATCACGTCTGATAGGTATGATGTCTCGTTGAACTTGACAGCGCGCAGGAAGATGACTTCAACCCCCCATTCAATGATAGCCGTGGTCATGAGGCCTCAACACCATGGCCATGATGTCTTTGTGGCGTTCGCAGAAGCTTTATATTCTACGAGCTGGTGGCTTTTGGTCCAGAGAGTGAGCCGCTACCTAATCTTGCCCAAGTCAGTAGAGTTCTGAATTTCTTCCCAGCATCAATACCAGCCGTTACCTCTTCTTTCACCATGGGTCATGCTTCACGGAAGACGGCCCGCATGTAGGATGGTTGCAGCAGACCCTGGGCCAGTACCCGCAGTTCATGCATTTGCCTTCGCATGTGAGAGACGTGGTACTCTTGCAGTGATAGCAGTCGTAGATGTCGCCCATTTTGCTCCAGGGGTGCCCTCGTTGGCCGTAGACTCAGTGTGTGGCAGTAGACTTGTCTCATCCACGTCTTCCGTCGCTGATGAGGGGATAGAAGCGCATTTTATATTCGCGCCAATATTGAAATCCGGGCTTGTGGTACTCGATGAAGTCTTTTTCGGCCATCTTGATCCTGGTGGTAATCATATGCCGTGTGAGGCCGCGAAGCAGACAGCGACCGGTCGCGGCCGACATGCTCCCAGAAGGGAAATCAATTATACAAAAATATGCTGTTGTGACTCCCCAATGTAGGTTTATCGGCATATATTTGATCTGTGACACGTGTGGCAGGCCTTGAGCTACGGGACTTTGGTTATTGTCTACATGAGTCCCGGAAGGACATGACTTACTATTGAAACCGGGACCAGACCCAACCCAATTTTTCCAGGTCTGAAAATGAAAACAAACCAATTAGGGAAGCAAATGAAAACCCGCCTTTAGTTCCCCGCGCGATTCCAAGTGCACAATTAACCTCCGTGGTCCCTCATAGCAACTACGCTTAGATAGCGCTACCCTATAGCCGCTGTGCACGTGTAGATAAACAAGACAAACTTTGCTACGACTCACAATTCTGACAGCGAGGCGAAACAAACTATCACCTTCGTATCAATTCAGCTGCTCAATAACTGGGCGTATTCCGCCTCACGAGAATCCCGCTGCCTAGCACAGCCTGTTACGGAGAGAGCCCCCTGTGGAGCGGCCATCCGCAAGCCGCCCAAGGCAGCACAATTAATTCCGACAAACAAAAGGGCAGACAATGTCCAAGACAAGCACCCCTGACAGACAAACAGCGTTCATATAGACCACATCGAGTGTTTTTTATCGTTCCAGTCGCCTCCAGGGATTTTGTTCTTCATTTACAAGTGCATCATGACGTCCGCAACCATGCAGCCGCCACCGCCACCGGCGGCCGAACACGACGGCCCCGCCCCGATGCCGCCCGCCGATATCACGCTCACCAATTTCATGTTGCTGCCGGCGGAGCTGCACCTACAAATCTCCGAGCTCCTCACATACCCAGACGCGCTGTCGCTCAAGCAGACTAACCGGCGCATGCGGCTGCTCGTCAACACGGGCATGCCGCTCAAGGTGGAGTGGCTGCTCGAGCGCCGCCGGCTGCACCTCGACTGCCCCAACGACCACAGCTGCGACCTAGGCAGCGACCTGCGCTTCTGCCGGGGAAGTGTTCCGTAAGTTTATCCTCTCTATAATGGGAGGTGGGAAGGATAAAGTTTGCTGATGCAGGTTTTATAGGCTACTATTAAAGCGCCGCCGAGAGCACTACGAGTGCGAGTCCCGCCCGGGCTTGGGCTGTCTGGTGTATGACACGCCCAAGTGCGCAAATAAACCGAGGGATCTGAAGATGTACAAGATGCAGCTCATAAGGACATCGGGGTGGCTGAGAAGGAACTTGCCGGAGCAGTGGTGGCTGGTGTTGGTGTTGTCGCTGCTGCTGCTTTGGATCTGATCTTTGTGCGGAGCAAGGACTGGGTGGCAATCATTGCGACAGTTAATCAGGGAAGGTGTGCCTTGGCTTTTTGTGTATGACAGAGCAATTGTAATCTTTAATTCTTAATTAGCAATGTATCAACACTCACTTGCCGTGTCGAACTCCCCTTCTTGTTCGTTTGACCCATGCAAATTTGGCGTGATTCAGGGACACCGCATGTTCAGTCTTTGATCTGTTGGTCGTCGATCCCATAACAAAGAAATGTATTGTAGCAGATATGGGATGTTTAGCTCCGAAAGAAAGAAACAAAGAATTTTGAACTGTTCGCACACTCACGTTCGGTGACAACATGCAAGTCATTCATCCCTGCTCCATTCTATATAACTGCAACCCGCTTCCCTCAGCCCTCCCATCCCATACCATTCCGCAACTCAAGGTCCTTCTTCTACGAGCCAAACTATCAAACCGTCATGCCTCACTTTACCATGTCCCTCGAGACTCTCCAGCTCGTCACCCTCTGCTGCGCTGCCCTCTGCAGCCTGGCGCTCCTCCACACCGCGCGCACCATCTCCAGCAGCCTGCGCAACACATCCAGTGCTCTCCTCTATTACGCCGCCGAACTAACCCCAGTGGAAGAGGAGGAGGAAGAAGAGGAGAAGGATGAAAGAGAGGAATTTCCGTCGTCGGATCTCGTCTCACCACCAGCGTCTCCGACGCCTCCGTCGCCCACCACTCCCGACGCCATGGACCTGCTGTTGTACCAGGAGGCGACGGCGGCGGCGACGACGACGCAACCCGAATGGGAAGCGCCACTCAGCCCCGTGCTGTCGTCTTCCAGCTCGTCGCTGTCGCCGCTGCCTGAGGTTGCCGTCTCTTCGCTGGAAGAGGAGCTGCGCCGGGCGGCGCGGTCCGAGTCGGTCCAGCCCGGTATCAGCCCACCCACCCGCCCCGGCTCAAGCAGACCGTTGAGCTACCCTGGGGTAGCTCGGGCGGCGCAGAAAGAAAAGGAAGGGCTGCAGGCGTGTAAGCGCACGAGCTTGATCGCGGTGCCGGTGGCGCCCGCTCGATGCGTCAAGAGGGACTGTGACGGTGGGATGAAGAAATGAAGCTTTGCTCGCGGCTGCCTTGTGGAGGGACTGCCCCCAGGCTGTGAATTTGCAAAGTATGTGATTTTCAGAAGATTCAGGTTGGATTTGGATTTGGATCTGTATTTTACGGGGAAGTGATCCCGCACCGTCGCGCTGGCGTTCTTACAATGGACCAACCTCCAACGTAAAAAACGCCACACACAGAAATATCAACCCCTTCTTGTGCTATTGATATGCATGCTGAAGCATTAAAACTCAATAATCACCTTGCTGTGCTCCCACCTGTGATCGACACCGGCTGTGGCTTTTGTGGCTTGCGGGGTGATATTGCCCCACGAGACAGCAGTTCTCCGACCTCCTCCGGGACTGCGTTACCGGCACATGCGGAATTGTTTTTGTCAAATTATCGTATCTTCATTATTCATAGAGTAACAAAGTGGTAATCTAAGGCTTGCATACGGGGAAGTGGTAAAAATGCAACGCTGTCTGACAAACCCATTACGCCTGGAACACGTCCCTCCCATCTCACATAAGCCAAGCGCCACCATCTATCCGTAGTGAAACAAACTTTTCTGGCTTGGTTGCAGATTATATTTTCGCAGCCCTAATGTCCCAGAAAAAATTGGTTTATAGCAAGGCGGCAGCGGCAGCGGCAGCAGCACCGGCGTACATGTAGCCGGGAATGGCGGTGGGAGCGGCGGCGTTGTGGGTGCCCTTGATGGTTGTGGTGAGTTGGTCCTTGTGCGAGGGCGCCGTGGCATCGACCGTGATGGTAGCAGCAGCGGCGGCCATGGTCGGGTTGTAGTGGGTTGACGTGAAGCCGCAGCCGGAGATCAGGCGATCAATGTCTACGCATGGAGTCAGCATCCCATGCCACTTTACGGAGAGGCTTGGTCACTCTTACCCTTGACATCATCCGAGTCAATGTCGTCATCATCGTCGTGGTTGCCGAGGCTGCGCTTGGCCTTGACGTGCTGGTGCATGCAGTCGGCGCACTCGGCGGCGATCTCGCCGACCTTGAAGCTCGTGTTGGTGCAGACGCACTGGTTGTGGAGGAGGTCCTCGTCCTTGCCCTTGCCGAGGCCGAGGTCGACGTCGCACTGCTCGGACAGCGTGGCGATGGGGTTGCAGATAGTCTTGCAGGACATGGGCACGTCGTCCATGTCGAGCTTGAGCTCCTCGGTGGAGTCGTCGAAGAGGTCGGCGGCGGCGATGGCGGCCAGGGCTAGAGAGCCGAGGACTGAGAACTTCATGGTGAAAGCGGAGTTGCGGTGTGCTGTGAATGGAACGAAGCAGAGTAAAAGAAAACTACCGCCGAGGAATAGGGTCAAGAAGTTGGTAGTATAATCTGCTGTGATGGATGAGAGTGACGATCGAAAGCAGCCTATGGGGTGAGGGTAAGCAGCAGCTATATATCCTCGGGCATAATCACCGAGGAGCCGTCAGCCACGGCGTCATGGCCTGGACCAGAGCACCAGGGGCGGTAGAGAAAAGAATTTCCGATGCGACTGTGACGGCAGTACGGGTGCATGGAAGAGAGTAATCCGTGAGCAAGGGTCTCAAGGGTGGTGGGTTCCGCTTCGCAAGGGACCGCGACGCCTCAGCAAAGGGTACCGCATCACCGGATATGCGGCCGGCGATGGGCGTACAGCCCTTTCTTGATTTCGATGATTGGGTGGTGGACTAGGCTGGGCTACGTAACTAGGCTTCGCGATGCATTTCTGAGAGCCGAGGCAAACAATGAGGCGCGGAGAATAGATGGGCTGGGCAGGCGTCTCACGGAGGAGGTTGTTGAATCGGGTAAGCAGAGGTGCAGGCTGACATCGCGTATACCGTATCGGGCAAGGCGTGTAGGGCTGGGTGTTGAGGTTGACGGGGGCGATGCAGCAGGTGTGACGGGTTTCATGAGCCGCTGTGGCCTTATAAGGGGTTGCATGAGGAGGAATCCAGGTGGATGAATTCCGGTAGCATTGTGTGGCTATTCCAAGGGCCGTTCGTTGTGTCGTGTTGGTCGTTGTTTGTTGGTCCTGGGCACCTGGCGGGCGGCCGGCAACTGACAGCGCAAACAAACAGGCTGTTACCACCTCCGTTTAGTAATCAAAAATATTGCACCAGGTCCGTGAGTTCTTAACTCAACATCGTAAGGACATTGCCCATTACAACGGCCGTATCAATGCACTGACTTGATGTACTATCCTCTCCTGCCATCCCGTCTGACCCAGGGCACGCGAATCCCGTCCCAGCGCGCCTCGATGGCTTCCTCAACCCCGGTCCGCTACGACAACAATGACGACGCCCATGTGGCTGTGCGCAACGGCGGTACTCTTCTCGATCCTGGATTTATCCCCGATACGTTCCGCAGGGCTTGAAAATTGCCCGGCCGGTCTAGAAAGATGTTCGGCCTACTCAGCGGCCGTTTCTCAGCTTCCGAACGACGAAAAGTTGGTGGTGGACCATGGAACTCCAGAGTCCAGCGAGGTGGCCTGTCGTGCGCCGATCCTACGTTGGGCTGATAATAACCTTTTTTAGTTGCAGAGCCAAGACTCTCTACGCCGCCACTGGTGCTACTACATACATACAATATATCCAGTTGTGTTTTAAACGTCGGCATCGCTCGTTCCGAGTGCTGCACACCGATCGCCTGGCGGACACCCTATGCTCAGCAACAATTACAATGCAAATCATCACCATGGCCGCCGGGCGTCTAGTTTCTTTTTTTCCCCTCGCTCTTCAACTCCGCCGCGATTGCGCGACCGTAATCCGGCCTTGATGCTATCCAGGCCTCCTGGCTCATCTCACTGTCTGGCTCCGGTTCCCGCATCAGCCACCCAGCGAGATCCGCCCTCAGCCCTCCGCCAAGACAGGGCGTAATATTGTCTCACTCCATCAACTGTTAATGACCGTCAAGACATGCGAGCATTTTTCAGCTCTGCGAGGTGGCATCACTCGCTGCGTAACCACCAAAGAAGCCTTCACGCAATGTGCATAGTGTGAAGAGCACCCTGGACCGAAAACGGGGTTAGACTGCGAATTTGATGCCCATCTCCCACGTGCGGCCGCCGACTCGTGCTGCGCGCCGGGACGGCACGCCTGGCGAACGCCACCGCCCGGGGGACAATCGCGTCGCCAAGCCCGATCTCACCGAACCTCGACGCTGAGAGAAGCACTTGAAGAGAAGGACGGCCATGTTCAGCAAAGATCACAAACTTAACGAAAAGACGGCCGACACTATTGTATTCAGACGGGACCCTAACCAGCCCTACCAACAAAACGATTGGTCAGGACACAGCCTTTGACAACCAGGACTACTTTTGCATGCCGGAAGACTTGTCCGGGTCGGATATCATGGCAGGCATAGGCATGTTGACCCTCCTCGAGGAACCCGACGACATGACGGAGGACCGTTCATCAGCCTACAACGATGACGCCTCCCAAAGGTTGCACGCCGAGGAATTGAGCAGCGCCCAGACCAAAACCGGATCGCCAGAGGACGGCTACGACCTGGAAAGCTACCTATGACGGTTCACACAAAGTTCCCTCCAGCCAGCGAAGGAGCACGCTCCATAGTTCGTGACCCGCCCCCGCCTAATTACCCGTGCTAGGATGTGAAAATAAGAGTAAAAATAAAGGTGTAGATGAGGAAAGTTGAAGTCAAAATGAAATGAGGATATAGTAATGATAGCAGTCAACTTCATGGTAAGACTGTGAGTCTGGCCGTGAGACTGGAAACTACCACCTGAACCGACGAGAGACGCCACCTATGTACGTGGGCGGGTGATGCTGGATGCGCCTCAAAAGCCGGCCAGTTTGCGCAGTGTTCTGCAGTCCGCAGTCAGCGAGTCCTGCTTTTACACAATCACCTAACCGCGCCATCACTCAACCCTGCCCGGCCGTCCATTTCTCTCACACCGAGGGTCTAGGCTGCTTCGGAGCATCAATCTTCGAGTTTCCGCCCGAACCCCTCGGCACGCGGAGCTTGCGCCGACCGCGAACGTCATCCGGGTCCGTAGAAAAGGTGCTCTTCCAGGCCATGCTCGGCGTGCCGCACCCGCGGGCCGGCTTCCGTCGCCTGTACTGCCCCGCTCAGCAGGAACACGAGGAAGCTGAGCGTGGGATTGTCGCGACGAGACGTATCGCGGGGGACACTAGTCCATCGGAGACCACGCCAGATCCTGCCGTTTCCAAGCTTTGCTGCATTACGATGCGTTGCTTGCGTCGAGTCCCGCCGAATTTCGACGACGTTGCCTAGACATCCATCTAACGATATTGCCTTAACATGGGGGCTGCCACAGCGCCTACATACATCCAGACCTCCATGACCAAAGGCACAGTTGGCCACCACCACGCGAGGCTTTGGCTTCGACAGATCCTTGTATGGGTCATCGGCTGCTAGGCGTGTGACGGCTCCTAGATGAGCCTCTAGTAGAGCGCGTGAGCGCGGAGACAAGCGTGGGTAAGGCACAGTGCTGGTTGCACTGTGTGCACGCAGAGGTACAAGCACAGCAAGCGCGGCGGGTACCCAGCTCCGGACACTGGAGTGGTCGGGCGAGGGTCCGCTGTGTCTCCCCTGCCAGGCTGCGGGGGGTGGATCTCACCTGAGGGTACCTCAGTGAGTTCAGCTGAGGGGGGTTGGGGTTGGTTGGAGGAGGGGATCTGCGTGTGTCTTGGGTGAGGGAGGTACCTACTAGGTATCTTGCGGGGGTGCGACCGAGTACCACAGATTTGGCCCTCACATCACTGCCCTGCTCGTGGGGGAGAAAGATAACGTTGAAAGATGCAGCGCGTGTGCGCAGGCCAACACAGATGGAAAGATGCAATCTGCTATATACAGGGCTAACCGCTCCCTGCTGAGTGGCATCAGTGCAGGCCGTGACCAGCCTTCAAAGGTCATTCATTACGAGCGCTCCATTTGCCCTGCCTGGTTGAGACAGGGGATTGACACTGATTGATTGTGTCTGTCGCTCGTTGGCCTGGTCAGCCGTCTTGCTCCTCTATTTGATTGCCAGTTGGCTCTTGCGGCTTACTGTACTACGAGTGTATGCTGCGGATTATCGGCCGCGACGACTCTTCCGCCTGCACATCCCAGCATTATGTGTTCCAAGTTTGATTACCAGCTAGAACAGTCCTCCTTCGCTCACCGAAATGGCATCGAATTGCTCAGGTATTCATTCCATGGCCTGATCACCTTCACCGAGGTGCTGCGCAGGCTCTCTGTGCTGTCGCCGCCCACGATGTGATCCACCTTGTCGGTTTTGGGCGGCATTCTCTTGGCCGCTTGTCGCCATTGGGTTGCAAAGCAGCCCGCCTTATACATCGATGTGCCCTTCCGCCAAATTGCCTTCCTTCAAGAGTTTCTGGACTTGCGCTTCGGTCCATCTTGGGTTTCATCCGCCAGGCCTTGTCATTCGCCGCGTGTGGTCGCGGCAGCTTGCGCACAAGGGGTTGATATGCATAGGGGCCTCGTCCAGGTTTCCGCAGTTCATGCGCAGTTGACTCGAATCTTCTCATCTTCAATGCCCACGGTGGTCTTAATGGCGTCCTCGATGAGATCTGGGCGCGTCGGTGGGAGAGCCTCTCCAGCCTACACTTCTGCGCTCCAATCCGCCATCCCCCGCATAAGTGGTCAAGGACTATACCCTCAATGAGTTGAAAGAGGAAGCTGTCGACCGACGATATATGCTACTGTTTCTCATGAGCGAGTCCTTGAGAGGATTAGAGAGCGCCAAAAGTAACTGAAATCACGATGTTCGTATGAATGTGGCTAGCCGCTTGAGTCCTGTTCACATCGGGAGTTCGTACTGTCTTGCTTGTTTGTCCTCAATGTATATATGCCAGTGACAATGCTGCAACAGGTGTGTTTTTGGCAGCCCAAGCCAGCGCTATGGCGGCTTTTTGATTTCCAATGGTCTTTGATTTTTTTCTACTGTGAACAGCGTCGCCTGACAATACGTTTAGGTAGTGATACTAAATGCTTGCGGCAAATTATAGGGGTCGCGAAAGATTTGTTGGGAAAAGTGTTGTTTTTGGTCAACCGTTCTGCATTTTCCGTTTCGAAACAAACACCTGTGTATTTGAGAAAGAACCTTTTTGGCGCATTTGCGTGTGGGAGCGCACTTTTATTCGCGGTTGCCCCCGCGTGTTTTTTTTTTTTTTCGACTAACGACCTCTTCATGTTTTACGCCAGGCAAGCTAACAAAAAAGTGTATTGTAGTATTCGCAGTACGCTGCGTTCTTAGAATCATATTAAACAATTTGGTGCTGCTTTCTATATTTTGTCCTCCCATAGAGGAGCGGTTGTCGTCCGTCTGGTGCATGCTGTGTCGTGTTTTTTTTTTTCTATTTCGATATGGACTCTACCCTGAGCTCCGCAAGTACGAAGAACGTGCAAAAAGTGCTATAATCCTAGATGCTTGCTAATGCAAAAAACAAGCCTAGGCTACTAGTAGAAAGTAATCTATAGCGTTCCGTCACCACTCAGCAAATCGAGTTTGTTTGGTGGCAAGCTTAGGCCTAACTCTTGCCGCACGATCGCCTCATCTCCGTCGTCGCGCCGCCTCCTGGTAGGTAGATGTGACAAGCACGCCTGGCAGTACATTGGATCCGCATGTTGGACGAGTTGGTGGAACCGCGCCCGTCTGCTATTGCAGCCGAGGGTCGACTCGCCTTGCCCCCCTTCCCGCTTAACCCAAAACCCACTAAGCATCACCCACCAACCATCACCAACCATCTTGGTACGCGGGTGTTATGTTTAAACAATGATAAAGTATCAACCGGGTGACTGAACACATGGTTGTGATAATGAGGTCCGGCAGATCCGAAAACAAAACACTTTAGGCACAGCCGCAGCTCGCCAGGAAGACGAGTATCAATTGTTGGAGCCATCTACTTCGGGTTCATCGGAACGAGTCCAGGACTGGGCGACGCTCGCTAACTCTGCCGGCATATCGAAGATTTGGCGAAGATGGTCGACTCTTCTGGCAAAGAGTGCTGAATCTGCCACGGCTCTTGCTATCAAAGACGGCTGAGGTATCTACCGCAGCCATTGGACTGTTGAAACTTGAAGAGTGACGATGACCGTCTGCGACAGCCTCGACACCGCGTTGCAGATACGCGCGCTGGAGCAGGACAATTCATGGGTAGTGAGCGTCGTCCTCATGGCCACAGGCCAGGACAGCCTGGCGGACCGCCAGGCGACGAGAGCCGTCGGCGTGGATGATTGATTACATGGTCAAGCCGATTGGCATGAGCTTGGGTTCCTCTTTCGCTCTTCTGTGCGAACTATACGCATCTCCCTAACCCGGAAGTAGTGTTGATTCAACTATCCTTGAAGTATGGCGCTTAAAGATAACCTCGGAAGGACGTTAGCAACGGAGTCTCCTCCTCGCCAGTAGGGTGACAACATTTTCCCCGTGTTAGCAGGCTTCAGCCTCCTGTCTCCTCCGTTGGCAACTTGCAGGATATCAGAAGCCCGACTTCGGTACTCCGCTTCGAATGGGTTATATTGTGACTTCATGCGCCTGCAAGGGGTACTTTCAGCATGACGTGGTGTCTTGGGCAGAGGTCAGCCGGACACCACGCTCGACTACGCCAAATTCGGCGTTCTTGCAGCACATGGACGTTCGCTGACCGGGTCAGTATTATCCTTCGTGTGGTGAAGGGACTTGCAAAGTGACGGGAAACACCACATTTGTGGCGAAGGGCAAGGGACGAGACCTCTTCCGTCCGTGAGTGTGTGGACGCTGTCAAGGCACCTCCAGCCCATGGTGGAAGCAGGACCCAATTGAGGACATTGGGCGCACGGCCAGCCAGCGGTGTAATAGATGGCGATCAGCTCGCAGCGATGGAAGGGTCAAGACACCAGCCATCATCGATGACGGGTATGCCTGCCCTGCGACGACTAGATGCTAAGCAAAGGCGTTCATGGAAGAACAGGCGAGAGGACGAGCAAAACAATAGAGTGGAGTGTGTAGTTAGTTTAGGCAATCTAAGTGATATGCTGCGGCAACGTGATGTTAGGGTGCATGGAAAGACTCGAAGGGACGGCGCTGGCACAGGTGGGCGCTGTTTGTTGGAGCGTATAGAGACAGACTCTGTCCACCCGTCGGGTCTATCTGGATGCTGGTGATGGTGCGGATCGATTCTGGTATAGTGATGGGCGTATAGCTGTGCTCGCTCTGTGCGAAATGGAAATCCGAATTGTGCCGTTGTGTCGTTCTCTTTATTGGGTGGGCTTCTGGACAGCACCTGTAGTCACACCAGTCATGCCCGGCGCATTTCAGTAATCGGCTTATATTAGATCCGTCAACATGTTTGCATGTGTATGTACATATGTACCCATGCTGTCCTCCGCACGAAGGCACCCCCAGGAAGCACAAAAGGCGCCTGACGGGAGCAGTACGACTCACCAAGTATACAGTACGCGGTATAGGGTAACTAAGTGCGGTCCGGCCCGCCGTGGTCCACCGCCCGGTCCACCCCGGTCAGCACTGCTCTCCGGCGTCCTGCCTCGAGGCGACAAGCCCTCTCTGTTGGTGGTAGTCCTTATTTTGACTGGCAGAGAAAACTTGAACAGTCTCTCATACTATGTATCGAAGCTTTACAATAGTGACTTTATTGCTATGACTGGCTAGTCGCTGCTGATAGTGGCTGTTGCTAGAGACATTCATGTCCACTGCATGAAAACGCGTCCGAAATACTGCAGTGAATGTTGACGAAATACTACAAAGACTGAGAAAAGTACTAATGCAAGAAAGAGAAACCGCGCCGAACTTCTGATATGATGGCTTCCTAATATTCATGCGGGTGCGGGTATAGTGTCATACAATCACATATAGAATTAAATGTGATTATGATTCTACTGGTGGTGTTACAGTACAAGTCGCGACGGATTTGGGACAGGTTTTATCTCTCTCTGCCATCTCTGCTGTCTCTCTGCTGTCTCTCTGCCGTCCCATTAGTCATCTGTTGCTCACATTTCTCGGCACGAGGTAGTAATCAGCACTTTCTTTTCCCAACACAAAGTCTTTCGTTTGCCAACACTCACTTTCTTCTCCCGAGACCAACTCCTCATTTACCCAAAACAAACTCCCTCTTCCCAATCACCTGTGCTGAACATCGCAAGTCCTTACCATGGAACCCAGATTCTTCAGCTGCTTCGCCCCAGATTGCCAAAGGCCAAGCGTTAGGGGAACTGGCGGCTGCGACACTTGTAACCGCCACCTATGCTCGGACCACCTCTCACCTTCTCTCCATCTATGCGAAGAGGTGTGATTTCTCGCCCTGATTTTATGTACTGGTGCTGAAGTTCTTCAACACGTAATGTTAACATGGAGTGAACAGGTCTTGGGTGATGCCACTTACATGTCGCGCACTGTCGCTGAAATGGAACGTCTCCGCGATAGGATCAATGATGCGGCAGTCTGTCAACTTGCGTCTCGGTTGAATCACGACAAAAGCTGTACTATTGAACACTCTTTCAAGGTGGGAATGGGCGCGCTTATGGGATGCGCCAACTATCATGCCCGCATTCGCTTTCAAGATGGCTCTCCATCCTGGCTCCTTCGAGTTCCGCGGGTTGCAAGCTACACCGTTGGACTGACAGTCTCATTGGTAGACTACTTAATACGCAGCGAATACGCAACGCTGAAGTTTCTTGAGACTACAATGGTGCCAGCGCCAAGAGCCTTTGGCTATGGTATACGTGGAGCTGATCATGGCGTTGGTGTGAGTTTTCTTCTCATAGAAGAACTGCCTGGAAAGCCCTGGGCTGGCGGGAATGCAGACGAGAAAGCAAAGATCTGGGGCAACCTCGCAGAGATTATTGTTGAGTTGGAGCGCTACCCATTTTCTCAGGCTGGTTCCTTGTGCTTCCAGTCCTCTGAGATAGCCGTCTCAGCGGTAGCAAGCGACAGATTTGTGATTCTTACTCCAAAGGGACCATTTACAAGCGCGAGTTCATATTATACAGCCTTTGCTGGGCAACATTTAGCGCTGATCACGGACGGCCAACTCTATACGGAGTATCCCGTCAACGCGTACCTAGTCTACCGGTTCCTAAAGGATAGCGCAGCACAGCTGGTTGAATCGGACGAACAAACAGCATCCCCAGAAGAGTTCTTCTTGAAGCATGTTGATGATAAAGGCGACCACCTACTTGTCGACGATAACCTCAACATCACTGGCATAATTGACTGGCAGATGGCACGTATTGTGCCCCGGCGCGAAGCCTTCGGGCCATCACTTATTACTGCTGATATGAACGCATTCTATAATGGCAGGGTCTCACTAAGTACTGACGATGTTGCTTAGTGGCTGCACTACGGCAAAAGGGCATCTCGAAACTTCCTAGTACCATGGTTGATGAGAAAGTTAGGAGATTCTTCTGGGGGTTGTCCCTAGAACCGAAATGGTCGTACGCGTTACCGTTGGCGAATGCAATCCTAAAGGTCTTTGGAGTCAGCCAAGATTGGACGCATTGGAGGGAAACAGCCCTGACAATGTATGGGACTGACGAACGCCTGAGAGACCTTCTTCAGCAGTTCTCTAGCTAAGGTCTTCTGTATTGAAATAGCACACCTTGCGTGAATTTTAAGAATCGCGTAAAATCTATCAAAGGTCGATCATTATGGGATTCCAACTGGAGGTAAAACTCGACCCCAATGATTTACAGGACAGTTGCCACAGGGAGGCCTGCCTGCACGAATCGCATCTGCCATGGTCCTCGACGACTCGTACAAAGCCCGATTGGCATGGCGGCATACCTGGATGAGGAGGAGCGACGGCGGACCCGGCCATGCTCGTACGTATGAGCTGCTCAAGACCAGGCACATGATTATGGGAGAAAATTCGCTTGATTGAAGAGAGGAAGGTGTGACTGCTACGTGGTGTGCCTCTATGCAGTGGCCATGGTCATCTGGTCAAAATTCCTTTTGTCTGGACAGAGCCGCTGGGACAATTGCTCCAATGATTGGCGGCCGAAATTACTATGGTGTACGGCGGCGCGTTGGAACCTAACGTGTCTGTATTGTCCGTACTGTGCGTCGTTGCCTTTGAACCTCTCCACGGAGATGGACGGCGGAAATGCGTGGCTCCGGGAGGGATGACAGCTGGCCGGTCCGCACGGAATGGCGGATTATAACCTTGGAGCGAGTGTACATGAAAACAGCCTGTTTGTCAACCAAAAGCCAAGTTAGCTAGTACAGGGGCAACAAGACTACTCACCCGTTCCACCTCGACGGCCATGCTTTGGGCGTTACGTTGAACTTGGAATGTGGCGTCAGGTTATCCGCGCTCGCGTCCGACGACTTCGAGGCCGGAGAGGCCTCGGAGCGGATGGCGCCAATGGACCTAGATGACCTCCCCTGCGGCGACGAAGGCGACAATATCCATCAGCCTGAATCCTTCCCTCATAGCTTGCCTTGCCGCATCCCGCACGGATGCCGTTGCCCTTTTTCCAGAGCATCGGGGTTCATCTTGGAATGAGATTCGGAAAGACGGGCTCGCTCCATGAGATGCTAGAAAAGTTGTCTTGCCCGTGGTCTGAATCTGTACAAGTCATGCTGGGCCCGCTCCTCTCTGCGATGTCGTATACCACGACGAATATTGCCACAACACGTCCCTTGCCGCCACAGCGCTGGCCATGTTGCCCCATCACGCCGATGCGTGAAAAGGCCCAGGCTGCATATGGTGACATGATGGACGAATGCTTTTCAGTCATAAGGCGAGAGGTCAGGAATCAAATTCGGTAGACTTGTTGATAGCATCAGGTGTGCCTGTTTGAGCATTACCTTGGCTCGGCTCAACTAAGGTGCGCGGTCAGGCTCGCCTGCAACTATCTTCCGAGTTATTGTCTTATCATCGGCTCAGTGAGCTTATGTCACAGTAGGTACCATGAAGCTGCAAGGCAGCGTCTCCCTTTTCCCCTAGCGTGGAGGGCTGACGCACTACGTCCGTAGCCGGGCTCCATTTAAGCAGTATGTATGTCTTCCTTTTAGGTAACGGTAGTGGCACGTTCGATTTATTCAGGTAAACATATGGGACGCTAATCTGATGTCTTGCAGGCTTTAGAATAACGGCCCGAACCACAAATAGCCGTAGATGTGGTTGATTTGATACGTCATGGTCAAGTTCTGAAAGCTTGACTTGTAACTACAATCTTTTATGCGGTTTTCTTAAATTAAGTAATTCAGAGCTCAATTAGATTCCTTTGTCTTGGTTGACATAGCAAGAGCCCCGGCCAATTTAGTCAACCGGTATAGGATGCAGAAGTTCGACCAGTAGCCTTTCCACAGTCGATAAATTTCGTGGTCTGAGTGATGGTTGAGCATGTAGATGTGGTTACAATTTTCTCGGTAAAAGTGGTGGCGCACCTGGGCGAGATTTAGCAAAGTGGTTAGCTAGGAATATAATCAGGTTCTTGCTCACATCTTTTTCGATATGGCAGGAGTTAGGAATATGTTGAGCGAGGAGAGAGTTGTCTTGTTCTAGAGTGACAGATGATATTGAGCGGCAGGAGTGGGCAGGAGTGGTCTGGACTCTTTATTTTCCTTTGCCAGAAAAAGAGGAAGCAAAAGTGCTATATACTTAGGCATGCATGGCCGCCCAACGTGGACACCAAACAGCCTACCATGAGCTGGCATGCCCGTGGAACGCACAAGGTGGCTGTATCGATAATAACGGGAGTTGAATAACCTGTCCTAGATCCGCACAGTTGACCTGTCCGAGCTCGGCTCTTATATGGGCAAATATCCTTGCCATGTAAAAACCCAACCATCCTCAAACAACAAAGACGCCCCCCTCTTCTAGACTACAGCTGCTGCCTCCATTCTCCTTTACATCTCATCATGGTCGAATCTGGCACGTTCGAGAGCTCCGAAAAGCAGCTGCCCGTGCTGTCATTGCGAGATCTAACCATTCTCGAGGCGTTCGACCAAGGCGCCACCGAGGCAAAATACGTCACCTTCTACCATGTCACTTCTGAAGACGAGCTGTACTTTGGTCACTTATTCAAGAGAAAGAAGGAAATCACTCTAGAAGAGTACAATGCGGCATTGGAGCATATTCCTGACAGTGAAATCTACCCCGAGGTTCCCCGGGACACCCCCATTAACAATCGCGCCAGACGACTTGGACGACGCCTCTGCTTTCATCAAGCGGCCGGGTCTAAACTCCTATGAGAGCATGAAGGGGTCTCATTTCGTTCGTCCCTAAGGGACTTGTCGAGGAGACCATCATTATGGAAAAAATCTCCAAGACACCTCATCCGCATATCATCGCTTATCTCGGCTGCCGCGTGCGCCGCAACAGAATTACATCCATCTTCCTGGAGCGCCTGGACCAGACACTGATGCAATACGTTAAAGAGCCCGGGTTCGTGCAGCTTGACAAGGCAAGCTTTCTCGAGGCGCTCGAGTCGGCTGTGACGCATCTCCATTCGTTGGGATTAAGCGCACAACGCCATCAACCCACACAACATCATGGTCAAGGACGGGACGCCCGTCTTGATCGACTTTGGGTCCTGCCAGCCATTTGGGGGGCGTCTGCAATCGCTGGGCTCGCGCGGGTGGTACGAGGAGATATTCTTCACCTCCGAGGCGAAGCATGACACGTACTCATTCAAGAAGCTGCGAGAGTGGCTGGAAAAGCCGGAGTGAAAGCGAGCAAGATGGATAAGGCTGGAGGGATGAGTAGTTGGAGAAGCTAGGCAGCCAGGCAATGGCGAGTCCAGACGACTTTTGTTTTTAGATATGCAGAGATGCCGAATTTTTATTTTTCCTACATTATGCATGGCCTTGTAAAACCTCAACACGGATAGAGCAACAAACGACCTGCAAATGAAACAACTGCTGCGACACATTCGACTATAAGAAATTATTTCAAGGAGAAAACGCAATGGGACTACTACTTGGGAATGCATCGTTAGGATCAATTGAAAAAAAAAAAAAATTGAAAAAACTCCACCCCTCCTTATTCTTCTTCCTCCGTCTTTGTGAACCCCGAGCGGAGACGTCGCGGCACCGGAGCCCACACGGCTGTGTCCGTTCCGACCTCGGCACTTTTCCGCAACCCCCAGGCCTAAATAAAACACCGGCCTAAAACGCCGGCCCGCTTCTGTGCCTGATTGACCGCTTCAAGCCGGCCAGCAGACGACAAGGGCCCGCCCCCCTCCAGCGACAACTTTATCCTTTCCATCATCACTCGTTTCCAGCACACGTCGTGTCTTTTCCTTCTCTTCTCCCCTACCATCGTGTGTGTCTCTGTCTCTTCGTCTGCGCGAGGGGGGTGTTTTCGCGAGTCCTTGCTTTGCGTTTACTACGCCGCTCCTTCGATCCGACTCCTCTTTCCGTTTGCACACCCTCGACAAGGACAACAACCTCCCCGCGAACCAGCCCTCGACAACAACCAGACACCATGTCTCTCGAACCTCGCCCCGCGTACACGGCTGACGAGCTCGCCCGCCTGTACCCCGCTCCCCTGCGCCTCCAGCAAGTCCAGGTGCTCATGCGCCACGGCGAGCGCACCCCCGTCAGCAACCGCTTTGCCGCCCACCTGCCCGAGTTCTGGCCCTACTGCAGCCAGGCCGCGCACATGAACTCTCTCGTCCTCGACCCGTCCTCCTCCGCCTGGACGCCGCTCGAGTGGTGCCGCCGTCTCGAGACCTTCTCCCCCGACTCACAGACCCCCGCCCTCGGCCGCGCGAACCCCCCGGGCACCGGCTCCGCCGACAACATGTGCGAGCTCGGCCAGCTCACCGACAAGGGCCGCGCCACCACTACCGCGCTCGGCTTGCGCCTCCGCCGGCTATACGTCGACCAGCTGGGCTTCCTCCCCGGGAAGTTGACGCCCGCCGTCGCCGACGCGCTATATCTGCGCTCAACGCCCATGCCGCGCGCCCTCGAGTCCATGCAGCAGGCCCTGCACGGGCTGTGGCCCTCCACCGCCGACGGCGCCGCGCGCGACCCGGACCTGCCACCGCTGACCATCCACACCCGCCACTGGGCCGACGACACGCTGCTGCCCAACACGGCCAACTGCGCCCGCTTCCGCGCCATGATGCGCGCCTTCGGCCGGCGCGCCGCTGAGCGCTGGGACGACTCTCCGGAGATGGACCGTGTCAACGCCAAGCTCCGCCGGTACATGCCCGCCGATCCGGCCCGCCCGGGTACCAACCTCCGCATCGGCGTCGCCTCGCACCCCGCGTTGGTCGGCGTCATGGACACCGTCGCCGCCACCGCCGCCCACGACGACCCGGCCACGCGCTTACCAAAGGACTTTTACGACCCGCAGGTGCGCGCCGAGGGCGTCCGCATCGTCGTCGACGAGTGGTTCGCCGGATTCCGCGAGAGCGCCGAGTACCGCACCCTCGGCATCGGCGGCCTCCTCGCCGACGTGACCGAGCGCATGGTCGGCGGCGTCGAGGGCGTCGCCCCGCACTCCAGCGCCGCGCCGCTCAAGCTCGGTCTGTCCGGCTGCCACGATACCACACTCGCCGCTACTGTCACTGCCCTCGGCGCCGACGGGCTGGATGGTATGCAGTGGCCGCCCTTCACCAGCCACATCGCCGTCGAGCTCTTCCGCGACGAGCGCGTCGTCCCTACCGCCGCCACCACCGGAAGCAGCTCCTCTTGGATCCCCCGGATGCTGGGCGGCGCGCGGCCGGTCGGTCGCCGCCCGACGTACGAGCTGACGAGTGCGGAAAAGGAGCGCCTGAGGGGGTACTTTGTGCGCGTGCGGTACAACGACGAGCCGCTGCGCATCCCCGGATGCCGGCCGGCGGGCAAGCACTACGAGGACGACGAGACGCTTTGCAGCTTGGTAAGGAAAACAGTCACCAGCGATGGTTGGTTGAGTGAATCGCTGTGCTAATCAGGATGAAAACAGGCCGCGTTCAAATCCATCGTGGACCGCATCACGCCGACCGACTGGAAGGCCCAATGCGGCGCCAACATGGACAAGCCGACCATTCCCAGCAAGCCCGAGCCGGCTGGCTACTAAACGGAAGAGGACACGAAATGACACCACATAGAGCTATAGAGTACAAGGATACAGCATGTACATATACAACGCATTTACAAATGCCAACATACATCTATGCAATCATCATACGCAGCATCCACAATCCAAACGATACCGGGCTTATATAGCGGAGAACCAGTTTCAATGGCACGAAAATCTCATTGCATTTCAAAGCAAGGCTTCGTCCTGAATTACTACTAAAGCTATACCCAAAAATGCCCCCATCCATCATCCCCCCTTTTTCTTCAACCTCAGCCAGACAGGGCTCCATTTCCTTGGGCCCCTAGATTCTTCCTTCAACAGGCAATACCCCCAAGAGCACGTATCCAACGTACAAACACAAAATACAAGAGGGAAGCGAGCTCCCTATCCAAAAATAGACATGCCCAAAACAGGTCCGAGTCTTGATTTGCAGTCAGCAAAAACAAAAAAAGCACCCTCAACTCAAAAACAAGATATTAACATGGGGTAGCTGGTTTTGCCAACATGGCGTTGACGATTAAGAGCAACAGTAAGGACGGAATTGTTGATAACAAAGTGAAAGATGCAAAGACGAAAAGGTGATAGAAATATCAACAATTCAATAGACAAGAAGAGGGAAAAAGAATGGTTGTAAAATGGCGAAAGTGGCGAAGCGATTACAAAAGAGTATGAATCCTCCAGCGTCCCATACATGTACATACCCAGCAGTGATGAGGGTACTGGGCTGGTCATTAGTTGGCTACTTCTTCCTCGGCCCAGCCGTTGAGGCCGCTCTGAATGGCGAGGCCGAAGCCACTGCCACCGATGCCGCCGTAGCTAGCCTGGTACTGGTGGCCACGTCGCTGCTGCTCGCCCTCGCCGCCGTTACTACCGTGCAGGCTGCTGGGGCTGTTGGTGCCGTTTTCGAAGCCGGGACCAAAGGCAGGCAGACTGACGGCACGGCTGTGGGAGCCGCGCCCGGCGCCAGGAGCCAAAAGACCGCCGATGGTCGTCGAGCCGGACACGCCAGTGCTGGTAGGGTAGCCGTTGGAGATGCTGGCCGACTGGCCATGAGAGCCGAGCTGCGGCTGGGCCATGTCGAGGGTCATTTCATTTCCAGAAGACTGGGCAGCACCGAACATGGCATTCTGCTGGGCAGCCATCTGCAGGTGCTGCTGGTTCTGCTGCTGATGGGCGTGCTGAGAAAGCTGGCTGAGGTACATGGTGAGCGGGTTGTTGTTGGCGTTGAACAGGGCGGCGGACTGCTGGTTGCCATCGTTGGACGGGGAACTTCCGTTCTGGGAACCACCAGCCTGAGGGGAGCCTATACCATCACTGCGTGGCGAGGCATTCTGCTGCATCTGGCGAGGAGGGTTACCACAGCGGTCCTTGCCAAAGTTGACCTTGAACTTTTTGTAGTCATCCCTGCCACGGATGGCCTCGATAGCCTTGATAGCGTTGGCAATGTTGGTAAAGTTCACAAACGCGCAGCTCTTTTCACGCAAAGTATTGACAAGCTCGATCTCGCCGTACTCGGAAAAGTCTTGACGCAAGCGTTCTTCGGTCCAGGTTTCGTCCAAGTTTCCGACATAGACGTTGCGAGAAGCGCCGCCGCTGACGGCCAGTGCGATCGCAGGTGGCAGAGCACCAGAGTGTTTGCCCCAGCCAATCTTGAGTCGACGGTTGTGGATCATGAGGCCTTGGAGGTTGCTAAGAGCGTAGAAAGACGCAGCAGCGGTGGGATCGATGAAGGTGACGAAGCAAATATGCTTATCAGGGATATAGCGGATGTGATGCAAAAGTCCACCCCGGACGACGTTGCAAATCTCCTCAATCGTAGTCTCGGGATGAATGTTGCCCAGGTAGATGGTGCGGTTGCCCAAGTTGTTGATTCCACCAGCCGTGGTCGCTACAGCGGCGGCAGCAACAGACTGCTGGGCCAGAGCGTTGGAAATAACATCGCGGTCGGCGCCAGTCAGCATGTGAGCATACCCGGGAGCGATGCCAAGATACTGGGCCGCATTCTGCTGCTGGGTCTTGGACACGTAGGCGCAACGGTCTTTGCCGTAGTAGACACGGCGAGGCGCTTGCCACTTCGGCTCCTGAGGAAGTTGAGTAACGGCCTTGATAGCGTTGGCGATAGAGAGGTAGTGAATAAATGCGATGTTCTTTTCGCGGACCAGCTTGACAGTGTCGATGGGCCCAAATTTGCCAAGATCTTCACGAATCTCGTCCTCGGTCACCTCCTCGGGCAGGTTGCCCAGGTAAACGTTCCGGGAAGCACCGGACTGCTGAACGGCGAGGGCGACCGACGTTGGGACCTGAGAAGCCTTGCCCCAGCCGACCTTGATATCCTGACCTTTGATGCAGAGCTTTTTCAAGATGGCATCAGAGTGGAAGTGGGTGGCGGAGCTGGCATCAAGGAAAGAGATGAAGGCGCAGTTCTTGTCAGGAAGCAGACGGACCGACTCGATTTGGCCACTGCGAACGTGACCAAGGATCTCTTCGGCAGACGTGTCTGGAGGAATGTTGCCAAGGTAGACAGTTCGGCTTGTGCCATTCGCGGCGGGACCGTTCATAGGTACAGGTGAGCCAGCCTGCATCGAGTGCTGCATGCTGAAGCCACCGGTGGGAGATTGGGGTGGGAAGAACTGGGGTGCACCGTACTGAGAAGGCGAAACCATGGCGTGGTACTGCTGCGGTGACATGTTTTGCTGGGTAGGGCTGGACATGCCGCCGCTGTGCTGCTGGTTGACCTGATGCGGCTGCTGAGATCCCTGGAAGGCGGAAAGGGACTGGAACTGGGGGCTACCGAAGGCAGCAGGGCTACCGGGTTGAAAGGGGCTTCCCATGAGGAGTTGCGAAGGCAGGAGAGGAGTGAACTGCATGTCAAAAGCTGTTCCAGGGGAGGCTACATCGGACGCGTTGGCGCCGTGTCCCTGGTTCACTTGGGTGTTGAGAGAAGGGATGTTGCCACGGCGAGGGTGTCTCTCAGCAAAACCGGAGACGTTGGAAGTGAAGGCTCCATGAGAGAAACCGGTATCACTGTTGGAGGGCTTGGAGGCGTGGCCATGAAAGCGTCCCGAACTGCCGCCGTTCTGAGCGGAACCGTTCAAATCCTGCATACCGAGCAGATGAGGGGGGACGAGGGAGTCCCGCCCGGCGTGAGATAGAACAGCCGTTTTGAAATGTGTATCGTGCCCAAGTCGGACACGGACAGTGGACTATGGGCTTGCGCAAGCGAGGACTTGAGCAAAAGACTGGGTGTTCAAAACTCGAGTGATGGTTTGTTATAGATACAGGCGAGTGCGCTACTGCAGTCGAGGCAGGGACGGATCAGGTCGATGTAACAATGCTAAAAATTTGAGCGAGGCGATGATGAGGATGCTGGAGGAGAAAGATGCACAAGGTTGGTACGGTTTCGGATCGATCGAAAGGTACAGAGGCGAATGCAGCTGTTGTGAATCAGGTTCGAAAGGGGTATCGCGTCGAAATGGAAGATGCAAAGCAAGCTCGTCCAGGAGAGGTATGGAAAAGTGGAAGTCGAGAAGCGAAAAAAGGGTTTAACGAGAGTAGATGAAGAGGAAGTTGAAGGTTAATAAGACAAGGCTCGAAGCGGCATCGGGGAAGGCTGCGAGGCGCGAGGAAGCAAAGCGTGTCGAGACAGGAGAATTGGACAGAGGCAAGACACGAGAGCTGTGCGAGTAGGCGGCCCAGGGAAGTCTTGACGAGGAATTGGAGCAGAGGAAGGGCAGCCAAGAAAACGACTCTACTCGCTCGCAACAGCAGCGCAAGGTTACCGGCAAAGCAAGATTGCAGAGGCTGGTGAGAGGGAGCGTGAAGGAGGGGATCGAGGCTGGAGCCAGGAGACGAACAAAGAAGGATGAGTGTCGTGCAGAGCAGGCTCGAAGCAGACTGGCGGCAGAGTCTAGCAGGGCCTCTGGGGCCGACGACAAGTGACGGGGCGAAGGGGGTGGGCAACCAAAGCGGTATGGTGCGTTGTAATGGTGTGTATCCGTAGAGTCGTCGAGGGGTTGATGCTTATTGTTGATTGGTGGCCATGGAGATTTGGTGGGAACAATAGCAGGTCAAACAGGGGGGGTCAATGAGGTCGAGATGGAGGAGGAGAGGCGCGACGGAAGAATAATATTAACAAAAAAGTATGGATAGTATATGAAGGAAAGGAGGAACAAGCCGAGCCAGGCAAATGAAGAGAAATGATGGAATGAATGCCTGGGGAGAAAGGAGAATGCCGGTGGGGGGGAATGAGAGTGGTGGTGGTGATGAGGAAGAAAGAGATGAAGCTGGGGAGTCAAGAGTCAAGACTAAGTCATCCAGGGGTTGGAGGGCGTTGGGCGGCGCTACCTCGTGCCTGGTGCTGGATAATGCCAACGGCGAGGTACCCTGTGTCGAGGCTGGTGGCTGGTCAGAGGTACCTGATGGTTCTCGCCGTGGTGCCTGGAGGGTGGAGTTTGGAGAGGGATGGTACTTGCAGGTGGCAGGCGGCAAGCAGCTGGGACGGGGCAGGGGATTGGCTGAGGAAGGGGGGGGATTTTTTAGGGGCCATTTTAGTGGTGGCCTGGGCGGGTGGGGAGGACAGGTGTGATCAGGTACCAGTGCGACGAGTTTAATGAGGCGCGACAGGGGTGCCGGTGTAAAGGTGTGGAGAGGGAAAAAAAATTCGAGATGATTGCGCAAGAAGTGTTGGAAGCAGTTTACAGTCGGGGTAATGCTGAAGAGAATGTATAGGGAAATTCTAACAACGTCGGGCGCCCAAGTCAACTACTAACTATACCTCTGCCTTGCCTCAGGCAGAGAGGTACATACATACATAGGTCTTCTTAGGTCCCATGCAGGTACAGTGGCGTTAGTACCCGGGCCCGCCAGCGCTTAAAAACCGGTCGCCACTGGCAGGGCAGAGACGGTAGAATCCGATCAAGGCAGCACTGCAGCTGCAGGAACAACCTCATCAACTGCCAGTTATACATGAAAATTAATACAAGGTTGGGCGAATGGCAATAATAGCTGGTTTGAATACGGAGTGCTATTTGTGGAAAGTTTCGGTTCCTTGCAGCTCCTTGCAGCTCCTTGCAGCGAACCAAGGGGACTTTCATCGGCCCCTTTTCCTGTTCCCTCCCCTCCTACGCCGCGGCCCAGCGCCAGCGCCAGCGCCAGTGCCAGTGCCAGTGCCAGCCCCAGCCCCAGCCAGTGATCTTTTAGCGGGGGCTTTCAGTTGGGCTCCAGGGGCTACTACCTTAGGTACAGCGGCTCTCCTCTTGTCTGGCGGCGTTTGGCCCCTGCAAGGCCGCTCTAACTTACCAACCCATCCCTCATCCCATCACCGGCATCAAGCATCATCGCAGGTAACCAACTACGTACAAGTAGAAACAAGCATCATCCATCCTCGTAGCTTGCCTGGCATAGATATAGAGCATAGCCAAGTGTCATGACTATAAGAATGCACCGCAAATTTGTTATTAATAGAACCCCTAACCCTATGATCTTCGTCCAAGCCATCAACAGTGGCTGAACCCTCAGCATGGCTCCTGTTTCAACAACGTCTCTGCCGTTTCTCCTCTTCTGCCGTGCCCTTGCAGCGCATCCCATCCCCGACCGACTGACCGACGACCGGGGAGGCGGACACGACAATATGGCACCATTCATCGCCTCTTCGCTGGCACTGCACCGAGAGAAGCGCAAGGGAGGAAAAAAGGAAGGCGACTTGCCTCGCGTGAGCACGGTTGTTTCGCCTGGCCGATATGCAGGGATTATGCATGGCTCGAATCGTCGACGAGCGCTGGCATTGGCTGCCCTGCCCTGCCCTGCCCTTCCACGTTAAAAAAGCCCTACCTGCTACGTACGTACTGATACAGTACATACAACCCTGCTAGTATCATGCTTGTCGCGTGCGTTTGTTTCCCATGAGACTCTTTGCAAAGTTTTCGGGTGGTATTTTCCTTTCGGTACGGAGTAGTGAGAGATGGGAGGAAACAAACATCCGGGCGACGGCGACCCTTGATTTAGCCCCTGGGCCGCATTCCCCTTGGTTAGTTATGCATCTGGGTCTTGCAACGGAGACTCGTTGGCCGTTGGCATGCAGCTTGGTGGGCAACTGCTGCATAACTGTCGCTTTGCCGCATGAGATTGTCATTCTGTGCCCATACATAACTAAAGCTATTTTCTATGTAGTTCTTTTGGGCCGACACATCCCTTTCGCATTAATGGCTAGTTACATTACTGACAAGAAGAACAATGCAGACAGGAAATACGGTGTAGACAAGAAAAACAGCGCAGACAGTCGAGGCAAAACTACCCAGAAAGATCGAGGCTTGACAGAGTATGAGCAAGCTCGTCTTCCTCCTCGCCTATACTCTTCCCCGACTTCGTTGTCCTTTCCTCCGCGATCACATTGGCAGGATCTCTCGGGAAGTCCAAGAGATGGCCTCTGGCGGGCAAAGCTGGTTGGGCATTGCCCGAGGGCGTTGAGGGACCCGGGCTGCTTTTGGCGGATTCGCCCCGGGACAAAACACTCATACGGCCACTGCTTTTAGATCGGCCGCTCCCTTGAGTACCACCACTTGAGCTGCTCCCTCCGATGACACCTGGCGATGGGGGCCAGGAGGGCTGGTCGGAGCGACGTCGGTAACTGTAGCTTGGGGCAGGCGATCAACCACCGTGGTGGTTCCCATAAGTGGGAGCTTTTCCACGAACCACTGGGACTCCCGTTTCGGAAGAGCAGGAAAGACGGGAGCATTTAGGATCGGGTCATTTTCCACATATAGCGGGTGGTCTGTGATAGATTCGTCGGACGACATGGTTGCGGAGATAACTGGATGAAGGGAAGGGGCGAAGATCACGTAGGAAGAGGGGAGGGAATGTGGCGAGAGTGGCTTATTTAGAGTCTTGTTTAGAGAAGAGATTCAAGGGCAAGTCAACTTACATAGTACCTAGTTAGTTGATCAGCTAAACAGTCAGCAAAAACTCAAACAAGCGAGAAGTGAGGCGCAAGTGAAGCAAAGGTTCGCTGCCCACTAAGATAGGCGCCAGTATTTCGTTTGCAACTAGATGGCACCGCTTTGCTTCACAGCCCCTTGCCCAGGCTAATTTTCATTCATTGACTTCTTCACCCTTACCGTTACTGCCAGTCTCGTAGTTTTGTTGGAGGAAAAAGGCTGTTGGTCGGTGGCCAACAGGGTAAGTAGCCATAGTCACACGATGTTGTGGCAGACACAAGCCCATCACATCACTCTGTGCATCACATGCTGCAAAGCGTTGTATCAGATGTCGCTGAATGTCGTCAATCTATGCATCGTATGCTGCAGAGCGTTGTATTAAATGTCGCTGAATATCATCACTCTAGTTAGACCCCCATCTCATTTCCTAGCACAACAACGAGAACCATGGCTCTCAAAACAGAATACATCTACATTGCCCCTCTTAGGCCACCATATATTCATGTGTTACCTTTGGCGTCCATTCGTAAGCAAGCGAAAACTTGAGCCGGTAAACACGGCGTCCCAGGGGTTGTCCCACGTGCTTCCCGATCTAAACTGGGCAACGCGCCGGTTCAGGATAGAGATAAAGTTGCGAATCTCGTGGCGAGCATGGCCCTTCCAAGAATACTCGCCGAGCTGCCACCCCAGCTTTATGAAATAGCTCCAATATGTGGCCCTCTGTCCGAAGAACATGCAGTCGTCGGGGTCGCCGTGGAGGACGTTATTGGCGTTGTAGTCGTTGTCGTAGCAGCCCCGGCATTGACATTTGTCGTCATTGGTGAGAACCAGGTCCTCGTTGTACAGGTAGATAATCGTGTGAGATGACAAGCGCGCCGCGACCTTGATGAGGGCTTCGAGCTGGCTCTCAGCTCCGCTCGCGACTCTCACGTCATCGTCCAGCACCAGCCAGTCGTAGGAAAAGTTGATGCCGATGTGGCGCAAATCCTTAAGCGTCAACGGCCCGTTGAGTTTGTTAGTCTCTGATGGCTCTTTCTAGTGAGTGAAGGGTTGCACAACGAGCACGCCGGCAGAGGAGAACAACGACTCACGGGATTGACCGGACGTTCTTTCATGCGCTGCCGCGGGACGCCGGCACGCCGGAGCCGCGGTCGATGGTGCGCTTCGGGTCCGCAAAGGCCACGATGAAGTTCTCTGCTCAAAGATGAAGACGTCCTGAGACGTGACCATCGTCAAGCGTCGGGTGACGCCATGGTCGTCCGTCGCCAGCGCCGTCACCGTCTCGGCCGGCTCGGCGTCGGGCCGCGTCTCAGGAAACCGGCGCAGCATCGCCTGGCGAGAGTCGTAGCACGACTCCCACAGCCGCTGGGGTCACGGCTGAAACGGGACCCGAGGATCACGCGCCGACACGTCTGCAGAGTCCCGTCCGCCGGGCACACCTGGGCCTCATGTGCGCTTGGAAACGGACGGTCCAGGACGGCGGCGTCCCGGATCATGAGTTGTACTTCTGACGGTAAGCTGGGAAGGTGATGAAATGCGCGATGCATGGTTTCAAGTATTGTGTAATTGATAGGTTGATGAGTTGATGGAGTTGATGGAGTTGACGAAATCGGATCATGTCCTGCACAAGAGTTATCCAACAAGGCAGTGAGAGAACACGACAACTTCGACCACACTCGGTGAAAATGTGAAGATAATTCCCAGGCAGACGATTTTTCTGCCCTAATAGGAATTCTAAATCGGTCGACGAACCTTGACAGCAGGTTAGCAAACCCGGAGCTTCTATATCCAAAACCTTAATGTGATAGTAAGCGTGGTGCAGACAAGATATGCAATAGATCAAGTGTTTAAGTTAGAGATAAGCATGATAGCAGTGATATGAAAGCAACATAAATCGTGGCCTTGTGTCTCTCTGACTACTGGGAGCATTCGCCCACGAGCGTCAGGTCGCGACGCCTACATGAGACTACTGACTAAATACGAGCCGTCGAAGATAATGTTCTCTTTTTTCGGGATTCTTAGGGAATAAGCCAAGAGCTGTCGCGTATCTTCTTGCCAGTGTGCAAGATTTGCACAGCCCCGTGTCGAGGGTGGCAGAGGCCATGTTCAGTGGCCAAGGGGCTCATCATGTCTAGTGGCCAAAGGGCTTCATCCGTCAGGTTCGCAGGACATCCGCGCCTAGTAGAAATATAATAGAAGTTAATTGAACTTAACGGTATATACACGAAGTGGCGTTGTTTCTCGATGTGCTTGACTAGTCAGTCAACGCAACGGTTCTAGCCCCCCCTCCCCCCTTAGAACAGGCCCGCGTTCGGATAATTTTCCAGAATCTGCAGCTCATCCTGCATCAAGTTGAGGATATTCTCATATCCCGCCGTCCAGTCCATGGTACCAATCGTCGCCGGGTCCCAGTCCGGTGGCAGCATCGGCGGCATCACCGCCTCATCGCCGCCTGCCCCGACCACCAATGGCGCCACGCCCTGCTGGAAACTCGTCGCCGCCACCTCCGGTACCAGCACCGTCTGCTGCTGATAGCTTTCTTGCGCCGCTGCCGCCGCCGCCGCCGGCTGGCCAATCGCAAACTGTTGCTGCAGCAGGTCGTTGACGTGGTCCAGCGCCTGCGGCATCTCGGGAACGGCGACGTTGCTGTTGTTGAGCTTGAGCTTGACGCCGACGAAGAGCCCGGCGACCTCGCACATGACGTGGCACAGCTGATGGAAGCGCTTGAGGCGGTTCGACACGTCCAGCGCGTGGCTGAGCGACTCGATGAACTCCTGCAGCAGCACGAGGTCGTTGATCGACAGCGTCTCGAGGACGTGCCGCAGGATGACGAAGAAGGGCGCGAATGGGGTGTGTAGGATGGTCCTGTGATTCAATGTTAGCAAAAATTAGATTCCTAAGCTATAAGGAAAGAATCTTTCACGCACCAGTTGATGTAGCTCGACTGGGCGTACGGCCCCATGCGCATCAGGTGCATCGAGCGCTTGTGCGTACGCATAGCCCTGCGCGCCGCCTCGACACACTCGTTGCGAAACACCTCCTGCCCGTCCAGTGCCGAGACCGCCTGGTACACGAGCGTTAGGTTGATGGATAGCTGTATCTCCTCGCCGATGCGGAAGATCTCCGTCAGGATCGGCGCCTCCTGGTTCGCCGGGTACTGGCCCTGGTGAGCCTCGGCCTCGCGCAGCAGGCTGCGGCACTCGGCCGCCAGCGCCGTGGCGTGCGCGACGCGCGTGGCCGGCGGTGCGGCGCGGCCGAGTGGCGAGTATAGGTGCTCGTAGATGCGGCCCTGCGCGATGCTCGCGCGCACCCAGAACTGCGTCAGCCCCGTCGTGCTGTCCGGCACCATGGCCTCGTACTGGAAGCTGAACTCGCGCGGTATGTCAATGTCGTATTCGGGGATGCACGACCCGCGGTGCAGCCGTAGGCACAAAGCCTTGTCGAGGATGTAGACGTTCCAAAATAGTATGCGCTCGAGGCGGACGTCCTCGGGCGACTTGTGCGCCGACGCAGCCACACTCTGGAAGCCGGCCGAGATGCATAGCTGCGCGGCCGTGGTGCACAGCTGCCACGCGACGGCCGGCCGGGACTGGTCGATGGAGACAAAGGCCTGTCAAGCAAGTTTGTCAGAAAGGAATGCCTGGACCCGGGGGCGGGGGCGGTCTGCGATATCAGGGAAGGGGGACGTACGCCTAGTAAGATTCCCTGCACGTTTTGCGCCGTGGATGACAGCAGCAGCGGCAAGTTGGCCAGGCCGGTGTCGACGTTGGCCCGACAGAGCTCAGCGTGCGTCTTGTACTCGGCCAGGAGCTCCGGTGAGATGCCCAGCATGCTCGTCTCCTCGAAGATGTAGTACAGGATGGAGTTGATGAGGACAAATTTGACGCTGGAGATGTTGTCGAGGTGCGCGTACTCGCGCCTGCAGACGGCTGCAATGTCATCTAGGCCAATCGAAGAGCAGAGCATGGTAATCAGCGTCGGCGGCTTATCTATACTCATTAATATTAGTACAAATAATACAAAGACACCCCGCTCCCCATCGTGGCGCACGTACAAGTCAGCCTCTCCAGAGCCGTGAGGGCCACCTGAAGCGGTGGCATCTCCAGCTTGCCGACGCCGCCTGGCGGCACGGGCTTCTGCATCGGAAACGGCGAGCCTCCGGCGCCGCCGCCAGCGCCACTTCCACCGCTAGGGCTCGGGAGGTGGCGCTTGCCGAGTAGATCGTAGAGGCTGCCGAGCGCGGCGCCCATCTTGGCGTCAACGCCGTAGAGCGTGGTGCTGCGCACGGCCTGCTTGAGTAGCGCGACCGTGATGTCAGTCTGCACATTGAGCCCGCGGTCGGGCTCCGACTCGGTCGAGTCAATGTTGGCGGGCGTGTTGATGGCTGACGAGTCCGAGATGGTGACGCTCGCGTTAGGCGAGGCGACGCTTTCGGAGCCGGTGCCGGTACTACCGGGGCCGGCGGCATCGCGGCTGGGGGACCCGCGCTGGCTCTCGCGGCGCTTTAACAGGCGCTCGATGCTGCCGAGGCTGGCCTCGATCCTGTCAATCTTTTGCTCGCTGATGCCGGGATCGAGGTGTATTGCGTCAGTCTGGCTGGTGCCCATGTCATGGTTGGTGAGTGTGAGTCAGGAATACGCACTATAGCGATGAGATGTGAATGCGCTGCTTGCGCTGCAGGCCAGGGTTTTCGGCACCCGTTGTCGTGCATGTGCGCTTGGCCGACTTGCAACTGGAACAGGGCACCTTTTTATCACATCGCGTCTATGCGTCAAATGAGTGAGCGGTAAGCGTTCATTATCCACGCTGATTTGCTCGTCTGAAAACCTGACGCACCTTGCTACGTCTGCACTGGTCGCACTAAGGGGCCATGGCCGACATTAGCTCTCACGATCTTGTCAGTGAGTTTGGACTTGCAGTCTCCGTCATACCGCTCGGCGAGCCGGCTGCTCATTAGGTATGTACTCCGGCGTCGACATGCCGGCGACAATATCACTATGCGATCCTCCCGGGCCTTTGGTTTTGCTGAAAACCTTCGTTTGCGCATGCGGGTTTCGCTCAAGAGCCGTCGCGAGCCGTTTGGTTGCTAGAAGGCTAAGCAAGGATGCGGGGACACAACGATGGGTTGATTGATAAGCTGTCGGAAGCCTTGAGTCGATGATTGGCGGAGCTGTGTGTAACGAAGATGAGGGTCGGTCCAATCTGCGTATTTTATGAAAAGATGAAGAGGCCACAAGATGCCATCAAGATTTGGAAGAAAGCTATCCACTGCAAACGGCAAGTAAGTTTAGTACTCGATGGCCTCCGCCACAGTAGCCTTGCCTCGCCTTATGTACGCATTTTCTGTTGCACAGCCCCATCCCTGTCACTCGCTGTCCGCTTTTATTTATTCGTTAGTACATACATAGCATCGCCCACCCCCCGGCAGTGCACTGCAGATACCACAGTGTCCATGCAGGCATCATCGACCATACGAAGCCAACTAGCTCCAGCCTCCTGGCTATCGGCATCCATTCAAATGTCAAAGAATTGTCTTGGCATCAATCTCTCAGCCCTAGAGCCACGTAACACATAATTGTTGGCGCGGTAGAATCGCGCATCCAAAGGCCCTGCACGTGCAGCCGCCTTGCATCCTGCAGCCAACAATTATGCCGTCCGACGGGCTAATAAAACCTCACAATGAAGGAAATGACACGACAAATGAAATTGCTTTATTGTATCATGACGCCCTTTTGAACAAAAAACATGCATGCCTCTGTGCTTGGCTTTTTTCCTTTTCTTTGCTTCGCTTTCTATGCCCTCATACCCGCTTCTCCATCTCGCCCTTGATCCTCGTAATCGTGCCCGCGCCGCCGTACACCATGGTCGTGTACACCATGGCCACGCTCGCGCCTGCGTTGAGCACCTGCAGAGCCTGCTCGCCATTGGTGATACCTCCCGTCGCGAACAGCGTCTTGCGCGCAGCGTCGGCCTTCGCAGCGTCGGCCTCGGCAGCGCCGGCCGCCTCGAGCGCGTACGCGTCCATCATCTTGCGGTACCGCCCGACCAGGTCCAGCGTGCGCGAGAACATGGCCGGCCCCGAGTAGCCGCCCGTCTCGCCCAGCGAGCGCCGGTCCTTGGCTGATAGCGACACGCCCTCGGGCACGATGCCGGTGCGGCGCTTGGTCGTGTTGCCGACGATGACGCCGTCGACGCCGCTGCGGTGCACCGCCTCGACCACGCCCGCCATCTGCGCGTCGTCGTCCTCGTCCGGCGACACCTTGACCATCACCTTGGGCGGCGGCCGCCGGCCCTCCGTCCTGCGCGCCGCCTCCACCACCGCCGTCAGCAGGCGCGTCAGCGGCTCCGTCGCCTGCAGGTCGCGCAGCCCCGGCGTGTTGGGGCTGCTGACGTTGACGACGACAATGTCGGCGTACCGTGCCAGCCGGTTCACGCAGTACACGTAGTCGGCCGCCACTGCGGCCTGGTCCTTCTCGTCCGTCTCCTTGTTCTTGGCGATCTGCACCGCGAGCAGCCGGCCCTCAGCCAGGCTGCCCGGCGGCACGCGGGCCTCGCCGTTAAGTACCTCCTCCTCCGTGGCGCCAATCTCCCTGGCGAAGCGGCGGACGCGCGTGCGCAGCCTCTGGGCCACGGCGTCGGCGCCCTGCGAGTTGAGGCCGTAGCGGTTGACGAGCCCGTCGAGCCCGGGGACGCGGAAGCACCGCGGGCGCTCGTTGCCGGCTTGCGCGAGCGGCGTGATGCCGCCAACCTCGACGACGCCGGCGCCGAGGCCGAACAAGATGTCCGTCATCTGGCCGTCCTTATCCAGGCCAGCCGAGATGCCGACCGGGTTGTCAATCGCTGCGCCAAACACCTCGGTCGTGAGCTTGGAGGGCTCAGCATGGCGGGGCTGACGTTCGCGCGGGTGCAGGTTCGCCTCGTAGAGAAACTGTAGGACCCCGGAGCCCGTGTGGTGCGCATCCTCGGCGTCGGGGAAGAGAGTGCGTAGTAGCGGCGGGACGATGTGTTGGTGGAGGAGCGAGGCACGCGTGTCCGTGACGTACAGATAACCGACGTAGCCCGTCGCGGCGAGGGTAGTCGCATACAGGGCGGCTTTGGCGCGGCCAAGGCCAACGGAACCGCCAGATGAGCTCGAGGTGAAGCGTGCTGTCGTCTTCGGCGTATACGTACGAAGGTGCCCCTGCGCGGCCCGCGGTCGGGTGGGTAGCCGGTGGCAGGCTGACTGCCGAAGCGTGGGCATGGCCAACATGATGGCGTCAGGGGGGAGAGGACGGCCCGGCCACTGCTGTTGAATTGGCCTTTGTTTTCCGCGCGTCTGCCCGCAAAAGGAGGGTTGGTGTGCTGTGTGGTAGTTAACTAGGGCTTCCTATTTAGGAGTCAAGTTGGGGAGCTACCAAGGATCACGAGCTATTGTCGGAGGTTGAGGACAGTGTGGATTGAGAACGAAACTGTGCTTTTACACTGGCCTTTTAGCCCCGATTGATTGCCTTCTCGTTGCTGGTGCAATCAATGACTTTAAAGAATGGGTTCTATTTATTCTAATGACCTTGGTTGAACCAAGTGGATGGATACAACGCCAGTGTGCATTCGAGTTACCAGAGAGCGTGTTTTCAAGGACGTTTTAATCAAGTCACCAAGCATCGCTCACCAATGCAATCGGCTGCAGGCAGCTACGTAGCATATATACATGTCAAGCTTTCATAAACCTTTCGCCGGCCATCTCCAATCGGGGAGTGACGTGAATTGTAGCCGCGTTTTCTGTCTGTCAACGGCGAACGTTGGCTGTGGCTGGCTTACCAAATCTTGCCACGCATCTCCTGTTCTCGTGGTACTGCATGCCTAGCCAGAACAAATTCGCATTCCCGGCGATTATGAGTGAGCATCCATCAGACAGCCAGCTTACGAGCCAATCGCGAAACTGAATTAATCCGCCAAGACGTCGCGCAGGCGCAGCGCAGCCTTTCCACATTAGCACTGGATGTCTAGATTTTTTCGTCACATGCATTTTTTTCGGGAAAGTGGCCGAGAACTATTTCTTGCCATCGGGATTATCTGGACCCGTCCTTTTGTCGTTTTCGTAATTGTACAACCAACTTGCCGCAGCGTACCGTCGCTGTAAATTTTTGCAGGCACAGTTACCAGGTATGCATGGACCTGCGTTTTGTACCAGCATAACTATTCTGTGATTGTAGACTAGCCTGCCAACTGCCTGCCAGCCAGGCACAACTCGATGTGGCTGTGCCTGTGGCGGCGGCGACGACGACGGAAGCTGGCCGTTTTGTTCCTATTTGCTGGAAACTTTTAGGGTACAGCGCTAGCTCTAATTCGGGTCATTCCGTACTCAGTACAGCGTTGGATCGTACTGCCGCCTGGCCCCCGCCAAATCGCATCTTCGGCCACATCCGGTCCCACGTCTGGACGGACGGCCGGGCGTATGTACAGTATGTATCTCGTTGCGCGCCTGCTGGTCTACGGTAAGAGCACGGAGAGACAGGAGGCGATAAATATCACCAGTGGCGCTGCGAATCGTGGCTCGAGCGGGACATGAAGTCGATCTTCCGAGGCTTAGATGCCCTTTTTTGCCAGCAGAGTTGTGAAGCGCCGGCCACCACAACTCCATGAGCAGTCAAATCACTGGCGCCTGGTCAATTGAGAGCAGGTAAGTTGATAGTTCAATTGTAGACGTGGTTTCTCATTATCATTACAGACCTGGATTCTCTCAAACCAAGATAGAGCTTCGATAGAAACGCCTTCTTGCATCTAAATATCCCCCTATTATGCAGCCTGTTAAAACGCGAGCGACTTATGTAGTCTCTGACATGGGGTGTCCGTTCGCGTACCCGACTCCCAGGATCATCCGCATACCTCGAATAAAAGCCCGCAACTTGCCTCATGCAATTTCTGATTCGATGTCCCAACTAGGTGTAAACTCGACGTTGCCTTGCCTCAGTGGCCGCGGCTTCCTCCGCCGGCAGCTCCACGATCTCCTGGTGCAGTCGTGGCATCGAGCTGTGGAGCTCCGGCGCCCCGTCGAGGCCGCTGATGAAGTGGCTCAGCCGTGCAGAGCCGTCTGAGAGCTGCGACACGACGCGTCCGGAGGCGTCGCTCCCCATCATCAACGACTGGCGGGGATGGCGGGGATCCGTGCCCTCCAGCTCCGGCGTGTATGCCCAGTCGCCGCCCGCTGCCGCCGCACCTCCTTCCTCCCCTTCAACGGCACTGCCAGTCTGGCTCGCGGCCTGGCGTCGACGTCGGCGTAGCAGCGTGAATATGCCCAAAAAGGCAAACACGGAAAAGAGCGGCACGCAAACCCCGATGGCCGCTTTTGCGCCGACTGATAAGTCACCGCTGTTGGTAGATGAACTACTGCTTGCAGGTGAGCTGTTGCTTGTAGCTGCGCTATTGCTTGAAGATGAGGAGGCTGCAGTTTTGGAGCTCGGTAGGTCGTTTACGAGGATGATGCAGGGGCCTGTTGCGAACAAGCTGAAGGTTGCGTTGGAAGTGTATGTCCCTAACACAGTGCCGCAGGCGGTGGCATTGGCGGTGATTACGTCGCCCGAGGTTGCGGAAGATTTACAGCCGTATTGATTGTTGGGGTCGCAAGTAAACCCACTGTCGCGTGGATGCTTCTGTCAGCTATGCTATAAAAGACAGAGGCTGTCTTCGCCTCTTACTTTCGCTGCTTGAGGTGCTTACCTGCGGCAGCAGCCTGTTGCAGCCTGCCCGGCCTTGAGCAGACCGCCCGTCGTCTCAGCATTAAACTGACCCGTCTTTCCCGTGCCTAGGCCTTCCGCGATCAAGAAATCCGCCTGCCTTGAAACTCCACAGGCAGGCCAGTAACCCGTGGGACAAATGGTGCCTGGAGAATACACAGGGAGTATCCGAGGCACCGGGTTCGGAGCCCGAGCAGCAACACCAAGGGCGCTGGCGGCAGAGGCGAAGAGGGGTGGCAGGCAATCTGTGGCGACGCGCGTACTGGATCCATCACAGGTTTTGGCGTAATCAAAGCGGATAAAAACCGACTTGGTGTTATCCCACGCTGTGCTCGCCGTGAGGGAGTCGCAGCCTTGTTTGGGCGTGAATGTCGTAGTCAAGGGCCCTAGATTCGCCGTTGCGTAGGACGGTAGGTCACTGCGTATTGTGTATGTGTATGTTGCACTTTCTGCAGTCGGGCTTGCGGTTTCAGTGCGCGGGACAACGAAGCTCATATTGATATGGGCTGAGAAATGAACCGGGAGAAAAGAGCGTTGCGCTGGTTGGCAGCCAGCTGCAATGGGCTCGAATAGCCTCCTCTGGGGATTGCGGATTCATCACGGGACGAGGCGGTGGAGCGTGGCAGCCGCTTCACAACGAAATCAATAAAGCGAGGAAGTAAGGAGACCCGTCGTGATGGATCACAAAACTGAGGGTGCTGAAAGACGAAATGCAAACAAAAGCGGGGTAGCTGCAGAGGTGTTGTCGAGCGCCCGCTCCGCAGCTTGTTATAGGTCAGACTTTTTTCTCATGACTCCACCTTAGCGGGCACCAAGGACGGGCGATGGCCAATCTATTTTACGATCCCAAGCTGTCTCGAGGCTAGCAAGCTCCTGTGACAAGCACGTTAGTAGAGCAGACAGGCACCTAACTAGTAGTTAAGGAAGCTCTGGATGGAGAACCCACGCGAGGCCTAACTAGACTTTGGTACTGACTGCTTGCCAGTGCTCGCTGCCTTGTTCCTCCCGCTCCCGAATGCTAAACAGCTCACTAAATGCCGCCTACGTAACATGACGTAGCAGTTCTCGAATTTCGAATCCTCAAGACACGACTAAACTTTAAATTTTCCATGGTCCTAGTCCCCAGCTTTTTTTCTTCGGACAAAGCTGCCCGTTGGGGTACATGGGGCCCAAGTGCTCGCACGTACACGTGGAGGTAGAGTTCTCATGTCCGCCTTGATTAGCCTGGGCTGCAATCTCCTCCCCTTGAGCTTTTCTGTTCGTTTTTAGTCCGCAAGAGGTGTCTTTTCATGCTCAATCCCGTCAATCTACATCCATATCAATAGGCCATTCCTTCGATACCCATAGATATACTAGAATAGCAGAACAGAGTACAATCACCCCTAAACCCTAGCTTCATAATAGTAGTGGGTAAAAGGCGTAGTATCGGGATTTTAAAAAAAGATTTATCAAACTAAGCTTTAGAAATATTTGCCATGTTTTTATCCTGTGCCTGAGTTCGAGAAACCTGCTCGTGAAGACTACTCTCGTTTTTTACCTCAGTAGACTGCTGCCCGTCATATGTGTTCGTATCACTACCCCCAGCTGAGACATTGCTAGAAGCAGGCACGGCAGATACTGGATGAGAGATGTTCTCGCGAAAGGGGTGCTTTATCCCTGTGTCTACCTCGCCAATGTTCGTGGACCTATGGGCTTGCGAAACGGCATGATCACCAGAGTCGAAATAAACCCTTTCCTGCGCAGGCTATCAGAGTTTGCCACGCAGGGTGGTAAAGCGAAATGATTGCTTCCGGTTTGGCTTACCTTTAGCTGGCCTTTAAGTAGTCTGTTTCTGGGCAGCTTGTCACCGTACAAGGCGTGAAGACGAGACTCTCTCGCGATTTGTGGATTTTCGCTCTGGTATTCGGCCATGCTGATGCCAATATCAAAGCATGAGTCGAGTTACGTCGCCAACTAGCTTCAATGCAATACTATATATGGCTGATCAAAAGTCGCCACTTCCACGACTATATGCGGTACGGCGAGGGCATTAAGCCAATCCCGTCTGGTTCGGCAAATATAGTTGGCGCCGGCAGATCGCGCACTAGTAACATCACTCGCCACTTACCCACTTCCCGTGATCCTTGTTGAAAAGTTGAAATGCTTGCGCCGTGCAGAAATCAGTGAGCTTCGCCGACGTCACCAAAGCGGCAGTGCGCTAAGCGCCGCCTGGCCCAACCATAGCTAACGTGAAGGTCGGAAGTCGTAGCAATTCATTGGTGTAAATGTGCTAACGCAAGCCCGGCGGTTAAGGTTTGTCTTGCCACTCCTATCACTAAGTAAGACTCCGCCAATCACAATTCTCCCAGGGGTTTGCCTGTCCTGGGTCATCAGACAACCCGTCATTCCAATCCTGACTCTTAAGTTATCATGGAGGAGCTATCCAGAACTTTTTACTTATCTCATCCTGTTGTTTTCAGGTTAATATTCGCACGTGCTTCATTTCATTGTTGCCCTTCTCTTCATTAACTCCAACTTTCCCGCTTGACGATGGGAGGGGGAGACACTGTGGCATTCCCCGAACAAGCCAATCTTGGCCACCTCGATGAGCAGCATCGAACCAGTTTCATTAAAGCACTCCTTCGCATTTTTCATACAGAAATTGTAGAGCTTACTTATGCTAAAATATTAGATGGTATTCCTACGTCTGCTTCATACCCTGGAGTTTTACTATTAGTAAGAGGGTCACCCGGTAATTAACCACAAAGAGCTTTATCCTGGTGTCCTTGACCGTACCCGCCAGCTTCGCGATCAGTTTGACACAATAACGCTGCGTTTCTCCTCATTTGTAAGTTGAATTCAATCCTCGATAAGATACTATTGTGTTTAGTGTTAGCTTACATACTATCGTAGCTCCTATCATCCTTCTAAGCTGCTAAACTGGGCATACGGGCCTTCTCACTAAGACTCATCGAGCTTCTAGCCGTATCGTGCCACTAAATAGCAGTGTATGTATTTTAACAGAAAGAGTCCCGTCACGCACACAAAGAATATAAACGATAGAGAGACGAGCCTTAGGATCTAAACCGATAGGACTAGTATCGTGCGCTAATAGCGCTTTGCCACTACTCATATCTTACGAGTGAGTAATACCCAAACAGTATTACGGATGTAGTAGGCTACTAGGCTGAAGTAAGAATATTTAGTGGAGTTGTTTTGTTTAATAGAGGCGAAACACACAGTGAGGTGAGCATCCCCTCGTCTACATCGCCAGACTGTAACGCTGACCCCGTCCTCAGTGCAGGGAATTGTACTTGCACTCGTCTCTGAGGAAAGGACCTCGGACACTATATCCCCCTACATCTATACAATCTGACAACCTCATGCGATTCCTGTTCGGCGAGGTAGAGTCGGGTTGCGCGACACCTAACCCAGCTCCGCTTCCAATTCTTGCTTCCGCGGGCAACCGTTGGCGCTGGGATGCCTGGGAAGCCTTCTCGCGCTTTCACATATTCCGCGATAGATATGAGCGGAGGATCCAGCCCACCACCAAGCCTCGGAAGGACTGCCGGTCGGCAACGGATTGGCCCGAAATTGCGGACCAGCTCTTTCTTCTCAATGCCATGCATGATCGCCAGGAAGGCAAGCCGGTGCACGAGGACGAGGTTAGAGCTGCGGAAGAGCGTCTTCGACAGATAACACCTTTCCCCCGTCTGGCATGATAAGAGTAGCGCTTAGGCATAGGAGTAATCACAAATCGGTAGGCAAAGAGCCCGCCACCATTGATCAGCCTCCTCCACCATACGTCGAATACAGGGCCAGTGGACATCGCGCACCCAGCGCCCCAGATACTGTAGGGTCCGGATGATCTGGTAGATACCCCTCGTGCTCGACGTGCTCCCACTGGCCAGCTTCCTCCAAAAACCGTCTTAGGTCCATCAGCGGTCGTGATGACAAGGAACCAATCGTGGCCCGAGACCACGAGGCCAGCAAGAAATGTTGGCAGCCGAGCGGCGTGCAAATGGCCATGGTTGCATCGCCCTCGGCCGAATCGTCTATGGAGATGTCTCCGCCGCCAAGAGTCCATTTAAAATCAACATCTGACTACGCAACTTGGAAAAGCGCGCGCCTAACTAACCTCCTCACGATGCCCTTACTATCCTCAAAGGCGGTAATATTGGTAATAAGCCGACTATTAAAGGACTCTGCTAGTATAAAGACGGTATAGGAAGCAATAGTAAAGAGATAGTTATAAAACAGCTAGAATATAGTAAATATATTCTCATAATAACTGAATTAATTAACTTACTTAAAAAAGAAGTCTTTTTTTGAACAACTCTGAACAATAATCTTACCTCTTTATAGTAACTCTTTTATATATAACACTCTATAGACTATAATACTATAATGGACTACTGTTTTTTACTCTCTCTTTTTTTACTCTCTATTTTTTATTATAGCTAAAGTCTTTTATACTTGTATTAATAAAACTAACTATATAACCAACTATAAGCCTAAAGTGAAGATAGAGACTCTTTATAGGAAGATGTCTTATAAATCATTGTTTTAATATGTAATATTACTACTCTAGTAATAGTAGATAATAGATTAAGAGATTCTATATTTTTATATAAACATAGAATATAACGTATAGTAAAATAGCTCTCTATAAACGTAAATAGGATTAGAAGTAATTAGTTATAAATAGCTTTCTTCTCTCTTCTTAGTAAAGTATAGTATATGTTTTTCTAACATTCAATGATTCTCGCTGTCACTAACATATCCGTGCGGGGGCGAAGGCCATAGCAAACCCTCCACGTCAGGCTCGTGCGTCTCTATTTCGGCAAGTTTCTGAAAAGTTGAGGTCTTCCTAGCATCACTATCGGGGAGAGAGTTGGCCAGAGATAATGGAGTATTGCCGCTGCTATCAGAAGCGTAAATATTAGCTCCTCGTTCAAGTAGTAGGTGTGTCACGGGCTCAAGGTCCCCGGTAGTTGGGTAGGGTGATACTCTGACGACTGAATGTAGTGGCGTCTCGTCGTCATGGTCTGTAGCGTAAATGTTGGCACCCAGGTCAAGGAGTAGCTGCGCTATGGTTTTATTTCCCTCTGAGGCAGCCAAATGTAGTAGCGTTTTGCCGCCATGATTCGTAGCGTACATGTTGGCGCCTCGCTCGTAAAGGAGTCGCCCTACATCCGGACTTCCCCTTTGGGTAGCAAAGTGTAGCGACGTATTGCCAGCAAGATCTGTGGCGTGAATGTTGGCGCCATGGTCAAGGAGTACCTGTACTACTGCTCTAGATTCTCCTTGAGCAGCCAAATGTAAGCTGCTCATACCATAGCCAGCTACCACCGCTTCAACATCAGCGCCATAATTAAGGAGCAACCGTATTACAGCCTCATGGCTCCTGCTTATAGCAAAGTAAAGTGCTGAGAAACGATCGATAGTTTCCGCTTTGATGTTGGCACCTTTATCAAGGAGCAGCTGCGCCGCGGTTTCGTGCCCCCTTCCAGCAGCGTAAAGTAGTGGTGTATACCTTTTTTCATCAACCGCGTCAACATCAGCGCCCCTAGCAAGCAGTAGCTCTACCATGGCCACATGTCCGTTCTCAGCAGCGAGAAGCAGTGGCGTAGATTTGTGGTACTTGGCAACCACCTCAGTATCAGAGCCATAATCAAGGAGCAGCCGTACCACCGCCTCATCTCCCTTTTCAACCGCAACATGCAATACCGAGCCGCCAAACTTTGTTACCCTTTGGAACTCAGCACCTCCTGCAAGGAGCATTTGCACTACGGCTACATGTCCTTCTTGTGCAGCGTAATGCAACGGCGTTTTGCCAGCGGTGGTGTGGACATCCACATTGACTCTGTTAGCAAGGAACAGCGACACCATCGACTCTTGCCCTTTTCTGGCGGAACAATGTAGCGCTGTCAAGCCAGTTCCATCAGGCACATCAGCGCGGGCTCCTTTATCAAGCAGTACTTGCACTGGGGTGTCAAGTCCACCCCTGAGAGCACAACATAACGCGCTCGCGCCATCCATTCCTTTCCAGTCAATATTGTGATTTATTCTGGCAGAAGCCATCGCAAAGGTAACGACTTGTTCATCGCCGGCGGCCACTAAATTTCCAAACGTGCCCTTCCCCTTCGAAAAAGCGAAGGCGCGTCCTGTCCCGCTTCGCTTGTTTATATCCTGATCGTATTGCTCGCACAAGCTATGAAGGGGAGATGTTGGCGGCTCTGCATCCGCCTGGGCCTTCAACAGCGTGTAGACTGCCTGGCGACTATTGGTAGCCACTGCTGCCAGAATCGGCATGCCATATTGGTCCTCACCCTCCACAACTTCAAACCCACATAGTTTGTTAGGGTGAACTTCAATTAGCTTTGCCGCATTGTACTCTGCGAGAAAGTATAAAAGGCTTGTGGTTGGCAAATGAACACGGCGTCCATGCTGCTCGAATATAGGTTCAAACTTCAGCCAGCCAGCAACGTCAAAGCTGTGGAGAAAACTCTCTTGATCAACGCCAAAGCGTGCTGCTTCATTCGCATGGTGCAGAACTGTCCGAAAAGCGTACTCCAAAAGTGGAAATTTCGTTTCCATCGATTCACAGAGCTTTCGCATCGAACCGTGAACGTCCCACTTCCAACCCCATCTATCAGACACCGAGAAAGCTGGCCTCCCGGACTCAAAGTCAACACTTCGTTCGGCAATTCTCATATATTCAATACAGCACTGCTTCGGTCGCTCGTGGCTTTCCCCGCGGAAGTCCCTTCTAAGTCCAGGCCAGATTCTCCTCAAGCCGTCCCTGAGAAAGAATTCTCTGACTGGCTCGTGAATAAATTGAACCTGCTGTTTCCGTTGGGACTTGTTGGCCTCGACAAGCCCTTTGGAGGAGCTTAGGATGAATCTTGTCGTATCTGCATCTCCAGTTTCGTCCATGTTCTGGTGTGATGCTGCGACTGGATCAGCACCGACCAGAATCGCCACATGTAGCTGCTCTTTTCGCAATGGCTTTCTGGCGAATAACACCCACTGAATACACAGAAGGAGTTCAGCTTGATGACGACTGTCGCGAGTCAGAATATCACGGAAAAGATCATTCAGGTCTCCCGGAATATCTTTTAGCCTTTGTTCGAGCATATGGGTATAGCCGTCGTCATGCTCTTGCTGCAGAATCCCTATCACGAGGACGACCCAAATAAAGATTCCTGCTGACTTCTCTATGAGTTGCGTCCGGATTTGCTCAGCACCCTTATCACGTCCAATACTTAGCTTCCCCTTCACGTAGCTAATAATATCCTGATCATGGCCGTGCTGTTGTCCAAGATCTAAGCTGAGCCCTTTCGAAATAGCAATATGCGGGTAATGTCTACTGGAAAGGCAGACTCGGAACGATATACCCAGGGCTACTGCCATTTCACCCACATCCTCGAAGAAGGATATCATGTTCCGAATCTGTGTGACGCCACACTCATCCAAAGCGTCAATAAAGCAGGTCAACGGAGACTGCTCAAGATTCTGAACGGCGTTTTCAAAAAGTGACTTGAGGGACTCGATGGACCACTGCGGAATATTCCCACTCCGTGCAGCTCGTCCAAGAGAGCTGAAGGCGGTTTGAAGTCGCGGTAGTTTCTCAAGAAGCTGGAACAGCAACGATCGATACATGCCGATGGTCGATTGTTCAAGCTCATCTCCCCGGGCATTAAAGAAGAACGATATGAAGATGCCCCTGTTTGTTTTCTGGGCTTTATGTAGAGCAGACTTCATGAGTGTCGACTTTCCCGCCCCTGGATGTCCTTTGATCCATAGCAATCCGTGATGTTCGGCGAGCTTGTCGGGAGATTCAAACCAGTCGATATACTCGGGCGTTTTAGCTAGCCATTCGCAGGGTTTTCCATATGCTTTCTCGATGGTGTTATGTCGACTTTCGATTTGATCAAATGCCAATGATTTCAGCAGCGCCTCTTTTTGGTCCTCATCGAGACTTTTCCTGTTGTGAATGTGACTCTGGATTGGCGAAAGATCCTGAAAATTCGGCACTAGGGCGCTCAATGCGTGGAGACTTAGTTCTCCCATCCGTAGTAGACAGAGAGCTGTCATTAAGATGTCGCTTCGGTTTGCTGAACACCTTGTCCACTGCATCTTTCCCCACCATGGGTCAGTTTAAACTCAAATATTTGAAAAGAAGTAGTTGCAATTTCTACTAACCATTTCGCATGACTTGTCCCTCAACCCGCACAGCGACTTTGGGCGGAATCCGGGCCAACACGGCCTTTGCATAGGCAGCAGCCACCGCAGCCGCATACGGTTGCCACTGCTTGTTCTTGTGTTCATCTCCGTAGTCGCAGACTCCTCGAATGACGCCGACGAGAATGCAGGTCATAACTCCAGCCGCCTCCATTTCAAGACCAAGGATATTGAACCTGTCGGCTGAGCTCATTACGTTTCTGAGAATGTTTCATGAGCTTCTCCCCAGAACCAATCGGCCCATACCAGATACGGGTCCTCATGGAGTCTGGCCTTCGTTCGCGTGTTAGGGGACGCTTATTTTCCTCGTTGTCGATTTGATATAGCGTATCATTTTCCTGCCCTGGGTCGGCGAAAAAGCCCTCCAAGTCTTTCTCTCGCAAGTCCTTGTAGTAACGCAAAAACAGGTCGGTATCGGCTCCCTCGAGCATAATGTCGTTAATAGCTGACAGAATAAGTGTATCTGTCGGGAGCAACGCATGACCGTAACGTAGAGTCTGGAACCCATCTGAGCCGGTTTCCTTGCCTAACTCGTAAGCAGTGACACCGGCGTTGTCACCCTCGGGCAGGGCAACAAGAACATCGCCAAGGCGAATATCACGTGGCGGGTCGCATTCGAAATTGGGGAAGCCTGCTGCGACGCCAACTAGCAGACTAAGCCAGAGTCTTGGGAAGGACTTCTTGATATGCGTCGCAACAGCAGCTGCAGCGCCTGTGCCGTACACTTGACCGCGGGGGATGGTGGCGACGATAACATTATGACCGCATACCTCGCCAGCTTTGTAAATATAGCTGTCACCACGGCTCACGCCAAACTGACCATCGTGACGCTTGTCTATCTAGTAGCTTTAGGGCAGCCTCTGTCTCGATTGGAAGCGGAGCGATCCATGCGATCGTGTATGCCTCTGGGTCCAACAGATTCATGGCGTCAGAGCACTAAGACTGGCGGTAATAATGGGAAGTGCGCTTCTGCATTGCGCTCTGGGAAAAGGGGCAACAGAACCGAGCCAGAAGTGTAGATGCAGGTGCGACGAATGCGGGGTTTTGAAAGCAGGCTGCAGGTCGCCTGGCCCAGCTGAAGGAGGCCGCCTTACTGACCTGCTTTTTCTCAGTGAATATTCTCAGTGCTTAGCTGAGCTTCGCCACATGCAGGTTTTAGGCTTGGAGAAATAACTACCCTACTATAATAGTAGGGGTTGTGTCGTCCGAGGGCATGATTTGTCGCATAGAGCAGGTGGTGAGAAATCTCTTCTTGACAGTTGTTATACGCTGTGCTGGTCCTCGCTGGGCGGTGCCTCCGTGTGCGGCCGTGGACGCCTAGGCTATGGTAGCCTGACTGGTGCTATTTGGCAAGAAAGCAACATGAGGCACATCAGTCATGTACAAAAAGGAAAGGCCATCATCTAGGATTGTGCCACAAGCACAGTGGGCGCAACCAACATCGACCCCCCTCTCTGTGTAGAAGGTGATGCGCAATTTCACGTCCATGTTAGTATCAGACAATCCCTTTATGCATCGTCCAGGCTCCGAGACACAACAACTGTCATGCCCTTTCATCTGCGGGCAACGCCCGCCACTACTCCCGTGTCAGGGCATGCTCAACCTCGCCCAGCTCCGTTCCCGGCAGCGGCTCCTCAAACTCGACAAAAAACGTGCGCACGTACGCGAGCCCGCAGCTTGCCATGGTCGCGCGCGACGCCGCGTTAGCCGCCATCGTGTCGCCGCGCGCCCTCTGCAGCCCGAGCGCCGCGAACCCGTGCCGCACGAGCGCCCGCGCCCCTTCCCTAGCCAGGCCCTGCCGCCAGAACTTGAGGAGCAGCCGGTAGCCCAGATCCGCCGCCGTCGGGTCCGGCGCGCCGTCCCCCCCGCCGGACGGGCGACAGTGCCCACCACCCAACGAATTCGCCGCCGTCGACTGAAAAGCCAGACCAGGCACCAGGCCGGCCACGAGCGTGCCGGCTGCCAATCGTGCGGCGTGGTCGTCGGTGGCTTCTCGCTCGGTGAGCGCTCGACCGTGTATAAATCGGGGGACTTTACGATACGAGTTGAGCTCTTTGAAGTGGACGAGGTGCGCCTCGTTCAGCGGCTGAAGATGCAGCCTTGGTGTACTCATAACCTTTGCGCCATGTTGTGTGATGGTAGAGATCTTGGCTTGGGGATTGCATTGGGGGCCTGAGAGGATAGAATGGAAACTCAGCTTATCAGATACATCGCCGTGCACGCCGGATGAGTCATTCGGGATGGTAGTGACAAAGGCCCGTCAATCGAAGAGAATACAACTCAAAAAGTACATGTTACTTTTGAAAAGGACTGGACGTCGCAGAGCCTTATGAAGGTGCCTTTGAGTTTTTGTGAGGTCCAACGGGGTGTTGCTCCTCCCCAACATTACTCCGCTGTATGGGATCGCGTTAATAAGTGGACCATGCCGCAGGGTTTCATCTTACCAAGGAACGCCGAAAACAACGGCCATAAACAAGTGCGTCTTCTTATATAAGCACCTTATTAACCCCAACTTGATGTACACTCCACTATGATGTTAACACTATTTATCACTATCTATACTACGGGAATGCTAGTCATCCCTCGCATTAAAGCCTTAATTCATAATCTCGACAGGGCTAATTCCATCTCAGCTCATCTTCATCACTATAATAACAGCCATACGAGTATACGTTTGGTGTTTTGCGAGTCTTGTCTGCCTAACGTCTTAACATATCTTCCTCCTTAACATATCTTCGTCATGGCGGATCTGCAAACTGTTGCCATTGCCGGTGCGTCGGGCAACTTGGGCTCCAAGATTACGGAATCTATTCTTCAGTCATTGTACAAGAATAAGTTCAAGCAGATTATCATTCTGGCGCGTTCTCAGTCGGCTGCCGTTGAGCGACTTGCATCAATGGGTGCAATCGTGAGAATCTACTCGGAGAAAAACCTCACCAGAGTTCTATCCGATGTTGATGTTTTAATTAACACGTACGTGTCGTTTTTCTTTTAGCACGTTGGCGTGCTGATCAATTTACTCATTCTAATACTGTCCTCAGAGTCGGCCCGGCTGGACACCATTTCAAGGAACAGCTACTACACGCCATTCTAGAAACTCCAATCAAGCTGTACTTTTTGTCCGAATTTGGTGTCAATCACTATATCCACGACTTTCCTCATCAAGAGTGGGATGAGAAAAAAGCTCACTTTCAGCTTGCGCAAAGCCTCCTAGGCTCCCGCGTACAATTGTGTCGAGTTTATGCCGGGCTTTTTCTCGAAGACTCCATCGGCCCGTGGTTTGGCTTCTTTACCAAGGATGCAAAATACGAGGCTGTCGGATCTCCCGAGCAGCGCACATCCTACACAAGCATGTACGATGTCGGCAAGGCGCTGGCCATGCTCGCATCGAGCCCCCACGCCTCCGTTCCGTCCGAGGTGCAGCTCAGTGGCGATTCGAAATCCATGACGGAAATCGCGCAGATCATGGAAGCACATGGCTCGCCCACCATTCAAGTGACCAGTGTACCGCTCCCACCTTTCAAAGACAAAGTACTAGCGGAACCTATCCAGACGCCGGAGCGCAATTTGCGCTTCTTGATGGGAGACGGCAAGATTGATCACTCGCTACAAGGCATGGGCAATCAGAATAGTGTAATTGAAAATGCGCAAGACGGCGACTTTACCTGGAGAAAAATCGAGAGCATAGCAGAGGCGACCAAAGGGTTGCCGTGGGCTGACACACCATGGGCTGAGGCATGAATCGGCGCAACTACGACCCACGCCAACATTTTCAGTTTTTCTTCTAAATACAGCCGCAGACTTGATACTTTGAAGCCGCTATAATCGGTCAACCTAGAATCGACCCTCCTCCACTATGGTTGCACCGTGTGATAGAGCATTATATTGTCTTTATGCAGGAACATGGGACTCATTAGGGGTTCAATATCCCTAGAAGACAGTATTTTTTTCGCCCTTGATTCGGCCTACTCGACTTGGCAACCCTTTTAGCCTCTGTATGTCCGTCTGCCTGTCCGCCACAGACGCTTGCATTCTGCCATGTCTCGCCCCTTCCACGGAGATCACGTGCTGAAGATGATTCTCATGAATTATGTAATGGGTTTAATGTGGGCATTAAGTCAGAGAGCAAATAGCGTAGGAGGAGTCAAAATCAATTTAGCTATCTTGAGGTTGTTTCTACTTTTTTCGCTCGTAGCGACGGTTTGATCTTTTTCTCCTTTTATAGGCCACTGAGCCCTAGTGTGTGCCCTAGTTTGTTTCTAAGGATTGAGTCGGCTCGGCTGTTTTCGCCACAAGTGGCTGACTCACGCCACACGTGCCTCCACTTATATCACAACAAAGATAGCAGCAGTAGGCATTTGTAACAGTTCCCAGTAAGTTGGGAGGTCACCGTCGGGACTAATAAAAGGCTTGGAAGGTGCAGGTGGCTGAGTCGCCAATGTCCTCACGAGAAGTTAAGATGACGCTAGCCTGGGACTCGCATGTTGTACGCTTTTGACACCAGCGATGACAATATTTGCACTATTCTTTTTATATATATATTATTTTATATTTTTTTTTATCAATAATAGACGCGCCAGTCAAGTAAGCCAGCCCCATCTCGGCTTCTCACCGAGTTCAATTCTTCAGCATCCATGGCGAACAAGGCCCCCATCGTCGGCTAACCTGACCTTTGCCACCACACACGTACACCCTGAGTCGTGTGATAGCGGAGTCATATAGCCCGTTCATTTATACCAGCACTCCGGGCTGTCAACTCCAAATAGCAACCTGCCCCAGCATCTCCAGGATCCACGACCCGCGTGCCGAATTAGGCCGGGACGTCTTGCCGGAGTGGCTGGTTTCGACCGGCTGGCCAGTAGTTACTCGACACGACGACACTAGTTGAACGTGGGACAATGGTAGTTTCAAGACCAAGAAAGCGAGGCGAGGCGTCAGTATAAGCAACCAAAGGAGAAGAGAAGACGGATTAAAGGGGATATCTCACATTTGCATAGCTATTCTTTTTAAAGATATTTTAAACAATACAACATCTTCCTCTATAACCCGACGCGCTTCTCGCTCGGCCGTCCTCCATCTCTCGACCAGTCGTATGTTCACTCCCCACACTCATCACCGTCACCTTAAATTTATCTGCTCACCGAAAAGCCACGTGGAACGAAAGTCCAAGCATCTCACCGAAGTGCATCTCACCGAAATGCATCCATATTTGCCATTGCTGGCCTGATGTCGCTGCGGACATGGCGCGGCCGCCGGTGCCCAAGATGGCGGGCATTCTGGCAATAACGGCCACCACTAACACCAACGGCTCCAGCATTTCATACTAGCCAAGGCCGTGCATGGGGGAGGCAAATCATGAGCGCGCAATCAGTCTGTTGTACCGTAGTGCCTCTGAGTATAAGTAGAGATGTGATTCCGTAAAAACTCAAAGGGGGGGAGCACACTAACACTCATACACGATTGCTGCTTCACAATGCAGTTTCTCACTCTTTTCCTGGCGTTGGCCTCTCTCGCTGCTGCTCTCCAACGGCCCAATATTGTCACCGTCACCAAGTACCTTCCTTTTGAGCAGCACCCGTGTTATGCGTACTTTATGCTCGGGGGAGAAGGCGACCTCCCTGCAGAAGCCTGCCGGCCTGGGGCTTGCTGTATTGGTGTCCAAGATGTCAACACCAACACTGGTCACGGCGGCAAGAATATCGGCCCCGACGGTCATCCATTAACCCCCACCTCTCACTCTCCCAATGGCAGCAACGCCCAGGGCATCTCTGGTGGCGCAATCGTCACCCAGAACTCTCTCGCCGCTGGCAGCCCCAAGCCCATTACCAGTGCCTCAGTCGTTGCGGTACTCTCGTCCAATGGCAGTTTCATCGCAAAAACCCTCATCGGGACCATGACCGATGACTGCACCGTTGCAGAGGATAATATTGCCACCGCTGCTGTGTCTGTGCCAGAGACGTCTCGCGAGACCGTCGTCATCACTACCACTGTCCCCAAGGTTGTGACTTACACCACGACCTTGAGTGGCACAGCCATTATTGAGACAAGCACGACTGTGGTCATCAGTACTGAGACATTCACAGCCACTGTTGCTATTTCCACCACGGAGACTCTAACAACACCTATAATTATTACCTCGACCGAGGTTATCACGGCAAACAATACTATTCGCACATCTCTCTTTACCACCACCTGTGAGGAGGTAGTCACTGGCATTGGTTCCATTCTCACCACCGTCGCGGCTTCCAAGACTTTAGCAACGCCCGTGGAGGTCACCTCGACCAAGGTCATGACAACAAACATTTCTACTGTTACATCCCCTACCACCATTACGTCTAAGGAGACAGTCACTAATTCCACCACCACGGAGTCTCTTAAAACGCCGGTAATTATCACCTCGACTGAGGTCATCACAACTAACAACTCTACAATCACATCTCTCACCACTGCTACGTCTAAAGAGACAGTCACCAGCGTTCAACCCATCCTCACTAACTCCACCACTACAAAGATAACAACGCCAGTGACTGGCGCCTCTACGGCAGTCATTACAATAAGCAACTCCACCACTGCATCTCTCACCACCACCACAAAGAGTATTATCACTCCCAGCGTCGTCGTCACCACCAACAGCTCCACCATCGTTGAGCCCATCACGAGCCTCATCCCGCCGCCTCCCACAACCACCAAATCGCGCGTTATTCCCTCCAGCTGCCCGACCCCGACCTGTTCCATGGGTATCCAGTACGCCCTATACGACAACCCCTTCCGCCAAGACACGTCCCCGACGTACAAGAGCTTCTCGCCCGCCTACTTCAAAAAGGCCAAGCCCGTGTACAGCACAACGCTGCAGACCGCCATCTACATCACCGACGACAACTACGGCAGTGGCTTTAACCCGCTCTTTAAGAACGCCGCCGCCGGCTACCGCGGCTTCCTCTTTGCCTGCCAGAACGGGCGTTACCGCTTTAACTCACCCTACTCCGACGATATCACTATCATGTGGTTCGGCGATAAGGCCTACCAAAACTACACGCGCGATAATGCCGACATTATCCAGTTCTACTACGGCGACAACAGGCCTAGGAACATTTACAGAGACCTTAAGGCGGGCACGTACTATCCCATTAGGGTGCTCTGGGGCAACACGGGCGGCGCGTCAGACTTGTCGCTACGCATCTATGGGCCCAACGGCGAAGACGTGAGCGGCGCGGACCAGTCGGGCGAGCACTTTCTGACGACGGAGGCGTGTGATGGCTCCTATGCTCCTTTTCCACCGTGGGGCAAGGAGCTTTGAGACGTCCTCAGTAGGGAAAAAGTGTCAATTTTCTAATCAATTTTTCTTCTTCTTCAAGTCAATTTCTGCCGTATATTTCAGTCGTGCGTATGTTGCTCACGTGGCAACATAAAGACACATTGTTTACCGCCTACTGGGGGTGGATTGCCTCGTGGCTTGCAGGGATTTTCCTTATTTCATTCGATGTATAGAGATATTATATAGTCTTATTCGGCTCATTAGAGTTTGAAAGTCATAATAGTCATTCATACTTGCCATTATCCATCGCCGAGTTCCGCAGTTGCGCTAGATGGGTGTGAGAGGTTGTTGTTCGGGTGCCCGTAAGACTACACCAAAATGAACTAACTAGTGTCTATCCTAGCGATTTAGTGCCGAAGTAACCGAAAGATGCAAAATAGAGCCAATAGGCACGCTGGACTATTAGGTACATCCCAACGAAGCTGTCCACATCTCATCTTTAGTGCAATCCACAGTCATAAACAACAGGAATAACATTGTAAGCAAGGTCCACAACCTGTCACTCCATAGCGCGGTCCATGAGCGTTAGAGTAAAAGAAAGGAAAGTCTAAAGTGTGGCCACTTCGCGAAGCGTGTGCATCTCGGCCGTATTTTTAGATAGAACTGCGCATGGTAAGTTCCGTGGTCGCCTCGCGGTGGTGGGTGGGCATGTCGCCACAATGGATCTGGAGCGGGACTGCGACGCTAAGTTAGAGTTTGGATGGACTATAATCACCAATAGCTGCGGGATCCGGGCGGCTCGGCATGCCATCCGAACCATGTGCTTGGTATGTATGAAACTATGGTCGATTAGTACTCTGTAGTATTCTGTCGTAGGATCTCCTAAGCGAACTGCGATACTACTACCGAGTATGTAGAACAAAATAGGCACACTCAGATGAACTAGATTGTGTGTCAGTGTCAAGTGCTCTAAAATATTTTTATGCATTATCGGTGGTGCTTGGTACTAGCGCTCTGGTATTATTCAGATACTTGAATAATCAGACATTAATCCCGTAGTTAGGAGATGTCTTCACTAGGGTCCGCCGCCACAGCTGCACCGCACGGTAGGTCATTTCGCAGGAATATTAATAGCGACCGCATGGCTCACTTCACAATACCCGTCGGCATGTATTATCCACCTTGGGAACCAGTGGATAAACGCGTACAAGTTTGTATCAGACAGCCACCCATGAAGTACAAAGGTAACCTATGCAATATTATGTTTCTAATAAAGTCTATTTTAACTTATTTAGTTTATTAAGTAACTAAAGACTATAATTAACTATAGTAGAACTATAAGTTATAAAAGACTTATATTATTTATATAAATAGTCTAGTCTAATAAGAGCCTTAAAGGACTCCTACTAAAGATATTATAATAAAGTAGTAGTCTTTTCTTCTTTTTAATATAAATATTAAGATTTAGAAATTATTTAATTAAAAAATAATATAAGTATATTTAAACTATTATATAAATAACTTTAATAGATATACTCTTTATAATAAAAAACACTCTTTATTATTTTATAAAAGAACTTCTTTAAATAATAAAAAGAATAAAGTATAATAATAATATTAAACTCTTTAATAATAGTAATAAGTTTAGAATACTATTTAGCTTTATTAGAATAAGGCTTAAATACTTAGTTAGGTATTATAAAAAAGAAGATATAAGAGGAAGAAGGAACTTATAAAGTAAGACTATAGGTCTTAGGATAAAACTAATAAAGAGGAGAAATAATATTATAAATATATAAAAGTACTATAAATAAGGGGTAGAGTAGTCTAAAGAAGTAACTATAAAGTACTTATAAGAGTATAAAAATAAAGAAATTAGTTATATAACTAGATTACTAAGGATTATAATAATCTAGTATTAATCTAAGATTATTAGGATTATAAAGTAAGCTAAGTAATCTAAGTAGTATAATAGAGAATAGGATAGATATATAAGAAAGGGGATTCTAGTAAATAGTTAGACTAGATCTCTATTAATTAATCTAAATAATAATTCTACTATTAAAAGTAATCTCTTAATATAATTTTTACTATAATACTATTTATTTATACTCTATTATATATTTAATCTAACTTACTTCCTAAGAAATAGATTTACTATAGATTAGAGAAGAGCTACTATTATAAGAATAAATATATAAAGAAAAGGATTTTTAATAAAAAGTTAGATTAAGTGTAAGAGCTTAGGCCACAGTCCAGCTAGACTAATAGCCTAGTGGCCTAAGGCACGGGGCCAATAGGGGGGGACTCCCCCTTATGTATAGTAGCCACTTTATTATAACCTCCTTGTCTCTTCCTCTATAAGAGATTCAATTTAACCTCATATTAACGCCTACTCGTAGTAGCCGTAGGGCCAGTCCTTAATATTAAGTCTCTATTAATTAATCTAAATAATAATTCTACTATTAAAAGATATTTTCTAATATAACTTATACTATAATAATTACTTATTAGTACTATATATTTAAACTAACTATAAGAGCTTAGGCTATAGTCTAGCTAGACTAATAGCCTAGTGGCCTAAGGCATAGGGCTAATAGGGGGGGGACTCCCCCTTATGTATAGTAGCCACTTCGTCACAACCTCCCTATCTCTTCCTCCGTAAGAGATTTAATTTAACCTCATATTAACGCCTACTCGTAGTAGCCGTAGGGCCAGTCCTTAACACTAACTCTCTTCTTAAGAAATAGACTAACTATAGATTAGAATTAAGCTACTATTATACTCTATTATTATTTTTTAACTATAGTAATATTATACTTAATAGTATATATTTATTTAAATTAGTATTTACTAGTAGAATACTAATAATACTAATATAATATACTTATAATAGTTACTATATTTATAATATACTTATTATAGTTACTATATTTATATTATACTTATTATAGTTACTATATTTATATTATACTAATAACTTTTATTTTCTAGTTTTTCTATAGGGACTAGTAGAAGCCCTACTATTAGTAATATATAATACTAAAAATAAAAGAAATAAATAAGGTTTTATAAGTAGTATAAACTACTTAGACTAGATACTCTATAGAGTACACTAGACTTATACACTCTATATAGTGTTATATACGCTTATTAATCTTTAAGTAGTACACATAAAAGCGACTTGATATAATTATTTACGTCTGTTAGCGCCCTAGAGTAGGCTTTTAGACGTGCTATCGAGCCTTCTACGGATAAACGTGCAGGCGTACACGCTTCGTACGCCCCAACAGGACGGCGCGCGCCCATGTTCTCACTAGTTGCCCCTGGAATACTCTCCCTGCCATCATCCTCCAACTGTAGCAGTGTCGCGCCCAAAAAGAACACACAAAAGCGACGTGGAGTAGCGCAACGAAGTGCAGGGTAGCTACGCCCTAAACAGATGCATGCCAGCAGCACAGAGTCAAGAGCGGCCCTAAAAATCCATTTGAGCCATTTTGCCTTCTCGACCGCCGTATCTGCCTCAGTTCAATACCATGAACCTCCGGACGAGTTTATTTTGGGCCGGATCACGCACGTAATACGAGCTGCCATGGCAAAAAAGGGTGCCGTCTCGGCTCATCACACATCTGGAAATACGGCGTCTAGTACATTCGAGGTACTAATAAGAAAGAGGCATATTAATGCCACGAGTATGCGGCTGGAAAGGTCAACTAGGAATTATTTATTTGCATTTAAGAAAACACATAGAAGGTAGCAAGGCAGCCGTATGCAACGAAATACACCTAAACATAGAAGCTTGTGTATATTTATGGGTTCTTGTGTTATTTTCAGCCCGCAGGGTGTTAAGTGTAGGAAATTTAGTTTCGGAAAGAGAAGAGTAGAATTTTCTAGTACTGTACAGTAGGCTGCGGAATTATCTAGCTTCTGCTTAAAACTTTGCCAAAATATGCAAGTTAAACAGAAGAAACAGTTATCTGAAGGAAACATAGTAAGTACTGCATACAGTCAAGCTGATACAGTCCACTGGCGATTTTGCCAGGCTGATAGATACGTTGATCTCTTCTTCCGAACTCAGTCAATATCATAGTGTGCCTAGATTTCCCGTCTTCTTTCTTGTAAAAAACGAATGTGATTTGTCAATCACCTTATCCCCCAGGCCAAACACAATCCATAGTCCAAAGGACCATCGTCGGATCCTCACTGTGTAAATGAAGAAATACACTAGCGCCCAATTAATTACCACAAAGGCCAAGAATATGCCAAAGCACCGCCATTTATCATCATCCTGCACATTAAACGTGTGCATGTACTCACGCCCATCTTTGAAGGGGCAGTATTGGCAATCCACCGTTGCGTCAACGTTGGCCAGATAGCCCACCCCAGCCGTATCGACAAAGGGTCCTGCATATTCGCCACAGGTGCTTCCTGGCGGGGGGTCAAAGTGCGTGGCTTCAGCAGAGGTGCACACGATTTTCGCAGCGGGCAGGACAGCAGCAAGAATGCCGCGCATCCACCATGTTACTGGGTTGAGGTAGTATAGCCAGTATTTCCAGAATACAGGGTAGGAAGCATATTGTCGCATGATGCCGTTGAACAAATTGAATGCAACAAAGAATATAGACAGGACATTGGAGATCACTGTGAAAGATGGAGCAAAGGCGCAGATCCATTGGCCCCAGCTGGCTTGGAACAGGAAGAACAGCATTGTCATCAGGAAGGTATAGCCTGCAGTTCCGGAATCGGTGGGATAGCCAACAGGAAAGTACCAAAAGAGCCAGTAGACAAGGCCCGTGACAATTGCGGCAGGAATCTCGCAGATTATGTTGGCAGTGCAGAATGCAAACCAGCCATATATGCGCGAGGGATGCTCGCGGAACTCCCAAAGTGCGCGGTTCATATAGAATTTGGGTATAACAGAGTTGACCACAATTGCTGGAAGGAGGACAATGAGAAAAGCAGAGAACATGCGATTCTGCGTACTGGCAATGGAGTCGCCTAGCATCCAGAAGGACTGGGGGGGGGAGAAAAGGTAGACTTACGAATCCATTGAAGATACCAATGAGGGCGCTGAGAAACAGTTTACCATAGTAGTATGATGGATCACGCCAATAATTGCGGAATAGCCTCTTCGTCAGCATGATGGTCTGCAAGGATGTAGGCGCAGCAAATTCGTGCTGAATCCCTACACCTGGGAGGGGAATCTTTCGGCGTTCCTCGCGGATCTGGCGAATCTCATCAAGCAGAGCACGATTCTCGGTAGAATTCTTCCATTGCTCATCCCAGTCTATCGACGTGCCATCTTCTTTGACAGTGATCTTAGCCGCAGTTTCGAGAATGAATTCAGCAATATTCTTGGAGGGAGGCGGCGCAACACCACGATCTGCAAAGTACTTGGCCACAGTAGCACCATCCCGGCCAATGGGACCAAAATAGAAGGTGTTACCGCCGGGGTTAAGTGCGAGTATCATGTCAAACTGCTGAATCAGCATGAATGAGGGCTGATGAATCGTACAGACAATAGCCTGGCCAGCTTGGGAAAGCTTTTTCAAAAATCGCACGATGGAAATGGCGGCCTGACTGTCAAGTCCACTGGTGGGCTCATCCAAAAAGAGTAAAAAGCTAGGCTTAGCAGCCAGTTCAACACCAATAGTAACCCGTTTCTTCTGTTCAATGTTCAAAGAGCCAATGATGGCATCTCGAATCTCCCCCAGTTCAAGCAAGTCGATAACCTGGTCAACATAGGCAATTTTCTCTTCCCGTGGGATATTCCGGTCCTGTCGAAGAATGGCAGAAAACACAAGAGCTTCATAGATTGTCGCAGTAGTATCATGAAAGTCCATTTGCTCACAAAAACCAGCCTCTCGTTGAAAATAAGGACCCAGCGGATGTCCGTTCACTTGCATCTCTCCACCCACAATCCCCATGGACTGACGCTGGGAGAGTGTATTGAGCAAGGTAGTCTTGCCAGCTCCGGATGCACCCATTAGTGCGATCATAACTCCAGGCTTTGCATACCCGCTAACACCATTAAGTAACTTTCTTGCTGTCCCATTACCAATGGGCACGGTGTATTCGACGTCAGTCCAAGTGAAAACTCGATCGTCGTCTAAGAGGCGCCTGACGGATTTGTCACTTCCGGATGATTGTGGTTGTCCATTCGATAGCACAGAAGTAGTCCCGGGCTTCTGAGTTTTCTCTTCGTCGCCGCCGCTAACAGCTTGGGCAGCGGCCCGCTTCGTACGCTTTGATTTCTTGAACATCAATGCACCACCGCCACCGCCCACGAACGATAGGGTCTCGGAAGCGATGACGGTGACTATCATGTACAAGGCTGTAAAAGCAATCACAACGCCAAAGTTCCGCCATAAGTTTGATCGTGTGCTAGGCACTGTTAGCAGAGTTCTCAATGCATACTGGTAAGCAGGAGCGAATAGCACTTACAACTGGAACGACTCTTTCAGGTAAGTAGCGCCAGAAATATCCGCGCTTCCGATCTGAGATCCTGTCAAGGCACAACCTTGATATCTCGGATCGATGCCAGGACCTTGGGGAATAAGCTGCGACGGAGCACACTCCATAGTTCGATCAGAGAACTCGCTCGCCAGGACAGCCTCATAAGAGTAGGACATTGGGTTCAGGTAAATTAACCAGCCAAACCAGATCGAGTCGTTGATGAGAGTTGACTTCGGGATAACATACCCCATGAAGATGAAGAGCAGGTTAAGCGCCAAGCCGGAGAATCGGATCGCGTCGTCAAATGATGGGGAGAGGGAAGCGAACATGCGGAACATTGATGTGACGCAGTAAGTTGTCGAGTACACAAAGAGAAAGAATATGAAGAACTTGGAAACCGAGACATCAAGACCTGTCATGAAGTACATAATGAGGGAAAATGGCACGACCATGCAAAAAATGGATGGTATATCGATGATAAATCGGGCGATCGTGACGGCTGATGGGCGGTAGAAAGCATATTCTTCGTGCCGGGCACCTATGATTCTACCCTGGACTGCGGGCATCAACTCTGCCAACTGGACCCAACTGAAGAAGAAGAGAGAGAAAAATATAGCACCACAGCGGGAGAATGCGCCACTAGTATCCAAAGGCTGTCCATAGAACATGGAGGAGACGACAAGAGCATTGGTGATTATGCTGAAGTATTTGGTGTACAGCGAGGTCTTGTCACCCATGATGAGCCAAAACTCGCGTTTCACACATGCGGCGACCTGCCGGGGCAGAGAAATTGTGTAGCTGGAGTTTTCCGAGACTCTCTTGCTCTTTGATTTGGCAACAGTCTTTTGAAATCGAAGCGCATCGGTGCTGTTGCTGTCTTGGAAATGCTTGTCGACTGTTTCCAGCAGCGCCTTGTATATACCACTATTTCTGAAGACGGCTTCAAATTCCTCGACAGTTTTGGGAGTGGAAGCTTCACGGCCTGGCTGGTACTGGCGTGAGGCAGGGTCGCAGATCTCAGTCAAGAAGTCGGCTGTGGTAGAATGCTCAGGACAATGGAAGCCGAGGTCAACAAAATATTGCTTGGCCTTGTTTGCTGGCCCCTGGTAGAGCATGCGGCCAGAATCAATGACCATAACCTTATCCATCAGTTCGTAGATACTCTCGCTAACTTGGTAAAGGGTAACAAAAGTTGTACGCCTGCTGATATCCGTCATAACTCGCAGGGATTTGGCATAGTCAATAGCGGTGCTCGCATCCAAACCTCTTGTCGAGTTATCCCAGCAGACAACCGTTGACTTAGCAATCAAGGTCTCTGCAATACTGACACGTTTTCTCTCTCCCCCAGACACACCACGGACAAATTCATTGCTGACGAAGGTATCCTTCGTATGCAAAATTCCAAACATCTTTAAAAGTGAACTAATGACGATGGGTATGGTGTGGCTATCGTTCTTCCGTGTCTTATGCAGTAGAGAAAACTTCAAGGTCTGCCAGACTGTGAGAATAGGGAAGTGTTGGTCGTCCTCTGGGTGGTAGCTGATTTCTCCTCGGAAGTGCTTCCTCTGCTCTTCAGCCGAAATTCCACCATAGGAGATATCACCGTCAACTGCGGCAAATGTACCCCTGTGGTTGGCGATGGCCTTAAGAAAGGTGGAACAGCCTGCTCCGGGCCGCCTAAGGACGAGCATTATCTCACCGTGGTTCAGAATTCCGTTGAAATCGTGGATGATATCCCTCACAGGCGGCTTCCTGCCAATGTGCAGTTGTGGGACGAAACGGGTTATCAGACGGTAAAGATCCGGCCCAAATGTGCCAACAACCGCGTCTGGAAATGACCTCACAAAGGAAGCGCCAGTGACAACGCCCTTCACGGTGACATTTTTGAATGCCACACTAATTCCCTTCCCCGCTCCTCCCATAGTCGTGCGCCTCTCGAGCTGGCCACCTTCTAGGAAGTCGGGAAGATCAAATGACCCTGAACGTTCTCCTAAAGCTTCCTCGTCGTCCTGGTGCTGACTCATTCGGGAAGAAGTTTGATGGGCTGCAGTTCCTGAACGAGTTTGACCCAAACTCTGGCGACTCAACTCCCTTCGCATCACTCCAAACTCCTCCATGGCGACATGGTGGGAAACCGGGTCGCCCTGATTTTGCTCGCCCCATCGGCCGTCCTCGGAAGGAAACATTGTCGTGAATGATTCCGAATTGCGAGCCTCCTTCAACTTCACGTTGTATGCAGGAACTTGACCAGCGTCGTAGCTCTCAGTCGGTGGCATCATGTTCCAGGCGAGTCGATATCGTGGAGGGTTATATTGAGGAGGTAATAGGTTTTGTTTATAAGGAATAGTAGCAGAAAGACTCAACACGGTGAGGAGCGTGGAAAATCCAGAAATTGGAAGGATAAGACAAAAGATACTGTTCTCGCTTGATAAACAAGCGCGGCCTGCGAGGAGGAAAACCAGAGGAATGGAGAGAGATGAACAGAAAAAGTAAACGATACTTATATTAGAGAAAGAGTAAGTAATAGGACTTAGACCTAAGGAACTGACTGATAAGACACTATATAGGCGGCCAGGGCACCATGCGTAATTTCTGCGTAGAGTGATAATGTTAGGGTGTGCGAATACACGCAAAAAGCGCGTAAAAGTTTAACTACTGCCTACTACAGGCTCAGGGACTCACTTACAATGACAACGGCAGAACCCAGCTACATTCTAACTAAGAGCTCTCTAAGTGGCTAATGCTATAAGTGGGCTATGGGTTACCCGGCGCATAAAGCGCGCAGCATGGATCGATTGCACCCGAAGACCCGGGGCAGGGACACCAGCACAAAACGCGCAGGGCGGCTCCTTGGTAAACCGACTGGCTGTGTAATGACACAGTAGCTGGCACGCCATCTCGGAATACGAATAAATATTGCCGAGCGCGTTCTCTGCGTGATCCGTCCAACACTGTGGCTTTTCTGCGCCTTGGGTAGGATACGGGGGTCTTGTGAACCGATGCTCTTTTATTATTAATCCATCGACATCATCACACTAATATGTGCTTCTCGGCCGCCCCCTAAAGGAGCTTTAATCGTTTTGTGTCGCCTCTACTGGTTTAACTTATACAAGCTTCAGTCCTTTCTGATCCCGGAGGACAGAGGCAGAGAGCAATCATGCTTACCACCACCCCTCTACGCCTGACGTCGGGGTCGCTGAGGCAGTATGTCCTACAAGCTGCAGTTGCTAATGCCACACCGGTCCGCCCGTTTCAACTAGGTGTCCTCAGTTGCCAGCGAAGGCTGGAAAGTTGCCAAAGCTCGCCGAAAACTCTTTGCCGCACCAAGGCGGCAATCTCTCCTTCCCTGGCTTTGGCTGCTTCTCAATTCTGGACGTTAGGACCAGTTTGGAAAAGAGCCACTATCAACACTCTTCGATGCCTGGTTGGCTGCACTGTGGGCGATTTTTCGGCCATGTGGTACCTTCAAGCGTTCCATCCAGCCCTTGGAATGGGGGCAATTATGGCCTTGTCCAGTAATTATCAGTATTTAATGCAGTCCGTTCACGCTTACTAACCCGACATAGTGGCCTCCGGTATCACGGCCTCGATGCTCCTAGAAACGACTCTTCTCCGATTCGGCCGCGATCGTCTTCCCTGGGTAGCTGCTGGCCAAACTGCTGCGGGAATGAGTGTAATTTCGATGGTGACGATGGAGCTTGCTGAGAATGCGGTTGACTATTATCTGACCGGTGGAGTGGTTCAGTTGGATTCCCCTGCGTTCTGGGGAGCAGCTTTGCTCTCCGCGTCTGTGGGATTTCTGGCACCTTTGCCGTACAATTACCAACGTTTGAGGAAGTATGGGAAGGCTTGCCATTAACTGACGTGTTTATCAAACTGTGTGACAGTCTTATAACATGTAACATAGTCACCGTACTTATTGTGGACCCGTTAATGTCATACACAACCATAGTATTAATAATATCTTAATAGAGAATTTAGAGTTAGAATAGTACTTAATTCTCTATCTATTAATAGGGGATTCGACCTATTTATATAGCTAATGTTGAATTTAGTATAGTAATTAATATATAATAATAACTGCTTTTTCTATTAGCTAATACATTAGCTAATATATAGCTGTAATAGTTAAGCAATAATAATAACCTAGTGTTAAGGACTAGCCCTACAGCTACTATAAGTAGGCGTTAATATAAGGTTAAATTAAATCTCTTATAGAGGGAAGAGATAAGGAGGTTATATTAAAGTAGCTACTATATATAAGGGGGAGTCCCCCCCTTATATATATACTTTAGGCTACTAGACTATTAATCTAGTATAATAGTGGCTCTTCTCTAATCTATAGTAAATCTATTTCTTAGGAAGTAAGTTAGTTAAATATATAATAGAGTGTAAATAAGTAGTATTATAGTATAAGTTATAAGAGATTACTCCTAATAGTAGAACTACTACTTAAATTAATTAGTAGAGATCTAGTCTAACTATCTACTAGAATCCCCTTCTTTATATATCTATCCTATCCTCTACTATACTACTTAGATTACTAGCTTATACTAAGCTTATAATCCTTTCTAGGCTCACTAGCTTATAGTACTCCTATAAGCCTATTATAGTTATATAACTTCCTATCCTAATTAGGCGTCCTATAGGCGTCCTGTCTAGCCTCCTTCTTAGGCCGCCCTATATTACTCTTAACTATTCGTAATAATAAAATACTAGGTAATTTTCTTATAATAATAATGTATAATAAAGTAGTATTATAATAAAGATTATATTAATACTATAAGTGGTTAGACTGGCTGTTAGTTTAGTGACTTAGAAGGGGTTAAATACTTATTGCCACCCACTGTACTAAGTACTTTTTTAAATTATCTGATCCTTTGTGTCTCGGTCGGGAATAAACATCGTCTTCGCCTGGTCTTTGTCCAATTTGTTAGCCTGCAGCACGCCTCGGGGCTGTGTAGCGCCACGCCTTGGAGCGCCTTACTGTGAGCCTTGCGACCTGAGACAACCACATGCTTGCGCACTGTACAAAATCTCGCACACTTATCTTGTATCATGAAGGAGCTTATATCCAGGGACTTCAATTAGTGTGACGGCAGAGCGGTTTTAAGACCAAGCCTCTTGATTGAATCGCTGCGTTGGAGGCTGAGGGACGCTGCGCAACAGGTAGCGGCGGGCGCTGCCTGGATCCATGGAGGAGCGGACTAACCAGGATGTTGTAGATAGACCCATTATTGGAAGCTACGAACAAGTGTCTGTCTACGAGACCGGATTCTTGTGGTCAGTTCACCTGCATCATGCAGCCGCATGGCCACTAGACACGTAAGGCGGCCACGGTGGTCTGCGGTCCAGTGTGCGACCCAGGCTATGTTCTCTCGCACGAATCATCTTCTATATCGGCCTTTTGATATACACGTTGCGCTGCAAAACGCACAGCGGCTTGGACTGCAAGTTTCTGCTAACTAGTCTGCCTCGCATGTAAGGCATAGAAGCTGGTAGAATATCAGGGGGGTTTGGGCATGTGAAGGATCTTTTATAATTGAATAGGTCAGGAGTGTCGTCATTCGGGCGATTACCCGTTCGGGAGCTCATAAGGTCAGGGGTAGTTATAGAAAGTAGCAGGCATAATTCGTTTATTAGTCACCCAGTTGCTCCGCAAGGCTGACAGACAACCTGTCTCAAACCTGATATATTTATTTACGTCGCACAGCCGCTGCATCTCACGCATCTGCCAGTCTACCCATTCCCACTTCGAAGAATCCAGCATGACCGAAGAGACTCAAGGCTTAATGTCTACCAAGGTCGAACGCAGCGGACACAGGCCAGCCAAAGATGGGCCTACTGCGAAGGACGTGGTCGAAAAGGAGCCTTCAACGACACTTCATCGCCACCCTGACATAGCTATTCTCACCGTCCTATTTGCCCTGGTATCAGGAGTCTCATGGACTCTAATCTGCGTCTTGACTTATAGACCGATTGGCGAGAGACTGGCCGGATTGCACGATTTTTATGCGCAGAGCGAGCGCTACCTGCGGGCCGCCTGAGTGCTCCAGGCCATCGCGTCGATGCTCGTCATTCCCTTGACTTCTACTGTGGTAGCCCAGGCGGCAGTGGCCTCGCTGCAGAAACAACACACGAAGCGTGGTGAAAGCCGGCCGACGCTGAGACAGACTGTTGCGTTGGCAGACAAGGCGTGGACCGATCCCACCACTCTCAGTAAAATTTTCGCGAAGCGGCGTTGGAAGCAGTACACATCGCGGCCATTCATATATGGCCTTCTTCTGACTGCGTTAGGTAAATGCCACACGACGTCTACGAAAGTGGAATACTAACAGGGCGTTCATAGGCGCATTGATTGCACCGCTCCAGAATATACTGTTGTCGTATCAGACTATCAAAGCACCCGGTCCTGGAGATTTGAACTTCATTACCGATTTCTCCGACATCAATCACAGTGATTTTGGCGATCACCAGCAAGTAGTCTCCACGCTGCGAGGCACATTGGCCGCCGCTCACCGAAATGATGCTCAACCCAGTCTATGGTCGAGTAACACGGGCGGCAGAAGACCGCTCTCAAATCAAAATACGCTTTCCAACATGTCCGCTTTGTCGGATCCATATTGGGCGGAGATGTCCCCAAAAATCAGCACCGGCCTGTCTCACCAGCTTGCTCCTCGTATAAATTCTACTGTCACGTCTCAGTCATCATCATCCACTGAGTCCTTTCCGCAGGACTGCGAAAGTCGCTCTGACTGGATTTACTTGCGCTACACTCAATTAAACACATTAAATGATACATTCTTTTACACGTTTGAGGTGTGTTGGCCAGGAAACATGAGTGCGTCACCGTGGAAGAGCGCGTCAACTAGGCAAAATTTCTTAGAAGATATTTATATTCGTGCCAACTATTCAATCACCGAGCCAGCGATACTTGCATCAAAGGTTCCGAAAACTGGCATTTACTCGAGGAAAATCACTGTGAATACCACATTTGGGTGTTTCGAGTTGCCAAATTACATGAATAATGGGACGGCGGGGCCTCTTCTTCACGATAACCGCTCAGGCAACTGTGGGCAAGCCCGCAAGTGGCTAACTTCTCTATCGAAGCGAAAATCTGAGGAGGAAATTCTTGAGTCCCAGAAACTTGAGAGAATGCCAGTTATGGGACCACTCGTTTCTTTTAGCCTGGCAGTATTTGGCCCGGGCAGCTTCCCAGACATGGCCCACGCCCTGGAAGAATATGCCCGGAAATCTAAGCTCGCCCCCAAGTATTGCGTGCCCATGCTAGGGCTGATCGATCCATTGAAGTCGTGGCCTAACGGAGAAACCCGATGCATAACGCTGAGCCCTGACACTGTAACGCAAATTGACATACTACGGGCACGTTACCTGTTTCTATTCTTGCAGGACACGGAAGACACAAATAATGCTCTGAATTCGGCAATGTTTCTCGCAAACGAGTCCGTCATGAAGTCCACTACGGGTCAGCATAGCCTCCTTATTTCGCGTCATATGGGCCTTGACCTGCAGACTCCTGTCATCAGCCTCGCAGGCATTATTGTGATTTCTGTGCTGCTGGCCGTTGATCTCGCATGCCTACTCATTCTTGCCTTCAAAGCCGCTTTGATCCCGCGATGGACGGCCCGCTTGGACGGATTTACCATGATGTGCATTGGCGCGTCGATATCAGACACGCTGCCTTTGCGGGTTTGTCACGACCGCGATGCTCTGAGATTCCTTGATGAGACCCCAGGGTGGCTCGGCGAGAGAAACATGCAAGGCGCCGAGAATGAAGCAGACGAGGAAGAAACTGGTGTCCGGGACGTTATGCTCGGCGGCAGCGAAGGACTGAGAAGGGGTGTTAGATACCGTTGCTATCCTGCGGAAAATGAAGGTCCTACGCCGCCTCCAAGGGTAATTGACGGCGTAACATATCCGCGGCATGCATCTACATAATGCTAGATGATGTACTATTGCTTTGGCTTGTACAAGTTTGACTTTAATAATATGACTGGCCGCCATCAGAAACTTGCTACTTCAAGCGCCACTAGTCATGCAGCTCGACAGCCATCTTGGATATTGATAGGCTACAACAGATGAAATAGCCCACATAACGATTTTTTGTACACGAGACTAAAACTCGCCCAATGATAACGAGGCACAATACGACTTGATGGATAGACACACACAGCTAAGGGATGTGGGCACTAATACAAGCAACGTGCCAAGCGGGTAGTTTCCCCTAGGCCGGTTAGCAAGCTGCCAAGTGAGGAGGTATGAGATGAGAAATAAGAGATGGGATAGCTAGAATAGCTGGAATCGGCAGAATTGGGCTTACCTGGACATTCAGATTGCAACAAGCTTGCGCAAACGGAGAGTGAACGAGCTGGGGCGGGCAGGCCATGTAGTGTCCTCGCGACTTACGCAGAAAACACCCTCGATTCTGCCAGAGCCGTCGCTGACCCAGAGCTGGCAGCACTGCTGCTGGTAGAGGTAATGACCATGACCTCGTGCTTGATTTCGTCGAGCATGTAGGGGCTCTGGTTTGAGGGCGTAGAGTGGTTAGAGCGAGTCGAGCCGGGACGGGAGCTGTAGCGCGGCGTGGGAGCTTGGAGCTCCATGTCGTTGGCATTGAAGGGTTTCTCGCTGATTGCCGTGGTTTGGCATCGCTCTGGTCTCTTCAGTCGTGAAGGGGCAGCGGGAGGCGGCGACGGCGGCGGCGCAGAGGCCTTGCTCTTGCCCACCTTGAAGTAGCCTTCAATGCCCATTGCGGTTCGCTTATTTGAGGAATATGGTACTTATTGGAGGTGGTCGGCTAGATCGCAGTCAGCAAGTTGGAGGAAGGAAAACGTCCGGCTTATATATGGGCTTTTCTACGAAACCCGAGAGACAAGCCACTCAAAAGTGCCAGCAGCCGCCGCTATAGCTGCCTGGCCATACGACTCAGCTAACGGTTCATAAGAGCACGCCTTTACGCGCGAGGGATTAAAAGGCTGTAATTAGTCTACTATATAGTGATCGAATCCTTGAGAAAATATCACCCGGTATACCTCGCAGTGCACTATACGTTGTATTCTCTTCCGGATCCACCGGCAAGCCAAAGGGGATCATAGTCGAGCATGCGGCGTTTGTCAGCTGGGGTACACTGCTGAGACAATCACTCTGCTTGGATGCCCAGTCTCGTGTGCTCCAGTTTTCGAGCTTCGCCTTCCTTATAGCTCACCGGGACATTCTTCTCACACTCATGTTCGGAGGGTGTGTCTGTATGCCGTCTGAGCTGCAGCGGCTCAACCACCTCGAGACATTCATTGCCGAGTACCAAGTCAATTGGGCCAACCTTACCCCGTCTGTGGCAGCCCTCCTCGATCCAGGCATGACCCCCGAGCTCAAGACGCTGCTCCTGACTAGTGAGCCCATGTCGCTCAAAGGTCTTGCAACATGGGAGGGTAAAGTGAATCTCTTGTTCGCGTATGGTCAGGCTGAGAGTGTCAGCCTCTGCTGCGTGAGGAGGAGCCCGACGGTCGCGTCTGACCGAAAGAACGTTGGCCACAGAGTCGGGAGATCCATCTGGCTCGTCGACACCGGCGACCATAACAAGCTGGTGCCTGTGGGAGCTGTTGGTGAGTTAGTTATTCAAGGTCCCGTGCTGGCTCGCGGATACCTTGATGCTGAGAGAACCGCGCTTGCATTTCTTCACGATGTAGCCTGGCTGCGAAAACTACAGCCTGGATACGATGGGGAGCTCTACAAAACAGGAGACTTGGCACAATTTGCTGACGATGGATCCGTCCGATACCTTGGCCGAAAAGACAACTCAGTCAAGCTATACGGACAGCGGCTTGACCTGGACGACGTGCTCCAGCAGGTTCAGCGCTGTCTGATAGACATTTCAGACACGGAAGTCTGCGATGTGATTATGGACGTGTGCCGCACGTCAATATCTGAGGATGTCAAGTTGACAGCGTTTCTCGGAATGAACCCTACGTCACTTGATACGGGAGGTACTGTTCTCCTCGGCCCCTTGGACCGAGCCACTGTCTACCTGCAGATATTTCGGACTCGTTTGGCCAGCGTCGTTCCCCGGTACATGATTCCAACCGTCGTCGTCATAGTGTCCCATATACCACTCAATCTCTCCGGCAAAACTGATCGCAGAAAGCTGCGCGAAATTCTCTTCCAGATGACGGCTTCGGAGGAAGCTGCATGTCTGGGATCCGTTGCCAGCCACGAGGCCCCGTGCACACCCCAAGAACTGCAGCTCCGTTCGCTCTGGTCGCAGGTGCTAAACACTGCTGAATCGAGCATCGGAAGATTCGAGGACTTTTTCCGACGGGGAGGCGACTCGCTGGCGGCGATGAGGCTGGCCTCAGCCGCGCATGGCCTCGGTCTTAGTCTGACCTTTGGGGACATTTTTGCGAATCCAGTACTGTCAAGTCAGGCAAAGCTGATTGGCTCCACGGAGGGAAACACGCAACAGAGTTACACATGCTCGGCGTTTGAATTGATTACAGAGAGCCAAAAGCAAGCTGTTCTCGCAACAGCAGCTAAGGAGTACGCTTTACCGGCGACTCAGATTGAGGACATCTATCCAACTACACCAATGCAACAGGGCCTTGTCGCTCTCAACTCCCTACGGCCAGGCTCGTATGTGTCACGACGTGTCTACAAGCTTAGAGAGGGCGTTAGCTTTCGAAAGCTCGAAGCAGCTTGGAAAGCCACCTTGGACGCGAACCCCGCCTTGAGAACCCGTGTCATACGATCTGTTGGTGACGGCCCAACGTATCAAGTCGTGGTTCGCGACGAGGCGGTTGTTGACATGGCCTATGACTTGACCAAATATCTGGCGGACGACGAGGCAAAGCCGGTAAATCTGGGTACGCCGCTCGTACGAATGGCGATCATATCCAACGCCAGCGGAGAGCCAAACTTTTGCGTCGTTACCATGCATCACTGCATATACGATGCCTGGTCAGCGGCTATCCTGAAGACCCAAGTGAGCGACACGTATCATGGCCACGTTCCAGTCCTTCAAACATTTAGGGAGTTTGTCAAATATGTACTCCAATCTAATAAAAATTCATCCGATCATTGGAGAAGTGAGTTTGCTGGGATACGCGCCGAACAGTTTCCAGCTCTGCCAACGCCCACACATTCCCCAAATACCACGGAATCCGAAAGCCAGCATATATGCCTCCCTCCAAGTGTTGCAACGGCAGCAAATATAACACTCACCACGCGCATACAGCTAGCGTGGGCAATGACTCTAATGGCTTACACCAGCGTGAATGATGTAGTGTTTGGCTTGACGGTTTCTGGCAGGGCAGCGCCCGTGCCGGGGATTGACAAGATTGCTGGTCCCACGATTGCAACATTTCCCTTGAGGGTTCAGTTGAGGTCCTCTTCATCAATTCACGAGGAGCTGGAGACGCTGCAGAAACGTATCATAGAGATGATACAATTTGAACAGTTTGGGGTACAGAACATCAGTCGCCTTGGAGACGACGCGGCCAAGGCGTGCAAGTTCCAAAGCCTCCTCGTCATTCAACAGCGTCAATCATCAGCCGAAAAATCTGGCATCTTCGGTGATACTGGTGCTTTTACGCCCCAGCCAATGTGGAATACATACGCATTGACGATTCTGTCAACCCCCGGCGCCGATAGATGCGTCCGTTTCGAGGCTGTTTACGATGCCACGGTGGTGCCCAAGGCCCAAATGAGACGGATTCTACAAGTTTTTGGCAATGTCTTGAAGCAGACAGTACTGTCGCCGGATAAATTGGTGGGCGACATGGACAGTATCAGCACAGATGACTTGCAGCAAATCGAGTGCTGGAACTCTTCAGCGCCTCCAGCCGTTCCGAGGTGCATCCATGACATGATTCACGACCATTGCGTAGCGCAGCCAGAAGCTAGCGCGATTGACGCATGGGATGGTCAGTTTACCTACAAGCAGCTCGACGATCAGTCGTCACTGTTTTCAGCCGTTCTTAGAGAGAAACGACTGGGTCCAGACATGATGGTTCCTCTTTGCTTTGAAAAGTCGAAATGGGTCGCTGTTGCCATCTTGGCAGTCGCCAAAGCCGGTAGCGCGTTCATACTGTTGGACCCTTCACACCCAACCGAACGGCTGGCGTGGATTTGCAAGAATGCGCAAGCATCAGTGTTGCTATGTTCCAAGGATATGGCTGCGTTGGCGGCGAAGCTCGGCTGTCAACACGTCGTCCAGGTCGATGAGAACAGCAGTCGAGAAAACCAAGCCTCGCTAACTACTCAAGTGCATCATCCCATCCAAGCACTCCCTAGTAATGCCCTATGTGCGCTGTATACCTCGGGGTCAACGGGAACGCCGAAAGGCGTCGTTATCGAGCATTCAGCCTTCGCCACCCAAGTTACCGCGCTTGGACTGCACTTCCATCTGGGTCGCCAGTCACGTATTTTTCAGTTTGCATCCCATGCATTCGACGTCACCGCTGCCGATTATGTGTTTGGACTGGCCCTTGGCGGCTGCGTATGCGTCCCGAATGAAGCGGACAGCCGGGACAACCTAGCCAAAGCCATACGAGATCGTAGAGCAAACTGGACTTTTCTGACACCTTCGGTCGCCCGAACTCTAACACCCTCCGCTGTACCAGATCTCAACACCTTGGTGATTGGTGGCGAGTCTGCAAAGGGAATAGACTTTACGGTTTGGTCAGGCGCCGTGCGGCTCGTCTACGTATATGGTCCTGCTGAGGGGACGGTCTACTGCACTGTGCAGCCCAAGACTCAACCGGGTGCCAATCCGGTGAATATCGGATCGGCAGCTTCTTCCGCATGCTGGCTGGTAGAGCCTGCCAACCCAGAGAAGCTGGTTGCCATTGGGGCGGTTGGCGAGTTGGTGATTGAGGGCCCGATTGTCGGCCGCGGGTACATGGGAGAGGATCTGGGCGGCTCGCCTTTCATTCCGCCGCCAAAGTGGTTGCGTGCCATGCCACGAAGTGAGTCACCAGGCAGGCTATACAGAACTGGAGACTTGATGCGGTACAGTCCAGACGGCGACGGATCGCTAGAGTTTGTTGGTCGGAAGGACAGGCAGGTCAAACTTCGCGGGCAGAGAATGGAGCTTGCGGAGATTGAACATCAAGTTGCGCGGCATTTTCCTGCCACAACGGATGCCATTGTGGAAATCATTGCCCCCGAGAACTCAGACAGTCAGAGGTTACTTGCTGCTTTTATCTGGGATGCCAGCAATGTTGCAGGGAAACGCTCCAGTAACAACCAAGGCACGCTGTCCACGTCTGCCATGTTCGCCGTCCCAGATGAAGAGTTTCAATCTCGGGCATCGATCGCGGAAGTGGCGCTACGGAAGAGCCTACCTCCTTTCATGATCCCTTCGTTATTTGTTCCCCTCAAGCAATTCCCCCTCGGTCCTACCGGCAAAGTAGACCGGCGTCTTATCAAGGACAAGGCGTGCTCACTTTTGCGACGGGAGCTCAACATCTACCGTGGCTTCTGTTCATCTAGAATGAGGCCCCCTTCCAATACGTCAGAAAGTAAAATACACCAGCTGGTTGCAGATGTGCTTGGTCGGGATCGCGGCGACATTGGGATGAACGACGACTTTTTCCAGCTTGGTGGTGACTCGATTAGTGCCATGGTTCTGTCGGCACGGGCTATGGACATGGATCTGAAGTTGTCGGCCGCAGATATTCTAGGCCATCCTCGTCTTTGTGATATGGCCGACCTGGCTATTCAGAAGAGCACGGAGAGATGCTTGCCCACAGAGCAGCTATCGCTACCAGAGCCGTTCTCGTTGCTTCCCGCAAACTATCATCATAACACCTTGATGCAAGAAGTTGTGAAAGGCCGCTAGTAAGTTGATTCAACTATCTAGTTCCTATGCTGTTTTCTATCAAGATGAAGAGGAAAGAAAGTGAATCAACTTTATGAGAGCATAACAGCACTTCTATAGCTTCGATCAATGGAAGGTTCTAGAAGCTCGGCGGCACAGCCGCCGCTCAAGCGGCTTGCCCGTTACACTTCCCCCCTTATATTCACTAGTATATAACTAATTATATAGATATTTTCTAAAGTATAACTAATCTTAAATAACTCCCTACTAAGGAAGATAATATTAATAATATTATAATACTACTAGTGTGATATAGAACGCCTTATATAGTGTATTATAGTCGAGACAAATATAATATGTTTCTAGGCAAACTTCACACACTAATGTATAGGCACGGCTCGGATTTATCCTCGTTTCTTATTTAGCGCTCTATTTACTTTGCTTTTTTCAGCTAGGATATTAACGTTCCTATTATTAATCTCTAAGTGACGGAGGGCGTGTAAACCTTTAACTATATCTTCCTAGAGTATTTGCTTTCCTATAGACAACGTGATTAATCAGAAATACTTTCGGTTATATGTCTTTATACTATAGAGATCTAATTAAGCCTATTTAATACTACTAATATAAGAGAACTTAGGAGATCGTGTAGGGTTTCCACTAAGTCTCTAAATTTCTAGTTCTACTATAGCGTTTCTAGTTTACAGGCAGTATAAAAGCACACTAAGGATCTTAACGGCTTATGCTAATCTCCCTTATCTACTATCTCCTAAAAGTAGAAGGAAATAAGCTTACTAATATTACTATAGCCTTTATTATATAGTATAAAGCGTGTTAATACTTAATAAAGTCTTTAGAGGGCTAAGGTCTATAGACGGGTAATCCCGTAATAATTAGTAAAAATGTACACGTGGGTATAAGATAGGAAAACATTAGAATAGTTATCTTTTATAGTGTTAATGAATGTTTTAGTGGTTTGTGGAGATAGTGGGTAAAGATTTATGAACTAGTTCTAAAGCTCCTGTTTTTTTAAAGTTAAGGACACATTAAAATGCGCTACTGTTAGTGGTTTTACGTGTTGCTAGGGTCCTGAAGTAGGAGCCGGAGCTAGTTCTAAATTCTCACTTTCTAGAACCTTAGGTTTCTTATCCCTTATAGGTCGCTATTGTGGCCTGCCCTCGCTGTATAATCCTGTATAAACGTATTTAGTGAAGCGAATGAATGTATCTTCGTCTATTTCTTCCTAGACTATAGATTATTCCTACGCTTCTCTTATTAGTCTATTAACTAGGGTGTTAAGTGATTTTAATTGTCTCACTATAAGGCCTGAATGGATTTTCTGTTCGCTCTAGCTTGGACTAATAATGAACTTAAAAGGGCAGGAGTAGATAAAACTACTTATTAGTAGGAGCTAGGCTAAGCGTATAACGTATCTTACCTTATGTATAGTGTTAATGCTATCTTAAAGTCGTTTAATATAATTTCATGTAGGGTAAGAACTATGAATAAGGGAAGGTAGAAAAATGCCTTGCTTAATACTTATGTTACGTTAGGCTTCATAGGTACTATATTAATGACTAATCCTACGTTTATTACTACTTTTTAGTAGAAACGTTCAGAGTATTAACCTTATGGCTTAGTGAACTAAAATGACACTAATTCTGGCGAAGTGGATGCGGCTTGTCTCTGTAATTTACTTTACTAAATTCATTCAGCCATCTTCTCCTTCTCGTGCCTACGCTACCCTCTAACTTAGTTCACTGGAGTAAGAAAGTAGTTGGTTGGAAGCCACTCTAGCGCCTCTGCCTCTAATGACAACTAATTTAGCTTGCCTAACATGCTATCACTAAATGATTAGTCTATAATGTGGCTTATAGCTTATTAAGTATAACTACCCTAGTAAATTTTATCTTCACTGCACGAGCGTATAGGTTTATTACTATATTAGTAAATAATAAACCTAAGCTAGTATAAAGCTAGTGTAGATTTCTATTTCGCGATTAAAAATTAGGGTTCTAGGCTGGTGTTTTGTATCCCTACTTTGAATAATATAGTAGTAAAACTGGCTGATCGTGTGCCTAATCCGGCGAAGGTTAAGAATGTGCCACTAGGAAAAGGCAACCAGGAAAAGCCAACCAGGAAAAGGCAACCAGGAAAAGGCAATATTGTGAGATTATTCTAAGACGAACTTAAGACTTAAAGTACTATAAACTGGTTCTAATTCACCGTATACATCTCAAGTATCACCCGAAGGGCAATCATATTAATTAATAATCTTATTAAATATATCGCCATCCACCATAATAGTGAATAGTATTATAGCGCTTAAAAGAATGCTAAACCGGCTTATAACGACTAATACTAGGCCGTCCCCCACTAAATGTCCAGCGCTCTACCTTAATCTAGAAGGAGTCTAGCTCGGTCGTTATGGCTCAATTGCCGTCCTTTCGTTGCACTTTCTCCCTAATGCTGTTATATATCTTATTGACGTCTACAAGCTTAGGCAAACTGTATTTAACACTAAAAATCACAATAAGTAAGCCTAAGAACCATTCTCGAATTTCCCATCTTAAAGGTCTTTTTTAACGTGCGGAATGACTTAGACGTACTCTTTAATCTATATAGAATAGCGCTCGGCGGTGTATAAGATCTCTAGCTTATAGAGCTCGTAGTAAACATAAGAATCTTTAGACTAGGCGAGTGTGTCGCCGGTTTAGCCTAATGCGTCTAGAGAGGTTTATTAGTATTAGGTAAAGAAAAACTTGACTAGCTTTAATGCAAAAAGCATAGCTAAATGCTATTCGATTCGAAAAAGGATAGGGCCTATAAGATATTTAATAAGCGGCCTCTTAGCCCTAAGATCGTTAATTATTACACTTAAGACGTGGAAATTCTACCTAGTCTTTAGATAATATATGTAGCTTAAATTTATAAACCTAATGACTCTAGATTTTAGTGTAAAATTATTAGACAGGCCTCTAAAAGACGCGTAGAGTTATCCTAAGATTTAGGGTATAATAGCTAGGTGCTAGGAAAAGTTTCTAGCCTGTAGGATAATAAGCTCCTTAAGTCTGCCCTTAAGGACTAGAATAAGGAGGTTATGCTTATAGGGGTTCGTTTTTAGGCTACACTTAAAGAATTAAGTTTTAGGATTTTTTAATAGGTCTAATACGGGCTGGGGTATAGACATTAGGTAGAGTAGGTTTGGAGATGTTCTCGGGTTAGCCCGATTTAATTAAGCCGATAAAGTGGTAGTGGCAAATCTCCGGTTCTACTTAGTGTAGAGTCAGTCTAAAACAGATTCAGTCGAGCCGTTATAGTCAGAATTAAGATGTTAGGGCACAGTGTTACGAATCAAGAATGTATGCAAGGCAGCCGGGGAGGCGGCCC